GCGTACGCCGGGAAATTTTTTTTGTACTACCCACATATCCAATTAGGTCTACTTCATTAGACGGAAAGTGCCGTGGAAGGGAGTCGCTCTCAAAGGGATAGATAATTGTGCCTTGTATTCGGGAAGAAGATGAAGATGCTTTCGTAACGCGCAGCTTTCGCGCGGAATTGTTGCGCTTATGAGGGAAAAAATGAGAAGCAGTTTTAAAGAGGAACTTCGAAAAATTCATCTTGAAAGAGTTTTCGTCTCGAACTCGGTGCATATTTGCCAAATTAAATTCCCCGATTGCAAATACCCGGGCGCGTTTTACGATGATATAATAAAGTTGAGTTGTTTTTAAATATTTTTTCATCGATTCTTTATTCGCACTACGCGCTTTATTCCTGCTAAAGCGAAAGAATCACATTTTTTTTTCGAAAAAAAAAAATATCCTTGTCATGTAAACGTACGGTGGAATTCCTGCGAGACTTCAAACTTCCCGTACTTATTTTACCGCGTAAAATATTCACGGGAATTCCTTTTGCAAGATCCAACTCAGTTTCACGCTCTCTCATATCGTTCGACTTTCACAAGAACCTTTATTAAACTTGTTCTAAATATACAGGATTCCTCAATAATGTGGGTATAAATCCAGTGCGAGAAAGACGATGTATCCGATAAATGGAATAGTAGAAGAGAGGAAAAAAGATGCAGTGAATTTGCAAGTGTTTTTAAATTCTTCAGGACAGTTTTAGAATCGTTTAGAACTGTCCAAAATCGTTTTAAAACCACTTTAGAAACTGATTAGGTCAATTTAAAACTGTTCAGGATGATCATAGAACCATTTAAGAACTGATTGGATCAATTTGAAATATTCATTTTGAACAGAAATAATCCAGTAAGATCATAGAACCGTTTAGAACTGTGCAAAACTGTTTAAAACTGCTCAAAATAGTTTAAAGTTATTTAAGAACTGATTGGGTCAATTTCAGAGAGTCCAGGATGATCATAGAACTATTTAAAACTGCCCAAAATCGTTTAGAACCATTTCAGAATTGCCTAGAACAATTTAGAACAGTCCAGGATGATCCTACAACCGTTTAAAATTGTCCTAAACTAAAAATAAAATTTATTTTCTACGAAAAATACACTACAACAAATTCCCTCGCGTTTCACAATCCGCGTACACTAAAAAAAATTCTCTCATAACTCAAAATGACGATGAGACGCTACCTATTAGCACAATAAAAAATATATTTACATTTTCCGCAATCAAATTTTGTTATGCATTGAATAATGTTTATTTTAGTTAATTGCGAATTTCCTCGGTCCCGTATCGCTTTACGATCTATTTGCTCGAACCAGGTATAACTTGTATTACGCTTAAATAGCGCAATCAATGGAGAAATCCGATTAAGAAGTAGCGAGAATACTCTTAAAATTTAACTCGAATAATCCAACGAGGTGGAAATTAGCTTGTTGTTAAGAAGTTTCCGAACAATAACATAAAGAGCAACAACGGGCCCCGGATCGGGAGATCCTCCGGGGAATTTATTCCATACGAATTGAATGTTGGTATTTGTTTCGAAAGTTAACCCGCCCTAAAATGCTATTCTACAGGGCGGCCCTTTGAAGTATTTTACTATGCCTAAGTGTGTGGAGGAGAAGGGAATTTTTTAGGGAATCCCCGAGGTCGGTCATTTCATCTTAAATCCGTGCATATAAATTTATATTTATCTATTTACAAATAAACCCACGATGCTCGGTCTGATTTAAACGGGCCACCCTGTATATACCCGGCGTGTTATCACGCTCGAATAAACGGTTGTTCCCTCGTGGAACTTCTCTATGTTGCACGTTGCACGATTCGATTGCCGCATAAATAATTAATTAACCATATAAACGGTGAAATATTCGCGTTATATTTACCTAATTAATTTGGCGACGGGTGTTTGTTATTGGTTTTTGTACCTTCCACTAGTGTCTTGTGCAAACACTAATAATTTCGTGGTTAATGGGTAATTAATTTTATCGAAAAAAAAATGATGTATATCGTACAGTAAAAAGGATCGTGTAAGGATTTGTATAAGGAGAGTGTAAAAATGTGTTTTTTTTTGGGTAAAAAATGGGAGTTTTGTACGAGTAAATTTTTAAATTGTTGGGGATAACTGTTCAATATCATTTAGAACTCTTCGGAATTAATTTAATAATTTTATTATTAGAAAAAAATTAGGACGATTATAAAACCATTTTGAACAAATTCTGGAATATTTAGAATAGTTCTAGATAAATCAGAAGTATCCCAGAACTATTTAAAACGCTTTTAAAACTATTTAGAACTTTTCCAAACTCCTAGTAAACTGTTTTAAATTTTTATCCGACTAATTTATACACAATTTATTCAAAAAAATCTACCACAACTTAGTCAAAATTATTCCAACAAAACCCCCAAAAATCTCCATAATTTCTCCTATACCAACATCACCGCACACCCGATATATAAAAACGAAAATATACCTCAACCCTCGCATAAAAAACACCACCCTTATCAGTAACATTTCGCCCCTAAAAACCCGCCACTTTATCGCACCCAAAAACCCATCATTTAAACACATCTACATTAAAATAATACACACAACAAAAAAAAACACAACTTTCCACTTACCTCTCCAATCGCTCGGGCTCTCGTACGGGACACCACGACGCGTCGAGGTATCGCGGCGAATTTCCCGCACGGGAAACTATCGCTCGTACGAATTTTCCGGGAAAACTTTCCGCGAAAACGCGCGCCTCCACCGCTCCCGCTCGCCGGCGTTTGCTCTCGACCGATCGCCGCGCTCTCCGGACGCAGACAGACGCCGCTGGATGCTCCGACGTCGGCCGGAGGGGCGTCGAGGAGCGTCTTTCTATTGTCGATTACGCCAAAATCGAGCGCAGATGTTCCTAGACGAAGTTGCAATTAAATAGGCAAGAGCGAGAGAGGACTGCGAAGAATGAGAAGAACTGAGGAAAGAGTCGGGAGATGCGGGAGGATTTGGAGAGTCTGAGGAGAATCGGAGTCGAGAGAATTGGGAGAGGCAGGAGAGTCAGAATGAGGAGGTACTGAAAAATTTGTGAGAGAAAAGTGAAGAGAATTAGGAAAGTCGGGGGAATTTGGAGAGTCAGAGCCTGGAGAATCGTAGTCAAGAGATTCATGAGATAAGAGAGTCAGCAGTTTCACGAGAGTAAGAATAAAGAAAGTAAGGAGATTCAGGAAAATCAAGGAAGTGAGGAGAATTAGGAAAGTCAGAAGTCGAGAGATTCGGGAGAGAATTAGGAGAGTCAGAAGAGTAAGGAGAGACGGGAGAATTAAGAGAATTCAGAGAATTGGGATAATTAGGAGTGTCAGGAGAGTTCAGAATCGGGAGATTCGGGAAAATTGAGAGAGTTAGAAGAGTCAGGAGAATATTCAAGAGATTCATGAGATAAGCAAGGAGAGTCAGCAGTTTCAGGAGAGTAAGAGTTAGAAAAGTCAGGAGTTTGAGGGAAGTCAGGGGAGTCGGAAAAATCAGGAAATTCTAAGAGAATCAGGAGAATTAGAGACATCAGAAAATTTAGAAAAGTCGGGAGTTTCGGGACAGTCAGGGGAGTCAAAAAAATCAGGAGATTCTGGAGACATAAGAGAGTCAGGAGAATCAGAGGGAGAAGAGTTAGCCTAGGAGAGTCAGGAAAACTACAACATTAAGAAATGTTGTTTTATAATTTATTTGGAACAAAAATGGGGGACATCGGGTAATAATGCAGTTAATTATCAAACGAAACGTGCGCAATTTGCTAAATTTTAATCAATGGCGAATTGAAATATTATAATTTGAAATGAGTGAATTTTATCTATTTATTTAATATTAATCGACTCGAATGATGTCAATTTCGGGAAATTGCTGTTGCGGAATTTTATTCGCAATTATCTAGATTAATGCAGACGTTGTTTTAATTGAATTGTACGACCTATATATAAAATTTGTTATTATTTTATACATTTCTACATATAATAAACTTCTCCATCATATACCTAAATTGGAAAATCACTGATTAAATTTAACTTTTTTTACTTACATTTTAGTATATTTCTAATTGGTTAAAGTGATAGAAAAACGAAACTTATAAGGCACACAACAGGATCAATTAATACATTTTGTATAGAGTTGGAGATTGGATTTCCATCATGGAACAATCTGGGTCAGATTTTAGTGATGTTTATTTTAATTAATTACGTTTATTATAGATATTTTCGATTAAAATAAATACTGTTATTGGTCCTAGCGCGCCGGTTATTTGCCTATCGCATATCGCATATTTCATATTTCAATATGCGTTTTATTTGATCGTAAAATTGATTTTCGATTTGTTAAAAATTAATCAAAAAACTAATTGTATTCTGGCATTTTCTATCTCACTTCAGTTTAGTTATCGAAATGACAACCCCGCTGTCAATTTCCATGAATGTCATCGGTTAAAAAATTGCAAATCAGCGCTCTATGATAATAACAAAAAAATCATCGCCAACTATTCAAATTTTCCGGTCTCATTCGGCGAACATTTACTCCGCCATTAACAAAAATAATAGTTTCCCTAATAGCGGAGATTATAAAAAAGCGCGCAAATGGCCGAGGAAATTCAATTTCCCATCGAATTTTTCCAACAGAAAGAGTCGCAATTTCCATCAAAGTACTACCGAAAACTTTCCCAACGACCCGGAAACTTTCCCGGTTCTCTTTTAGTCGAAACTCTGCATCGGAATTAAAGATTTTCCGATAACGAGAGGAGCCCCGGTGCATTTTTAACGCATCGACTGCAATCGCCAACTTCTTAGAGTAATTTGAGCCCACAATGTGCTCTGTACACTAACCATTACATTGTGACATAACGACCAGACGGCTAGATTCAACAGGTTTGCATGAGTATCGCATATCCAGCGTGCTGTGAAAGGAAACATATCAAAATACATACGGTATATATACTCACAGGCGACTATGATTTGCGTTAGTTCCACCAGATTTGATACCAGCATCACATATACGCCATGTTTAAGGTAATATTAATTCAATTTTAAATTAACTCCATTTTTATTCTCGTTATCGAAATTTTTGGAATCTTGACAGTTGTACATTCTTTAAATTGACAGTTATACATTGTTGTTATGGAGTAACTAAGGAAATCGTTTAATTTGACAGTTTTACATTGTTGTTATGGAGTAACTAGGGAGATTGTTTAAAGGAGCGCTGAGTATACGCCATTTTGTCGAAACCAAAGTCCTGTTCAAACCAAACAATTCCTCAACGAATTTGCTTTCCGCAGGAAATACTTACCATCGCCGTAACTCTCGCGTTAGCCGCTGCTACGAATCCCCTATTGTACTCCAACGTGCAGCAGCACCCGGGCCCCGGCCTCCTGGCGCACCCGGTGCCGGTGGTGCAACCCGCAGTACTGGCCCAGCCGGCGGTAGCCACCGTCAACGTGCCGGTAGTGCAACAGCGCGTGGAGCCCTACGACCCGAATCCCCAGTACAGCTACGCCTACGCCGTGAACGATGCTCATACGGGTACATATTATGGTGGTGATTGTAGCGCGCTAATGGAGCTAATTTTGGTGGTTTCAGGGGATTCTAAGAGCCAGCACGAGACGAGATCGGGCGATGTGGTGAGAGGCCAGTACAGCTTGACCGATCCGGATGGTTCCAGAAGGACTGTAGATTACGCTTCCGATCCGCATACTGGGTTCAATGCCGTAGTGCACAGAACTGCGCCGGTTCGAGTCCACTAAATCTGATGGTTTTTATGATGATTGGCTGCTGTTCCTCCAGCACGTAACAAGATGATTTGGTCTTTTTTTGTACTCTTTTTTTCTTTAATTTTATTTTAAGTTCGACGTACTTATTACTTTGAATAAACGTTTAGTATGTATCGGGTGGCGTTTGAAGCGTTCCCTGCAGATCCTATCCAGACCTCTGGAGTCTAATATAAATGAATCTGGTTACGGATTGGTCGAGTTATTGTAGCTAAGGGAAATAAAGCGAGCAGTGAACGGGGTTACTTTTGATTTTTTTGTACCTCTGCAGTGGAAATTGTAAGAAAATAAGAATAAAATACTCGCTATTTTTTTTATAATCGACGGTAGAGATTCGGAGCAATTTATTTAATCAACGTTATCTGGTCTCTCCGAGCGAATCAGAACGCTTTTGAAGTAGCCAAAAAGGAAAACAAACAGCGGATTTATTACAAAAATTACGTGGATGCCAATATATTTATTATCGAAGAAATGTTTAGAATAATCGCGTTAAACGCGCGATATACGCCTATCTGTGAAAATATTTACTTTATCGGATCGCAGGATTTATAATAAAACAGGTGTTAGAACGAGTTCTGAGATTCTATGAATTGAACTAAAAAAGGTTATTAAAATAACGGTGGCCAGAGTGAGATAGTTGCAATCCCTCCCCCAAATATTGCTTTCATTTTCTTTTCCCTTCTTTCTTTCTTTCTTTTTCCTTTATATAAGAATGAATAGAAGTTGTCTTTGTTAGTCATTCATAAAGAAACGAGGCGTCTGTAATGATAAAAAAAACACCAATAAAAGAATAATAATTTTCCAAATAATTTATTTATAAATAGTCTAATCTAAAATAAGTTAGTTTAAACGTCTTTCGGGTTAACAATGTTGTGTTTTGGCAAAAAATTCGTATAATAAACTGAACACCTCGGTAAAATAAACTAACAAATCGATATATTGCGAAGAAAAATACGATATAAAGGAATCTAAAAAGTTTAACAACAAACAAACAAGGGGGCGTCCCCGTACGGTTTATTTAGTCATATGTCAAATATCTTCTCGGGATATCAAATTCGCATAAAATCCGATGCAAAGGACAATGGTAAAATACTACAACTTTTTTTTTAAACATTAACTAGTACCTTACATGGTTAAGGACTCATGCGACATTTATCTATACATCTACAAATGTTACCCCTTTTACCTAGATTTTAATTCAAACAAAAAAACATAGAACACTTCCATCCCGCGCTGCATTTACACAGAAAAATGATATGAAATTCACTGATTACACGTAAAACATCCGATTCGAAATAGTACAAAATAATTTTGGTCCTTATTGTTAGTACATTCAAGAGCTGAATTAATTAATTCCAAACCTATCTATAAAAAAAAAGGTAAATAACGAGTAATACTGCGTCGAATTATTCCATTTGACATGTGACATTCGAATTAATCGGACACCGCTTACCACGATCGTATAATAACAGGTCAGGAAACTCCTGTACAGGGTGATGTGACTCTCGAGAGAGGTCACTAATAACAGGTAGCGTTTAGTTTAATGAACCCAAATTTAGTTTAATGAACCCTCGACCCAAAGTCACAATAAACGAACCTACCGAGTTTCCAGACCTGTACGTAAGACCGCACCGCTCACAATAAAAACTCTCCTTTGGTAACGCTTCAAATTTTTGCTCAACAAAAGCTACATTTAGTGGCCTGTCCTATATGCACGTGCACCGTACAAATGTCCCTCAATTCGCTACAAACGAGCGGTTTGTTCGGCTCGTTCTGATTCACGTCCCCGTCGCCCTTTATACAACTAACCGGCCTGCCGCGCGCGCCCCCCATAATCCTATCTTTGGTCAACGAGCCGCAGGACTGCGCCTTGTAGAGCCCGTTCCGCCGGAACAGCCCCGCCAGCGGTATGCACAGCTTCCTCTGCACGTGGAAGTACCGACCGAACACGCGTATCTTCCTCACGCCGCACTTCTCCAACTTGCTGCACTCCTCCGAGCCCTTCGACTGGTCCCTGCGCGACAACCTCGACGAATCCTCGTCGCGCTCCTTCGGCTTCTTCGACGATTTGCCCAGCCCGTTGAGGATCTTGGCGCCGACGCTCTTCACTTTCGGCGCCAACGAGCCCGGCATGCTCGATAACGTCGTCGAGACGACCAGAGCTTGGGCGTCCTCTTGCACTTCGGTTATGCGGTTCAACGATTGGCTCTCGCGCAATCTGGTTTTGCCGCTCTTTTTCCTGCATAATCTACAACAAATTATATATAAATAAAAGCGCGTTGGAGCGTTAGATGTTAATTAACCTGTGGTTTCTTTCGAACGACGAGACGTTGGTGTGGTTTTTGCCGTTTTTATCGTTGCAGGGTTCGCGTTTTTCGTTCTCTTTTGATTCTTTGCTGTCTGTTTTTGTAGTATTGTTGCCGATGCCTATCCCGCCGCTTTTCAACGATCCGAAACCGCTCGTTCCAGCTCCGGTTCCCGGCTCCTGCAAATGCAAAAATTTATACCGGTAAATTAGCATTGCATTATGGGCTAGATCTAAATCCCTATACAGACACAATGCGAAATTTCCATTACACTACATATACAAGAGTTCCTGCAATGCCAAATGTATAAATCTAGATCTCTATACATGGTGAGACAAGCTCAACGCTAATAATATCTATCTAATCCTGAATTCAAGCCTACTGGGGTCAAAGTACCTGCGAATCGCTGCTGTCGTCGTAACTATCCCTTCGAGTTTCGAACGATTTGGACGGCGTGTTGAGTTTCTGCGCGCGTTTCTTACGTTTCTCGCTATCATCGTCGCTGGCGTCGGACGAGCTGCAGGAAGCCGTTCGGCTCTTGTGGAATTTCGCCCGTCGTCGATCGTACGACGGGTTGTAACCGGCGAATTGCCTCGCATTCGCGTCTAAAACACAACGGTAGAATAAAAATTCGTAGCCGTTTACCCGACTAGTAAAGGACCACATGTCACAGGAAGCCCAAAAAAGAAGTGGCTGCTTAAAACTTGTCTAGTAAAAGACCGTCCACTGATTGCCTCACCTCCACTATCCACCGCGGATGCCTCCACGACTGGCTCGACGCTCTTGTGTTCGGTAGTAGTGATGACCGGTACGACGGGTTGTTGTTGTTGGAGCTTCGTGTCGCTTTTGACCTTGTGCTGTTCGAGTTTTTGGTTCACCTTGGCCGTGGCCTTCTTGACGCCCGACGGGTACTTCAATTCGGGCGGTTTCCTCTTCTCCGATTCGAGCAGGCGCTCCTGCAACGTCAAATTCAGCCGACCCTCCGATCGGGAACCGCGCCTGTTCAACGTCGAGGCCAGTTCTTCTCGCACCCCGCACGAAGACATGTCCTCCTCTTCTTCGTCCTCTTGTACTATGCTGCATTTGCGAGATCTCTGCAAAGGACAATAAAATTAATGATTAGAATTACTGATTATAAACTTAAGACATATAGTGATAGGGGGAAGGGGGTAAAGCAAGGCAGAAGGAGGTAGAAGAGGGTAGAAGGAAGTAAGTAGGGGTTAAGGGAGATGGTGGAAGAAACAAGGAGACATAGGGAGAGGGAATGGGAGGTAGGAATAAATTTGGGAAGAGGAGAAGTTGGTAGAAGGAGGTAGAGGAGGATAGGTAGGGGTAGCGGATTATAAACTTAAGATATAAATAGCACAACGCTAACTAAAAGCTATTTTGATAATGAAGAATGTAAACATTTGGCAACAGCGCTGTGGAAACGCTGCCTTTTGATGCTTCACATGCGTAGAAGAAGATGCGCATTCTTACCGGTTCAAATTACAACGTTTTTACATAGCGAAACTCGCCTTTAATTCGTTTTTGACAGATTGTCATTATAAATTCATACAAAAAAATTACAAAGTACCAAATACCGAATTAATTAGCTGCATGACTCCGACTGTCGCCCTTCCGTAAACGTATTCGGTATACTAAAAAAAAAAAACCATCAAAATTATCCGTAAACTAACATCCAAGTCCAAATCGTCCTGTACGAGTTCCGAACCGCCCCTGAAAGCAAAACCGAAATGGCGAACTGTTATTGTTGCAAGCAAAGCTGCAACGTATTGGTGCCCGATCCGAGGAAGTTGCGCTACGACCAGGACTCCTTCATCGGCCGCTACATGGAACTGTTCCAGCTCACCAACCCCAAATACCTCTTCTACTTGCCGGGCAGCTACAAGACCGCCCGGCAGATCATCAACACGATCGAAGTGGACGGCTATCGCCCGTGCAAAACCTCCGACAGCGAAATCTGGAACGCCAAATCGACCTACGATTCGGTCTACGGCAAAACCGGCCGAAAGGTACCGGTGCTGGCGCGACCCGTCTACTACGCGCCCTTCAAAACGCTGCTGTTCTTCGGCATGATACGCTTCAACAGAGACCCCAAGCACATCGTCCTCATGCAAGTCCTGAACCAAGCCTTCAACATCAACGTGGTCAGGCACCAGAGGAACCCGCCGGCCCAACCCACCGCGGCGCAACTGCTCGCCGCCTTCCTCGTGGGTTCCGTGACGTCCTCGGCGACGGCCGTCTACCTGCGGAATTACCTCAAGAAGCAATGCGCCTCGCGGATGGCGCTCGGCATGGTGCCGTTCGTCGCCGTGGCGGCCGCCCATCTGCTCAGCACGCCGTTCCTTCGGGCGCAGGAGATGTTCGAAGGCAAGCCGATATTCGATTGCTGCGGCACCAAGTTGGGCGTGTCGCGGAACGTCTCGCACAAATCCACATCGTTGGATGTCATTTGCAACATATGCAAGGTGGCGCCGCCGCTGTTGCTCACGCCGTACGTGATGAAACGGATGCGATTGAACGGCACGTTCTGCAGGTACCCGTGGACGAGGATCGGCGGCCCCGTGGCGTGTATATTCCTCAGTTTGGTGCTTTTATCACCCTTGGTGGGGGCCATATTCCACCAGCGCAGGTCCATCGGGTTCATGCGGTTGGAGAACAATTTGAAGTGCAAGGCTTCGAAGGAGGTGTACTTCGGTAGACCGCCTCAATACGTTTGTTATTGCGCCGGACCGCCTCTACCTTTTTAACATTACAGCCAACACGCATCTTGTCAATAAACGAATGATTCTAAACGTATTAACGTCGCAGTTTGAATTGCATGACGCAGCGCTGTTGCCAAATGCACTTTCACCTCTACTATTGGTTTACCTGCGGTATGTCTCCCGGTGTTCTCGGTACGTTCAACAAATTCGGCTTCACCGATACCGAATCGTCTTGATTGGCATTTTGAGTATTTTGAAAAACGGGCAATTCTTCCGGCCTTTTACTTTTGGCCGCCTGCTCTTGGCGCTTGTACCGCAACTTCCGCTCGGCCAACAGATAGTACGTGGCCGTTATGTGATTGTATTCGTTCTTGTCGAGAGATCTACGGATTAATAAAATTTAACACGATGCACTCTCGAAAAAAACGAACCGGTTTACTCTTGAATTTCCTCCTTGGTGGCGACGTTGCCGTTCACGATTTTCTGCACGATGAAATTGTGATCGTCCTCTTGCAACTGCTCCCTGGATACCAACGGGATCGAGTCCGCGTGCAACGTTTTCGTGGTGCTGCACAGCCACGGGTGGTTCGATATTTCGGCGAGCGTGGCCCGTTTCTCCGGGTTCCTCAGCAACATTCTCGATATCAATCTTGAAACGAATCGAATTAATAGTTGCAAATTACTATATCGGGGTAAATTACTTTTGGCAATTCTGCGATACGTGAGAGGGTATATCGTACTTGCAATCCATAATCATGGTTAAGGTTTCGGAATCGTTGGCTTCTTGGAATGGAGGGTGACCGCACACTAACATATATAAAATCACGCCTAGCGACCAAACATCTACAACAAACCGAAATTAATATACTAATGATAATTATTATATCGAATGAAATAATTTACCGACGGCCGGCGCATCGTACGAGTCCCCCAACAGGATCTCCGGCGCCGAATAGGCCAAACTGCCGCAGGATGTCTCCAATTTCTGGCCGGGATAGAACTTGTTGCTGAACCCGAAATCCGTCAATTTGACGATTCCCTGTTTTTTGAAAAACACCACGTTCTCCGGCTTCAGGTCTCTGTGCACGACGTGCAACTGGTGACAGTACGATATGGCCCGCACGATTTGGCTGAAGTACTCCTTGGCCGCTTTCTCGGGCAGGCCCGTATCGTGGCGCATTATGTACTCGTAGAGGTCGCCGCCGTCGCCCAATTCGAGCACCAGGTAGAGCTTCGTCGCCGTGTCTATGACCTCGTAGAGGCGCACCACGTTCGGGTGCTGGACCAGTTTCATGCAACGCACCTGGAATTTCAATTACAATAGTTTAATTTCGTTGAAAAAAAGGGAAAGCACTGATCCATTATAGAGCTGGGATCCTAACAAATATCCTGAAGATGTAACATGAGTAGAGTAGATTAGATTTAGAGTAGAATCCGAGCAGATTGAGAGTAGATCAGATTAGATTCATAATAGTTTCACAGCAGATTCCATGTAGATACTAGATGTAGTAAAATAAAAGCAGATTCAGAATAGATACAGGAGAGAAGTAGATTCAGAGCACATTCAGAGTGGATTCAGTGCAGATTTAGAGTAGATTCAATGCAGATTTAGAGTAAATCCCGAGTAGATTCAGAGTGAATTCAGTGCAGATTCAGACTAGAATAGAGTAGAACAGAGTCCTGCTATTCCCTTAGGATATCTGTTAAGATTGCGTTAGTACAAAGTAATAGTACCAAGCTAACTACCTAGAAATAACTAATCGATAAATGTAAATTACCTCTTGGAATAGATGCGCCTTGGAAACCTCGTCCAGTTTGCTCTTATCGATAACCTTGACGGCCACCTTTTCGCCGGTAAAGACATGCCTGGCCAGTTTGACCACGGCGAAATGGCCTCGACCCAACGTCTCCTCCAGATCGTACAGCCCGGCTATTTTGCCATCGTACTGCTTCGAGCCGACGTCCTGGCTGTTACCCTTGCTGCTGAGCCGGAGTTTTCTGTTCATGTTACCTTAAACGTTTAAAAGAACGTGTTCGAAAAGAACGAAAAAGCTGGTATTTTACGGATTAGAATTTACAAATAAAATGTTGTAGCGTCTGTGGAACTTTTTATGTTTCCTCCTATTAAATTTATCTAATTTATTAGATTTAATTTCATAGTATTACTATTGGGAAGGTTGCCAATAGCATTGGCACGTATTACTATTCCCCGTAATGTCTACATCATTACCATAATGAATGATATTAAAACGCTTTTATGGAATAATAAACCCTCTTTACTAAATAACTTAAAATCTAAATATTTGCATACAAATAATTTATTATTTCGCACACGAGTACCTCTCGAGCTAATACGAATATAATCCACTGGAAAAAAAAAGAATTTATCGTATTAAAAAGATCTTATCTAATACCTGTATAAATTAAAAAATAATCATAGTTATTTCCTAAATATAAATTGTATTCAGCTGTTTGCTAGCATCAAAATTGAAAGTTACGGATTTAAATAAAAATCTGTAAATAATTCGCTTCGTTTAACATGATTAATTAAATCTAAAAATGGAGGTACGAAACGAAACATAATTAAATGTTACATAGTTCGATTACAATCGATCGATTGCTGTACAATTGAAAGTTTAAATCAACTTTACAACCTTGAAAATTAATATTTTATCAACCGTTTAGTTCACACTAAATTAATAATAAATGATCGAGTGTAATGTACTAATTAGAGAGTGATAATTACATTTTAACAAATGTTACATTATAGTAACTTCATCGTATTCGCATATATTTATTAAATGTTAGTGAAATCACTTGATTAGTTACTGGTAAGGTGCTTATTACACTAAATAATCGTTTCTAATCATTAGAGCGTTTTAAAACGCGAAAATTATATAAAACAAACTTATTAGTAATTCTTCGGTGTAAAGTTTAAATGTTTTGTAGCAAACCCTGGGAAATGTTCAGCTAAATTAGGACAGATCAGAACGAACACTTGGATACCCAGAAATACAACAATCACGATCGTCTATCTCACTATTTTAATTTACTTTTAATAAAAACAACAAAGATTTCACTCACCAGTTAAAGTTTCTTAGAATTCCAACATGAGTAAAACTCCTTATCTGACTTCCACAGAGAGTTTTAAAGAGCTGGTTCGCCGTTGGTGAGTGCCAGATGCCGATGCGGTTTCGCACATTTTCCCGCGGGATAACTTAAATGTATTTGCAATAACAACTTAATAAATTAAATCCGATATTTATTCAATAATTAATAATGCATTGAGCAGTTTATCAACTACGAAGCAACTGGACTGACAGGTGACAATACATTAGCAGGTTTGACATTTCGGTTTTTTTTTTGACAGCGACAGTTTGTTGATTATTATGCAATTAATAACCGATTATTATAGATGTTTATAATTTAATGAATATTATGATTAATTCACATACCTATGTATACTCACGTAGAATGTTGCATTTAATCTAAAATTATTTCTTCTTTTTTTATAGGAAAATGTAGGCCTTATGAGTTGTGGTCATAGAGGCATTCTAATGTCAGTTTATGTTGACTTAACATTGACATTTAAATGTCATTTTAATTCAAGTTTAATGTTTAATAAATAAATAAATATTTATTCCTAATACCGAAGATAACAAGGAGCCCGGCTATTGGTTTTCTATAAATTACTTTTTAAAATGTCAGATTTTAACGGTAAGTTAAGTTAAAACTGCTCCATTTTTTCACCTAATCGTTGTTTCAATCCTCTTGCTGTGAAGGTAGCCAATTGGATAAAAATTTCAAAATACCCACGAAAAAAAGCGCAGAAATGATTAACGATAACGTCGATTACAATTCGGGCAATTCAATGGTCAGTAATTCCTATTACGAATACTACAATCAGTACACGCAAGCCCAATGGCAACAGAGTACGGCGTATCCCCAACAATACTATGGAGACCGAGCGATAATCGCCGATCCCTATCAACCCGTAGACCCGATGACCCAGAACATCCTCACCACGCTATCCAACATCAAAGAGAAACCGAAAAACGTCGATAAAAAGAACATTTGTAAGTACCGAATCCCGTACGAACCAACCGAACGTAACTCGATAACTTCACAGTTAAAGACACCGTGCCGGACGTGGACGATCCCAGCCTACCCAAGGAGCTCACCGTGCTGTTCCAGCCGTTGTTCTGCAAGCTGTGCACGGTGAAGCTGAGCAGCAACATCATGGCGAAGATGCACTACAAATCGAAGAACCACGAGAAGAAAATCAGGAAATTCCTGGTGGAATACGCCGCTAGAACGGACACGCCGGTGCATCCCCGAGCGAAGAACATGGCGGCTACTAAACAGGAGATTGACAGCGATCCAAAATGGTTCCATTGCGACGCCTGCGATTTGCCTCTGACCGGCAAAATGCACGCAGAGTCCCATTACATGGGTAGGGCTCACCAAAGGTTAGTCTCTCTTTGCTTTACGTGTTAGTCGTAGGGTACTAAACGCTTGTTGTAGGGTCATCATGGGGCAGAAACGACCGAGCGGCCGGGGGTACTACAACGAAGAAGGGAAATGGGTAAGACAAGAGTAAGTAAATTTAAACGCATTTACACGCAACAATCGAGACTTTAAATCGATTTATAAAGCGTTTTATTCCAGAAAAATGAAGCGGGTCGCTTCGAATGATGAAGAAGACACGTTCGGAATGGATTTTAAAAAGGCGAAAACCACCGAAGAGGAACCACTATTGGCGAGTACGAGTAAACCAGCAGTGGTACCGGTACAATCTAAATTCCATTGTAGCATTTGTAATGTCGGTACTACCTGTCAAGAGCAATTAGAAATTCATTACGGCGGTCAGAAGCATATCAAGAAATTGAAAGAATTGGGGATTGTCGGAATCAATCCGGATGCTTCCGTGAAAAGTGAGACTCTCGAGAAATGTAATCGTGCGAGTTAAAAATGTATTGTTTTAGGTTCGGGAGATATAGATCCGGATTTATCTGTATACAGGACACCCTCGGGTGAATATTATTGCCCCTTATGTAACATCACTCTTTCTTCGGGGGTTCATTTCAAATTGCACATAAAAGGTAAGAACCATCTTAAGAAAGCGGCCTCTCAAAATTCACAAACTGTTCATACAAACAGGCTGGTGAAAATGTAACAATAAGGTTAATCGATTTATTAATTAGTGTTGTAAAATTGATTTGAAATTATGTTTAGTTTTGCGGTTTTTTGCAATGTGTGGTACTTTTTATTTATTTAATGAAGTTGTTTTATTCTACGTTAATAAATGGTTATTTATTGTTATATTTAGCATGGATTTATTAAATTAGTGATTGAAATTCCTACTGTAAGCTTTAAATATGTTTGAATTCGTGAGGACTATATCATTTTTGCATTCGAAATATTGTTTTATTTATTTTTTACATAATTATAATGATTTGCGTAGGTGATTATTATGAAGGAAAGGATAGTTTTTTTACTAAACTGTTAATTGAAATACCCTAAACGTGGTTAAATGAACTGAGGACGGTCCAGACAATGATTTATTGCTACTATTCATTTTTTTAATATTTTGTATTCCTGTAATGTACACATTATCGACATAAATAAAAATAACCAGAAATTTACAACATGCATAAATAAATAATTTTACACATTATACAAAGTAATCGACAACAACAAAAAAGAGAATTACCTAACACTGTATACACAACTTTAATTATTTTTTTTAAATCTATTTAGCATTAATATTGTCTTAAAAGAGGCGTCCAGTCCGCCCCCTTGTAAATTGTTTCAAGCGATTCCTTAAAAATAAAACGATATTTTAATATCAAAATCTTATTGACTTCCATTCATTTATTTCCTAAAAGTAACTTCACAATACTACTTTGGTACCGTCCGGCAAAAAAAAGTCGAATTTATAGAATGAATACGTTAGAAAGTTACTTACAATGCAAAAAAAAAATTCACAATCCTTTCGACAGTCCACGACATCATTACTTCTAGTTTATTCGCCTAAATACCGTGATATTTACGAATTCATGATAACCAACAATATTATTACACTACGCTATAACGATATTCTTGAGTGGGTAACTCGTACTAACAACAATTCAGTTGGAAGCCGAAAGCCTCACGTCTTCGAGAGCGACGCGTTTCTTTTTTAATTATAAAAATACTAATAAAATAAACAAATAACGTACAAATCCCGACGCCGCGAACGTCAGGCTTCCGGCGTACAGCAAAAGCACGTACGCTAAAATTGAATTCGAAACTTAAAGTTACTCGTGTCGTGTATCTACTGCTTCATGTAGGGATATTCGATTTCTGAGAGAGGTACAAATGTTTCTTTGATAGCTTGAGGGTTTCCCCATCTCAACACGTAGTGTGGACCGCCCGCCTTGTCGTTGGTACCTGAAAAAATTACATATTATTAATTATACACGCCATTCACGATATAGAACTATGGAGCAATAAAGGTGAAGACCAATATCTACGAGTGATAGAGGAGTAGACTATTACCTGATAACCTAGCACCACCGAAGGGCTGTTGCCCGACAACGCTCCCCGTCGATTTATCATTCACATAAAAGTTACCGGCAGTCATCTTCAATTCCTCCACGGCGCTCTTCAGGAACTTCCTGTAAACCACCGAAAATTGTATTACATTCAATCACACCTCAAGACACATTTTACATCTGTGTATAGACGCCATAACTTGTCAAACTTAAAATTGATCAGCAAGCAGCTGTTTTAACGTTAAACTTTTACTGTTACAATCCTCCATCTTGTACATCTCGAAATGCCAATGTCAATTTCGTCGAAATGGCGTCTATCCACGAACGAAACTTACTCGTCTCGTGCGAAAATGGCGCCGGTCAGAGCGAACGACGTCGACGTACCGATCAGATCGATCGTCTCCTTAACCTTGGCGTCTTTGTACACGTAAACAGCGAGCACCGGCCCGAATATCTCCTCCACCATGATTTTATCCTTGGGATCCTTCGATTCGACTATGGTGGGCTCGATGAAGTAACCAACACTGTAATTTACGAATTATTTACAAATTACTACGTACCGAGAAGGCTGCTAAGTACAACAGAGAGTAAATGAGATGTTGAAGGATCTAATAATCTATGGATTCTTTGGATATGTGGCCCATTTCGCGTTAGATGTACTCCTGACCATCTCTTACTTTGCTGGATAATTGGCGTAAACATTCAACTAGGTAACACCATGCAGAAACAAATCCAAAAGGGTCAAATCGTATGAGCGCGGGGGCCATTCGACTGGACCATTTCTCGAGATTAAACGATTACCAAATGAATCTTGTGTGCTATACAGCTGGAGTAAATTCCAGCCCCCATAACTCAATTAATCCGCGTTTTACGTCCTTTCTAGAAAAATTCTTTTACCTATCATCGCATTTTCCACCGCCGATAATCTCCAAATTCGACGAACTCCTGGCGTGATCAATGTACCCCTTGATCCTCTTGAAGGCTTTATCATCGATTACAGCGGACGTGAAGCTGTGAGGATCCGTGGGATCCCCTATCTTCAATTGGCTCCTCTTCGCCAACAATCCCTCTTTAATCTACCGGGAATACACGATTATCATTCGGATAATTAAAACGTTTTTACCGGCGTACTTTGGGCCACAACGACTCCGGCACGTACATCCTCGAGCAGGCGCTGCACTTCTGCCCGCAGAACTCGAACGCGCTCCTTATGGTGCCGTTCACCACCGAATCCACATCGGCCGTGGGATGAATAAAGTGGTAGTTTTTACCGCCGCATTCGCCGATCAACCGCGGGAAGTTCCTGTAAATGCCGATGTTCTCGCCCACCTGCTTCCACAACCTCGTAAACGTCCTGCGACAAGCAAACCGCATATTAATATCAATCGCTCTGTAGTCGCCTTAAGTAAAAGACCAATCGGTCGATATGTGTGTATGTATTGGCGTGGATTCTTACGGTACGCTTCCGGTGAAGTTGATCCCGGCCAAATGGGGCGAAGCGGTGATGGTGTCACCGAACACGGGCCCGTCGGCGGGCACGAAGTTCACGACGCCGGGGGGCACGCCGGCCTCGCGGCAGATGTTGAAGATCGTCCAGTTGGAGAGCAGCGCCGTGTCGCTGGGCTTCCACAGCACCGCGTTGCCCTACAAAGCCGCGATTATAGTAATTTTTTTTACGAAGCTCGCTAAGAGTGCGATGGGCTCACGATTAGCGCCGGCGTGTAGGCCAGGTTGCCGCCGATGGCGGTGAAATTGAACGGGGAGACGGCGGCTATGAAGCCGTCGATGCCGCGGTAGCGCATCGAGTTTTTGGTGACCTTCGGGTCCTCCGAGATCGGTTGGTATTTGGTCGCTTCTTTCAGGAAATACGAGTTTAGTCTACCAAAAAAAAGAGTACGTGTATTACATTTATACAACGTATAGTATCCGTAATGTACCTAAAGAAGTCGATCAGTTCGGCGGCGGAGTCGATTTCGGCCTGGATAATCGTCTTCGCTTGGCCCAGCATTGTAGCGGCGTTTAATTTCGCTCGGTACTCGTTGGCCATTAGAGAGGCGGCCTTTTCCCAAATCCTCAATCTATCGAACGCGTTAAACGTTAGTTATCATACATTTTGGGGTACTTGAAATAGGGTACAAAATGGCGTACCTTTCCGGGATAGGCACGGCGTCCCATTTCTTCTGCGCCTCGCAGGCCGTCTCGATAGCTTTCTGCAGCAGAGTCTTATCGGCGTAATAGAATTTCGCGAGTTTCTTCTTGTGATTGTGAGGCATCACCTAAAAAAACACAATACAATATTACAGTACACCCTGTATATAAAAAATACCCATTCACGTCATGTCAAATGTCAAAATGTGTCAATCAAATTCCGAAATGACAGTCAAGGCCTACTAAAAAAATCCTACCGATAACACACGAGAAGTTGGCTAGTGAGAGTAACTATAGTAGTGAAAAAAAGAGATAAAAAAATATTACCTGATACCTGACGTCGTTATTTCTGATTTCCTTGTCGCCGATGACGATCGGGACGTCTTCGGTGGTGGAAGAGGCCTCGTTCAAGGCCTTCTCCAGCTCAGTTCGCTCCTTGGAGCCCTTTAGGTAGCTCAGGACGGGTTCGTTTTTGACGTCGAAGTCGCTGATTTTCATTTCCGGTACCACCGAACCCGCGCATCGTACCGCCGTCCTAAAATATGAGTTATTAAAAAAATTGCTTATACAGGGTGATTCGTTTGCTAATATGGTGAAATAGATACGTTAGAAAGGCTATGCTCTTTAGTGCAAAAGTATATGGGTTACACCTTTCTCGCTCTAACCCACTGTTATTTCAATTATCTTTCTTTGTTTTTAACTCTTAGGAGATTGATAATAAGAGAAGACTTGATTAATTATTTAAAAATGTTTATACAGGGTGGATCTTTAACGAATGTGTAGACAAAAAAATCGTGATGGAATTTGCAATACATATTATCGTTTCACGTGTTATTTTGTTTTCGAAATCTCGACGAAAAGTGGCCGATTTATTTATCTGAAATATGCAAATGACTGCGTAAACAGGTAAGGTAGATAGATAGATGTTTCGAAATTCGTCGCAGCAAAACTAATTTTAAATCGAACCTATGGCAACTGCAACTTGTAGTCGCGATATTTTTAGAATTTTATAGTCCGGTCGAATTGGCCCGAAACAGGAAGAAAACAATACGGGAAATTTAAAATTTGCTTGAATTTATCGTTAAAGGGACACAGGACGCCCTGTATAAGAAATACTCGCTTACTTACCATGCGTTCGAATTTTCTCGATATGTCAAAATTTAACGTTTATATGTCAATCAAATTCATAATGACATTCAGGGCCTGCTAGTAGAATTCTTCTGATAACTCACTGGGACATAAAGTGATGAATAATCGCATAAAAAGTAACTAAGGAAAACGGGAAGAAAATAGTACGGGAAATTTTAAATTTGCTTGAATTTATCGTTACAGAAATACAGTACACCCTGTATGCACACAATTCTAATATCCTCAATACGTCAAAATTTGACACTTCATGTCAATCAAATTCATTTGTCAACCCAAAAATGACATCCAAGCCCTGCTAGTAAAATGTGTATTACATTTAAACAAAAAACACGTTTTTCATGCTAAAAAGACTGTAACAATTATTTTTTTATTACGTTTACCTTTCGTTTGTGTCCATATACAATTGATAATAATGTTAACCTCTGAATAAGATATTTTAATATGTCATTAGATGCAAATGAAATCAAGTTTATATAACAATAAAATGGGCAAGGTAACAAAAACGCGCATGTTCTGGAAAATAATATGCAACTATAAATGCAACTTATGCAACTTATAGATCGGAACTTTTATAGCTGTATTTTTTTAATCGTATAGAATCCTTATTTATCGTCTAAATTTAGTGGAAAATCCTATTATTATTTATTTGAAATTTTAAAACAAACCGCAGGTAGATAAGGGAGCGAAAATATTCCATCACAAAACCATAGGCGCCGCCATTTTTTTACTTAGGGTAGAGGGGTATAAAATATAAAATATTTTTAACATTTGTTGATTTCAAAAATATTCAATATAAAAATTCAAAAATATTAATCATATTTTTTAAAGGAAAATCCCACCTCTAACTACGTTAATGAATGAAACAAAAAAAAAAACAATTCACAATATCCAATACTGAACACACAAAATTCAAAACTTTCCTACGCCTTCTAAGCACCTAAATAGAAATAAATCGATTGTAATAACGAAATTAACAACGGACATTTATTCACTTATTATCGAACTTCGATTAAATCCATTAATAAATAAATCTTTCTGTAAAACTGTATCGATTCGCCCTAATTAATCCAGATCAAATTGATTTGTCACGATCAGCTGTTCGCATAACACCGAATAAAAAAAACCCATAATAATTATATAACGAGCATATTTAGGGATTTATAAACAATTAAATAATAATTCTCCATATAACCAAGGTCGAATAAGTCTAGCATAGGGCGCATATTGGATGAAATAGCGAAAAATCCCAATGGAAATTTCCAACGAGCCTTTCTCTATTTCCGAAGGATTCGATCGATTCTCTCGGGTTTCTCTATAGATAAACTTACGATAAAGGCCTTCGACCCGCCGATAAACTCTCACCCGAGCTAATCGCCATGTAATTACCGAAAAATTAATGAAATCCCCGCGACCATTTAAAGAAATAGAGACAAACAACGCGATAAGTTATCTAAAACTTAATTTTATCACTGACCTTTGCAAGCTGGAAGACAGGGTCTGTTTACAGAGCGATAACATGCTGCTGGCTCTCGTCCTTTGTTTCGAACGAATGGAAAATCTCGATGAAAACGTTGGAAAAAATCAAAATAGAGATTGCTCTACACCATTTGACAACCTTTTTAATGAGCTAACGTGACGTCAAATTTATATAACCATAATCGAGGTGGAATTGACGTTTGACATGCGCCGTTCCGTGAACCATGGAATCCCGAAAAATTAGATTATTGTTTATTATTCATAATACGTTGATTAGTTTACGCAATTAGATAGAGCAAAATTGCTCTAATGAAGTAGAGCGTTAACGAGTCGAAGAAATAAACGTTTGGCGTTTTTGAAAAATTTGTAAAAGTTGTTGCCTAACTGACAGGTGACGTTTCGCGTCAAACAAGTTTAATTGATACATTTTAGTTATTGAGGTAGCTGAATACAGTTTTTTTAAAGTATTTTAGAAATTTCTGGTAGATTAATGTTGGTAAATATTAATTATTATTTATTATAAATTTTGAGTTTTAAATTATTGTTTAATAGTAAACTATAATTGACTTATTATACGAGTATTTGAAACTTCTTACTATAGTCCTCGGTAGTATAGTGGTCAGTATCCCCGCCTGTCACGCGGGAGACCGGGGTTCGATTCCCCGCCGGGGAGGATTTTTTTTTTCACTTTTTATTCCTTATACTTATTTCATTAATTTAAATCCCACAGTACGATCGGAAAAATGAAGGAAAAAAAGAAGTACAAAAAAGAAATGTATTTATTTTTTTATTAATACAAAATAAATAGATGGGTGTTGCGTTGGACAAAGAAAGTCGACTCTCGCGTTGTCCAACGCAAGACTCATGAAAAAACTGAACAAAAACACTTGATTTTCAATTCGTAAAACATTTGCGGATTTAATAAAAATGATATGCAAATAAAAAAAAGGTTATTGTAATTTGAAAATCAAATATAACAGAGAGGTACCATATTTCAGATATATAAATTATCTAAACATTCTTTGTTGTTGTTGTTGTATCCTTACTGCGAAGTATTATTTTGACACACTGGTGGGCTCTGGTTGTTTAAGGCTAAATCTTTAATATGCTTCTCCACCTGAAGTTTACAAACAAGTATTAAATACTTTACTCTAATCATCTCGAATATACTTACAATTTTCCTTACATACTTGTAATCTCCATTGGTCTTATTCCCTCTTATGTTCTCCAATTGATAGGGTGGGCTAATAGTTACCTTAAACGATAGAAAACAATCAGAGAAATATGAGTATTTAATCAAATTATACTTACACCACTAAAAACCACAATATCGGAATCTTTCCACCTAACCTCGGGAATCGTTTTAGATATAGCTATGAACAAACTCTGTCCCTCGGAACTGACATTAGCCGATATTGCTTGGAATTTCCTCTTCTTCTTGTCCACCTGATTCCTCACTCTGGTGTTTAGCTATGGATACAAACACAACATTAATAAAGAAGTAATCGTAAGTGTACGTTACACGTACCCTTTGCAAATTCAAAGACTGTGGAGCTTCCGGCACGTTGTTAACTTCTTTCTTGACTTGTAATTCGCTAACAAGGGATAAATTAACAAAATGGATATCATTTAATTTCGGATCTCCGATAGTTGGAGCGCATTCTGGTTCGTTAATTAAGGAAACATGTACCCAAAGAAAACAATGGTAGCCGTGACCTGGCGTTAAGTAAAAGGCCAACAGCTCATACTAGCTAGTACGTACGCGAAGAAAGCGAGCTAAATCAGCTAGATTAAATTATAAATTTCGCGACTGGATGGTCGTTGTAAAGCAAAAAACGTACCACAAACATTGGCGGAGCAAAAACGGGTGTTATGCTCGCTTTCTCCGCTGTGACTGGTTCAAAAAAGGATACTTAGAATTAATACTTTAGTAGGCGCATCGAACGCCAATACTTCGCCTTCGATTTCTTTGTTATAACAAGTTCTACACCAAACTACACTTCCTAGAGAAAAAAAGTCTGAAACAGCAGCCATTTCGCAAAATAGAAATGGCAACTTTATCCCATGGGGGAATTCGTAATTCGAGTAGTGGTAGCGTTACGCACTGACATTGACACGAGCAAATGTAGCCAACTGCGCCGAACAGCCGTTTACAATCGAGGCCAGGAAAGTGAAGTTTGTAATTTATAAAAAAGAAGATATATTTAACGGTCTTTCATACAGACCTGGAAACTCGACTTTTTAAAAATTAAATTTGGAAGGCGAAATGGTATAATGAAGAAAAGGTGGCGTTATGTGTGTACGATTAAGCAATACAACCTGATTCTAGCGCTCTCTGTTGAGATTCGTAGTCACATCATCCTCATCAAAACACCAGTTTCCTGACCTGTTATATGCGACCGTAAGTGTGACATTTATATTGAAAAAGAAATTAAATGGCGGGTTATTTGAATTTTAGTGTGTGGTTTCTTTGTTTTTAAATTTGTATTTTATTATCTATATTTGAGTAATATTAACTTATTATTTGCGGTTCTTTATTATTTTATAACTATCAAGTAGTGTAAAACAAGACAAATAGTGTTTTTTACATAAGATTTTTTAAAGAACATTTAAGTGTAATTTAACACTTATACTTTAAGTATTATAACAATTAAATCGAATTTAATTTAAATTAAATATATATCGCAAGGCCGACGTCTCACAACAGCCATAAAATGGCCGATCAATCAGCGTTTTTATCGATCAAAGACGGCCGGGCGGGCCACTTAAGCGAAACTGCCGATAAACCGGGTTTAGAGCGAATAAATCATCGCGAAACAATCGGAAAATTAATAAACCGCCGAGTTTCCAGCGGCGTTAAAATAAATAACGCGGTCGAACCACTTGCCCGCCGCTATTTTCGTATATCCCATCGAAATGTAGCCGCTCCTCTACTAGATATCTAAAATTAACCCGGTGAAAATTATCCAGTCCACGTAAAACACACACCGGCTTTACTACACATCTCTCTCCATTATAATTTAGTATACAAACAAACAGAGAGCGGGTTTCGTGCGGATTGTTATCGCGAGTACCGAAAGCAGAATAAAATGTCCATCAGGTACAAATCGGATCCGGAAATAGCCGAATACGAATCGACCAAGTGCTGCACCAGCTTCCTGCACTACTCCTGGAAAACCGTCACCTGTCTGTTCTCCCACGTCACGCTCGTCTCCATGGTGGTGTCCTACTGCGTCCTGGGGGCCTTCACCTTCGAAGCCCTGGAGGTAGCCAACGAGAAGAAGGTCTGGTCTCGTGCTGTTTAGTTAGTAGGTTTCTTGGTTTTTGGTGGTGTCACCGAGTCGGTTTCAGGTGAAGAGCGGCATATACAAAATACGGGAGAACGTCACGTGGCATTTGTGGAACTACACGCAGGGCATCAAGGCCTTCGACGAGGAGAACTACACGAGAGGGGCGCTGTTGTATCTCAAACACTTCGAGAATTCGTTGTTGGATAAAATGAACAAAGACGGCTGGGACGGCGAGGAGGATCCCGATAAGGTGCAGTGGACGAGGACCGGGTCTTTGTTTTACAGTATCATCGTCATTACTACCATAGGTAAGGTTTCGGTATAAAAAAAAATTGTGGTAACTAAATGGTAATTTATTTGGAAAGGCTTCTCCAACTCTTAACAAAATACCCAATCATCGGGTGGTATAAATTATTCACGTTGAGATCGAATTAATCATTTTTATCGGCGGCAGTTCTGGCGTATATTCCGAAATTCGGCCTATTGGCACCTGGACCCACCAAAATCCCGTTTTCTGGACCGTACACGTTCTGACCTACAATCAAAAACCACTTCAAAGTACCACTAACACACAATTAGCTGTCTACTACTTAAGGAAAGGACCAGCTTTTGATGTGGCAGGTCTGAGGAGGCTTTGGATAACAACAAGTTTGAAGATTGATCAAGAATGATAGATTAGTAGATGATTCATACCTACAGTGTGTCCCTGGATGGATTAAAACTACCAATGTCTACCCTCTCATCAACTCCATCAAGGGACACCCTGTATAAGCAAACATATCTTGTTACCTCCTAATCCGAATCCACCTCCACCGGGCGGCCGATTCGGCCTGTAACCCCCCGGCCTGACGGGCCCCCCGAAGTCCCCCGAAGGTCGCTGGAAGTGACCGCCTCCCGCCGGACCCCCGGGCCCCACCAAAACTCCGTTTTCTATCGAATGCACCGGCCTGGAAGGCAGCGGCCCCCCCGCTTGGCCCCTTTCGCTCGTCGAATAGCAACAGTACCGCTTGCCCACGTCGCAGTGGCCCTGGAAAAACAAAGATGTATTCCAGAAACATTAGTGGATGGATGGCTGGAACAGTAAGAGGCCGTGGGAGTTAGAAAAAGAGAAGAAACTCACGTATGAAATCCCGGGGCTGTTGCAGTTGAATCTTTCGGTGCATTTGCATCGATCGAACTCTTTGAAGGGGCCCCCGGGTTGTCCGAAGGGCGAAGGCCCAGAGAAAGCGCCGGGACGGTACTGGCTGTGCCCGGCGCCGTATAATTGGTTGTTGGCGTCGTAGATTCCATTGATGGGGACGTTGGGGGGCCTAAAACAGTAATTATACAGGGTGAAAAATTTGTATGTAATTTACTAGTAAATTAAATTATTTTCTAGTATTTTCCTGTACTGTTGATCTACCGACACCATTTTGAGGTGGACTTACTTATTGGCGATTTTTAAAAGAAACTGCATTAGAAAATAGAGCCATCGCAAATCGCTGTAGAATAAAATCAAAACAATTTAATACAAAATTCGTTTGTTCGTATACACTCGAAAAAATCTATAAATTCTCGCAAATCCAAGTGAGCTGTGTAATTATATTTAATTACCTGCTTATTCCGGGATTGTGATTGGGATTGTATTGCCCGAAAGATGATCCTCCTGATGGGTAGTAATCATCGTTTTCGATGACTGCGTATCTTCCTGAAGCCTCTTCGCTGCAAAAGAAATTATAATTTAGCTACAATTAAATTTGATTAAATTTCACTTCGAACCTCAAGACATCGCTTCTTCCTTTCTCTCTATCTTCACCGCCCCAACTCCATTTCTTCTCCGCATTTTCAGCTCGAATTACGAAGAATACGGCGAAATATAGCGCTGAAATTAATTTTTTTTGTAAATAATTTTCCTGAATACGGTTCTGTTGTCAAAAAAAAAACATCCGAAGGGACAGGGGTGTATTTAGAAAATTTCAAACAAACTAATTTGCAAGTTTATAAGTGACATTTTAGAATCTTCATGAGTACGACCCTGTTGTTAAATGCAATTAAAACAACAGGGGCGTATTTTAGAGACCTTGTTTATTTCTTCGGAAATAGTGTCACGGTCATTAGCGAAGACGTGGTAAATGGAATATAAATTAAACGAGTACTTACAAGAATATGTAATAAAGTAATAAAATGTATGATCGCATAATTTTCTCGTTAAAACCCGAGAATTACATGTACAGAAAAAAAATTACTGGAAAATGCATTAAAAATAAAGAAAATATTTTAATGCATTTTAAAGAAAATGTTTTAGAGGCCAGCCCTTGATACAATCAAAGATATAGGTATAAAATTTACTAATTTTTGTTTCCTTTAAAAAAGTAACATTCATTTTGACAGTTACCCATTGTGACAGCAAGTCATTTTGAAACTCAGCCATTTTGATAGTTCTCTACTAGACTACTTATAGACTTATTCTGATTAACAGAATATAGCAAACTTTAAAAAAACTTCAATTAATTCAGCACTACAAAAAAATATACTCCATAATACTACAATTAAATACTACATACACTATAAAAAATTAATTAAACCGCGGCTCACCTAATTTACCGGTCATACCGACGCACACTCGGATGGAATAACCGAAAGATATAATATTCAACACGTTCTCCGCAATTGCGTAACTTTCATTGAATAATCGAATTCGAAATCGAAACCGCTCGAGTATTGTTTTATATACTCGCATAAAATCCGGCGAAATTTAGGGGGGGTCCTTGTGGTAAAAGACTCCCATCGCGAGGGGGACAGCCAATACCGCAATTAGCGCGAAAGAGAAGGACATACGAACTGATATAGTTTATAGTCTTTTATCGATTGTGAAAGTGCAAGTGATAATTAAAATATAAAGTATCTCATTGAGTTAATTAATCCACGAATTTTAGAACCACTTTTAGAACCACCCTGTACATCTACTAGACAATTACATCCGCAATTTTGGCAGAGGCGATTTTAATTGGCGCGTTTTAATTAGCAATTACCGATTGCCAAACGGCGAGCGGGCAACCTCAATAAAAATAATTGACCTCTTCGCCCGTCGGAATAACAAAGATATTTATCGTGTTCTAATTACGGCCCTGTAAAAACCCATCACCCCAAGGCCTCCGAAACCGGCGGAAATGGGCCGGTACATCCCGTATATAAAGGCGATTTCCGAAATTCCTCAGAGGAAAATGGTAATTAGGAATTTTGAATAGGTTACGGGCACATCGCGCCGAAGACCTCCTGGGGCAAGGTGGTGACCATCTTCTACGCCATACTGGGCATACCGCTGATGCTGCTGTGCCTCTCGAACATCGGCGACGTCATGGCGACTTCATTCCGATTCCTCTACTGGAAGGTGTGCTGCTACACGTGCCAGAAGAAGCCCAAGAAGCGGAGGACCAGGGGCTCCATTCGATCGGAGTAAGTACGCCGAGTAAGCGCTGTATCTCTAAAATTTCATCAGTAAATTGTCGAGATCCCGGCAGGGCTCCTTCAGGAGGTACACCCGCACGCCCAGGTTGCCCGAATTGGGCCCCATGTCGCACTCCGACACCGAATTACGGTAAGTTCACCATCTAATACTCTCTCCTTTATCGCATAAGATCTGCCATTGTAGATACCTGGACGATCCGTTCCCTTCCCGGAGAAGATCCGAACGATTCCGTAAATCGGACGACCCCAGCAGGAAAATCAGCCGAACGTCCACCGTCTCCAGCCCGCCCGTCCAACAGAACCACCTGGAACCACCTCTGAGAGGCTACTCCTTGGACAGGAAAAGGCGAGCCGAAGAAGCGCCTGACCTGGACCCCAGCCTCATCGACCGCACCCCCATACTCTTCAACAAGTATATCGTAGGCACCGACGGCGGTTTCGAGAGGATGATACCAGGTAAAGGTAAAGAACCCCACCTCCTGCGCGGCTCCCTCTATCCGAAACTAAACCCGCACCGTAACCGATCGTAGGCATAACCCCCAGGCAGACGGAGTTCCAGAAACGCTCGGCGTCGGTGCCGAGGACCCGCCGCTTCCTGGAACCGCCGCGCTACCCCTCCCCGGACGGCTCCACCGACGTGGAGGAGGACGTGGACTCGCTCAAGGACGCGCGCCGGCCCAGAGGAAGGTCGCGTAAGTACCCCCTTCGATCCTTTTTTCGATGTCTTTGAGCTTCTCGGGTTGCAGCCCGGCCGAGCCCGAGCCCCAGGATGATGACGCCCATCGGGTACGGCCTGCCCGGCAGGTACTACGACGACGACTCCGACGCCTACGACGCCTACGAGGCGGGCAAGGCGAGGATCCGGCCGGTGCCGATATGGCTGTGCGTGTTCCTGGTGGTCGGGTACATCCTGGCCGGGGCGTACCTGTTCATGACGTGGGAGGGCTGGGAGTACCTGGACGCCGCCTATTTCTGCTTCATCACGCTCACGACGATAGGGTTCGGGGACCTGGTGCCCGCCAAGGAGGTCAGCAGGGACAACAGCAGGGCCACCATCAGCATAGCGCTGTGCTCGTTGTACTTGTTGTTCGGGATATCTTTGCTGGCTATGAGCTTCAATTTGGTGCAAGAGGAGGTTATCGGTAAGGTGAAGAGGATCGCTAAGAGTCTGGGGATTATCAAGAGTACTTCCGATGATGAGGATGATGATGATGATGATTAATGTGTAGAAGGTAGATGTGAATATATGATACTGTAAGCAGAGGTTGATTTTTATTAAATGTTGAATTTTTGAACGTACCTCGTATATAAATATATCGACTTCGCCTCGTATACTAAAATTGGTATGTTTCTGGAAGGTGTGCAACACTCATTACACTTCTCATGTGAAAATCGATTTAAATTGTTAGAACGGTTAAAAAACATTCGTAAGTCACAAACTAGGTACAAGATGTGATAAAACGGCCTGTTGGTGAAGAAAAAGTTCGATTTTGATTACGATTTTCAGAAATTTTGACAAGGAAATATGTCAGATGTTACAAATTTATGTTACAAAAGACGTACGTGCACCTGTCAACCGTACAAGACCGTCATAGACCTATTCAGTTTAACCTGTGCTGCGCGCGCATACTGTGGATAATTAACTTGCCATCTAAACGAACAAACGAACGCACCTCAGGTAAAATACGGTTCTGACAACTAGACAACGACAACTTAAGACATACTTCAGACGTCATTTGTCATTATCCAACAATCCGTCGGATTTAATTTGTAATGGACTCGATACAAATTTGTTTTTACCGCCCAGAAAGGGGATTAGGGTTAAAAAAATATATGCAGGTCAAGTCTAAGAAAGAGTAAGAGGTTAGTACAAAGTTTCCCAAAATGCTATTTGATCGGCTAGCCATTTTATATTTCAAAGAAATAATCCCATTGACCTATATAAAAAATTATAACCTTTATAAATAAATATACTAAATAATACAAAGAAATACTGTTAAAAAATAATACACACTGAACATAAACAAACATCAAACGGAAACAACCAACAAAATAGGGTTAAGATTGAAGATGGTCTCTTCTTTTTTATATTTAAAACAGTTTTCATCTAAGAAACATTCAATGTGTCTGTCAATCAGCAATGAAATAGGCCAAATATCTCATCTCTCTTGCACTTACGTTTGCGCAGATTTTAAATGGTTCCACAGTTTGCGCGTGAAACATATTTGCTTCTTTTATTATCTTATGTTGATCTAATAACTCCATCACTCTCTTTCGTAAACTGAATAGGTCTATTTGGATTTTGACAAAAACATAATTTTTTATCTGTATAGATAGTTTTAAATACAAATTGAGGTCGTTTTGTCTTACTTTGAAATCGTACCTCGTATATCGAAATTTACAACCTACATTTTTGTTATCGACTTGTCACTGAAAGATATGCAACATCCATTACAAGTCTCACTAATGCACATAATAAAGCGATCCAAGTCAATGAAGTACGTAAAAAATACTCGTAAATTACACAATTTGAGTTACAATAGCGCAAACTAAGGCTATTGATGAAGTAAAACTCGAATTTATTCGCAATTTTCAGAAATTTTGACAACCGATCAATCGCCGACGTAACACCAGACGTACGTCCGCCCGTCGAGCGCACGAAACCGAGCGAAACGCACGACCGATCCCGTGTCGCATTCGACGCGAGACGCCGTTGTTTGTAGTTCAGTTGCGCTTCGGATGGCGCTTTGTGTAGACGTGGAGTGTGATAATTCGCGACATTTACGTGGATTCGGCGGAACGAACACGTGAAAATGTCCGCGGGCAAACGGCAGCCGCCCAGGCAACTGGTGAGTACCCGAACGGGCGCCGCGCGACCGCCCGATCGCCCATTCTTCCCCGTACTCGATCCCAATCGGTCGCCATAACTTTTTTTCCGTGTGTGTCTGTGTTGTATCTTTTCCTAAAGTATAGCCTACTGGGATTCGGGTCGAGTGTTGGGTTGATGATTGTTCAACGCGAATATATTTAGGGTTTTTTAATTAGTATTTCCACGTATAAGTTTATTTTATTTTGTGGTAAATAATTATGTGTGGTTATATACGCACAGATGTCACGGTTTACGGGGTGCTTGAACTAGTTTTATGAAGCATTTTTTTAGGGGTCATCCGAGAATAAACTCGGTGGGAAATCGAAGGAAAATCATGAGGAAGATTTGATATTTCTCTAATATTAAATGCATTTTGTTGTTTGTTTATACACACAAACTTACACGGTCTCCTTATCTCGTTAATTTTACTCGATGATAAGATTTGTTTCTTAATATGATAGAGCGTAGAAGAACGGGGTAAAGCTTGGATTTAATGATGTATAGTTGTTCTAAAGTTAGTTGGATAATGTGGAAAAATGAGTTCGATAAGATCTGTTCAAATTTTAAAGCAAAATTGTTGTAATATTTTTATATCATTCAATACAGTTTATAAAGATTTTTGGAAGGGTTTCAGTAGTTCAAAAATTACATTTTCCGTTTCATTACTTAGCTACTGAAGACACCAAAATTATTTGTAAAAGTTTTTAAGATGTTCAGGAGATTTCTCTAAAATTCCTAAATATTCTTCAAATAGTAAAAAGTAGAGAAAAAAGTTGTTTGTATCTCTTCCATTTTGAGCCACCCTGTACACTTATCGAATTCGAAACTTAGACAAGTATACCCCAAACTACACAATGCAATATTTTTTTTCATCAATAAATTATCAAAATTTCAACCATCCGAAATCCTCGAAAACCGCCGCATTTTCCCGCGTGACGCACCGAGCAACATTCCACAATTTTACTCGGAGCGAGATTTTCCTCGAGTCCCGTCCGAGTTCCAGCCGCTTTTCCGGGCCTCCGCTTTCCATATGGCATATAATAATTGCGCGAATACCTGGCGAGCGCCCCGTAATCTGGATTCTGGATGTACTATATCGTTCCGTTTGCGCAACCGTGCGTGCCCCAAACGTTTTATAATTAAAATATCCACAGGCGACTCGTCCGCGTATTGCCAAATTACCCGCGAAAATTTAGCGTAAAATTTTCCGATTCACCCTGTATATTTCGATTAATTCGATCGCCGAATTTGGGGTGTTTAAAATTGGGGTTTTTTTTTAATCGTTATTAGGTACATCAAGGTTTGGTTGTAATATTCAATGAGTTGAACAAAGAAAGATCGTTTAAACAACAGTGGTTAAAGTGAGAAAGTTGCAATCACCCACAATATCGCTCTTTCTTTTTTCTTCATACGAAACTAATGGAAGTTGTCTTTGTTGCACCCAATATACACCATATTTAAACGAGATCACCACAAATCAATTCTAGGAGTTGAACCAAGAAAGATTGATTGTTAAAACAAACAGTTCGTAGGTTAGAGCGAGAAAGTAACAGTTCCACAGCATCACTCTATCTTTTTCCTTTATATGGTCGATTCAACGAGTTCAACAAAGAAAGTTGTTAAAACAACCAGTGGATTAGAATAAGAAAGTTTCAACCCCTGCTCAATATATCGCTCTTTCTTTTTCCTTCATACGAGACTAACAGAAGTTGTCTTTATTGCACCCATATACTACCTATAAGTTCGCACTCGTCTATACAGGGAAAAAATCTACAATTCACCCTCTTGTCAGGAAAATTTTTTTTTCCCTAAAAACGCTATTTGCGGGGTGAGAACGGCAACGCCGCCGCGACGCCACCGGATTCGTCCGGCGTTCGGTACGGGGGGAATAGCGGCGTGCGTGTGGCGTTTCCAGAGCTACGCGTTTTAGAGCTCGGGAGCCGTCCGGTAGTGCTCAAGATGGCGTACAGGGGTAAAAAGCTCACGCCCGCCGGAGATCGACACAATTACATATCGCGAATGGTGAGTGTCTCTGCACCCGGATTTATTTTCAAATTTTTTTTTTCTCTAATCTCTAACCCTCGAGCGAGCATTTTGGAACGGTTTCGTTCGATCGAATCGTCGGTTAAATTATCGATTCCGGTATATTACGCGTGTAATATCATCGCGATGATAACGTTGATGATTTTTTTTTTCGTGCGATGTATTCAACAGTTGAGCGGTGGTGGAATGGGGGTTCCCCGCTGGGGGTTTGGAAGTTTTTTAAAGATTTCATATGGGCGATTTGTAGGAACTTTTTAGCGCTATTTTTTATTAAAGTTTATCGAATCATCAGGCAACGATCCTCGCATTCAAAATGAAATAGGCATCGAATTATCTACTCTTATTATCTTTAGCTGGTAGATATACCAAATTACAGTACATAGTAACTGAATTCTTTTCTGTATAATATAAAGAGGTATTCCTGATGATGATTAAACCCGTTTTAATTTAATGAATTGTATAAATGATGATTGTTTTGGGGGGCGTGTGTTTATGTTGGACAGAGGGAGCGCAAGCAGAAGAAGCTGTACTCGGAGGATTGGGCGCTGGGCGAGGACGACATCGAGGGCCACAGGACGTTCAGTCTGCAGGAGAAGCTCGAGGACGGCGCGTTCGCGTCGCATAACATCGTCAAAGAGATGCACGGCGCCGAATTGAGCGTCGCCTATCTACAGAGGCACGGTTTCAATACGCCGTTGTTGTTCAAAGAGAAGGCTGGATTGGGTGAGTGTTTTGTTTTTTTTTTTCTTTTAATGGGATTTTGAGATTGTTTTTTTGTTGGAAATGTATGCGGGTTTTTGTGGTGCATGAGGATAGTGGAGTTTTTTTTTGGGTGTTTTTGTTGATTGAAAATTTTTAGAATAGATTTTGATTCTTGAAAGATGGTTTTTAGAAAATTTGTGAGAATTGACTTTAAAAAAAATTATAGATACTTGCAGGGTGTGAATATTTGGATGGTTTTAAGAAGAAAAGTTTATATCAATTTATGTTCTAAACCTCTTAGTTTTCGAGCTACAGGGTGTTAATTAAAAAAAATACTTTTCTATCATATTTTTTATTACTCCAGATATTTTTATGAAATTTTGTGCACACTTTTTAATTTTAAACAAAATTAAATTTTCAAAAATAACAAAAATTAATTTTCTACTATTACCAGTGACGTCCACGCTCGAAATTTCATAAAAATATCTGGAGTAATAAGAAAATTATGATAGACAAGTTTTTTTCTAAAACTGTAACACCCTGTAGCTCGAAAACTATAAGAGATTTAGGACATATATTGATATGAACTTTTCTTCTTAAAATCATCCAAATATTCACATCCTGAAGTATCGGCACTCAATTAACAGTCTTATGTATTTTACACAAAAAATAATTCTAAATTTTACCAATAGGTACACACTTTAAAATTCTGAAAATTGAATTAACTGTTATCAAAAAAACTAAGTTAGTTCAAAAACGCTCAAAAATTCGTCTAAATTTGTATGAAAATTCTCATTTAAAACATTTTTTAAAAACTCTCGTCAAATCTGTCAAAAACTGTGTTCAAAAATGAATTAAAACATCCTCAAAAATTCAGCAAAATATATATTTGAAACTGTCTGAAAACCTCCAAAAAGCAATTGAAATTCTTCAATTATTCGCCCTAAAAAAATTGAAATATCCTCAAAAATTCACCAAATTGCTCAATTCTCATTTTTAGACGTTTTACAATCCAAAGTGCTCGAATCGATTAAAACTGTTTTCCCAAAAAAATACTTAAAAATCTCTTAAAAATTCACCAAAATGCCTATTCAAAACAATTTACAAAAACTATCTAAAACCCTCCAAAAATCAAGCAAAACTACTAAAATATTCACCCAAAAATTCACCAAACCCCCATGAAAAAACCTCCTTTAAAAACTCAAAATCTACAATTACTCATCACAATAATTCCTTACTTCGCCCACCACTACAAAAAAAAATTACCAATTATTTCGAACTACCCCCGATGCATGTTCATCTCTCTCTCTCTCGCACGCCCGCCGTTTCGATACGCCTATACAATCTCCCATCTCTTTTCGAGACAGGTCTGCGAGTGCCGACGGCGAATTTCACGATAAACGACGTCAGGATGTGCGTCGGCTCGAGGCGGGTGCTCGACGTCATGGACGTCAGCACGCAGAAGAACAGCGAAATGACGATGAAAGAGTGGCAAAAATACTACGAGGACCCCGACAAAGATAAACTATTGAATGTGATATCGCTGGAATTCTCCCACACCAAGTTAGAAAATTACGTACAAAGTCCTACGGTCGTCAGGTAAGAAACGGCCTTTAACTGTTCGGCCGCTGCAGCTCGGTTTAATACTCGCTACTTACGCGACTCACCCCGTATATTTTTTTATTGTTTTTTTTTTTTAGACAAATAGATTGGGTGGATTGCGTGTGGCCGAGGCACCTGAAAGAAAGCCAAGTGGAAGCCACCAACGTGCTGGAAGAAATGAAATACCCCAAAGTTCAAAAGTACTGCCTTATGTCCGTCAAAGGTTGCTATACGGATTTTCACGTCGATTTCGGCGGTACCTCGGTGTGGTACCACATATTAAAAGGTATACGAATCGTTTCAACACGATAACGCGTCGTAGTGGGACTTTAAGATGCGTTCGATGATACGCAAACTTTTAAAATTGACATTTCGTTTGACAGATGTTTAATAGAGATGGGAATGGTTTTTCCGGTATAGAGGTGCAGTAACTACTGTTACAAAATAACCGTTATTTTTTCACATATCGTTCTATCGATTACTCTACACGATATGAAAAGTTTTTTGTTTGTCATAGGCGGCAAGGTATTTTGGTTGATACCACCCACCGAACACAATCTGGATCTCTACGAGCGCTGGGTGTTGTCGGGCAAACAATCGGACATCTTCTTCGGCGACACGGTGGAGAAGTGCGCCCGCATAACGTTGCACGAGGGCAACACGTTCTTCATACCGACCGGTTGGATACACGCCGTCTACACGCCCAAGGATTCGCTGGTGTTCGGCGGGAATTTCCTGCATTCGTACGGCATCGACAAGCAATTGAAGATCGCCCAAGTCGAGGATTCCACAAAGGTAAATGGAGATCTCCCCAAAAGAACCCACATAAGTGCCTCTACTAGAGTGTTCTAACGACCTAGGATAATAGCTCTAGAATAGAGTGTCCTGTATCTCTCATGTTAAGGTGTAATAATTTGTGTTTGATTTTGTGGTAGGTTCCGCAGAAGTTTCGCTATCCGTTCTTCACCGAAATGCTGTGGTACGTTTTGGAGAGGTACGTGCATTGTTTGTTGGGGAATTCCCATCTGACGACGGGACAGGATGCTCCGATACCGCCCGATAGGGCTCACATACACCTTACCCAGACTGAATTGCACGGATTGAAGGTACCCCTCGTTAATAATTGACTATAACGTTAGTTGTAACGTAATTTTTTGTTTGTTAGGAGATAGTTTTGTATTTGCACATGTTACCCCCGAACAAGAAGAACGTACCGGAGCTGTTGAAGGACCCCATATCTCTGATACAGGACGTTAGAACGTTGATCGGACTGCATAGGCAGGATAGTAGGGAAATGGCGATAACGGGTCGACCGGTATTGACAGGTTTGTAGTTGATTGGTTTTTGTACGAATTTGTAGTAATTCTAACAATTTAGTACCGGAAGATTTGGATAATAAATTGAAAATACCGGGCCCCAGAGGACCCTACCACAAATTCAACAACAACCTACCCAAACCGATCAAACCGGGCGTCTTCAAAGGACCGAAGGGCGAAAAGGGCGGCCCGAGACGTCGAAGGACCAGGTAAATCCTCCCGCGACAATCTAAATATGTACCTAAATTTAATTCCCGTCTCGAACACGCGTAATCCAGGTGCAAGAAGTGCGAGGCGTGCCAGCGCAACGACTGCGGCGAGTGCAGCTTCTGCTTGGACATGGTGAAGTTCGGCGGGCCCGGCAGGGCCAAGCAGACCTGCAACATGCGCCAATGCCTGCAACCCATGTTGCCGGTCACCGCGGCCTGCGCCCACTGCGGCCTCGACGGTTGGATGCAGACGCCGGTCACGCCGTTGCAGAAGGGCCCGCAGCGCTGCGAGAGCGCCAGCAATCTCATGGAATGCTCGGTGAGTCCCTTAACAATCGATTTCTCAAACGCACGAAGATTATTTACATTTACAACGGGTCGTTGGTTGTAGGTGTGTTACGAGATAGCGCACCCGCAGTGCGTGCAAAGGCTGTGCCAGGACTTCACGGGCTACATGAACGAGGACATGCCGAATTCGTGGGAGTGCCCGATGTGCTGCAAGCTCGGCAAGAACACCGACTACCGGCCGAGGCATTTTCGCGCCCGCCAGAAATCCTCGGACATCCGGCGGATGTCGATCAGTTCGGACGCTTCGAGCGCCTTGGACCACAAGACGCACCACGAGCAAATGAGCGATTCGGGCGGCAGCGACGCCGAAACGAAGGACGCGAAGGACCCGTTGCCGATCAAGAAGCGCCGGACGAGCGAGGGCGCCGACGCGGAGACGAAGTCGCCTCAGGGCGATCCGCCGCGCAAGACGGCGTTCCGGATGCAACTGGCCCAGCAGATCGTCGCCAATTCGACCAAGGCGCTGAAGAAGCCGATGGTGGTGGTGCGACCGGCGCCCGTCGCCGCCGCCAACAACGCTTCGGCCGCTTCGGGCAACAATTTGGCGCTCGACAAGCGCTGCATGCTGTCGATATTCCGGCACATGTCGCCCAAAGAGCTGCTGACGTGCGCGCTGGTGTGCAAAACGTGGGCGACGTTCACGGTGGATCCGTCGCTGTGGAAGCGCATGGTGTTCACCAGGAAGCACATCTCGTCGGACATATTGAAAGGCATCGTGCGCAGGCAACCGGTATCGTTGGGTTTGGACTGGTGCCACATCAACAAGTTCCAACTGCCGTGGCTCTTCCAGCGTTTGAGCCAATTGAAGCACCTATCGTTGGTGAGCGTCAACGTGAAGACGGCGATTTCGCTGAAATCCAACCATTCGGCGGTGTTGCAATCGCTCGATTTGAGCTTCGTATCGGACATGAGCGATTCGGCGTTGCGCGACATCCTGGGGCCGAATAACGACGCTCGTACCGGCCTACCGTCGGCCAAAATACGCTTCAGGAATCTGGAGGAACTGAAGCTGGCGGGCACCGACGTGACGGACATCGCGATGCGCTACGTGACGCAGTACCTGCCGAATTTGCGGCGATTGGGGCTCGGCATGTGCCCGAGGATATCGGACGCGGGTATCGCGCAATTGTCGACGAAGCCGGCCAATACGGTGACGAATCTGGTGAGCCTCGACCTGAGCCATTCGAAATTGGTGACGGAGAACAGTCTGGAGCATTTGGCGAAGTGCGAGAATCTGGTGCGATTGGATTGTAGACATTCGTTGCAGATTTCGACGCAGGCGTTGATCAAGTTCGCCGCGAAGAGCGAACGGAATTTGCAGGTTAGGGATATCAAGTTGGTAGACGTGAGGCAGGGTAAATAGACGCGCGGCCCGCGTTTGGTAGTTTAATTCAATCGGATCGGATCGAATAGGATAATTTATAGGTGTGTATGGTGTTTCCAAAGTTACTTAAATGTGAATTGACTTTGAAACGACTATACTCGAAATCGACCGTGCACGAAAGTGTTGACGTAACGTTTTGGTAATTATGCAGAATTGTTTCATTTAGCTCGATTTTTTCCATTGGAAAATTTCGCATATTTACCCGTCGTTTTATTATTTGTTGCTTCGTCGGTTGGATCATTTTCGGTGCGTTAGAAAAATTCTTTTCTTCACCTCTTTATAAGTTTTTGGGCGTTTTTGTACATACTATGCGAAAATGACGATGAAAAATCTCACCCGTCCAAAACGAATAAAATTATCGAATAAAAACGAAACGAATGAATATTGTGTTCGAGGAAAAGGATGTTTTTAATGCGTTTCCTTACCAAATTTTTTTTATTCGCTTTCAAAGATACATGTCGTTGATTTTCCGTCTACCAAAGTGTAAATATGATTTATGAATGTGATTCGCATACGTAACGTTTTACTAATGTACATATATTATTTTTTCGAAACTTACTATTAGGTTTGAAAGTTTGATTTCTTTCATTTTTCGTGCAATTTTCAAGGTGGAGCACTTTTTTTATTAAGTATTACTAGAGCATAGATAAATATATTTTCGGTTTATTTGTATAAATTTATAGTAATAAATTTTGTAAGAAATGTCATTGGAATTTAATTATTTAAAGAACAATTACAAATTTTTAAAAGAAAGCAAAAAGAGATAACTAGTTATGCAACACTTTTTACAAGTTGTTATACTGGTTGCCTATACTTTTGCATTGTGAACGGAGCTTTAATGGAAAATCCCCAAACATGACTAATAATCACGTGAAACTTGACATTGACGCTAATGACAGTCCGAACGTCTTGTCAATGTCACAAATATCAATTTTATTTGCAACAAATCGCAATATGTAAATGTAAACGTAAACTTATTCTCGAATCTACTATACCGTTCGCTGTTTTTCCCACAATCAGTGAAAATCGAGTGCGTATCGACCATTTTCTATTATGTAAAACATCGCCTGCTAACAATGAGCACCAAACGACGCGTGATTTCGACGATATTCTGCCTGATCGTGTTCGCGAATATTGCGTCGCTCCAAACCGCGAATAACTCCACGATCGAAGCCAACAAAACGAGCATCGTCGCCCCGCAGGATGGCAACGCAAAGGCGAGCCCCGTCCCGTCGAATTCCACCAACAGCAGCGCCGTCGCTTCGACGACGGCGGCGCCCGCGACCTCCGTCAGCTCCACCGAACCGACCGTCGCCAACAGAACCGAAGAATCGACGCTGGTGAGGCAGGCGAACGTCACCAGCGAGAACGCCACCACCACCCAAACGGCGGACCCCGTGGCCCCCGTTCTGCCGGCCAAAACCGAGGCCGAAGACGAGCACAACAGCTCCATGGCCATATTCTTCGTGCTGTGCGTCCTCGCCATAGGCATTCTGTTGATCCATCTGATGCTGCAGACGCACTTCCAGTACGTCCCGGAGAGCATCGTCATCGTGTTCCTCGGCGCGCTCATCGGCCTGACCATGAACGCCTTGTCGAGCCGGAACATCAGCAACTGGCGAAAGGAGGAGGCCTTCTCTCCCACGGCCTTCTTCCTCATACTGCTGCCTCCTATCATATTCGAATCCGGCTACAATTTGCACAAGGGAAACTTCTTCCAGAACATCGGTTCGATCCTCGTGTTCGCCATATTCGGCACCACCATATCGGCCTTTGTGATAGGCTTCGGGATATACTTCTTGGGATTGGCCGACGTGGTGTACAAGCTGGGATTCGTGGAGTCGTTCGCGTTCGGCTCTCTCATATCCGCCGTCGATCCGGTGGCCACCATCGCCATATTCCACGCCCTCAACGTCGACCCCATCCTCAACATGCTGGTGTTCGGCGAGAGCATACTGAACGACGCCATCGCCATAGTACTCACGAACGCCGCCTTGGAATCCAACAACCCGGATATGAGTACGGGAGAAGCCATCGTAATAGGAATCGAGCGATTCTGCTTGATGTTCTTCGCATCGGCTCTCCTCGGCGTCGTGTTCGCTTTGGTGAGCGCCTTGCTGTTGAAACACGTGGACCTGCGGAAGAATCCTTCGCTCGAATTCGGCATGATGCTGGTGTTTACGTACGCCCCGTACGTACTAGCCGAAGGCATCCACTTGTCCGGTATAATGGCGATTCTGTTCTGCGGCATCGTCATGTCCCACTACACCCACTTTAATCTCTCAACTGTAACTCAAATCACCATGCAACAGACGCTTCGCACTTTAGCTTTCATAGCGGAGACGTGCGTGTTCGCTTATCTGGGGCTCGCGCTGTTCAGCTTCAAGCACCGCGTCGAGCCGGCCCTGATCGTCTGGAGCATCGTGCTGTGCCTGCTCGGCCGCGCCTGCAACATCTTCCCGCTGGCGATTCTCGTGAACCGCTTCAGGGAGCACCAGATCACCAAGAAGATGATGTTCATCATGTGGTTCAGCGGGCTGCGCGGCGCCATCTCGTACGCGCTGTCGCTCCATTTGAACTTCAGCGACGAGACGAGGCACGTGATCATCACGACGACGCTGATCATCGTGCTGGTGACGACGCTGTTCTTCGGCGGCGCCACCATGCCGCTGCTGAAGCTGCTGCAGGCCACCAAGAACCCGGCGTCGCGGCGGCTCAAGAAGCGCAAGAAGGACAGGGAGGTGACGTTGAGCAAGACGCGCGAATGGGGCCAGGCGCTCGATTCGGAGCATCTGTCGGAGACCACCGAAGGCGAGGCCGAGGTGACGTTCGCCTCCGAACAGAACAAGGGATTCGCCAAGTACGATTTGAAGTATTTCAGACCGTTCTTTACCAGGAGGTTCACTCAACAGGTATGGTAGATGTTATTTGGGTCGCCTTGTACGACTGTACGAGGGTAGTGTGATAAGTTCTCGATCTGATGCCCTGAGGGCGCTCCAGTCGGCAACGATTTCTTGTTTCTTCTTTGGTACATTTATAATTAATTCTAGAATGGCCTAGAATCATTTAGAACGCTCCAGGACCATTTGAATTATCTGGAACCATTTAGAGCGCTCCTTAGTCATTTAGAGCTGTCTAGAATCATTTAGAATTGTCTAGAACAATTTAGAACGCTCCAGGACCATTTGAATTATCTGGAACCATTTAGAGCGCTCCTTAGTCATTTAGAGCTGTCTAGAATCATTTAGAATTGTCTAGAACAATTTAAAACGCTCCAGGACCATTTAGAATTATCTAGAACCATTTAGAAAGCTCCATAGTCATTTAGAGCTGTCTAGAATCATTTAGAATTGTGTAGAACAATTTAGAACGATCCAGAATCATTTAGAACTGTCTTGAACCATATAGAACGCTCCAGAATCATTTAGAACCGCCTAGAACTATTTTAACTGAAAATCGCGGTTTTTCGAGAACTTTCCATGTTACCCTTGTACATATAATTCGTTTTTGCACAAACAAAGCACCTTGATAACCTTGAATTCGGACAAAAGTCGTAAAATTTAATGAAAAAAAAAAATGGAATAATCTCGTTATCGGGCTGAATAATCATAAATATTTACAGTAAACTTTATTATGCACGGTGATAAAAATTCAGATTGTACAAGGTAAATAAGCGTGTTAATTTTTCCAACTTGGTTTCAGGAACTGAAGGATTGTAAATCCCAAATGACGGATCTTACCAATCAATGGTATCAGGCCATTCGTATATCTCCGGACCAATCGGACGAGGACAGTGCGAACACTGCTAGGTCTAGTATATCGAGCATCGTTCGCTAGATTTTTTTTTTTATTGTATATACGCCCCATATTGAAAACGCTTTCCACCACACAATACTAATAAAATAAGAGCAGTATTGAAAGGCAAAAATATGTCGCTAGTCAAAACTAACAATAAGATGATAGTACTTACTATTAAAAATAATCGCTGGATATATTGTATAATTTTGTTATTTTGTAAGTAGAGGTGCGCCGTTTTAAAGATTGTGGTTGTAAAATTGTTGACTAGTCTATCTAATGTAAGTTTTTTGCAAGTTTTTGGGTGATAATATGATGTACGTTCGAGGAGCAGTTACGAATTTATTATGATTTTTATTATTTTGCGTGATTTTATATCGACTCTTCTCGATTTGTGATTACAAACCAATCTTATTATAAATATTACTATACTTATCTTTTGTCGAAATAAAAAAATCTGTTAAAACCGCACGCATTTAATCATCACACGAATTTAAAAAGAAAAACATCGTGTAATGAATATTTTATTAAATCGAGTTGAATTAAAATGATACGTTGAAGCTTACAACAAAAACTATTATATTTGTTCATTATTCTAGCTGCTAAAACTATTATTGATCAAAAAAAAATTGGCAAATGCAATAAATAATCTACAATAAAATGTAAACTCCACCATCTACTTTAGTTTGGAATGCATTTAAAAATGCCGAAACGAAAATGCAACAATTAAATAATTACGTACAACCAAAATACATAAAGAAACCTAACCGAAGGAAGACATTCCAGTAATTCGAGTTTACATTTCAATCCTTTATAAATTCGTCATGGATGAGATACCTATTAGAAACCAGTCTAATGCAGAGCATTCCTATTAATCTGTTGTTGAGCATGACCTGGATTCACTTCGTTCGTATTCAGATCTTTTTGAGGAACACCCTATAACAAAAAATACATTCAAACATTGCTTCCAAACACTCGCTAAACCTTTCAACCATACCTGTTGCTGCTGCTGCTGCTGATTAACCTGCCCCTGTGGAGGAACCGGAGCCTGCTGATTACCTCCCTGAGGTATTCCTTGTTGCTGGTGCGCGCTTCCATCAGATCCTCCTTGCTGGTGTCCTCCTTGTGGAGCCTGTGGATTATTTCCTTGGTGATGTTGCTGTTGTTGGTAGCCTCCTGGAGGAACTTGCTGTTGTTGGTAGCCTCCTGGAGGTACTTGTTGTTGCTGGTAGCCTCCTGGAGGAACTTGCTGTTGTTGGTGGCCTACTGGAGGTACTTGTTGTTGTTGGTAGCCTCCTGGAGGTACTTGTTGTTGTTGGTAGCCTCCTGGAGGAACTTGCTGTTGTTGGTAGCCTCCTGGAGGTACTTGTTGTTGTTGTTGGTAGCCTCCTGGAGGAACTTGTGGATGTTGTTGGTATCCTCCCTGTTGTTGATAGCCTCCCGGAGGTACTTGTGGATGTTGTTGGTATCCACCTTGTTGATAATTGCTCGGCGGCGCGTGGGGATACCCGTCGGAGGGCGCCTGGTAGACGCCGGGCGGAATCTGCTGGAGTTCGTGTTGCCTTATGTACTCGGCGAGCTCCTCGTCGGAGAAGGCCTTTTGCTCGTCGAGCGCCTGCCAACCGTGGTCTTGTTTGAAATCGTTGGAGTTCGTCTGGCGTAGGAACTCGTCGAAATCGATGAAACCGTCGTTGTTCTTGTCCATTTCGTTGAACACGCTCTCGCGCATCCTCTCCATCTCCTCGTACTTCTCGCGCATGTCGTCCTCGGGCGAGGCCTCGTTGTACATTTTATTCAGCTCGGTGACGAACAGCGCCTTGACCTCGTCTTGGTCCCACAGGCCGTTGCCGTCGAGATCGTGCAGCATGAAGAAGGTCTTCGGATCGAAGTCCTGCTGCATTTGGTCCTGCTCCTCCCACACCTCTTCCAGCTGCGCCTTGTGGCCCGGTTCGTGCAGCTTCTCGTGCTTCTTGTGCTTCTCTTCCATCTCCTAAAAAAACCATTCCAATACCATTATACATAATTCAGATAATGCAATAGTTGTTTTTTTTACAGCTTTATCGATAAGAAAGGTATTTCAGTTATTATCAATTAGTCACCTTATATTGTTTTTCGAGTTTCTCCCTTTCCTCTCCATTGGTGTGGTTCAATTTTTCCCTTTTTTGATACTCCTTCTCCAATTCGTAATGCTTAAACTCCTCCTTTCGCTTGCGATCGGCCTCGGCTAGATCGGCCGTGGTCTTGGCGATCAGCTTCTTCAAATCGTCTATTTCGAACGTATGGGGGTTGGAGTGGTCGACGTGATGGTGCATGGGGTCCTCCAAATCGATGGCGTTCGTGTCTTCGAGCTTCCGCTTCTGTTCCACCAGCTTCTTGAGCCTGTCGAGTTCCAGCCGTTTGATCTCGTCCAAGCGGGTGCGGACGTGATGGGAGACGAATTCCAGGTGCTCGGCGATTTTGCCGCTACGTATGTCGTCCTCGCTGGCGTGCTCCAGTTTCGCCCGGAATTCTGGATCGGATTCCAGGGCGTTGACGACCTCCTTCAGGTACCTGCCGTACTCCATGTAGTCTTCGAGGTTGTTCACTTGCGAATCTTCCTCGTGGTTCTCCTTCTTCTGGGACACCGGAGGAGCCCCGCATAGTTGCACAATGCATATAAAGCATATGAAGTATTGTAGTTTCATCGCGCTGTCGGGTACGTTTGAGCACTTTGTATGTATCACAGCGAATGCTTGTAAATTTGATTAGAGATCCATTTAAATATTATAAATAGTGACTAGTGACGAATATTTTAGAAATTTCACTTTGTTTTCTTTGCAAAGAACACGTATGTCAACAAAAGTCAAATCAAATGTCATCTGTCACTTACAAATAATTCTACTTTTTTCTTGCAAAAAATTTAAAAAAAAAATTACTCTTAAAATAATTGAAATAGATTATAAGGGACAAACTTTTTTAATTTAGAAATTAAAAAGGGATTTATTATTGCTCTATAATAATGTTGAGCTGAAGTCGTACGCAGTGGTGGTGAGCGATGTGGCAGAAGAAAAAGAAGCGCATATGTCAAAATTGTCAAACTTCGCTTCAATCTTTCTGAATCTAGAAGCCGTACGTTGCACGTGTTTTTGGAAAACCGATACAACAAATAATTGGAAAATATGGATAAACCCGTAGTTCTGGCTCGCGTTATCAAAGTATTGGGAAGGACCGGATCCCAAGGGCAATGTACCCAAGTGAAAGTCGAGTTTCTGGGCGAGCAAAACCGACAAATCATCAGGAACGTTAAAGGGCCCGTCAGAGAAGGAGACATCTTGACCCTGTTGGAGTCCGAACGTGAAGCGAGAAGATTGAGATAATTCTTCAATTAGGTAGTTGATTTCGAGCATTTTTATTTATTAGTATGTGTATTGAAGTTTCAGGTTAATAATTCGTCTTTTTCTGTTTCAGGTTTCCGAAGAAAAATGATTCAATGTTTTTTTAATTTCCTGTAATATAATAATTATCCAGAGTCTCAGTTTGTTCACGTTTTTTTCTACCTTTTGAATTAATTTTTGTAGAAGAGTTGGAATGCATTTAGCAAGTAGAAATTGTAGGCAGGAACATGTTTAATCGTTTATTTAGTAATATTCATAATTACTTAATGAAACTCAATGGGTAAATACATCAAACGTACATATTATTAATCTTACAGGTTTTAAAAACTGAACGATATTACAACATATTTATTAATTTGGAAGGTTTATACAGTCGTAAACAATTCGATAACATTACAAAAGGCAACTACAAGAACGTATTTCTTTGGCATAAAAAATATCTATCACCTTAAGTGTTTGTACAAGAGTAAAATATACAAAAATATTTACATTTCAATAAATAAGGGAACACAGAACGTTTTGCCAGCTCGAACGTCTCGTTAACACAAAATACTCTTCACTAGAAATGGAATTCGTACGTTTCTTCTTAAAGCTAACTATCCGGGGGTAGTATAAATTAAAAAAATGTTATATATTCACTCGATAGATGAGAATACCTATCCGTTATCGGTATCACAATGCGTCGCCCACAGTAAACAATTACCGAATCCGCTGTAGCAAATTAGAAATACTGTTGCCAAGAATAGTAGACTGCATATCGTGCAGGGCTTTCTTTCTAGAAAAAACCCGATTAAATACAACACCATGAACATAACTTGCGTCTGGACTAGTGCGGGGTTGGAAGGCTTCGGCATTAATAACACAGGAATAAGCCACTGGAGACAGTACATAATTCATTTGCTGAAAATAATTACATACTGTTCAATTGTGCGATTTAAAATATTTCCGATTTCGTATAAAAATCTTTCTGGCAAAAATGTCAAGTTATTGCAAACGTCACTTTACTTGTCAATTGTCAATGCATATTTGTATTCTTCTTTTTCGAGACATGACAATCTTGACAGTAGTTACTGCGCATGTAATTACAAACAAAAATCGTTAATTTTTCGCCCAGATTGCAACAACAAAATAATTAAAAATGAACAACGCGATAAATATAGGCGTAGAAGACATGACGGCTACTATAGTGCGTTACGGTTTATACTTGGGTGCGATATTTCAAATAGTTTGCCTGGCTGCTTGTATCTTCATCTCGGAATCCCCCGAAGACGTGTCTTGGGGCTCGAGGGTACGTAGCGAAACTAATCCCCTTAAATACGTATTTATTCAGATGCTTTTTAGATTGATAGTGATGATGAGAGCTCCGAGCAAAGTACCCCACAAAACACGCCCCGAAGACCTTACCACAGGTCCAGGAAGCAGGAGAAGAAGAAGAGGCGTTGAATGGCCCAAAATGTAGTATTATTGGCGTTTTATTGTGATATTCCTTTTTTACTGATTTGATTTTATGTAAGTCCTGATTTCCTTGTAAGTATATTTCGTTTTTTATCGAACTCAATTTCTAACTAGTCTCTTAATTAAATTTATGCTCGAAACTAAAGTTCGTTTGTTAATTTAGTTTGTGATTTTTTTTATTGATCTATTTCGAATAATGAATAAAAAAACGGATCAAATGTAAACATTTTATTTAAATATATACAAGCTACTATAAGCAGAACATAACAGTTGTTAAATTTTTACAATATTTAGGCTTTTTTTGGTGTTTTATAATTTTTTTTACGAAAATAGTGCATATAATATTTCCAATATATTAATCTGACATCAAATGTCTTTTATATTAATTTATCCTTTGTAATAGTAAGTAGAAATGTAAACAGTAATACAGTAAAGAGGTATTAGCTACAATATTAACATTATTGCTCGATTCAGCTACCTAGTAAACGTGGCTTTAAAAAATACAAGCATATCAAAAATTTTCCCATAAAGCAAGTTTCTTGAAAATATTCACGAGGTAAAAAAAAATAATTGTACAAACTAAATATTGACCAATTAACAATTAATAAAAACTTTATTTCTTATGCATGTAATTGTCAACAATACTGTCCAGAAAACAGAATATTTTTCGGTACTTTTTACAACCAAAAATCCAGAAATATTACCTTCGTTTTAGCGCTTCGATCGTGCAACCTTTCAATCCTCTCCCCACCCGTTAAACCTATTAAGACTTGAGCGCGGCCAGGCGGCTTTGCATCTCCGAAATCTCCTCTTCGTTCTCCTCCTCCTCGGGCTCCTCCACCGGCACCGGGGACGCCTTCTCGGCGGGCTCTTGGGGCGGCAGCGGCGCCTCCCCGATTTTCCCTTCTGTTATCTCGAACAGCACCTTATCGATCTCCGATTGCGCCGCTTCCTCCATCTCCTCCGAGTCTAAAACACAATCAATTAGGCTAAAGCAGTTCGTTCGATGCTCGATGTAGATACCTTCGAGGTCCTCGAAGGTTTCGTCCAGCATTTCCTCGATGATGCCGGCTTTCATCATTTCTTTCGACATGTCTTGCATCGTCTGCGCCACCTCGGGTACGCGCACGAGCCTCTGCATCGTCTGCATGACTTCCGTGGATTTCTGAAGCGAGCCCGATACTCTGAGAGTGGCTGAAAGCACGATAGGTAAAAGGCTGGTTTACGACCATAAGTATTCGTAACAACCTAATTGGTTTTTCATTTGTAACATCACTGAGTTTAGGTGGGCTTTGGACGTGTAGATTTTCGTGATGGCTTTTCGAGCGTTTATAATTTCCCTGGCCAGTATTAGGCAGGCGTCCTTGTCGTTTTTCTTGGCGGCTTCCTTTAGGGATCGCTTGACTTTTTCCTCTTCTCGCTGTATGGCTGCAAATAGGGCGAGAAAATCGGGTGGAAAGGCCGTTTCGAGGGACTACTTACATCTTATTTGCCTGTCCAATTGGTAGCCTTCTTTGCGCAGTTTGTGGTTCCACTCGGTAACCTTCAAGTGTAAGTTTTCATTATTGAAGGGGCTTTAAAGAGGTACCAGTTGCTTACCAAGTCCTTCGGACTCCTCTCAGGCGTCTTCCCGAAAAGTCCCATGTTTCCCAAGTTTTTTTTTGCCTTTTTGCAAAAAACTAATTGTGTTTATTTTTGTATTATGAGTAAGGTTGACGTTTACAGCGATCTATCCAAAATCGCCCAGATTTGACAAGTTTGACAGCTGACTTTTATCGCTTGTCTCACTTGTCTATTTAAATTCAATGTAACAAAAAAAGATGGCACGTATTTCGAATATACGTAATTAGGCTGAATTATCATACAGTTGAAGACTCGATTCAAAAGAGAAGATTATTGACAGATGTAAATGACATAAATCGTTTTGTGCAGTTTGTGCTTTGAATTTTTACAACAGAATTCGATTGAAATTACGAAAAAAAAAGTGATAAAGTAATTTTTGATTAGTTTAGCGAATAAGTAATGCTTTAACATTATCGTGTATAGCTGCGAAAATGAAGACCAACTTCACCGTGGATGAGGAGGAATGCATACTTAATAAAATAATCGGTAAATAGTATTTTACAAATGAAATAAAACTACCAAAAAAAATCTCAAAATGTCGGTTATTTTAGAGCAGAAAAAGTATTACACGTTGCGAGACGATGAGAGCTTTTGGAGGAACTTAAGCAAAGACGGGAATTTCAGAAACAGACCGTGGACTAGTTTGAAAACCCATTTTTTGAGGCACATTTTCCCCAATATTCGCAAATACAACATTTCCGAATTAGAACGAAGAAAAATCCAGGTGGCTATGATACAAACCGATCCAAACGATCGCATTTCCGATGATAGTATCGAATTCGATTATTAATAACACGTCGTTTTATAACAATAGGTTAATTTTTAAAATGTAAATACAACCGCTAATAAAAACATCTATTTTATTTAAAAAAAACCATATAAAATGCGTAAAATAAATAAAATAAAAAAAAACACCTTTTGCAGCAAAAGCCCGCTCGTCAGTCATCTTTTCAATGGAAAAGTTTATCGGAAAAAAAAAACAAAAAAAAAAGTTTTACTCAAAAAAATATTTAATTTTTAGCCGGATTGGAGATGGTGCCCCAAAACAAGGCCGCCTGCGTTTCCTCGTGCCTGATGAAAAACGAGAAAGGCCTGTTCAACACCATAGACTTCCCGCCTCCCATGTAATCGGTGAATCCCCCCGTCACCGCCGCCGCCTCCGTCCCCTTCTCGTTGATCGAGAACACCATCTGCTGGAAGATATCGCTCACTCTGAGCGGCACATTGACCGCCGCATTCGTCAAGAACACATCGTCGTTCCGATGGGGCCGGAAATTCTTGTAATCCCTCACCCTCTGCGTGATTTCATCGAGCGAATTCACATTCGCGCTCCCCGTTTTCCTCATCTTGTTGTAGTACTTATCGAAGCTGGCGTACTTCTGCAGCGGCCTCAGTATATCCAGGGTGTTGCTCAACGCCACCTTGGGTATCTTGACGGTGACGTCGTGCGGCCTCATGTCCGAGAAGGCCTTGAGTATCTCCTGGGCGCTCGTCTGCTCGGTGAACTTCTTGATGTTGTACTTGTGCTCGTGATCGATGTTGGGCAGCAGGATGTACATGCCCACCTCGCGCTTCTTGTACGGCAGGCACACCATGCGGAAGTTCTTCGTCTGCACGAACGGTATGTCGATGATGTTGCCCATCATGAACGTGCTGCGCGCCGTCTTGTTGGCGTTCACGTGGAAGTCGTCGACGTTGTTGAGGAGATCGGCGAAGGGCGTCTCCCATTCGGCCAGGAAGTAGATCGAGTTGAGGAAGAGGGCCGCCGTGCTGGGCGGCAGCCGACCCGACAGGAACGATTTGATCAGCCCGTTGGTGTGGGTCGAGGCCCAGTCGTTGATTATCCTGGAATACACCAAAGCAGCGTGTTATTGAAGGCGTGCCTTTCTAGAGAATTTATGAACCAAGACCAGTATGTGTGTGTGTGTGTTTGTGGACCAAAAGTGTAATATATTAGGTCTTGGTAACAGGCCATTTGTTAGTGGTTCACCATTGATCTACAACGCTGATCTTCAACGCTCCTCCTTAACGCTAATCAATCGTTTAAAGAGGCTATATAACTTGAAAGGTTTGCATTGTTGTTATGAAATTGCCTTTATAAAGGCATATACCGAGCGGCATCAACCTTGAAACCCTGCATTCAATCCTTACTTTGAGAGTCTCTTTCTAATGATTGCAGCGCGAGATTGGCCTCTCGGTAAATGACCTTATAATGGCGAGAAAACTACCAAAAATCCTCTATGATCTCCGGTGGTTATATGGGGCCAAAAAGAGCAGTATCCCCAAGCAAAAGGTCAGTTAATTGGGGACTTCCAAGCCACTCACCTAGACGTATCGGTGCGGAAATCCAACGGCGTGATTTCGGTGTGGTATAAATTGTTCAGCGAGTGCTCGAACACCTCGTTGAGCCGGATGCGCTGCTCGTGGAACAAGGCGTTGTCCAATGTGAGCACGAACTCCTCGCCGGGCTTCCGGTGCCTCAGCTCCTTGATCAGCGCTGCCAGTTGCATGTGGAACATGGCGTACGGCAGTACCTGCGTGTCGTTTTGTCCTTTGTATTGGTTGTAGTAGGTCACTCGGAACGAGGTCGTCATCTTGGGCAACGACAGCAACTGGTACAGTTGCTCTCTGAATTCACCTAAAACGATGCGTACAGATCAGAGCAGTTCCAGTACTTCTAGGGAGCTCTGACAGAGTGTCCTTTTAGAAGTCTCTTCTAGACGATTTGGTTGTCTTACCGTTGGCGCCGAGGAGCATTTGCCCGATGATGGCGGTGGTGCTGAGAGGGGAGACGACGAAGTTGTCCTCGGTGGAGGTGTCCATGATGCCTTGGAGCCTGAGCCCCATGGAGAAGATCGCCTCCAAGGCTAGGCCGTACTTGTCGTAGGCGCTTTTGGTTACGACTTGGAGGAAATCGTCGCTGTCGGAGGGCGGGGGCTGGAAGCATCGGATGTCGGTCCAGGAGCTCGTTGCTAGGAGTAGCAGCAGAAGGACCTTCATTGTTTCTTTGGTGGTGCTGTAATTGATGGGGGTTTTAGTGAGTTAATGTGGGGGTTCGATAGTTTTGGACAAGGAGGAATTGTAGTGAAACAGATGGAGAAAGAAGCTTATTCTAGATTTGGGAATGACTATCTTAAGACTCTATGTTTTGAAAATGTATCTAAGGCTGGATCGAACTGGCCCGTTTCGACCCATTGAAAATTTTTTAAAATATCCCCCTTAGCACCTTGAAATGTTATTTGTTTATAAATTTTCCAAACGCGGTTCAACGAAAGGTTATACAAACTTCACAAATGCTACATTTTTATCGACAGTTTACGACAGAAAAAGAAATAATAAAGGGGGGCCTCTTTCACAACATAAATCGCTTATTTGTATACTTACATTTGACGCACACAATTACACAAATAGAATCACAATTACGACTAATTATCGACTAATTAACAGCCAATCGACAAATCGTTTTGTCTCGTCTAAGAGGTATATCGGAAAATCGTCGTCTCGAAATTCACAATGAGCGAAATAAACGCATATTTAACATTTAACGTGGACGAAACAAACCGGTTTGTTTTCGAAAAATAATAGACTCGACGCGCTAATCGGGCGATTAATGGACGATTTTGGAGGTCGACTTGCTCGGACGAGAGCTGCTGCGGGTCTGTGCGGTTGAATTGAATAAATAATCGAGATCAACGAGTTTGTATGTAAAAATGTGGACGTTTAAGTAGATTGAACATCGAAATGCACAGGAGCGGACCGGCCCGTTCGGTGCTCTATCAGCTCCATCTCGAAGCGAAAAGTTATGAGATAGATTCCAGATCAAATCACCCTGTATATTTCATTTGGTACATTTTCTGCAATTTTCGAAATATTTCGCAATTCCGTGTTGTTATTTCTAATTTTTATCCCAAAATTTAACTAATTGTAATCTTAAATCTCCACAAATATTATAATGCTTCGTAGAGAATACTTCTACAATCTTTAAAGTACCCAAATTGTACATATTCGTGTTAAAATCAATGGATATCTTTTACATCTTTCTAATAATACAGCCACAATAGAAATCCATCAGCGACCTCGGGCAGGGCAAATCACCCGAGTCCGGTACTGCGAAATATAAAACCATCAGGGAATTCCGTTTTCCTGCTTCGTAATTATTCGTGCTGGTGTTATTGCGTTTTCGTAAATTTTTATTTTTATACAAATCGGAATGACTAAAAATCGTTTGCCATTGAAAAAAACCTATTTAAATGGGAGAAACAGGCAGTCACACGTAATTTGTTTATTTAAATAGAAATGTGTTGTTCGGTGAAATACTTTCGTTAGATTATGTTTATTATTAGATTATTAAAAGTACCTATAGTGTATGCGGATGATAAAAAATTATGAAACAGTTTTGTAATAGTACTGTAAATTGTATAATTTTAAATAATGCGCATAAATAATGTAACGCGAATATTCATAATTTTTATTCAATGCACAGATTTTTCGAAAAAATTTAAATTAATTTTTTTCGGTACGAAATTTCCAATCGTATTCTCAGAAACACTAAAGTTTGATAAAGAGATGAATAACTTCGATGGACTTTAGTTTTAAACAAAACCATTGTGGTTGGTGCTGAAAATAAACTGAATAAATAGAATTCCTTTATCGCTGGTTTTTTATTTTTTATCTCCTAGATTTCGGTGAAAATTATCTCTCTTCAGACACTCTATTTATCTGTATTATGCATATACTGAATAATCCTGGCAACTTATTGCGATAAATGATGACATATACAAATTATACTCTTTATTATACAGTTACAATTATTATTTATTAACAATCCATAAACTTACACATACACGCACATACGCGCGATTTATGTACAGAACGCTGTAATAAAATAAATTATCGAGTCGAATGATACTTATTTGGCCTAGATGAGAAATGATTTAACGAATCCTCCGACGCGGATTCTCTCCGAACGAGAATAATTTTACCCCGCACTCGTCACCGATAAAATCATACAGAATCCCAATAAATAAACTTACGCCAGCACTCGCTTCAATCGAGACTGGGATTATAACCGATACCGAAGGGCTTCAGATGGTAGATCAGATACTCCATTTCGTACATCATATGGGGACCGATGTAGTGGAAAGAAATCGCGGTGTCCGAGCAACATTCCATCCCCTAGAAAAACAACCCCACAAAGTAACAGACATTTCAAATATGTGGTGTCATCCAGACCACCAAGATTATCTGATTCGACACTTCTTTCCGTGACGATTACATCTTTGGCACACCCCGTATATACGATATTATAGAACGTACTTGTTTTTCCTCGTAAAACACGTAGCTCCAGTACCAAAAGGAGCGATCCGTGTGGCCCGGAATGAGGTGGTGCGCCGGGTCGAACGGGAAGAACCGGCCCCGGTGCTCGGCGTCCCTCGAATCGCCCGCCTTCACCTTCACCGCCTGCATGCACTTGCCCAACTCCACGTCCTCGGCGCCGCCCGGGTCTTTCCTGCACATCTTCTTGTTGGGAATGGCCTCCTGAAACAATTCGCTTGAAGATACTCAAAAAAAAAACCTTCAAAATTGGACGATAATCCAGTTGTCCTCATCTACTGAGTCTACCAGACGTAGCAGGATCCTCCTTCAATCGATACAGCCCAAAACGAGCCCTCCAGAGGACCCCGCCAGTGCTCCATTGAACTATAGTCCTCTTGGTACATTGACAAGTCCTCTAGAGTCTGCCCCCTTAAAGTATAATCCTCTTGATATAGTGACAAGTTATTTTGAGTCTTCTAGAGTGTGCACAGTCCAAGACAAGTCCTCCAGAGGGTACCCCCTTGAACTGTAATCCTCTATAATCCCATAAAGTGCGACCCCTTAGACTATAATCCTCTTCATACATTAACAAGTTCTCTAGAGTGTGCCCACTTATACTATAATCCTCTTGATATATTGACAAGTCCTTTTGAGTCTTCTAGAGTGCGCACAGTCCAAGACAAGTCCTTCAGAGTGTACCATACTAAACTGTAGTCCCATAAAGTGCTACCCCTTAGACTACAATCCTCTTGATACACTGACAAGTTCTCTAGAGTCCTCCGTTGGTGAGCCCCCCTTAAACCGACACCTTACCTCAACGAACCTCCTGAGGGCCTCTTTGCTCAGCACGTATCCGGCGCCGCCGCTCATGTACCCTTGCTTCACGTAGGGCTTGAACTTGCACCCGTAGTAGACCGGCTGTTGGGGATCGGCGTTGCGCAGCATGTAGCGCAGATTCTCCACCACGACGTACCTGCAACACGACGGGGTCACTCACTCGATTCACGAGAGGCGAGTGTACAGAGAGTGCTCACGTGTCATCGTCGGCCTTCATGAACCAATCGGCGTCGTCGAAGTGCTTGCGATAGACGTACTCGAAGGCCGATTTCGTCTTGGCCCAGAGGTTGTTCCTTCCCTCGCTGACGTTCAGCGCCACCGCCGGTAGGGTTTTGTCTGTAAGAGAGACAATCGGCTATTATCCGGGAGGGGCGGGAAGAGTCGCTCTTACCTTCCTGGGAGCTCATGAAGAGGAGAACGTTGCAGCGTTTGCCCCATGTGGCTTTGATGTGCTTGGCCTTCGCGTCGTGGTTCTTCGGGGCGGTCATCACCCAGCAGAGGACTTTGACTTTGTTGTAGAGGGCGTCGGCTATGCGGGAATCCGTCATTCTGTGGTGCGTGTCGTTTTCGCTGGAAGAGCAGAATAGGAGTAGAGCGGAGTAGATATACAGAGTATATAGCGATCTAAATTCAGAGTGGAGTTGGATTCAGAATGGAGGAGATTCGTGATTCGTGGCAGAATGGGTGGAGTAGATTAAGTTCATCAGAGTGGAGTAGATTAAGAGTAGATTCAGAATGGTGTAGATTCCGATTGGAGTAGATTCCGATTGGAGTAGATTCCTATTGGAATAAATTCAGAGCGGAATAGATTCAGAGTAGAGTAGAGTTAATTCAGAGCAGAGTAAGTTCAGAGTAAAGTAGAGTGGTGCAAAGTAGAGTTAATTCAGAGTAAACTAGAGTATACTCGGAGTAGAATAGATTCAGAATAAAGTAGATTTGATTCAGGTTATAATAGAGTAGATTCAAAATAAAGTAGAGTTGATTCAGAGTGGAGTAGATTCACAGTAACGTAGAACGTATAGTAGAGTTGATTGTATGTAAATAAAAATGTAGATGAGAATCTCTTAGAATGTTATTTACATTCTTGTAAATAAAAAATCCGGTGCCCAATAGAAAGGGTTTCTTTTGTAAAAGGACTTCTCTCATTCTCCTCGTCCAGTTTACTTACAGGATTAAAATCTACAATCTCTTTGGCGCCCAATTTACCTACAGTATAACAATCTATAATCCTTTTGGCGCCCAAATTACCTACATAATAAAAATGCGCATTCCCTTTTGACGACCAATTTACTCAAGAACACTCACAACACATTTACCGGAACAAACCTCAACCTACTTGTGCTCTCCCACGTCTTGGTCGGGGCCGCGCAAGTTCTCCATGTCCTCCTCCCTGTGGAACTCGTCGTGTTCGTGCTCGTGCCCGCTCGAATCGATTCGGGGCGGCCGGGAGTCCTTCGTGCGGCGCACCGGGGCCCCCTTGTCGCCCCGATAGACGGTGCTCGGCGCCAGGAAAACGAACGCTATAGTGAAACCCACCACGATGCCCGTCAACAGGCAAAAGGTCTTGTGGTTCTGGAAAACACAAACCCCAGATTAGAGCCCCAAACTTTCGGTTTTTCGTGGTAATACCATGGTAATAATAATAATAAATGGAGGTGGGAATACATTGTTCGACTGAAATGAGCGCATGGAAAGGAACTAGGAAAAGATCGGTTATCGTATTTAGATAAAGAATGTAAATAATTCGGGTTGAAAATATTAAATGTGTACACATTTATAATCCATTTATTGCCAAGGATACTACGTATCAAAGAAACGATTATTATAAGATGTATAAAGAGACACTCTCTATACAAAATGTGTCAAATGATATCCTGTACATACACAAAAATGTGACAAGTGCATCACTGTACAGTGCATTTCTTTAATGTGCCCCCCCTTTTATTTTTTGAACGGATCAACTAAGAAAATTGAAACTTGGGATAATGAAACTAATGCATGATTACTATATCTTGGAGTAAAATTGACAGATAAAAATTTCAATATGGCGACTGGGCGCCATCTTGAGAAATTAATTTAAATGGAAAGGGGGGTCTTGTGATACATCATTTTGAAGCTCCTGACAAATACTGTACAACCCTGGAATATCTGCACCTGCTACAAAATGGAGGAACGTTAAATAATTATGATATGTTATTCTACAAACCGTGTATACGTGTATAAAAAATGGTGTCAAATGACATCCTGTATGTACAGAATAATGTATCAAATGTCATACTGTATACAGAATGTGTCAGATAATGACACCCTGTATGGTCACCTTTATGAATTTGTATCTTACCTGTTGTTTTTGCATGCTCTATTATCGAGAAACAATCCTGAAAACGAAAATGTCGAGTTTTAAATAATTTTACTGAAACGTTGGATTTTTTAAGGCTTAAAAAATGCACTTATTTGGTAAATAATATATTCAAATTCATACGAATGTTAACAACAAATCAACGGGCAGTTTACAAAACAATATCACGGAGGAATGTGTATGGCCTTCTTTACATGCTTTGCGAATAAACTTGTAGTATGCTATAAAGTTATTTTTAATTAATTTTGTAGACACTTTAATAAAAAACGCGAAGATTAAAATAGTAAATTTTAATTAACAGGTGCAATAAACGTGTTCCCTTTAAAATAAAAATAATAAAGCGTGCCATACACGTTTTTAGTCTCCTATACTTTTAATTAATTATTGACTTATTACCTGAGGATTTTTAGCAGGATTTCTTCACTTGTCGCGCGTGGAAAAACGTTTAAATGTTTATTGTTTTTGTACCGGAGCCGAAGTGATTTGCATAAATATTAGTTGAATATTCAACACATTGAAATTTTCGAAAAAAATTTTCGAGTATTATTTTGTTGCATATTTACACTAAATACTTTCGAAACCGATAATGTAATGGCAGGCGTATTCAAAAACTCGCAGTTATTCGATATTTTCTCCGAGCCGTTCGAATTTCCCGAATTTCTCCAAGCATATTATGCTAAATTATTTTTTAAATTCCCTCAAAGCCAATTATTGTGATAAGTTGAAATTGGTCTTTTTGACATACTGAATGTCAAACTTGTTACAAGAGATTTCTTCGCCACGCGAGTCGTGGCATTCTTGATTTACTATTAACATTCGTATGCTTCAATTATCTAATTTCTAAATTTACCAATTATTAGATTATCGAAAAGATATTATTTTCGATTTAATTAGGGCAGATTTGCGGATTAGAGGAAAGAAACTTGTGAGAAATTGAAATTGGTATTTTTGACATATTGAATGTCAAACTTGTCACAAAAGATTTCTTCGCCACTCGAGTCGTGGAATTTTGGATTTACAATAGAAATTTCGTGTATTTCTCAATAATTATCTCAAAAATTAACTTTACTTTAAAAAACACCTACATGATTATCGATTAGATGTCTAACATGATTTTGGATTTAATTAGCGCAGATTTGCGAATTAGAGCAAATAAAAAATCGAACTTACTTCTGTCAGAATGGCATTATTTTTCTTCCTGATAAATCCTGCAATTGAATGCAATTTAACAATTTATTCGACGGAATTGAATTAAAATTTTAGTATGAAAATCATCTCGTTCGTCGTGCGGCTCTCTCAAATTTTCGCCCGCGCTGTAACCGGCCGATAACGACACTGAAAAAATACCAAGCGATTTCCTTTTTAGCTTAGATATTGTTCGGTTATCGCTAAAAACTAATAAGTTTAATAACGATTGTGGCGTTATGGATGTTTTGTTGACTGTTTGCGTTGAACACTGTAAACGATAACGTTATGGAAATTTGTATTTAACTTAACTCTCATTAACAAAAATGGCATTGCATAGTTTTAATTGGCATTTTGTAAGTAGGCTGTTGTTGAATGTCAATGAAATGTCATTTATAAATTTTCAATAAAAAGTCAAATATATGGAGCACGGTCGTAAATAACAGGTCAGAAAACTCATGTGGAGGGGATGTTGCGAATGTTGTGACTCTCTACAGAAGGCGTTAGTATCAGAACAACAATTTTCCTGCAGTGTTCCCATAGAAAAACAATATGATTCCAAGCGGATTCCCCGTGAACCGTCGACCCGAAGTCACAATAAGCGCATATAAAACGCATATTATACAACACTCCGACTACCACAAAATACCACCTACGAGTTTCCAGACCTGTATGTAAGACCGTAATTTTCGTTTTTTTAATTATCGTAGGCCTTAAATAGCTGTCGTTGAAATAGGGTGAATGGAATTTAACAAAATAATTAAATTTACAGATTAAAAAACTTTCACTACATTGAATTTTCTTAATGTATTTCTGTAATCCTTCCTCAATAAATACCGTGTTACAACGTTACGAAAAGAGCGCGAAATTAAGAAAAAAATCGCAAAAAATAGAGCATATTACTTGCTCATTAGCTTCGAATGGAGAACGAGGGGGGGCCGGCCGAGACAATCGCATTCATGCTAATTTTCCTCGTTCAATTGCTGTTGGTGCTCGATCGTCGCGAGTGGGATAAATACGAGAGAATAGAGTATGTTGCAGAGATGTGCCTACAGCCTCGGCCATGGAGTCGCAAAAACAGGTATACAAATTGCCAATTGCTCGAAATAGGCGGTCGAAAATAACTCTCGAAAAATCGAGTAGGCGTTGAGATTTTCGAAATTTTATCAATGAACTTGTTGGGATATTTTAGGGGTCATTTTTTGAAAGGATCAAAGGCTTGGTAGTTAGTCTGTAGTAGAGCATAGTAAATATAGCCCTTAGTGCCTTAAAGTAATTAGTAAAAGAAAATACCAAAAAACTCATTCGATTAGTGAAAATTGATGTTTTGGGGTGATTTACATAAAATTATTAAAACAAACAAAATAAATCAATAATTTATTGTAGCTTCTAAAATGTTTGTACAAATCTTATATTTTATATATTTTTTAACATCTATTTCGGTTAATATCCCAATAATTCCCGCATCAACGAAACACTTTTATTAACTATTAGCCGTGTAAACAATATCGTTACAGCAATAATTTAAGCTAGATTAAAATTTATTGTATATAATTCGAGCCCATTGTGTGGAGCATTAACGGAGTACGTTGATTGTGGACGGTTTAAATTTAGGCATAATTGAAAGCGATGATGTGTCGAATTTTTATCTACAGGGCGTTCGAAAAATACGACAAATAGAAAATATTTTTTTGCGTTTTGCAGGATCACGAGCGGCCTTTTCGCTCATGTCCAATGAACCCAAAGAACCCAAGATATCCTCGTCCGAAATACCCGGACCCAAATCGAAGAAACTTCTAGCCGAACTAGATGCCGTTACAGTAAGAGACCAATACAAAACATACGAGATAATTCTCTAAATTTTCCGCATTTCTAGCAAAGCTCGGCCGTTCAATTCTTCGCCGATTACGACAAATCCATAGGCAACTACATCGCAGATGTTGATGGGAATTATTTCCTGGACATATTCATGCAAATCTCCTCCATGCCCATCGGCTACAACCATCCCTCCATGCTCAATGTTTTCAAAGACGAGAGAAATCTAGTAAGTCCCCGAAACCTCCAAAGAATCCCCAATTCCCCGAAAGCTCCTCTCTGGAAATCTCACGACGGAGAACTGGAGTAACAAAGAAATGTTCGAAGCGTAACATCTACACCATATAGGTTTTTCTGGGGATTCCATGGGGAACTGGAGCAACAAAGAAATGCCAAGGGCGCCAGATCTACACCATATACTATGGGTTTTTCTGGGAATCTCACGGGGAACTGGGAGCACCATATGGGTTTTCCTAACAGGCTTAAAATATTGGCCTTTCCCATTGAAACACCATGTATTTATGGAAATCTAAAGATGAGCTAATTAAAGACGAGATAATTTTCAGAACCTGAAATAGTAGAGGGAACTCTACTAGTACCTTAACTATTGACAGTAATGGCCCTTTACTGACCAACATAAAAGCATAAAAGTATCTACAACTACTGTTAAGAACTTTGTATCGAGCTTTTCTAATCAACGTGAATTTTCGTTAGAAAGCGTTGGTGAACCGTCCGGCATTGGGCTCCTTCCCGGGCGAGTACTGGCCGCAGAAGCTGCGCCAGGTGCTCATGTCGGTGTCGCCGGGCCTGCCCAACGTCATGACGATGATGTGCGGCTCGTGCTCGAACGAGAACGCCTACAAGTGCCTGTTCATGTCGTACCGGCGGCGGCAGCGCGGCGACGACGCCGCCTTCACCGCCGAAGAGATGGCCTCGTGCATGGTCAACCGGCCGCCGGGCGCGCCCGACTTGGCGCTGCTGTCGTTCCAAGGCGCCTTCCACGGGCGCACCATGGGCACGCTGTCCACCACGCACTCCAAGGCCATACACAAGCTCGACGTGCCGGCGTTCGATTGGCCGGCGGCGGCGTTTCCGAAGTACAAGTACCCCTTGGAGGAGAACTTTCGGGAGAACAAGGCCGAAGACGACAAGTGCCTCGCCCACGTCGAGGAATTAATGCAGGAGTTTAGCAAAAAAGGTGCGTATTTTCGATTTTTTTTTACAAATTCTACTAAGATTGGAGTGTCTAGGACGCCCTGTCGCCGGTATAATAGTCGAGCCTATTCAGTCCGAGGGCGGCGACAACGAGGCCTCTCCCTATTTCTTCCAGCAGCTACAGCGCGTAGCCAAAGCGCACGGGGCCGGTTTGTTGATGGACGAGGTGCAGACCGGCGGCGGCCCCACCGGTAAAATGTGGTGTCACGAGTACTTCGATTTGGAGTCGCCCCCCGATATCGTGACGTTCAGCAAGAGGATGCTCACCGGGGGATTCTATCACAATTTGGAGCAAAAGTAAGTCGCTTTATCGCTCTACGAATAACGGTTAATCGATCGATTTTGAAGGCCTCGTGAGGCGTATAGGATATACAACACGTGGCTGGGAGATCCGGGGAAATTGCTGCTGTTGGAGGCGTTCTTGGAGGTGCTGAAGCAACAGAATCTACTGGACCAAGTGAATTCGGTGGGGGCCAAATTGAAATCGGGTTTGCACGATTTCGAACGGGAGCGTCCGGAGCTGTTGAATTCGGTGCGAGGTAGAGGGACTTTCCTGGCCGTTAACGCTTCGACCGCGGAAATCAGGGACAAAATCATCGGGGGGCTGAAGAAAAAAGGTATTTAATTTCGTTGTTTGTTCGATGTATGCTTCAAATTTTGCGTATTTCCAGGTATATTAGCAGGAGGATGTGGCGAGCAAGCCATTAGGTTCAGGCCGTCTCTCACGCTCGAAGAACGACACGTGGAAATATTCTTGGATCGCTTCGGACAGGTTTTAAACGATCTAAAATAATCGAATCTAGATAAATTTTCGTTCCACAAGCTGCCTCGATCATCTATCGATATAATTCTGTCTGAAACCCAGTAATTAATAGATCCTTGAAATGTATCTAATCGAAATGTACACGGAGACAAGCAATGTTAATTATATAATATTATAAAACAAACTATACATATTTCCTTCTTGAAATAAATCGTAAATATATTTTTTCAAAGTAACACAAATATTAAATTAAACCTTATGCCTTAACATATTCACAGTTCCCACCATTTCGAACCACTTAGTCAATTTCGCAGGCATCTCATTTTGTTTAAAATGCTGCCTCACGGCCGAGTAAGCCGCTAGATCAGCCACGCTGACTGTTCCTCTGTGGGCTATCCAGTCCTTTCCCAACAGTTTCCCCAAAGCAGTAACGTAACCGGAGCGCTCCGTCTTCGTTTTAGTCCTCGTAAACAAGTAACACATATCCAGAATCGAATCTATCTCTACGCTATCCGGATCGGAGTCGTACGAGAGCAAAGAGGGCACCACTCGCCCCACATACCTCAAGAGATTCACTTCTCCTCTTAATGTATACCGGGTCACTACGAATTCCGCATCAACGCCAACTAGAAACGATCTTTGAGTTAGTAATCGAGGTTTTATAATAGTATCATTTGCTTACCGTTTTTCCATATTAGCCTGACGTGGAGGTCGGGTAGTTTATCTTCGTGTTGGTAGTTCGATAGAGTCTCTTCGAGTGCTCGAGCGTTCTCAGGGAGTTCCGATACAGAGGAGTGTACGTGACAAGTTACTCGTAAGTTGATCGTGTTGTGGATTAATTTTTGTACAATTTCTAAGGAGTATGGTGGGTACAGAGGATCGGCGTTTACCACTATATCGCTTATATCCCCGATTACCTGTAATCATACGATTTTAATAGATCAATCGATTAGTGAAATACGAAATAGATTTTTACCTGTTTGTTTGTAATAGGGGTATTTAAAGTGGGATTACTCGTTTTGGTGGGGTCTACTTTGAGGTCTACTTTGATCGACTCGATTTGCCCCCGGAGCTCCTGCAGCTGTTTCAGGATCTTCTCCTGCTTGGTTAGCAAATCCGCCATACCCTCGACGTGCTGATTATTCTACAATAAATTAATTAATAATTAATTCTACTGAGAAATTAGTAGCTTATAGGTTAAAAAAAGGGGACGCGAATGAGTAAACAGGAAAAGCATTAATAGCTTCTTCTTTGCTTTCGTTAGTTTAGTTATTTGACAGTTGTTCGCAAAAATTGATAAGTGCGGTATCATGCCCGGTGATTTCGGCGTATTTGAGGTGAGTACGGGCGTTTGGGGCGCTATTAAAGCGCCCGAGGAGCTTCCTCGATTCGTGCACTACGTAATAAATAATATGAAACCTTTAAAAACTGTTTAACCTGGTCGGAAATCGCCGGGGTTCTGTCGCACGTAGAAACGTGATCGGGCCGCTCCTGGGCCATTTCTTTGCCCGTGTCTTTGGAGTGGATATTTTTCAGCGGGTACATGCATTTCGGCAGGGGCACTGTTAAATCGTGCTCGATTATTCGCGACGTTCGATACATTTTCGTTTGACTAGCCATTTTAAGCTGTACGGGAAATTCGAAAACGATTCGGTAACATTGAAATATGTCTTTCGCAAAACTACTTGATTTCGGTGAATATTAATTCATTGGCGTTCGTCACCGGGGGGATCCGATGATATTTTTTAACTAAAAGTTTATTAAAATCTATTGTAAATGATACGATATTGAGGATAACGGTGATTTATAACTGTTTTTGGTAGATTTATTTGGTATTTAAGTTAGAAATATAATTATTTTTACTTAATAATGGTCAGTGACGAGTCGATAATGTGATGAAATTTTTACGTTGTCACATAGTTGCCACATCTATAAACTAAAAGTTCGTTACTTATTGATATTGTTGCGAAAAAAGTCGCTGTAACTGGGAAATTAATTAAAACGAAAATATTATTAATACAAAGATATATTATAATGGTGATATTAGAAATTTTTACTTCAATAGTTTTATACGCATTGGTTGAATTTATTTGATTTGACAACGTCGGTTAGACGCCATGTTGTGTCCAAATTTGTCGGTTTGCGATTGCGTCGATTTTGCGCAGCAGTTTCGTTCTTTCCTTCTCTTTCCGGCGTACCGGAAATGGTAGAAAATTTAAAAAAATAATGGTCTTGTGTAAATAATTTTATTCTAAAACACTTTAAAATGAAACTGGCACTAATTCTGAGCAGTATGAACGTAAAATGCGCCATAATTTCGCCTAAAAATGAATAATCCGTTCGATCGCTATGATAGCGACATCTTCAATTTACGCTTGAAGTTATATCCTGAAAGCTTGGATTGGACGTCAGGGCACACCGAGAAAATCAATTTTCTGTCCGAAGTTCCAGTGTTTGTGCTAAAAATAGACGTATTTTCGGTGTAAATTCCTGAGTGACAATACCGCGAGTGTAAAATAAACCGCTTTCCAAACGCGAAAATCCTACAATCGAAAATTATAATTGCAAGTTGTCATGGCGGCCGTTCGATCGACCAATGGGAACGCTTGATGCGTCGGTTGTTGAAGTGTTCTTTTTCGCTTCGTGAATACGCGTCATTCGGGTATTCGGCGATTTTTTTCGAAGGAATTGTGCTAGAGGCGAGCGTCGAACGGGAAAATGCGATGAAAACGCTCGAGGAAATGGATTCCGGCCATAAATCACCCGAAGCATCGACGCCAGACGCGTTTTCGGCCGTTCGTCACGTGACCTACCCGATTATTATGGCGAAATAATCGAGTCGCCTGCGAACTGCGAAATGATCCGTCAAACCAGCACGAACCGTTTCGAGTGTTAAACATTTTTGACATTCGCATTTTGTGTGTGTGTGTATACAAGGTTTGTTTTCCTAATATACCACGTGCAATTTAGCTACTGATTGACAGTTGACCAGCGCGATGTCAACAAGAGGCATGAAAAAGAGGGGGCGTCCCCCTAAGGTGCAAGTGGCCGAAAGAACCAAAAAGTTTCAATACCACCTGCTGAAGAAACCCAAATATCTGTTGAATTACAAACCGCCTGAATCGCAGTCGAGCACGCCTACGGCGTCGCGGGCCTCCTCGCCGCAGGAGAGCGAGTCCAGCAGGCGCAGCAGCAACCGCATAAGAGGCAAGGATGGCCACAGGGCGAGCAGGAAGTCGGGCTACGTCGGCTCGGCGTACCAACGCAGGGGCTACAACACCCACACGGAGTACCACGAGTCCGAGTACCACTACGGTTCGGACTTCGGGGACGATTCGAGCGACAACAAGAGCGACATCGAAGACGAGCTGGGTGCGTCGGAGAGCGAATCTGAGGGTTCGGTGGGCGATCCGAGTAGTGATAGTGACTTTTCGTTAAGTAGTTATAGTACAATGAGTGGAACGCCTCGGAAGGGGATCAGTGTAAATAGGGCGCCGACGCCGGAGCCGCCGTTGTGGTTGCAAAACCGAGAAATACCTCCATTAGCGTTACCGAAATCCTCGGACGATTTGCTAGTACCTAAGGATAAAATAATACAAGTCGTTAGTATTTACGAAGTGCTGAGGCACTTTAGGAATCTCGTGCGATTGTCGCCGTTCAGGCTCGAAGACTTTTGCGCCGCTATCGTTTGCGAGGACCAAAGCAGCCTCTTGGCCGAGATCCACATAATGCTCGTCAAGGCGCTGCTGAGAGAAGAGGACTCGCAACAGACCCATTTCGGACCGCTCGATCAAAAAGATAGCGTTAATATATCCTTGTACCTGCTGGACTACATTACGTACCCCGAAGTATTAAGAGCGTACGTCGAAAGCGACAAATCATTCGACCAAAACGTATTGGACATACTATCGAATAACGATTACCCATTCACATCGCTGGACGACAGAATTAAAGTCCTGCAATTTCTAACCGATAGTTTCTTGACCACGAACCCCGTTCGAGAAGATTTACTTAGCGAAGGTACTCATTTTATTACGTAGAAGCGTACGATAGGCATTTTAACAATCTAAGTCAATTTCGAGTTACTATACGTTTTCATATTTTCAGTTCCCATGCATTACGATGACCACTGCAGGGTGTGCCACAAACTGGGCGATTTGCTCTGCTGCGAAACGTGCCCGGCTGTGTACCACTTGGAGTGCGTGGATCCCCCCTTGACGAACATCCCCGAGGAGGACTGGCAATGTGGCATTTGTCGATCCCACAAAGTCTCCGGAGTCGTCGATTGCGTGCTGGATTTGGAAAAACAGGGCCAGCTGTCGCGACAGGAGCCCCTCGGGTACGACAGGCACGGCAGAAAGTATTACTTCTTGTGTAGAAGATTGATCGTGTAAGTATTAAATCTATACGAATAGGTTTACAAGTATTAATTTTGTGGTTTTATAGCGAGAGCCAAGACGGGGAGATTCATTACTATACGACTACTCTACAGTTCAAAGAGCTCATGAAAGTGTTGGATTCGAAAGACATGGAAGGGGCGCTGTCGAGAGAATTGAACGATTATAGCGAAGAAATCACGAGACAAATGGAATTGACCGAGAAACTCACCAATCAATACAAAGGCAACAAAAAGACATACTTGGACGCTGAGAACGCAGCTATAACAAAATTGAACAAAGAATTAGAGGAAAAACACGATAAGGACAAAGGAACCGATACAGCAAAAGTAAAAGAAGACATGGAAACCGATAACGTACCGATGGTAGTGGAAAATACCGAAGTAGTAACCACCAGCCCTCTCGATTCGACCATGGACACCGAAACCTCGAAAACGGAAGAAGAACCGGACGAGGAAGACAACGGTAAATCCAAAGAAGTTCAAACCCGATCGAAGAGCGCCACGACGCCCCAAACGCCTCGAACCTTCAATCTCGAAGACTTGCGAAAAAAGAGCCTCGGCGGGCTCCTAAGCAGAGAGAGGGACGACGACAAAGACGAATCTCGCATGACGCGGCTCAAATCCAGCCAAATAGCCAACGGCACGTATCTATTCAAACTCGGCATGGAGAACACGTTCAAATTATACGTCAACCAATTCGCCACCAACGTGATCGCCTTGAACAAACCCCAGCGCAACGAGGAGCGCGACAAGAAGCGCCACCTGTCGCACAAGTTCTCCCTCACGCCCGCCTCCGAATTCAAATGGGTGGGCGCCGTGAGCGGCTCGAAGGGCCTGCTCGGCAACACGCTGCGCCAGACCGTCTTGCAGTTGGAGCAACAGCTCCAGGCGCCGTTCATGCACACCAATTGGCCGCTGTTGCGCAAGACCTGGCTGACGGTGGTGGGCAATTGCCAGCGGCCGAAGGACTTCGCCAAGGCGCTGGTGGTGCTGCAGGCGTGCATCAAGCCCGTCGTGTTCGCCAACGTGTGGCACGAGCACCTCGGTCACGTCAAGTTGGCGCGCGTGACGGCGGCCGAGCGCGAGGAGCGCAAGAAGCTCGAGAAGCGCGAGAAGAAGGAGCGCGAAGAGGAGGAGGAACGGAACCGGATGATCATCAGCGGGTACGTGAAGTACACGATGAGCTTCAAGCACCAGCTGTGGAAGCAGAAGGGCGAGGAGTACAGGATACACGGTCGTTGGGGTTGGTTGTGGATACGGACGCCGAGGAATTTCCAACACGTCGATTCTAGACGGTTGGGTTTGAGCGAGCCGCAGAAGGTGATGGTGCATTTGAAGGATGCGAACGGCAGCAAAGTGATGGGTTTGGATCCGGCTTCGTATAAATATCTCAAGAGCGAAAATTTGGAGGATTCCGAGGCGTTTGCCGCGCTAAAAAACGCCGAAATCGTACCTCCCGTTGCTAAAGTCGAAGAAATCGATATCAGCAAAGCTCTGGTAGCGCCTGGACGTATTTTGTACCCCAAAGTAGCCAAAAAGACGAAATTAGACACTCTTCTAGCTAGGAGAATGCAATTAAAAACGCTGGAGGAGCACAAATTCTCGTTGATCAAATCGGAGGAGGCCAAAAAGGACGAAGATATCGATGTGGAAACGGAAGAGGAATCCGCCAACGATGGCATCGACAAGCAACTGAATAGCATGATGTCGGGTAAAATCACCCTAACGAACAACCAACAAACGCCTAACAGAGAAGTATTAAATTCGATCGCTAAGCGTATACACGTATTGAGAACGCAATACACTTCGATAGCTCGACTGGCCAAAGACTTCCAGTGTTACGTAAAAGGCTGCAACTCGGGAGCCGGTAATACTCTAGAAACCTCCTGTTATTCCCCCATGTGTATGCAACGGGTGAGAGTACGAAAGGATCTACTAAACCTATTGAGAAAGGCTAACCTAGCGACGAATTCCTCCGTTAAACTCACAGCGCTAACGCCAACGGGCAAGAAAACCTCGATATTGGAGCAAACCCTCAAGGCTCCGCAGCTATCGATCGTGCACAAAGACAAATCCACCGAACCGCCATCGAAGGAAACCATATGCAAAGGTCTGTTAACGGCCTATAACTCCGCCGTTAAAATCGACGATCAATCCGACGTGTACAAACCGATGGAGGAACCCGAGATTAAAGAGGAGATCAAAACCGAAATCGAGCCGAAGAAACCCAAGCTGGAGCTGACCGACGAGTTGGACTTGAAGGCCATCTCGCCCGAAACCATCAAAGAGATCATCGGCGGCTCCGCGGTGAGCGACAGCTGCTCCAAAAACGTCGACGTGACCGGCATATCGGGCGATACACACGCCGGTACTTTGAAGACGTTAAACGCCAAAACGTCCTCGTACAGCGCCCAACAGAACCGACGGTTCTGCGCTTTCAGGCTCGGCTCGAAGCGCGAGGAACGCGCCGTTAAAACCGAACACGCCGCCGACGGTTCGCGACGCGTCTACTCGACGCGCTCCACCGAAGGCAAGATTGTCCTCAAGAAACTCCCGTCGTCGGAGGCGAAGCGCAAGAACAAACAGATAGTCAAATACCCCGCCTGCTCCACGTTCAAAACCCTCAAATCCTCCTCGTCGCTGCTGGTTCTACCGCCGCACGATGTGCGCAAACTCGCCCGCAACGCCGGCAGGGTGTACGCGCCCGGTTTCAACGTGATAGCCAAGGCGAACAACAACGTGTGGCCGTACCCGTGCGCCCGGCCGCTCTTCAAAACCTGCTGGATCTATCGCACGGTGAATTTGAAATCGCTGGCGTGCGCGGCGCTGCAGCTGAAGATCCTCTGGGCCTGTCTGCGATGGGACGACATGCAAACGAAGCCGCAGAACGCCGACGGCAAGCACCAGATCACCACCGAGACCGAGATACTGTCGCTCGAGTTGCTCAAGCACCGGCACGTCGGCCAGTTTTCGGAGAAGACGCAGTACTTGCGCAGGAAGGTGGTGATACCGTTGGAGTTGCCCAAGACTATTAGAGGTTCGTATAAATTGAGCGATGTTTGTTCGTATAGAACTAATGTATTTAATTTTTTTTTAAATAGAAGTTACTTCGATAAGGAGCGGTTTGAGGAAGAGGAAACGACCGGAATCGCCGCAGAATATGGATCCGCAAGTGACCGAGGAATGGGTGGACGAGGATAAACTCGAGCTGTGGGAGATTAAGCAGTATGGAGAGAAGTATGTACATTGCCTGATTGATTGGGTAACCGATGCACGGATAAATAATGCAGGGTGTCGAAGATACACATTTCATTATAACTGGCCCTTGTTCAATGCTACTTTATAACAACAATAGTCCATACTTATAAAAATGAAGCAAAAGATAAGACAAAAAGGTTTTAAACCCATAAAACCTTTTGGTGTTCTTTAAGGTGTTAAGGTGTTATTTAGCGTTAAACAGAAGCCCTGAATACAGTCTATATTCGCATAATTTGCTTCAATTACCTATTTATCCGCGCATAGGTAAAACCCACCCCTTTACTAAAACAATACTCCACACCACCACCACCCGCCCCCCTTTGATTATTTATCTACAATACGTATAACACGTCCGCATGCCGTCCCCCGTTAACCTACATCGTCTCGTGTGATTCGTCCGCAGGTTGGAAAGGGCTAATCAGCCGAATAATAATCCCATAACTAGGAGCCGCACCGGCCACCTGCCGCCTCCGAAGCCCCTCTTGGAATCGACCGATATCAAGGTGGCGGTGAGCGGCAAGGCGTCGGCGGAGGAGATCAAGGAGAAGATGGAGCAACAGTTGCGCTTGCAGAGGGCCGCCCACCAGCAGAAGCGAGCGTTGGAAATCAAAAAGGGCGGTTTGCTGGAGGTCGTCGGGACCACCGCGCAAGGTAAAATTTATTCGATTGGTGTGTATTTGTATGATAAACGAGTAAACTGAGGTTTACTCGGGTACACTGTGAAATACCAATGAAACAATGGTAGGGTAGGGTAAACCTGGGTTTAGTTTTTTGTCGTTCGGTTGAAACGTGTACGAACATGCGTATTTATATGATATACATATTTAATGCTTGTCATGATTTGTTGTAAAGCGTCCTCTGCTAGTACAACTACAGTAACTACAACCAAACCAACGACATCTACGAGTAACGCTCAGTCATTGCAACCGATACAACCTAAAGGTAGGCATGAAGTCGTTACTGTTTCGTTGAAGACACCTCTCGTTATGATTTATTTTACTCTAATTTACGTGTGCTTTTTTTTAATTTATGATTTATATAAAGAGCGACTATTTCCGTGCTTGAACGATACTATTTATTTTACTTAACGTTTTGTTGTCGTATTATCGTTGTACCATTATCCAAACGTATGCTGATCAGGTAACAAATCTCGCTTATTATACTTAATTAACGATCAATCAATTTACTATTTGTTTCTTCTCAACAGTAACGACAACGGTCGACGGGCAAATGAAGATAGTGAAGAACGTAGTGGTGCCCAGCCAGGCGGTAATCAGCGGCAAAAACACCCTGACGTCCCTTCTGACATCTAATACGGCCAAATTAGCCGGCAGGCGTATACTGATGACCAAAGGCCCCGACGGTACAACTCGAGTCATCACCGGCACGTCGAATATACTGCCCAAAGCGCTGCCCACCACGCAACAGAGCCTGATCAAAACCGTCGTTACGGGACAACAAGTCCAGGCCGCCGTACAACCGCAACAAACAAGTTAGTAATTACACAGCTTCTCAGTAGTACACAAACTTGCACGCGCTATAAATACATCGCATACTATTTATTTTTCAAAATTTCGTGGATATTTTGTTTGCACGTGATCTTTCTGTTCCGCCCATGCGCAGATGCATCGACACCGACGGTAGTCAATCAATCACAAACCACACCGGCCGCTCTGGCCGCCCAGACGACGAAAGACACGCCGCAACGCGTTCAAATCATGCGCACGCCCGACGGCCGGATAACGGTCAAGGGCCTGCTGCCCGGCCAACAGCTCGTCCAGTACCCGGACGGTAAGCTGCAGGTGCTGACGACGTCGCAACTCCAATCGTCCGGTTTGACGACGGCCAAGGCGCCGACGACGCCGACGACGCCGGCGCCCGCTGTCGCCAAGGCCGTCGTTAAACAGGCCGTACAAACGACCGTAGGTACCAAGACGGTGGTCCAAGGCGGCGCTAAACCGCTGCAGATCAATTCGCAAGCCGCCAAACCCGCCCAACCGCAACAACAGATCATCCTCAAGCAAACCCCGACGGGCCAACAGGTCGTCCAGAAGGTCACCCAAGGTAACGTGGTGTTGGCTCAAAGCGGACCCGTGCTGCAACAACAGGTGTTGTTGAGCACCAATCAAGTCATTACCTCCAATCAGAACGGACAACAGGTACTTTATAACACTAACGACTACCATAACGAATACTACACCTACTTCTTTTTCGTACATTCAAGGTGATAACGAATCAAATAGTGGTGAACAACCAAACGCTAGCGCAACAATTAGCCACCGGTAAGGTCCAAGTGGCCACAATCAACGGTCAACAAGTCCTCATTCGACCAACCGGCAACAATCAAGCGCAAGTGGTGGCCCAATTGACGCCGGGACCGATCGCTGCGCAAACCGTACAACCTGCAGTCAAGCAAATCGTACGACCCGCCGACGCTCTGCAACCCATCGCGCAGAAGCAACAGACCAAACAAGACGTCACTCCACAACAACCGGTCCAATCGGGCAATCAGGCGATCCAGCAGGCGTTGCAGAGCCCGCCGAAGGCGGCGCAGGACGGTCAAATCGACCAGGCGACGATGGATCAGCTGCTGGTCGGCCAGCCGCCGGGCACGGTGATCAAGTGCGTCACGGCGCAGGTGATACAGACGCAACAAGGGCCGAGGATCGTGTTGCAGGGCTTGCAGGGCGCCGATTTTACGCCGCAACAATTGGCGGCCGTGCAACAGCAGGTCAAGCAGCAACTGTTGAAAGGTTCGTTTTGTGAGGAATTTCGCGAGTGGTTTGATGTATTAACGGGATTGTTGTTGTTTTTTTTATGTGCAGCTCAAGCGTCGACGGGCAAACAAGGCGTATTGGGCCCCACGAAGATATATTTGGCTGTGCAGCCCAACAGTTCGGACCAAGTGAGCGAGGCCACTTCGAAGAATCCGCCTCCGCTCGCTCCCGTTCAACAATCGGTCGCTCAGAATGTTGTTACCGCAGCGAAACAAACTCCCCTCAAACAGACGCCTCAGGTAATTTATTTACTTTTTTCTAATCTAACGCTTTTTGCGAGGCTCTTGGTACACCGTCATGTACCCCTACTCTCTTGGAGTTCCTTGGATCGTCTACCATAATCTCCCTTGACTATACAGTAGTCTCCTTTGACTCCTCTACTGTAGTCTCTTGATTCATCTACCGTAGTCTTCCTTGACTCCCCTCCTGGAGTTCGACTGAATCCTTACCCACCCGACTCCTCAATACTCCTCGGTTTATTGACTCGTAACCCGTTGGTGAGAGAGTATTTTCTTATGGACTCGAATTTGCAGGTGTCGGACGGTCAAACGCAAGTGCGTCAAATACTGGTGAACGGTCAGCAGTCCCAAACGACGTCGGCGTCGGTGCCTCAACCTGTCGAGAATACAGCCCAGCAGAATGTCCAGCCGATGGCGTCGGACGCCAACAAGCAGTTTGTTATTACGCCAGATTATATTCAACAAAGTATGTTCCTTTTACAACCATCAGTTATAGTTTACAATCCTAATTGTTTGTACCCAATGCAAAACGATTTAACTGCGCAGTTTCAAAAATGATAAATTTCTAGTTTCTTATTTGACGGTCACAAGGGGTTTGTTTTGTTTCGATTTATCGAGAAGGTGGCGGTTTTTTTAAATTTTTTTATTGTCTTCGCGTTTATTTGACGAATGAGCTTGACGATTTTTTTCTTCGCTCAGTTAAGTTCCTTTGCTTCATTCTAAATTCTAAAAACGTTTGTTTGACTGAAACTTTTAACGATTTCGAAGACAATACATTAGGTTATTTTAATTTATTAAATTGAAAATTAATTGCGGAGGAGTACAAAACTTATCGAATTGAATTATTTAAATATTTAACATAATTTTACTCTAATATTTCGACATGAACACGAAAGTATTAATCTAACGTGATCGATATATTTTAATCTATTTTAACAGTATTAAATACAATTAATTATCGTACTTCTTCCCCATTGACTTATCAATCTCACACGAACGCTTAATATATTTGTGTTGAATGTTGTATTAATTACATAATATTTGAATGTTTCATTAAAACGGACATTATTTTCCATGTCTAATTTGACTGATACGGAAAAGCAAGGGTTTTTCGGTAAAAAAAATTTTTATTTCCAAATTAAAATTTCTGTGATATTTTCATTCTTTCAGAATGAAGACTGACAATGTTTTTTAATTTAATACGTATTTTGTAAGTGTCACATAAGAACGTTTCATTTCATTCCGTTCCCGCGATTTAAATTTTTTTAAATTTAATTTTATCTAACCTCTTACGTACTATTTACAAATTTTCTACTACTTTACTTTTTTCAAAAATATTTTAATCCTTTTAAACTAAACATCAGGAGACCAAAGATTGCATTTACCTGATTAATTATAGAGATTTTCATTCGAAACGTAGTCGCACGTACAGTGTAGAATTGAAAAGTAAAGACTGATTAATTTTTCTTTTCTCTCATTCAATCGAAACGTTCTTATCCTAATAGTAGTCTCGAAAAATTTGGGAAATCTCTAGGAGGAAAATAATTTGTAGCGCCTCGCTTTTCTTTCGACGCGTTTCCCAACATTTTTTTGGACGAACTTTTTTGGTCTCGAATGACTTAGTAAAATAGTTACATAACGATTGATGTAACTCACCCAGACTGTACGCTGAAAAATTTATATGTAATAAAGTCGTTGAAAAAAAATTGATGGAGTTTTTATTTCGTGTTTGAAACCCTTGCACTCCGAATTTGTTTAATTTTTTTATTATTATTATTTTTCAATCGTTTTGCTTTGGGTTCTTTTTATTTCTCGTTTCTTTCGTTTACTTTTAATTTGTTGTGGAATTGTAATAAGTGTTTGTAGATTGTAATCGTTCGAATACAATCGAATTTACATTCTACAAATACGATTAATCGTTTAGTTAATCAGAAGAGATTGCTAAACTAGTTTGTAGAAGATCGAGAAGCTTAGAAAAGACGCCGAGTAAATTGAAAAAAAAAACAACGGAACGAAAATTCTCATTAACAAAAAAAAAATCTAAAACCGTCTATCTACTTCAGCGATCAGGACGGCCCTGAAGCAGGAGAACCTCAACCCCGAGATCGAGGAGAAGCTGCTGATGCTGCAACGCTACCAGGAGCGCCAGATGAAGCAGGAGCCCGAGGCGGCCTCGTCCCTCACGAAGCTCAGCCAGCCGATCGTCAACTCGCGCCAGCCGGGCGCCGCGACGCGCAAACGCCCGCTCAGCTCGTCCAAGAACGACGACGCCGATTGGGTGATGGAGACGCCCAAGCGCAGCAGGCCCAGCCGGACCGCCGCCGGCGCCGGCGATGTCAAAAAACCCGAAATAGAAACGCAGTAAGTGTTCTTTTGATCGGCTGCAAATAAGAGTAGGTTCTATCTTTTGCAATGTTGCCAGATTTGCATTTTCGTACGATATTAAGAGATTTTTTTCATGATGAACATCCTTTATAATAATGTCTTCTTTTCCCGTCCGAAAGACTATAATGAGAGATGAATACAATCTGATCGAAAATCGATTTGACGACTAATTAAATATCCTCCTAACTCGTGAATTAACTGCTCGATTTTGTATGTTGTGCAGCCCAGAACCCGTCAAGGAGAAGATCCTTTCTCCCAGGACCAAGGTGAAAATCAAAGAGGTATCGGAGCCCGATAAGAAGGTCACTATGAGGACGAAAATATTAGTCACGCTGTTTAGGCACAAGGAACTCCTCAAGAAGGACATCCTTCGAAAACGGGCTCTCTTGGAGAAGGAATTACAATACGAAATACAGGTAAATATATTTTTTATGCATAATTTAGCAAGATTAATTTATAGAAACAATGATGATATATCTAACTTTATGTCTTCTTTTCCCGTCCGAACGATAGTGAGGGATAAATACTTATCTGATAGTTACTCGTGCAATAAAATCCTAGCGTTTAGTACGTTCGTTTTGTTAAATACTCGACGTATATTTGCAGCGAGAAGTGGCCGAAGAACTGGCGACCCGTACGAAGATCGAAAGGACCAAGCAGGACGAGGTGCGGACGGGCAGCAGCAAACGGAAGTCGGCCGCGACGGCGACGACGCCCGCCATACCGGCGCCGCAGGTGAAGACGTCGTCGAGGCACAAGCGCAACCAGAAGCACGGACCGCCGGGCTCGTCGCCCCCGTCGGCGGGGTCTCCGTCGAAGGGCCACGGCAAAAAGGAGAAGGTCTACTGCGTCTGTCGGACGCCCTACGACGAGACGAAGTTCTACGTCGGTTGCGATCTGTGCAACAATTGGTTCCACGGCGATTGCGTCGGCATCACGGAGGAGAGCAGCAAAATTATGACGGAGTTTGTGTGCAACGAGTGCAAACAGGCCAGGGATACGCACAAGTTGTACTGCTTGTGCCAGCAGCCCTACGATGAATCACAGTAAGTTCTCACTAATTCAAAGTTTCTGGGATTTTGCTCGAAGGAATTCAGTCATTTCTTAACTTACAACAGTTCTTGGTCCTTAAACTACAAGGTATCCAGCCATTAACTTATTATAGTTTCTGTGTGCTTTTGCTCGAGGCCATCCAGCCATTAATGAACTTATTATAGTTTCTTTGCTTTTGCTCGAGGCCATCCAGCCATTAATTAACTCTAGTTTTTGCCTTTGGAAGGCATCCAATGATCCAATTGACTTACTGTAGTAGTTGGTCCTCATGCTCGAAGGCATCCAGCCATTCAATAACTTGCTGTGGTAATATTTACTGTATAGAGGTAGAGTTTAATTTGGATCGGTTTTGTAGGTTTTACATATGCTGCGATCGATGCCAGGACTGGTTTCACGGGCGGTGCGTCGGCATATTGCAATCCGAAGCGGACAATATCGACGAGTACATTTGCCCGAGATGCCAGAGGAATAACTCGGTGAATTTCGCGAATATGAAGGATTTGTCGGCGAAGGATTTCGAAGGATTAAAGAAGTTGATCAAGCAACTGCAGGTAGGTGTTTGATTGAATCGTTTTTATTGTGAGGGTTTTAATGTTCGGTTTGTTGTAGGCGCATAAAAGCGCTTGGCCTTTTATGGAACCGGTCGATCCTACGGAAGCTCCGGATTATTACAAGGTTATCAAAGAGCCTATGGGTAAGTCTATATTACAGTGTATATAAATTATTGCTATAATTAACTTGGTTTTAGATCTACAAATGATAGAAGGTAAAATCAACGAGCAGGTTTATACGAAATTGAGCGAATTCATAGGAGATATGACGAAAATATTCGACAATTGTCGATATTACAACCCGAAAGAATCGCCGTTTTACAAGTGCGCCGAATCATTAGAGGCGTATTTTGTAAATAAAATCAAATGTCTGAGAGACAAGTTATTTGAGAACAATAAGTGAAGTGTATAATGAATAAAAAAACAAGTTTTTAATGAGTAAGATTTGCCCAGGACTTTCAGCAGATTTGAAACGATCTCAGCTTTGTTTTTTTTGTAGTAAATTTGTGGTATATTTATATAAGTAATTATTAAAATGTTACGATCTGCTTAAAGTCTTTTGAAACACAACAAACTAGTGTATATAATTATAAACTTTATAATATGCGTATGAATGCAATTTTATTTTGTAATTAATATTTTGATAATGATTTTGTTATTTATTATCCGTACAAAGTGTTTAATTAATTCAATCCTTTAAAAATAGTTGCTGTACAATTCCATGGTAATAAATTATAAATTTTCATGTGACTTTTAGTGAGTGGTTCTATAGCAAATGAACATGATACTATAATACATTTACATTGTGAATGTATGCATTTTTTTGTAAATACATAAGTTTAGTGCCATAATGATTATATTATCACTTTTAATGTTTTTAGTTTGGAAAATGACTTTTGATATCAGTAAATAATCGATAAAACTTATGGAATGCGTTTAAATTTAATGGTAATAAAATGGGTAATTTTTTGTTGAAAAGTATTTTATTGAGTAGATTGTAACTCAATATACTTAGATTCGTAAAATACGTTTTTTATTACAAAAGAAATGGAGAAAGATTCTTAAATTATACATCATTAATTCTACAAGTGCCTTATATCCTATCCAATGCTTCCAGCATCACTATACTGTTGCCTCGAATAACCTAAAGATAAAAACCATCGATTAATATAAATAATTACAATACATGTATTAATCGAATACTCACCACCATGCCGATGTTATTTTTGGAACCGTCTTTGCATTCTTCGATAGACTCGTCTACAACGAGGTTCATGAAAGGGTCGAAACCGCGCAAAATGCCCGTCACCTGCCGGCCCCCGTTCAGTTTAAGACAAAGTTTTTTGTCCATGAATCTGAAAGAAAAAACGTAGAAATTACCTGCTAATGTACATACATGCGACTACTAACTTTTTTAACTCTGGAGGATGAGCTTTAGACATTTTCTTTTCTTTTTAATACAAACGTTATCTTCACGTAATTTGTAGGTTATGTTTGCGACAGATAAAGCTTTTTTTTTCTTCTTTTTATTTACGCCTCATTTGTTGAGCTATTCGGTCATTTGTTTAATTCTTCTCCTTTGGTTTGAGGCCTCAGCTCCTCTAGCTATTCAGCTATAGGCGGGATAATATGACGTTTCGAAGTTCACCTTCTTTCTGTTTTTGTTGTTCAAAAAGCACAGGGACTGACTAGGTTTTTTTTTATTTTAAAATTTAATTGAAATAATATAATTTGTACTTTTAAACGTATACAACTAAAAATGTTGTTTTAATATATAAAAAAACAGTACCTACTAAAGATACCGCTGAAACTAAGCAACAAACATATGACTTAAATAAATTAATAGATTCACCTATGTTAATTCTACATCCGGGGTGGCGTTGTTCAAAGGAATGGCCGCCTCGATTTCGCTAGCGCTGACCAAAGTCCATTCGGTGTGTCTACTGAAAACAATCGAATATTACAATCCCCTCAAAATGGAAAATAACCAGTAGGCCATTACCGATTATTGTTGATATTCGACGACCAATCTTTACTCCTTTTGCCCAATGAACCCAAAGACCTCTGCTCCCTCCACACCGAGAAATGGTGCTTTATGGTGTTCTGCACTTCCGTGTTCAAAAAACAATAGCACAACGCGATGGTCAAACCCTAAAACTCAATTAAGGACGTTTGTTATGTGGCATATATTTCGAAATCTCAGTAGGCGTAAACAAAATGACAGGTTGATATGACAGGTACGAGAAACACGTACTTGTGTTGACAATAAAACGCTCCTCAACGATTCGAATATCTCCCTGGAATACTCGCCAGAGGGCACGTAAATCATAATCACCCAAGTAACGCCCAAGAGGGGTATGAGCACGAGCAGAGCCCTGGCCGCTTTGTAATGCTGCTGAGTTTCTACGAGGGCGGGCGATGAGCGCAGCTTCGTTATCAGCACCCACATGATGCTGAACAGGAAGATCAGATTGAGAAACATGACGAATAATGGCGGCGCCATGTAGATCCAATCCACAGAATCGCCATATAGCCAAGGACACTGGAAAAATCCACATTTTTTTCGTAGTTTTTGATTGCTTATTTTATGATGTTTTATGACAGATCGTCAATTTTTGACATTCTGAGCGATTACTTACGTGTTGATTATCTGAGGCCGAAACGAATCCTTTCACAACCGCCCAAATTACAATCGAAATGAGCGGTATACCTGGAATGTTTATTTCCGGTGAATTTATTAAACTTTATTGGTTCTAAAGTGACATTTTGTTTGACATCTGATACAAAAAAATGACAGTTTCTTACCCCATCCTATGATGGCGTATACTCTTAGTTTGAATATCTCCCTCCTGAGGGTTTTCACCACCAATATGTAGAGGTACATTCCTGGAATACGATGAAATTTATAAAAAGTATTTGTTCACTGTGGTTTTTACCAAGTACCTTCTACAAACATCCAGAAAAACGTGGATACGTGCGCGTAATGCAGTAAAGTCGTTCCGAATCCGCACAATATTACCGATTCATTGCGATGGTTGATCTAAATTCACATTTTTGACAGTTACATTTTTGACATTTACGACATGTTTGACAGTTACGACAAATTTGACAGTTACATAACGTTCTGATACCCACCAGTACGAGCATGAGGATCCATGTTAAGTACATGATGATGTACGAAAACATGAGGTTCACGTGGATTTTGTTCCTGAGACAGCGCAAGTCCCTGGAAAAATGAACTTTTTGGCTCTAAAAATTTGACACGAAATTTTATAATGTACTTGGCTTACTTGAAATATAAAAAAATGGCTACCGCTATAACTAACGTGATTAGGCTCAAAGTGAAACCCAAAAAGTATAATCCTGTTTGAGTTTCGTTGTTCTCCGGTATGTTAATTAATGGTATACACAAGGAATAGTCTTGTTTCGACCAACTTTGGTTCTTACCGTCGCAAAATCTAGTAGCGTTTTCTACGAAAAAAATATAGAACAAAAATCGCAGTTAGCCTTGCACGTCAAAATTGACAGGTCTCTTCGAAAATTACTTACGCATATCATCGTATCTGATACTGAATAAATATTTGAAGCATTTAACGGTGGCGGTCTTGTTGTAAGGGGTCGGCGGCCAGCACATTATGCTGTCAAACGTCACTTTGCAAAACCCTTCGGGATGATGCTGCTCTAAGTAGGCCGTGTCATTGTAAAACTCCCTCTTGCAATCCTCAATGGTCTTGTTAATGTGCTATTAGCATTACAATCGAAATTAATTTATTGGAAGGTTACCATAGACAAAATATAATCTTTCTTTCTATATGAAATCTACTTCGTAAATTGTCACAAGTGTCACTTATCACAGGCGTGTATATCTGTCAGTATTTTTTCTATTGTTATCGAAACACCCTATATACTTAATTGACTTAATTCAATAGGAGAAAACTTCTTACGGGATTGTCCTCTTCGTAATCGTAGTATAACGACATGTTATCGCTGGAATCTTGGTCAAAATATTCATTAACGAAATCGTGATCTAGTGAGCCGGTATTTCGCTCCCAGTTCATTCCGCCTCCGATAAAGTATATTTAATGCCGGTCTTGATAGTACCAATTGTTATCAATACCATTTAATCCTAGAAAATAAAAGGTAAGTGTATAAATTAGTCATTCGTCTATTTTTCACGCAATGAATTGTTTAAATAAACGAGGTATAAAGTTTAAAAAATTGTTTAATAAGGGTTGGCATTATTTTGGCTGTCAAAAATGTCAATATGTCAATGTATAAAATATCGATTGCAAATTTTCTAAATATCTTGGTATCTAATAATCTAAAACCTATTTAATATTTCGTTTTATTCAAATGTTTATTCTTATTAGTTAATAAATTGTAGATATGAAGATTAATTGATAAATAACAAGAGGATAGCGAAACAGTACAAAAAAATGTGTCTGTGTTATGAATGACATTCATAAATCAATCTTAAAAGAGAAACTATATTTTGACAATGCTTTTAATCCCGAAAGCAAACTTCACATTTAAACCAAGTATTGACTTATAACTTAAATTTGAAAACGAGAAAAAAATATTATACTCCATTCGCAATTGTGGAGTAATTAATAAGCGTTCTAATTAACTTTTTTAATAAGATAAAAATAGTCAAAGAAATTCTGAAAAAAACGCCTACTCGAGTCTTTGAATTCGAGTACATTTAAACAGTGAGTTAGTTAACTTACGGTTAAAACATACCGGGCTTTAGTTATTTACGCATTGACTTTACAATTCTATGAAGAATTAGTAGATATTTTTTGCCACACAATTAAATTATCACAAACCACATTGTTGTACTACATTTTATTGCGCTTATAATAAATTGTATGAATGGAACACGTAATTCCTTCTAAGAAATACGTGAAAACTATACAAATATATGAAACGCACAAATCTTGTGATTTATAAGGTGTAGAGTAATAAATTACTCACATAGTATGATTTATTACTAGTTTAATTAATACGTTTTACCTTTTACATAATTAGCGAAAAATTAATCCGCATTTCGGGCACCATTTAAAATTTAAAACGACACTGAAATTCGCAAAAATTCAAATGAGCGCGACCTTAGCGGTACCCACTGCAAACTCCAAACTCTCATTAAACAATAAAATCAGAAATTTACAATATAAACAGAATATAAAATAATAACGCTCCTATTTTCAGGTTATCTTTATCAGTTTGTTTGCATTAGAGCCATAAAAGATTCTCTTATTGTTTTGTTGAACGGAATAATAAAGAGATGCAGATAAGTTGAGCAAATCTAAAAAACCAAATTGTAAAGCAAATAAGTATAGAGGTGATGTACTTTTAATAAATTTGCTAGTACGAAAAAAAAAAACAATTTTTACCAAAACTAAATTAACCTATCCTGCTGTGCTTATTCATGAAGCTAATAATTCGTAGAGTAATAAAGCATCGTAAGCAACAACTATAGGTATATATTTAGGTAGTAGTTATAATAATATGACCTCTTATAAGCAACAAATACATATATTTATCTGACAGATATGACTCATAGAAGTTTAGGCATGTGGTACATTAAATATAAACCCCCGTTTACAAAAAGCCCAAGCCCAAATGGGGATGACCGGGAATCTCCGGCAAATGAGGCAGCCATTTGGGTGGGCAAACTGCCACGCAGGTATGGCTGATTTCATCACGAGTGAAGCCCTCTGCACAATCACAACCAGGTTCACATTCCTCTATGCAATCTTCGCAATCGGGTTCCGGGGGATGCTGGCAGGTCGCCAGGCAACAATTCACGCAATGCGTGGCCACTTCATTTACGCCTGCAATAACATATTTTTCACCACAAAATTCATCGATTATGTTATGTAAGTACACCTCATTAAATCTAGCTTGGCACTTAAAGAAATATAGGGTCCAAAATATCCCAACTGGCAAGCTACGTTCGATGAGGTATAAGCCTAGGGGATCACTTACCGCATTTTAAGCATTCCTCTACGTAGGGTACGCATTTCCCGTCTTTATTCCGGACGTATCCAGGAATGCAATCGCACCTCTCGAACTCCTTCGGGCTTGCCCGGCAAGACGCAGCCTTTTGGAATGTAGGGGTTTCACACGTTTGTAGTATATCGCAGCTCGTCGCTTCTGTGTTCAAAATCTCGTTTTCTCCGCAAACTAAAACAGAAATATAATTGGAAATCCCGACGTATTCTTCCACAGGCGGCATGTTAGGTATTATTGGTATCTGAAGAGATCTTGTAGGTTTATGGTAGGACGCTTTAAGCGTGACGGTATATTAATTGGAAATTATGCAGGTACCTGCGTTAGGACATTCGCTCAATAAGACGCAATTGTAATCCGAATCCCTGATGTAACCTGGCTCGCATTGGCATTTTTGATCGCAAGTGTTCCTCTTGCAACCAGTGAAAGGTGGAGGTAGAGGTCTCTCGCAAGTTGGCTCGTCCTCGCATCCCATGTCGCATAAGTTGCAGAATTCGTTCTCACCGCAACCACCTAATTAAATTCAATCATCAATTATATACTAACAATTAAACGTTTCTCAAAATAACCGGATTCAGTGTCCCAAGTATGTCCTTACCGTTGGGGCAAACGCATTCGCTTTCGGGTATGCATTTATTATCGACAGTTCCATCTCTGATGTAACCGGCGATGCATTTGCACATCTCCCTGTTATTTTGTTCGGTGCAATCTGGATCTGTTTCGGGATGTGGGTTGTTGCAGCTGCGTTCGGGGGTGCACGTGGAGCCGATGGTGGTGAAAATTTCGACATTCGAGCACGATGCTATAAATTGGAATTGTATTTTTTGTTATAAACAATAAATTTATTAGAATATATAGGGCACTTACGAGCAGTTTCGATTTGGGAAACGAATAACGCGAATAAACCGAGATAAAATGGTGCAAACATTTTTTTAAATTGTATCACTCAAAATAACCGAATTAATTTAAACGGTTAGGTGAAGTTTGGTTATTTATATGTGGGTTCTAACAATACAAGTAAAAAACGTGATTAATGGACGAAATTTTCGTCCATTAATTGCGCATGTTTTATCAAAACATATTTATTTATTGCTGTTTAAATTGGCATTTTTAACTAAAAATGATATTTAAGTAAGCCGTTTTTGTACTGATATTATATCTTACTTGGAACAATTCTAAGCAATTTTTACCAATTCTGGAATTTTATAACTTAATAATAGCGTACCTACACAGTATAGTGTTTTTATTACTGTTGATATTTGATAGAAATTAATTTTTTCAGTCAACCCATATTTCGGTAATAGAAAACAAAAATGCATAATCTTTACCAATTTAAAAAAAATCTCAATAAAAAATGCCTTTTTATATAACATCGTTCATACTTTAAAAACCAATATTTAACATAACAAAATTGAACTGGGAATCATCGCAGTTTTCAAATTCGGTATCTGGAGTAAAGTAAAACATTTTGCGTTGTAAAATTTTATTGCAATCAATTACAAATGTATATAAAATATAATTTGAATGCAGATATATATTATATATAGGTATTATCAAATACTAACGGAAAAAATGTCCTCGACTTAAATTTGATGAGAATTACACTTTACCACGTACAATTTCTTTAAATTTATTTATTATTAAAGGGTGGTCCCAATAATTTCGTTCCCAATGATGCGGCCATTAATGATAACCATTTCTCTCATTTGAAATATTCGAGTCTTATGCAATGTTAAAGCATAATTCTAACATTTTCTTAGTTCACAAAGCCAGAGAAACATCAGTACAATAAATAGATATAATCACACATATACACGAATAATTACAAATTAAAAAATGGACAAGAACTATATGTACATCGTATAAATTATAGGGTGGGTTTGTGCTAGTTTGCTATATTTTACAAATACAACAAACGTTGAAGTAGCAAATCGATGGGACACCCGTTAAATGTTTGTTTCTTTTAATACCACGTAAAGCCCAGGCAATAATCTCACCTAAAATTGACCCAAATTTCCTTACAAGCCTCCAAAAAATGTTTACGTTATTTTCATTCACAGCTTATTCATTAACAGTCGATTTTCCTCAAAAATTGCAATAATTAAGATGCCTTTTTATATGTAATACTTTTATATATCTCAGAGTTCAAGCCAATTTTTCTTTACAAAAATTAGTGTTTGTTATTAAACCTATACCAAAAATAAATACTGTATCTAATAGGATAAATTTCTTGAGTGCAAAGTGTTTATCAAACTTAAGTACCCCTACAACTAAAAACTTTTTAATTCAATTCCAGCAATATTTCAATAATACCGAGGGCTGACATAATTTCAAACGGTCCCAGCTTTTCATTATCGATGGAGATCAAACTGAAAGTGTATGAACTGCAACCCGAAAAAAATCTTGTATGTAATAAAAATCGTTTCTTATCTAATGTGGATATAAAAAGTGTATTTTACATAACTTGACTAGAAGTATAAAATATGCAGCAAGCTAAAAATAAAAACTTAATAGATATGTACCGAAATAAGTACAACTAAATTTAAAATATACTGTATAGTTACTAGTTTTTTGTCTGATATTTAAGTTCGTTTAAAAATCTAGCATTAACACATATAAATAATGATAATAATAAGGTCGATAGAAATAAAACTCTAATCTATTTGCTAATTTTATCTAATTTGTTCTGTATCAAATAAAAAAAATCTACGACTTATTGGAAATCGATGAGGAGTGTTACGATAATATTTAGCCTCCGATAAAACAAGTTTCTTTATTTTAATAAATACTTTGCACTTAATATTTTTTTACTAAATACACTTTTCTTTCAATTCCAATATCCATCCGAACTTTGTTCTTTAGTCACACCCTACACACAAACCTACGAAATAAGATTAACTACAGTCAAATTTCGTACATCCGGAGAAAATCATATAAAAAAAAAATAGGTTCGATGCAACAATAAATCTTGACTAGTTAGGAAAACGAAATCGCCGAAGAGTTCACCGCAAAATCCTCTGGGAATTATTCAACAAATCCTGCAAAAAACAGTACAGAATCCCTGCCTGCGCCATCACGTCCACCGTTCCAGCAGCCAGCGTATCCTTTTGCCTCGCGTTCTCCGCCTTGACGCCAGGTCGCAGCAGCGTCGGCCCGAACACCGTTGCCAAATTGTGCAGCGACATCTTGTTCTCCGCCTCGTGTCGATGTATCCTAAAAAAAACACACAAAAATTACAGCACAAATTAAACGAAACCGCACGCTAATTTATTATATTAACCTGATTAAATGATCCAAGATGCATTTGATCGTCTCGCTATTGACGATCGGCAACTTCAAAAAGCACTCCTTCAACAACTCCGTCCTGCGCTTCAGGTTGCCGTTGCTCTGATTGAAGGCCTCGAACAGCTCGGGATACAGCTCGTTGGTGAACAGCGCCTCGGGCAGCTCGCGCAGGTACAATTTCAGTATGCCCGTCACGGAATGTATGTCGACCTCTTTCAACAGTTGCTCGGCTTCGTAAGAATCTAATAAAATAACACGTATTATATAGTAGTTGAATAAACGATTATACGCACTAGTTTCGAACGATTTCTTCAATTTTGATATATCCGAAGAGGAGCCGGACACTCTGTATATACCCACTTCGGCCATACCCCTTCGTTCGACTTCTCTTATACAAGCGGTGACGATGAACGGAACGTTGCGTTTTTGCCTCCTACAAAAACGAAACAATCGTAACATCGAAAAATATCTAAAAATTCGAAGCAATTACTTGCACACGGCTTGTATTTTCTCGCCGAACAGCGCGCCCGTTTTACCCGTAGGCACTCTGCGCAAGCTCACTTCGCACGGAATGTACTTGAGGCCCATGCGCAACGTGCAACCGTTGATCGACAGGCTCTTCTCGGTGACGTGCTGATTCAACCATTTCCTGCTCAATTTCTGCGTGTGCTTGCCGAACAACGTGGGATTGGTGGTGCCGTCGCGGTAGATCAACACCCGCAGGTTCTCGCAGCCCTCCAAATCGATGATGAAGTTCTCGTTCCATTGCGGATTGTTCGTGTTGCTGATGATTTTCGTCTTGGCCTTTTGGAAGAAGTGACCGTAGAAGTCCACCTCGATCACAATGTACAGATCTGCGGGCGATCCGATCGTTAGCCGGATTGTTTTGGGGACGGGTTTAGAGGTCGCTTTAGACTCACCACAGAAATACTCCAAGCCGGCCAAATCGTAGATGAACACGTGCAGATCGCCCACCAGCAGGCTCTCGTCGTTGCCGCTGCGCAACAGGTACGAGCCCATGTTGGTTTTGAGGAATTGCCGGCAGGCCGTTATCCACGTTTGCAGTTCGAGCATGTTGAAGTGCTGGGCGGTGACTTTGCCCGTCCGTTCCGTTTTTTGCAACGTCAAAATGGCCTCGATCCATTGGGTGCGCTCGAAGTCCGACGACAGGAAGAACATGTACGTACGGCCCGTTATACGGTTCTTTATCCTGTAGACGAGATTCGGCGAGACGAGCACCAGCTGACTCTCCAATTCTATCAGTCTTTTGCGGTATTTGTCCGAGCCACGCAGCAACTTCGAACGATTCTACGAAATATTACGATCAGTAAAAGAGCGGAGGTGACCGGAGAATTTATACAGTTACCCTATCTTCGTTGGTTTTTTCGTCTTGCCGTAACTGATCTCTGACGTTCGACGCTTGCGATTTCAACGATACGATGTTGGATTGGGATACTTCGTGTAAATTGGCAGTCGTTTCTTCTAATGTTAAAATATCTTCTACTGGAATGAACCATTTCAATTCGAATGTGTATTTTTCAGTGCGACCCGCAGTCTAATAATACGCAAAATATATTAATACGATACTAAATACCACACGTATTTATCTACCTTATATTTGGCACAAGCGATTACATCGTTGAACAGAAACAAATGTCTCAATTTTCTGTGCCCGTCCACGAATTCTACGATAAAAGAATTCTTCACCAGTCTCCTTTGCGCCCTATCGGAAGCCTAAAAAACAACACAATTCATCAAACTAATCCTCTCATCCACGTTTTTATCTTCTACCAACCGGAAACATCGATTTCGTCTGGATCATATTGAACTGATCCAAAAAATTCTGCGTTATGTTCAACGCCTCGCTCAGACCGTGATGGTCCGGATTCGTCGACGGCACGAACTTCAACAGATCGTGCAACACCAGCGCGTTCTTTTGCACCCGTTGCACCGGCTTGTGCAACAAATCCTCCAGGCTAATGGGCTGGCCCGACAGCTGTTTGCACGTGATGTTCTTCGAGATATCGCCGAACTGCGTGTTGGCCATGCTGCACTTTCTCACCGTGTCCAACGCCAAGCCGTAGTTGCTCAGAAACGCCCCGTACAACGATAGATTCGACGCCTAAAAAAACACAACGTTTAGTGCGGAAAAGTCGACGGTTTGGCAACGTTGTAATATGCAGTAAGACTCCAATACCATCATTTTAAAGTGTTCGCCGATTCGGGTGTCCCACGTTTGAATGTGGCGCTTTAGGGCATCCAGGAAATTGGCGTGCAAGTTGTACAGTTCCGGTATTTTGTAAAATATGATGTTCAATTCGTGCTCGCTGACGATCGGTTGGGACGTTCCGATGGTCGCTTGAATGGCCTTCATGTACTGGAATAAACAATAACGATTATATAGAAATGATAACGGTGTATAAACGATTAATTACCTTCAATAAGAAACCCAACCAATCGACGTAATTGGTCTCGCTGTCGGCTATATTGTGAAATATACTTTTGTACATCCTGTCCGTTTCGTTCTTGACGTCTCCCTCCTGAAATATTGTATAATAAAGCTCGCAATTTAAAGCTCCGACATCGTACGTACGGTACTGAATTTCCTCTTCGAAGCGGGCGTCATGGACTCCAAGGAACTGGAACTGGCGTACGAGCTGTTGTCGTTCTGTCGCCTCAATTCCTGTATATCCTCCTGCTCGTCATCGCTGCTACTGTGCCCGTTGCCGTTCTTCTTCGTAACCCTACAATCGAACCGGTTTACAAACGATTCATAGCGAATTGAAGAGTACTCACTGTATGAAGTACTCGATGTTGACGTAGTTCGATGTGCCGGGCGATTGGGGATCCTGCACGGAGGCCTGCGACGAGTCCCGCTTGGAGTCCAACGGCAGGGTGCTGTTGGAAAACACGTTCTCCGTGCTGGAATGGTTGCTTTTCGCGCCCGCGAAATCGTCCTCGGGGGCCACCATGTCGTAGAACGGTTCTTCGGTCACCAGGAATTCGGAAGATGAAGATCTGGAATCGCTCGTGCTGGTTTTCGGCTTCACTTTAATGGAATCCGGCCGTTTGGGAACCCTAAAAAATCAACGCGTTACTAACGTAATAGGTTGTGTAATTACAACGTACTTTGGTGGTATTTTGACCGGTGAAGTGTTTTGCTTTAAACCGTTGACTTCGATGACGGTTACGAAGGTTCCGGGATCGGGATCGGGGGGCGCTGTGGGCTCGTACTTCTCCGGCACGTCGGGCGTTGTGATCAGTTGCTTGGATATTTCGTTGACGCACATATTGGCTGATATATTTTCATTTTCTTCCACGTTCAAGGAGATCGTGGACGGTTTGCTGACTTCGGTCTGTAAAACGGGAGTTTGCGCATTATATCGATTCGAATCGGCGGAATTGTTGGAATTGTTTCCGCACGATTGTTGCGAATATTCTCGAGGGGTATGCGATGGTTGAAATTCCTTTTGGAAAATAAAAAGTAACTCGTGAATTTCCAGAGAAATGTGAGGAACGTCGAATAAACAGAAAACAAATATCTTCTTATTAGCTGTTGAAATATCTCGCATGTCTCGCAACCAAACAATTTATTCGCAAACTTTGCTCCCGAATTGTTAATTAATAGAATTACTTTCGAAATGGTATACGTTAGCGAGATGGTTTGTTAATTGCCAGTACGAATTTTACGGCGTTTTATTATTGGATTGTTTTTCATTTAGTTAATTTATTAATTAAAAACATATGTGTCATAATGAATCATATCAATTCACACTGTAGGCATTACGCGGTGTACGAAATCCTAACCGAAAATACATTTATTTTAATTGTTCTTAGAACGAATCGAATGATTAAAAAAGCATAACCGCTATTGACCCACTTATTTACTGAACATTACAGAAAATCGCGAACCTGATTATTTCACATAGTTTAGCATAAAAAGTAAAATCTAGTTATATAAAATTTCTATTTTACATTTACATAATTCATCAACTTTTAATTGAATCAATTCTATTATTACTCATATATATTTTTTAAATTTAATACAAGCAATAAATGGGTAAATTGGCCACACCTTCGAACGCTCAATATTTAAATTAAATAGCGCATTTTAAGGGAATTTTAAAGAGGATGTGCAAATTGAGCAATTCAAGTAAACACATAGATTATTTCCGAGCGAACTAAAAAGCTAAATAAACCCAATATTTACTTTAGATACTGTATCTCCAATGACATCACTGGGCTCATCGTCAGAATTTCTTTCTTTTGATACCTTTTTCTTGTGCTGCTCGACATCGTTCAATAGACTTTCCAGGTATTGAACGTAAAATTCCTCCTTTTCGAGCTCCTCTTTGAGCTGCTCCACCTTTTGTTTATGTTTAGCAAGATTCGCTCTTACATCCTCCTCCCAGGCGCCTGGCAGCGGACTATCCGGGAATCTTTGTAACCACACTTGCTGAAAATCACCGAATACGCTCATTTTTACTTTTCGCTATTACATCATTCCGATAGAAAATAGACGATTCTATTGATTTCTAGATGGTAAATACACAAATTAAAACCATTTTTATAATACATTACTTTCACTAACAAATAAATAGAGATATGACAAGTTGACAAGCGATATTGACACTGTTGACGTATCATATGACATTCTGAATAAAATCATTATTATACAAACGAACGTTTCTCAGGTATCTCATTTCGAACGCACCCACATATAGTTATGTTCGTATATCTACACTCGTATTAGAAATCTTCAATAATTTACTTGTTATTAACAATAAAAAAAATCTACTATAAAATTATTAATAAATATTCGATTACTTCGAGAATATTGTATTAAATAGTCCCTTTAAATTGAACCAAATGAGAACGAAGTGTACGTCAGAACAGTAAAACGAACGCAGCATTTATTTATTCGACAGTGTTCGAAAAAGTCAGTGAATTGGTGTGTTTATTTTTAAATAGTTTTTACTTGGTATTTTATCCTTTAAAAATAGTTCTAATGAAATGGCATCCGCGTTGGAACAATTCGTGAATACTGTTAGGACTTCATCTTCTCACGGTGATTATTTTTTTGAAGCCTCCAGGGGAAACGATCGAAGTATTAAAGGTTATGATTTCTAGGTAATTTTCGGGAGCTGTGCGAGTTTATAAGCAAATCTAGTGAAGTACTAATAAAACAAAGCCAACATCTAGACAATGTACTGGAAACGTTAGACATTCAACACCACTCTCTAGGAATTCTAGCCGTATTATGCGCTAAATTTAACGTGCAAGTAGCATCTAATGCTACAGACAACAGATTCACTCAAGCCCAAGATTTCATACTGAACTGCAACGGAGAACAAATTAGATTTGCACCAGACACCTGTAAGTTAATCAAGTGGATTCCCTAACGTTTACTTATTACTAAAAATAATTTATTTCAGTCGCTGAATTATGTCATTCGTTGACAAACTACTTGGTCGAGCAAAAGCAACCTCTAAAAGGAATAGTTCTATTACAAAAGGCCATTTCGAAATTAAGACTGTTTGATTCGCAATTGACGTCCATCCACGCTGATCTGTGTCAGTTGTGTTTGCTGGCGAAGTGCTTTAAACCCGCCATCGAATTATTGAATATAGACATCACGGGAATATGTCAAGAAGTAAGTTATTTACTCCAAATTAGTTATTCGTTTAATTCGTTCGTTTTTAAGCTCGCCCAAAATCCGAACGGACCTCAATTCGATTCGAAATATTTCCTGTTGTACTACTACTACGGCGGAATGATATACCTGGCTGTACGCAACTTAGATAGGGCTTTATATTTCTTCGAAGTCGCAATAACGACGCCGTCGCTGGCCGTGTCGCACATCATGCTGGAGGCTTTTAAAAAGTATATCTTAGTGTCGTTGCTGCTACACGGAAAGGTACATCATTTATTTATTCGAAATTGATATTTTTAATTGAGAATTTTACCGATTACAGATTCGACCGATTCCCAAATACGCCTCGCAAGTAGTGACCAGGTTTATAAAGCCGTTGTCTCAACCTTATCACGATTTAGCGGTGGCCTTCAATTCGAATAGCACTTCTTTGTTGAATGCTGTAGTTAATAAACACTCGGAAGTAAGTTACACGTTAATCGAATCGAGCAATCTCTAACGAGTGTATTTCAGGCGTATACTAGAGATCACAACATGGGTTTAGTGAAACAAGTATCCTCAGTATTGTACAAAAAGAACATCCAGAGATTGACGAAGACGTTTCTAACGCTTAGTTTATCGGACGTTGCGAGTCGAGTGGGCTTATCGAGCCCCGCTGAGGCCGAAAGCCACATATTACAAATGGTACGAATTCATCGATTAGTTTTTGTTATAAATGAATTGTTGGTTTGTTTTTTAGATTGAGAAACAACAGATCTTCGCGACGATAAATCAAAAAGATGGCATGGTGGTGTTTAGAGACGAGCCGGAAAAGTACAGCGGTCCGGAGGTGCTGAAAGGGCTCGAAGAACAATTAGCCTTGTGTATGGAATTAGATAGACAAATACTAGCGATGGACGAGGAGATTCAAGTCAATCCGCAATACGTTAAAAAGGCCACGGGCCTGCAGGACGAGGAACAGCCTAAAAGTACATACGCGATGTAATATTATTTGCAAAAAAAACAAACAATTCAAAATACCGTTGAAACGTATTTCTAATCAGAATCGATCGTAATTTTTGGTTTATTAGTCTCCTTTTTATTTTGTTAGAATCGTCCGAATTTGAGTTATTGTTGAGATAAATCCTTAAATTTACTATTAACATGTGTATAGTTTCATCAAGTTTTTTTTTATTAAATAAAAATCACTAAATTTTATTTTCCTTGCCAGTTTTTATTTACCACAATTCCGATTGTTTTCAAAACTTCAAATGACGTCAATCGAAATCTCTACAATATTGTTACATAAAATAACCCAACAGATTTTAAATTCTAACCCAATTCGAGTGTATTACCACAAAAAACGCGCCTCGTCGAGAGGCGAATATTAAAAATAAATTTGTACTTTAATCAACAATAAATGTAACTAGTTTACGAAATGCTAACTTTGGTCGTACAGAGCGTATATATCCTTCACAATCGTCTCTAATACCTGCTCGGGATCCGCGGTCCCGCTGAAATATCGAACGTTGTCGACTTTGCTCTCGACCTCTTTCAATTGCTGCAAGTGCTCGGGCCAGGCGCACCGCTCGAAGTACCCCGGCACGTCCGGGGGATCGTACACTCGCCCTTTCCTGCGATCGAAGCACTCCTCCTTGTTCAAAGTGAAGTAGTACTTTAAATCGAACACGGGCAACAGGGGCTCGTAGTTGAAAATCGAGAATCCTTCGATGAGCAGCAATTTCAAATTGGCCGTGCGAAGTTTACGAGAAATGTTAGTGATGTTTTCTTCGCTTTTCTTGTAGTTGTTGTGGTTAATTCTAACCTACAATTAATGAGCGAATTAATTAATTAATAAGAGATGTAGTGGGAGGCTTACGAGTGATTCGTTGTTTAAAATATTCAAAACATCTTGGTGCATTTTGCTCATGTCTAAGCTGGTGAGGATATCGTAATTAGCGTGGTTCAATTCGGGTATCCATGTGTGCCTGGGGTCGTCGTCGTCCAGGTAATAATCGTCCTGCGTGATTATCTTGCAATTCGGAAAGATCTTATGCAACTTTTGGGCCGTCGTTGTTTTGCCCCCGCAGGTTACCCCGCTTATTCCCACCACCACCAGCGCCGCCTCCCGTTTATCGGACATTTCGGGCGACGACGACGTTTATCGCTCGATTTCGAACGGTTTTGACTGCGTTTATTATCATCACCGTTCGATTTTACGTAAGAAACTGGATTCGGCTTGTAATTACGATTTTTTTCCTGCTAATTGCGACGCCTGGCCTCGACATTTATCAACTTGTTTTCCCATACATTCGAGATAAAGTTGATCAACGATCAATTCGATTCTAAAGTTACGAAATCGCGTCGATGTCTAAACGAGCTGATAAGCGACACGAAATTTTGAATCATTTTTGTGGCCAAAATTTTAAAAATTATTGTTACAAAATCAATTCAAATCCATCGAAATCAACTGTCACTGTCAAATTTGACAGATAACCTAAAACATTTAGGCACGGTCTTACGGACAGGTCTGAAAACTTGACCTATTGTGGCTTTGGGTCGAGGATTCATGAGGAATCGCTTGGAATGCTAGTGTCTAGTGTCGGGAAGGGTTCATTTTTGAATTTCTTGTAACCTGTGTTACAGTACGATGCACGAAATTGTTATAAAAACACTACCTTACTAGCGCCTTCTGTCGAGAGTCACATCATCCGCAAATATTAAGAGTTTCCAGACCTGTTATATACAACCGTGAAGCAGTTAATTAAAAATTACTGACAGTTAGGCAACACAATTTACGCAACATGCTTGTAAAAATCGACGCCAAAACAAATAGATATCTTTTCCTCGAATTATTTACCGTTTTCGATCATTCGTCCGTCTACGCGTCGCATTCGGGACCTGTTGCTAGGCCGTCGGCTCGTTTTATTTTCGAAAATTCGACCCGGAAATGCCGGCACGCCGCAAGCGCGCCGCCTTTGATCGATAAACGTCCTCGATTAGCGCCCTAAGCGAACCTGCCCCGGCAGTCCGGGATCCATTGGCATCGCGAACCAACATGCACGGGCTACGCGGACCGGCCGCTCTCATCCGCGCTGGCTAAACTCCCGAAATATTCCAAATAACAAATAAATAAAGCAGCGAAAATTCAATCGAAAATGCCGGCGGCGGAGGACGCGCCGGATTTCTTCGAATACGCGAAACTGCAGGAGATGAGGGACCGGGCCAGATCCAGAGCGGGCGCCTTTGATGGACTCTCCTTGCCCAAGGACCACTACAACTTGGTCTACGTAGCTTTCATCCTGGGCGGCATCGGATGCCTCATTCCCTATAACAGGCAAGCTACTAGATACTTAGTGCATTTCGTTCGAATTTCGCGCAAAATCTCAACAGGTCGATTTGTAAATAAACAACAATCGCGCTCGAAAATTCCGCGATGTTCGATAACAGATTTCCTTTTGCAGCTTCATCATGGCTTCGGATTATTTCAAGACCAAGTTTCCCGAATCGCCGGTGGTCTTTGACATGTCACTGGTGTACATAATCACTGCGCTTATAACGGTACTGGGTAATAATCTGCTGGTCGATGTCTTCTCGGTGAATGTAAGAATCAAATTCGGTAAGGAATGTCCTCGTTTCACTTATTTTTTCCCTGTACTCGTCCCTGTATAGCCTAAGTAGTCGACGTCTCGATAGATAGTAAGAAGAAGAATCCGAAAACTTTAACTGATTTTTGTAGGTTACTTCATATCATTTCTAACGCTGTGTTTCGTGGTTACGTTGGAAGTATACGCAGAATTAGCGCTGAAAGTGACCTCCTCGTATACAACAAATTTGGTTGCGGTAGCTATCATAGCAATAGGATGCACAAGTGAGTACTTTTGTATTTATTTTGACAAAAAAATTGGTTTGCTAACCGAAACGTAAAAGGCGACAGTTCGTTTAGTTTCGACCATTTTGACTTTTGACGATTTAGTAAGGCTAGAATGTTTTTTCATTGAGTAAGACTTCATATAAAACTACACTTAAGAGCTACATAGATTTCTTTACAACTTTGTACCTCCAATTTTCTTCATGAAAAAATCCTCCATTTTCAGTCCAACAGTCCAGTTTCTACGGATACACCAGCATGCTACCCCCCAAATACATCCACGCCGTCATGGTGGGCGAAAGTAAGTGTACAATTAGTATTAACAAGCAATCAACAAAGAATCCTCAATCTCTACCCGAACATTAAACCCCTTTCGCAGGCCTAGCCGGCGTCCTGACGTCCTTCTCCCGCATAGCCACCCGCTTCTTCATCAAAGACCTGCGCATCAGCACCACCGTCTTCTTCATGATCTCCCAATTCGTGCTGGTGCTCTGCTGCCTGCTCTACCCGCGCATCCGCATGTCCGACTTCATCCAATTCTACGTGGGACGGTGCAAGAAGAGCAAAACCAAAATCACGCTGGAACCTCGCGAGGAAGCCTCTTTGGTAAGCCGACAAGAACGAACCAACGATTCGTCACCGAACAGGCTTTGATTCTAGGTGGAAATCTTCGATTCCCGGTACGGTGTATTGAAGATCCAGACCAGCCCGCCGGCGACCTCGAACGCCCTGAGTTTCGCCAATCCCATGTACGAGCCCAACGGGCCGAGCGCGAGGCAAACGTACAAAGTGGAAGACGTGCTGTACGTGGGCAGGAGGACCGCCGGAGGCAGCAGTAGATTGAATTTCCCCGCTCTGAAAGGTACCAGATTCGCTATAGCAGAGCAAACGCGGAACGGAACTTGTTGGTTTCAGAAAACTTGCGAACCAGATGGAACATCACCAGGCGGATTTACCCTTACATGGTGTCCATTTTTCTGGTGTACTTCACCACGTTGTGCTTGTACCCCGGCATATCGTCGGAGATACACAGCTGCTACATGGGCCATTGGATGCCTATGTTGATGATGATAGATTTCAACAGCGCGGACACCATAGGTGAGCGATTTGACGGACAAATGCGAGCTCTTTAACTCCGAATTGCAGGCAAAATCGTGACGTTTTCGTTCAACTGGACCGGCTCCAGGCTGTTGAAATTGTCGTTGATCAGGATGCTGCTGATTCCGGCGATGTTGCTGTCCATCTTGCCGCCCTGGCACGTCGGCTTTCCCAGGAGCGACATGCTCTCCTTCGCCTACTCCATCGTTTTGGGGCTGAGCAACGGCCTGATGGGCAGCATCCCCATGATACGGGCGCCGTCGATGTTGACCTGGGACCAGCGAGAATTGGCCGGTAAATTTATCCGCTAGATAACAACCGTCGAGTATATCGAGGATTTTAGGTAACATGATGACTTTGTTCTACATGTGGGGCCTCGCTACCGGGTCGTTGGGGGCGTATTGCATCGAGAAATCAATCAGGCCCTTCAAAGCCGAGGAATATTGCAATAACTACAAATACACGAGAGTTGATGCGATGAAGCCGTATCGAAATTTTACCACCGATGCCACTACTTTATCGACTACTCCGTCTACAATCATAACGACGATTTTATCATCTTTGGTGATGACGAATTACACGGAATCGACGTAAAAAAATCCAGTAATAAATTGTACTATACATAGATGAATTTTATATGTTACACCCGTTAAAATGTATCTACCCAATAAATATATTAAACACCTCGAATCGATTGTTACCACCCCGACAACCCCTAGCGCGAATATCGATCAAACAACCGCGCAAAATGTCGCACAGAACCTACACGGAGCTGTTCAAAACCGCCGAAGACGGCCTCCACGAGGCCCTCCAGCTGGAACCGGTCCAAGCGGACAGGCGCGACGACCGCCCCCTCCTGGCGACCCTCTACATCAAGTACATAACCGCCGCCAACCGCCTCGCCGAGTGCGTCGATCAAATGGTCCAGCCGCAGAAGAGGCGGCTCCTGCTGAAGCTGCTCGAAGCCGCCCTGGGCCGGATCCTCGAGCTGAAAGCCGACCTGGTGGAGGCCGACCTCAACGACTTCACCCACTGCGGCGACGCCTTAGAGAAACTGAGAGCCACCCCTGAGCAGAGGGAACTCGCCGTGCCCGATTGCTTCAGAAGGCAACGGCAGGATCAGATCGATTACAACAAAAAAGTAAGTACTTTTCACAAGTTTCTATACGAGTTTCACGATTTATGGGTAGGTTATCGAGGACACGCTGACGAAACTGGGGTACCTGGACGAGGCGCCGAAGAAGCCGCCGGTGAGCGAGCAGCAGGCCATACTGCTCATCCAGACGCACGAGCGCGCCCGCCAGGGCCGCGTCCGCCACCAGTTCATGAAAGAGATCCGATCGACGAAGGAGAAGGGCAAGCCGGCGGCGGCGGAGTCGGCCGACGAGCAGGCGCGGCGCGGCGGCGTCAGCCTCGCCGCCGCCATGCTCATCCAGAAGATATGGCGCGGGTACGTGGCGCGGCGCGCCACCCGCCGGCGCAAGCTGCAGGAGATGCTGCTCATCGGGATGGTGCCGCCGGCGAGGGCGGCCGGCGAGGAGGCGGAGCGCGACCGCGCCAACCGGCGCCGCAGGCGGGAGTTGCAGGCGCAGCGGCGCGCCGAGTACGAGCGAGCCGTGAAGGAGGCGCGCGAGCGCCTGGAGAAGCACCAGCGGGACGCGGTGTTGGAGCAGTTGGGCGATCAGGCGAGGGCGTGGTTGTTGGATTACAAGAACTCCACCGGTAAGATACCGGAGTATACCGGAGAGGATCGCAGCGCTTCGAGGACGTTGCCCAGCAGACAAGGTACTCGACTACTTCCTTTTCAAACTCTCCTCGTTCAGCTGTAACAAGCGTTGAAGGTACCGACAGCGAATTGAGCAAATCCACGCAAATCTCCTCCAAAGAATCCAAAACGAAGAAGGATAAAGGCAGCAAAGATGGTAAACAGGATGCTGCCGAAGAAGAGGACCAATCCACCAAAGCTATGGTCTCCACGTTCGTGCCCGAGCTGAATTTGAGGAAGGAGGAATACGATGAAGTGTGGAGGAACAAGGACGAAAGCGGTAATTTCAGACAGTACCACTACAAGAGCATGATCGAGCAAGAGCAAATGGCCGATATGGAGAAACAGCTCAGGAAAATCGTCGATGAAATGATGATGGCCGAACTGGAGCTGCTTCAGGTACGAAATTTAAGCCTTTTTGATACTAGATGAGCTTTGTTTGATTCAGGAAGCCTTCGATAAGGATAGAGGTCACAAAGGCAAGAAGAAATCGAGCAAAAAGGCGAGGCGAGCGGGCAAGAAGAGCAAAAAGAAGAAAGAGAAAGACCTAACGCCCGACAGGACTACGGAATCCTTATTCGAAGAATTAGTAGCAAATGGAATAATCAAAAAGTACCACAAACGCCCAACAACGCCTGCACACCAACATACTTAAAAATTTCAGGTACCCCGAGGTGTACATGTCGGACTTCCTGGGCGACATTTCCTACCACCCTCCGGCGCCGTTCAACGCGGGCCCCGATCCGCCCATGTCGCTCGGCGACGTTCGCCAGCTGCTCGTCGAGTACTGCGTCGTGCCGATGCTCACCGGCCACCTCCACCAATCCGCTCCCCACGTCAAGTCCCTCCTGCTGGCCGGCAGCCGGGGCAGCGGCAAGAGCCACCTGCTGCACGCCGTCTGCACGGAAACGGGCGCGGTGCTCTTCGATCTGACGCCCTCCAACATCGTGGGCCGGTACCCCGGCAAGTCCGGGCTCATCATGCTCGTCCACCTGGTGCTAAAAGTGGCCAGGTTGCTCCAGCCAGCCGTCATCTACATGGACAACGCCGAGCGGCCGTTCGTCAAGAAGATACCCAAAACGGACAAGAGCGATCCCAAGCGGTTGAAGAAGGATTTACCGAAAATTGTCAAAAGTAAGCACCGGGTTCCTGCCTTCAACACAAGGTCCCTTTCTGCAGCAATAAGTCAGTTTGTTCAAGCACCAGGTCCGGTGTATTGGACGCTGAAGGTGAAGTATTGGATGGCATTTAACTTGCAGATTTCAGCGCGGAGGATCGAGTGATGCTGATAGGCACGACGAGTTGTCCGTGGGACAGCGACCAGAAGCTCCTGCAGCAGGTGTACCAGAAATTCGTGATGATACCGTCGCCGAACTACAGCTCCAGGTACACGGCTTGGAAGTCGCTGCTGGGCCGCTACATGCCCAACAACTGGGAGTTCGACATGGGACTGATGAGCCGCATCTCCGACGCCTACACCATAGGTATAACTCTTCCAAACTTTTCCATACTCCTCCATCCAGGTCTTCATAATCAAACTGTGGGCAGGTGCCATTCTGGACTCGATACGCGAGGTGATGACGGTGAAGAGGACCCTCCAGCTGCGCATCCGTTCGCTCAGCCCCTTCGAGCTGGTGAACGCGCTCTGCAAGCGGACGCCCGTCTACAAGGAGGAGGAGGAGTGCTTCGAGCAGTGGTGGACCAAGGTGCCCATCGTGCGCAGGCGAATCAAAGCCGTGGAAGCGCTCCTCGAGGAGCAAGCCGAAATCCAGGCGAAGCAACAGGCCAAGGCCAAGAAGAAAACTTGAAAGAAAATTATACACCAGGTCCTACACTCCCAAATATTCCCATTTTTTAAACTCCCCCAGGTCCTTTCTAAGTTTCTCACGTAGATTATTCCACAGATCATCCATGAATTCTTCCCCTAGATGCTCTCCAAGGTCCTTTCTCAGGTTCTCACACAGATTCTCCCACAGATTCTCCCGATCCTCCCGATCCTCCCTCAGATCTTGCATCAGGACGTCTTATAGGTCCTTTCTTAGGTTCTTACGTGGATTCTCCCTCAGATCTTCCATCAGGACGTCTTCTAGGTGCACCCCCAGGTCCTTTCTCAGGTTCTCACATATATTCTCCACCAGGAATTCTCCTAGATGCTCCCCCAGGTTCTCTCCGAAGTTTTCACGTAGATTCTTCCAGAGATCCTCCACCAAATCTTCCCCCAGGTGCTCCCCCAGGTTCTTTCTAAGTTTCTCGCAAAGATTCTCCCACTTATCCTCCACGAGGTCTTCCCCTAGATGCTTCTCCAGGTCCACAAATACAAAATATCGAATAATTTGATAATTATACATGATAATTTCTACGTACGTAATAAATCATTAGGAGCGATATTTGCGGAGTTGATTACCTAAAGATTGCAATTCGATAACCTTTCAGGGAGTGCAAGATTCGTCCGGTCATGTATTGGGTGTTATAGGATTGCATGATCGGTTATCCAATGTCATGATTAAAGTGTTTATTGGCCGTTATTGAGATAACGATCCTATTTTCGGAGTTACCTCGTTTTTTATCGGCCGATAAGGGGGCTCATTAACGGGAGAGTTGCGGAGATGGTTCTTCTAGTACAATCAGCTGATTAGAGATAAAATAGAGAAAACGCAATAGGAGTTTAATATATTGCATGTTGGGTTATTAATGATATGCGTTAACTAGATGAATTACGGGTTTTTCGCGAAAAAAAGGAGGCCTAATTAAACCCTATGCTAATTTGAGAAAACAAAAAAAATAACGCTGTAATATTGTAATTCGGGTCAATTAAAAACGAACGTTGTAGTAGGAAAATTGGTTATTATATTTAAATCGCGAAAGTAATTGCGACGCTTAATTTATTTAATGATTCTTTTTTTTTCAGTTGACATTAATAGAATTAAAATATATGCGCAATTACGTGATAAAGAGGTGAATTTTACACGAAACGTTTAAAAAAAAAACGGCCATCAAACGAGAATTTAAGAATAAAATTTTATAGGAATTGCTAACACAACGCATCCAATTTCATGAGAGAGAATAAGTAAAGGTAAGTAATTATTTCTGTCTAATAAAATTTTATATTTCATTTATGATACGACATAAAACGGCACTAGTTATTTAAAATTAACGTCCTTTTAATTTTCTGCATGTAATTTAAATTAACAATAAAATAAATTTTTCAAAAGTAATTATTTAATCGGAAATTAATCCAATAAACAAACAAACGTGTTTGCGCAATAAAAAACAACCGCGTTATTAAATAATTATTATTCGAATTTTTGTTCCACCGCGACAAATCCATTTTTTTTCATCTAATCGGATGCTTATCCCGAAACGCAGGGCCGTACTGGAGCAAATCGCGGTAACCTCAAACGGCCCTGTTTTCAATTTTCTCAATTAATTAGACGGGTTTTGTTGTCGAATTAAACCCGAACAATCGCCTCTGGTACTTCTTCTAGCATCGCCGCAATTGCAAAGTTTATTATCCTCAACGAATCTACGCGATCAAGGTTGAGTTTGCGAGGACAATGGGCGCCCAAAACTTCCACTTCCTTCGGCTTATTTAACCGTTTCTGCTTCACATAATGAGCAGAAAAAAAAACACACAAACACACCAGCGGTACACGCGAAACGTGTAATTTTCCGGCGTTGCCGACGTTAAGCGAATGTGGCAGGTTTTCGGATTTTTTTGAGTGTTGCGTGGGAATTTCGAGAGTAGAGTAGCTTTAAAAAATCTGCAGAAACTGGGAGTTTTGGGAAATTGAGAAGTAAAAAATGGGGAAATGTTTCCTTCAAATTGAGCTTGCAAATTCTTAATTTACCAACAAATTCGAAATTGTAAAACAAATGTTTTAGTTAGAGTTTTTGGAAAATTTCGACAAATTCGTAATTATAAAACAAAAACTAACATAATTCTGCACCTCAAAAAACTCAAAATCCCCCAAAAAACACCTCATATAATTCTCCAAACCCCCTAAAAATCCCCTATTCCCTTATATACGACGGTAGAGTGACAAGTTCTCGACCTGAATGAAGCAGTTGAGAGAGTCATCAATATCATCTTTCAATTTCTAGACGAGAACATTTCACCTTACCCTCGTAAAGATCACCCCAAACTCCCAACTGTCATACGTCAAATTTCCCCAAACTCGGTGAATTCCGGGGAGCCGGCAACGCCTTTTTGGAAAGTTTTTGGAAAAATTTTACAAAGAAAAAATTAGAGAACAATTTATTTTCTTCAAATTGAGCTAGCAAATTCAACAAAAAACAACCTATATTCCAACATACGAGGATAAGGCGACAAGTCCTCGGCCAGTCGAAAAAAGTCATCAATGTCACCTTTCATTATCAAACCGAGAACTTTTCACCCTCGATCACCCCAAACTCCAAACAGTCAAATTTCCCCGAATCTGGTGAATCCGGTGGAGCCGGCAACGGCGCGCCTCCAAACCGACATCGATCAGCCAACTCTCAGGCCGGCGAAGAAAATAGACGCGGCGCTCCATCCGAAAACCACGAGTGTTGCACGCCGCGCGCCCATTGGCCTCGTCCCATCATCTGACCGGCTACCATGCCACATCTGCGGGCGAATAAATGTCGAGAGCGCTCCGACACGCCGGCCAGTCGATAAATTCGCTCGCGCCGCTGCTGCACCCGAACCCGTCGGCGCAACATTTAACTCGAAAATTTTGCGAATTTTCCGCGTTTCACGCCAGTACAACCGATGTGCACCGATCTGTGATTAGTCTACTAGATATTTTGGATTATCTGTCGAAGATTAGGTGAGTTGACATCGCGTACTTTCGCCGGTATCGATAAGAACGTTTGCACAGTTTGCACCGCGTTTTACTCGGAATGTTTATTTTTTACGCTCAAATTCGCTCGATTTGTTTCGATTTTATAGAGTTTAGAAAGTTTCTGTTTGGGCAATTACGACGCCCGCGATTGTAACGGCTTTTATTTAATTTTTTTTGACATATCTGTCAAATTGTAACGAAACTTTTCTTTGTGACATTTACGTCAAATTTTCACCAAACTTATCTACAACCAAAAATGAGGTTATTAGTAATTATTTTAACAAATAATTTTAAATTTAACCAACCTATATACAGATTGCTCCATTTTTCATTGCAACATAGGCTGTGGGTGCAACAAAGACAACTTCAATTAGACACTTATAAAGGAAAAAGAAAGAGTGATATTATGTCATTGCAACTTTTCACTCTGACAACTGTCATTTTAGCAATCTTTCTTCGTTCAGCTCATAGAAATGCCCATGTTGCAATCGCAAATGAAGCACAGTGTATAAAAAATAATACAGGGTGAATAAAAAAACACTAAATTATCCTCAACTACCATAAAAACAACATAAATACCGTTCCATCTTTACAATCTTTACTAACATTTTACATTTTTGTTTGGGACACCCTGTTTAACAAAACACCGAGACCGTAAATTATGTAAAATAACCGCACGAAATTCCCGGTGAATCGACCGATAATCGATATAACCGAGGCGAAATCAAATTTAGTTTATTTTCCTCGACTGCTCATCTCGTCGCAAATATATATACAGGGTGGCCTAGAAAACGCCTACGAATCGCGCGATCAATCGAATGAAGCCGTACGAAAATGAAGCGAGAGAAACCTCGGGCGAATTTAACATTTCTCCGTTTTATTCCTCTATTATTTCACACATGTATCGAGACAGGCGTACGGGAACATACCAATTAAAAAATAATTAATTTTTTCGCATCATTAGCTTTAATGAGCTTATCTGCATCAGGTATGTAATTGCATTATTTGACCCGGCTTGTTCCGCGTACATTTTTTTTTGTGTAATGTATAATTTCCATTACGATTTGATAAAGTTCCCGAATTATTAATTCGCTTCTTAATTAGCGAGAACATTAATTGAATTACGCAAGTCGTTAATTGTGTTTTTAATTTTTCGAAAAATTCGATCGAAATCAGCGTGTCATTATTGTTTTTAACGAGTACTAATTGTTGTGTATTGTATGCTAAAAAAAATTCATTCACTTATCCATTCATTCATTCATTTACGTGTGTTTTGAATAATAATTAAGAAGCGTAATTCGAGTATACAGGGGATGCACAAACTATAATTAGTAGTACATTTTTAATTAGTACACTCTGTATATATATTTTTTTTCGTTATCGGAATCTCCTCGATGAGTTGATTTCAACGATATGTCACCGTTGATTACGGATTATGAAGGATCTACAGCCATTTAAAAATCGCATTTTTTCGAATTTAGATGTATTAAACAATCGAGAATCGATAAAAACATCTCGCATTTTTCTATACAATTTTTTCAACTCTCACCTAGTGACAAGGAAAATCGTTCTATAACTTTTTTATCGCATCCCGTATATGAAAAAACGCGTCTTTAATTTGATCGTACCAAAAGTTTCTCGATGCACCCCGTATATACACATAAGTGCAAATTTGTACGCAATCTGTCTTTATTCAACTCATAGAATTGACCATATTGCAAACAATTTTGCGAATCCTTAATTCCTGAAGAATTAAATTCGTTTTAATTTTCTGGCTGCTCTTCGTATACATGAAAATTTGTTTTTTCCTAAAATATGTCGTAGCAAAAATACCAAAATATAAGACCCAACCTTTGAAATCCCGAACAATTCGTTTTAATTTTCTGGCCGCACCCCGTATACTTGTTTTTGACTAAAATATGTCGTAGCAAAAATATCGTAAGAAACTGAACCTTTGAAATTTCGTACAGTTCGTTTTGTGCGTATATTAAAACTTTATCAGCGGTTACTACACTGATAGTGTATCGGTGTAGTAAGAGGAAAAAAATCACTATCAACAAATGTGCATGGCACGCGAATTTTCGGGGTTATCTCTGTTTTCAAAGACGTTTCCAGTTTCAATGTCACCTTATACGGCTACACTTATTATTACTTATACAACGTATTACGGCGAATTAATATAAATAAATCGCGCTTGTTGTTTCGGTTACGGTAAATTTTTACAAGTCGTTTGACTGTGTTTTTCGATAACAAGAATTAACGTAATTGTATCGGACTCGTGTGACAAATAAAGACCGACAGTAATTCGTTTTAGTCCTGTAAAAATTTTGCCGTAAAATGTGCGTATTAGGTTTCCCGTAAAACGGTTACATCATTTTCGTTTTATCGTTATCGCGGGAATTGCAGAACAATTCGAATAGACGTCTAATAGGCGTTTCTTGTCGTAATTAGCGTAGTAGAACAAGGTGTTTATTACTTTATATACTTTTGTAAACTACGATTTTTTTTGTTAGTAAATACGGGAATATTTAGGCTGTGTGTATGAAGCGCTTCTCTTGGCAACCACGATTTTTTATCGGTGCTATAAATAAGCGGGTTTATTGATTCCGTGTACCCTTTACTGGACATTTCATTAAAAATCGTCAATTACAAGGGTAAGGTGAAAAGTTCACGGCCTGACAATAAAACATCGATATTTCCAGTTCAAAAATTACATTATTCTTCTTGTTAAGTCGAAATCTTTAGTTAGAGACCGTTCTAAATGATTCTGGGGCGTTCTAAATAGTTCTAGACAGTTCTAAATGATTTTGGAGCGTTCTAAATGGTTCTGAAGCGTTCTAAAGGGTCTTAGACAGTTCTAAATGATTCTGGAGCATTCTAAATGACTATGGAGCGTTCTAAATGGTTTTAGACAATTCTAAATGATTCTGGAGCATTTTAAATGACTGGAGCGTTCTATAATGGTTCTTAATGCCTTATAAGAGCCTTCTAAATGGTTTTAGACAGTTCTAGAATTCCTTATAAATGTCCCAAAGAGAGAATTATTCAGGGATAGGCAATTGCATCTTGCCGAGCGAGAGTTGTATGGAATAGTACCTACAGTTTTTCCTAAGGAAGACATTTATTAAGGCCGAATAGCCACACAAATAGAGGCCATGTTGAGAAGAAAGAATAAGAAGAGTTTATAATCTGTTCGCTATCAGGCGATAGTACCAAAACCTAATAGCGAACTGAGTATGAATAATCAAATTTCTTGCAAAAGGTCTAATTATCTATGTAAAAACAACGCTTATTAGATAACTGCTGGGATTTTTTCGTCGCTAATAAACACCTAACGGGCAATAAAACGCCGGAATCACCATAGCGATAATCGCCGGTTAAAAACTTTTACAGCGCCCGTTCGAGGACGTTCGTATAAACAGAAATTTTCGCGACACTTTCGCGGCTACCGTCTTATTATTTCATTATTTCCACTATATTTATATATTTTTTCTCCTATTTACTCCGCCGTATCGCAATCACGACGTGCGGCAATGTCAAACGAAATTGAGGAAACGCTTTATCAACGTCTCTAATCATATCCTAAAAATTCGAAAAAAATTAAAACAAATCGCTTCGAAATCATGCTATCTACTTATAGCCGATTATGCTAAATAATCGGCTCATTATCTTATTATTTTGTTTTGCACACAACATATTTCGTATGGTATATTTTAATTTGAGTGAGCGAACATTACGATACAAAAGATTTATTGGTATTACATTAGTAAAGGCTATATAAAGTCGAATATAAAGACCCTATTCCCTCGTATCACAGTATAGAGATTTCTAGTTGGGGCTATAATAAGCCTCTATACAACAGTAAATCCCTATATCTTGGCTCCATACAATCTGTCTAAAGTATCACTTTATTCTTCTCCACCAGATAGAAATAACAGCAAGAACAAACCGACCAGAATGCCAATATAAAATTGATTGTAAACTTAGGTCTAACTTAGGATAGGAATCCATCCTAGGATTCATTGGTGCAACTGGGCATTAGCCTCTTATAACACCCTATAATAAGTCCCTATAAAACAGTAAATCCCTATATCTTAGCTCCATATAACCCATCTAAAGTATCACTTTATTCTTCTCCACCAGATAGAAATAACAGCAAGCACAAACCGACGAAAATGCCAGCCAGAGCACCGGAAACCGAACGACACTACGGCTCCGCCGTCAACGACGACATCGTCATCGCCGGCCTGTCGGGCCGCCTGCCCGAGAGCGACACCATCGACGAGTTCAAGCGACAGCTCTTCGACGGCGTCGACCTGGTGACCGACGACGAGCGCCGCTGGCCGTCGGGCCTCTACGGCCTGCCGGCGCGCACCGGCAAGCTCAAGCACCTCGAGCTGTTCGACGCCACCTTCTTCGGCGTGCACGCCAAGCAGGCGCACGTCATGGATCCGCAGCTGCGGCTGTTGCTCGAGCTCACCTACGAGGCGATGGTCGACGCCGGCATGAACCCCGGCGAGATGAAGGGCTCCAAGACGGGCGTGTTCATCGGCGTCTCCGACAGCGAATCGTCGGAGTTTTGGACGAGGGACCCCGATCAGGTGAACGGGTACGGGTTGACCGGTTGCTGCAGGGCCATGTTCCCCAACAGGATATCGTACACGTTCGACTTCAGCGGGCCGAGTTACGCCGTCGATACGGCGTGCTCGAGCAGCTTGTTCGCCTTCCAGCAAGCCGTGACGGCCATTAAGACCGGTCAATGCGATTCCGCCATCGTCGGCGGTGTTAATTTACTGTTGAAACCCACGTCGTCGTTGCAGTTCCACAGATTGGGCATGCTGAGTCCGCAGGGTATGTGCAAAGCCTTCGACGCCAGCGGTAACGGTTACGTAAGATCAGAGGCGGCTGTTGTAGTACTACTTCAAAAAGCGAGCGTTTCTAAAAGAGTGTACGCGACGGTGCTCGGCGCCAAAACCAACACCGACGGTAACAAAGAACAGGGCATCACCTACCCGTCGGGACAAATGCAGAACAAACTCATACGAGAAGTCTACGACGAAATCGGCGTACGACCCGAGGAGGTGTCGTACGTAGAAGCCCACGGCACCGGCACCAAAGTAGGCGATCCGCAAGAAGTCAACTCCATCGCCGACTTCTTCTGCAAGAACCGCAAAGAACCGCTCCTCATCGGCTCGGTGAAGAGCAACATGGGCCACTCCGAACCCGCCTCCGGCCTCTGTTCGCTCGCCAAGATGGTGATCGCCATGGAGGCCGGCATGATACCGCAGAACCTCCACTTCCAATCGCCCAACAAAGACATCCCGGCGCTCAACGACGGCCGCCTCAAGGTGGTGGCCGAGAACGAGCCGTGGAACGGCGGCATCGTCGCCATCAACTCCTTCGGCTTCGGCGGCGCCAACGCGCACATCGTGCTGCGCTCCAACCCCAAGCCGAAGACGTCGTGGCCGCGCAAGGCCGACGACGTGCCGCGCGTGATCGGCGTCTCCGGTCGCACCGAAGCCGCCGTGCAGAAGCTGCTCGACCACGTCGAACGGAACAAAAACGACGAGGAGTTCCTCGCTTTGGTCGACGAGGTGCACGCCAGGAACATCTACGGACACGGCTACCGAGGCTACGCCGTCCTCAAGGACGGCCGCACCGTGAAGGAAGCCGCCCAAGTGCCCGGCGACGACAGACCCGTAGCGTTCGTCTACTCCGGAATGGGATCCCAATGGCCCGGCATGGCGAAAGATCTGATGCAATTGGAGTGCTTCAAGAACTCCATCGATCGATGCGCCGAAGCGCTCAAACCGCACGGGATCGTTCTACAAGACATCATCATCAACGGCGACGAGAGCACGTTCGACAACGTCCTCAACTCGTTCGTATCGATAGCGGCCATGCAGGTAGCCCTGACGGACGTTCTGAAGACGCTGGGAGTCGAACCCGACGTGATCGTGGGACATTCGGTGGGCGAAGTCGGTTGCGCCTACGCCGACGGCACCCTCACCGCCGAGCAAGCCGTCCTGGCGGCGTACTCCAGAGGCAGGGCGATATTGGAGAGCAAGCTGGCGCCCGGCGCGATGGCCGCCGTCGGCCTGACGTGGGAGGAGGTGAAGGCGCGCTGCCCGCCGGAGATAGTCGCGGCCTGCCACAACAGCGAGGACAGCGTGACCGTGTCCGGCCCGCCGGACGCCATCGAGCAGTTCGTGGCCCGGCTGCAGGCCGAGAACGTCTTCGCCAAGGCGGTGAAGAGCTCCGGCACGGCGTTCCACAGCAAGTACATCGCCGAGGCGGGGCCGAAGCTGCGCAAGTCGCTGGAGGCGATCATTCCGAATCCGAAGCCGAGGACGCCGAGGTGGATATCTTCGTCGATACCCGAAAGCGCTTGGGGCACGCCGTTGGCGCAGCACAGCTCGGCCGGTTATCACGTCAACAATTTGTTGTCTCCCGTGTTGTTCCACGAGGCGCTGAAGCACGTGCCGGAGGACGCTATTTGCGTGGAAATCGCCCCCACGGGGCTCCTGCAGGCTATCCTCAAGAGGGCTCTTGGACCGAAAACTACTAATATTAGCTTGGTGAAACGAGGTCACGCCGATAACATGGAATTCATTCTATCAGCTTTGGGAAAGTAAGTCTTATAAGGCCGTGTATTTCTAAGGTCTGGAAACATAGATCGAAAAAGTGCCCCGTTATTTGAGGATAAAACAGGGTTCCTAAAACACATTCTCTAATGCTTAAGCGTAAGCTGTTTCCAGACCTTCTTTTCTCCTTTTCTTTCGACAGGTATTGTAATGTTTGGTTTTTTGTAGGATTTTCGCAGCCGGTGCCCAACCGCGTTTCGGGAACCTGTACCACCCGGTGAGCTTCCCGGTGGGCAGAGGCACTCCGATGATCAACTCCATGGTGGAATGGGACCATTCCAGCGAATGGAGCGTGGCCAATTTCTCCGGCAAAGGCAACCGATCCGGCGAATTGGTCATCGACGTTGACTTGAGCAAAGAGAGCGATGCCTACCTAGCCGGTCACGCCATCGACGGTAGAATCCTCTTCCCAGCCACCGGATACCTCGTAAGTTAACTTTCAAAGTATCTAGATAGAGACTAAACGTTGTAAATTCGCAGACTTTAATCTGGAAATCGTTCGCCAAACTGCGCAACGAGGACTTCGAACAACTACCGGTGATCCTCGAAGACGTCCAATTCCACCGGGCCACCATCATGCCGAAGGAGGGCTCCGTGAAGTTCCTCATCAACATCTTCGAGAGCTCCGGCGAGTTCGAGCTGTGCGAGGGCGGCAGCGTCGCCGTCTCCGGCAAGATCCGGGTGCCCGAGGACGCCTCCAAGGAGTCCCTCGCCCTGCCCAAACCGGCTCCGAAGACCGAACAGGACGTGTTGCCCTTGGACACCGCCGATATCTACAAGGAACTGCGGCTGAGAGGCTACGACTACGAGGGCATCTTCAGGGGCATCAGCGAGTCCGACAACCGCGGATCGGCCGGCAAGCTCAGATGGGACAACAACTGGATCAGCTACATCGACACCATGCTGCAGTTCTCCATACTCGGCCAGAACACCAGGGAGTTGTACCTGCCGACGAGGCTCCAAAGGGCCTTCATCAACCCGAAGGAGCACCTGCAGACCATCGAGAGCCTGCCGGAGGGCGAGAGCGTGCCGGTGTACATGTACAGGAACATCGGCGTTATCAAATCGGCGGGCATCGAGTTGCGCGGCATGAAGGCCAGCCTGGCGCCGCGACGCCAACAGGCCCAAGCGTCGCCGAAGCTGGAAAAATACCAATTCGTGCCGTACGAAAACTCCCAGCCTCTCATCGAAGATACCGACAAGAGCAAGGCCCAAGCGCTCACCGTGTTGGTGCAAACCGTGATCGAAAACAGCTCGGGGGCGATGAAAATCAAAATCGCCGAAGTCGGTTCTGACAAACCGGTGGAATCGGTACTCGCACCTATCATCAAAAACATCATCGAATCCGAACCGATGCTCTCGGCAGACGTAACTGTAGTAACATCCACGCCCATCGACGCTTCCTCGCTGGAAACCAACGATATCAAACACCAAATTAAAGATTTAACGGCGGCGCAAATAGCCCAAGACGTCCATCTGGTCGTGCTCAGCGACGTCCTCATGTACAACCGCAGGAGCTTGCTGGACAGCGCCCTCGCCTCCATCAAACCCGGCGGGTTCGTCCTGCTGGAGGAGCTCAAAGGCTCCGCGGACACTTCGAAACTCGCCGACGTGGAAATCGTCGGTAGACAAGTCACCGACATGAAAGTGTACGTTCTATTACGCAAACCCGTCCAAGTACCGGCAGGCGCTGCCGTAATCACCGTCACCGAGCAGAACTTCGCCTGGGTGGAGCCCCTCAAGGCCGCCATGAAGCAGGCCGAAGGCGACAACCAGAAGATCTACGTGGTGGCGCAAGGAGAGGAGCTCAACGGGCTCGTCGGCATGATGAATTGCCTGAAACAGGAGCCGGGCGGCGCCAACATGAGGGCCGTGCTGATCCAGGACGCCGGCGCGCCCAAATTCTCGATAGCCGCCTACGAGAAGCAACTCAAGAAGGACCTGGTGCACAACGTGCTCAAGAACAAAACCTGGGGCAGCTACAGGCACCTGGTGCTCGAGCACTACGAGGACAGCGGCAAGCTGCAAGTCGAACACGCCTACATCAACACCCTCACCAGAGGCGATCTGGCCAGTCTGCGCTGGATCGAAGGTCCCCTCGGTTACTACAAGTAAGTTTCCCTAACTCCTCTACTCTTTCGTTTGCTGATTTAAATATGTTATAGACCTGATGAGGATCAATCCACCGAGCTCTGCCACGTCTACTACGCCCCCCTGAACTTCCGAGACATCATGCTGGCCACGGGGAAGCTTCCCCCGGACGCTCTGCCCGGCGATCTAGCCGGCCAGGAGTGCATCCTCGGTCTGGAATTCTCCGGACGCAACTCCAGCGGCAAACGCGTCATGGGCATGGTGGCCGCCAAAAGTTTAGCCACTACAGTCCTCGCCGATCCCGGTTTCCTGTGGGAGGTGCCCGAGAAGTGGAGCTTGGAGGAGGCCGCCACCATTCCGGTGGTCTACGGCACCAGCTACTACGCGCTCGTCGTCCGAGGCGGCCTCAAGCCGGGCGAATCGCTGCTGGTGCACGCCGGCACCGGCGGCGTCGGCCAGGCCTCGATCGCCATCGCCCTCCACATGGGCTGCACCGTCTTCACCACGGTGAGCAGCCAGGCCAAGCGCGACTTCCTCAAGCAGACGTTCCCCGGGCTGAGGGACGAGCACATCGGCAACTCGCGCGACACCAGCTTCGAGCAGATGATCCTGACGCAGACCGAGGGCAGGGGAGTGGACTGCGTGCTGAACTCGCTGGCGGCGCACCAGCTGCAGGCGTCGGTGCGGTGCCTGGCCGTCGGCGGGCGCTTCCTCGAAATAGGCAAGGTCGATTTGTCCAACAACTCGCCGTTGGGCATGAGCGTGTTCCTGAAGAACACCACGTTCCACGGGATACTGTTGGACGCGCTCTTCGACTCCGAGAGTCCCGAGAAGAAGCTCGTGTTCGATTTGGTGACGGAGGGCATCAAGAGCGGCGCCGTTAAACCGCTGGCCAAGACCGTTTTCAACGAACACCAAGTGGAACAAGCCTTCAGGTACATGGCGTCCGGCAAGCATATTGGCAAAGTCTTGCTGCAGATAAGAGAAGAAGAAAGTCGAGTTACTCAAAGACCTGCTGTGAAAACAGTCAACGCTATTCCGCGTACTTACATGGACCCGGAGAAGAGCTACGTATTGGTTGGCGGTTTGGGCGGTTTCGGATTGGAATTGGCCAATTGGTTGATCGTACGCGGTGCCAGAAACGTGGTACTCACCTCCAGAAGCGGCATCAAAACCGGCTACCAGTCGTTGTGCATCAGACGGTGGAGGGAAAAGGGCGTTAAGATACTCGTATCTACAGCCGACGCCACCACCGAGAAGGGAGCGAAGAGGTTGCTGGAGGAATCCATCGCGCTGGGCCCCATCGGGGGAATATTCAATCTAGCCGCGGTGCTGCGAGACGCGATGATGGAGAACCAGAGCGAAGCCGACTTCAAGACGGTGTGCAAACCCAAAGTGGACGGCAGCAAGATGCTGGACGCGGCGTCGAGGAGCCTCGCGCCCCATCTGGACTACTTCGTCAACTTCTCGTCGGTGTCGTGCGGTCGCGGCAACGCCGGCCAGGCGAACTACGGCCTGGCCAATTCGGCGATGGAGCGGCTGGCGGAGGCGCGACAGGCCATCGGCCTGCCCGGCATCGCCATCCAATGGGGCGCCATCGGCGACGTGGGGCTCATCCTCGAGACGATGGGCGGCAACGACACCGAAGTGGGCGGCACACTGCCGCAAAGGATGTCCTCGTGCCTGGCGGCCATGGACACGCTTCTGCAACAGCCACACTCCGTCGTAGCCAGCATGGTGTTGGCTGATAAGCACAAGGGATCGTCCGGCGCTAGCCAAATCAGCTTGACCGACGCCGTGGCGAATATCTTGGGTATTAAAGACGCCTCCACCGTCTCGGCGGGCGCTTCTTTGGCCGATTTGGGTATGGATTCGCTGATGGGAGCGGAGATCAAGCAGACGTTGGAGAGGAACTACGATATGGTGCTGAGCGCGCAGGAAATCCGGGCGCTTACGTTCGGCAAGTTAACGGAGCTCAGTAGCGGCGGAGGAGGCGGCGGCGCCGCCCCCGTCGCGGAGACTCAACCGCAGGATAACAACGTGCAATTCGACAAGTCCATCGACATCATGCCGACCAAGGTGATCGTACAAATGGCGAGCAAATCGAACGATAACAAGAAACAGCCGGTGTTTGTGTTGCATCCGATCGAAGGAGTGGTGAAGGCTTTGGAGACTCTGGCTAAGAACGTGGACGCTCCCGTGTATGGTATCCAATGCACATCGACGACGCCCTTGACAAGCATCGCTGAACTGGCCAAATATTACATTGCACAGATAAAAACGGTGCAATCGAAGGGCCCGTACACTCTAATCGGATACTCCTTCGGGGCCTGCGTAGCCATCGAAATGGGTATAATACTGGAGAAGAACAACGAAAAAGTGAATTTGCTGTTATTGGACGGTTCCCACTCGTACGTGGCCACGCACACCGGCAAAGCCAAGACCTCCAAGATACAAGGCAACACGGCCGCCGAACAAACCGAGGTGCTGCTCTACTTCGTGTCCCAATTCAAGGAGATCGATCAACAAAAGGTAACTTCGCGCGCGTCCGTTTAAAATTACTCGGTTACTCATTGTACTTATCCACAGGTGGCTGCTGAACTGATGGGTTTGAAATCGTGGGAAGAACGATTAAATAGGTCCGTGCAACTTCTGTCGGGCGCTACGCCCTACAAATCCGAGGACATCTCGACGGCTGCTACTAGTTTCTATCAAAAGTTATCGGCCGCTGACAAGTACAAGCCCTCCGGTAAATTCAACGGGAAGGTTACTCTGGTGAAAGCTATCGATAATTACGTACAAATGGGAGAAGATTATGGTTTGTCAGAGGTAAGAGATGATGCTAATGTTATTTAATAGGTGTTAATTGATTTGTTTTTGTTAAAGGTGTGCACGCAGAAGGTTGCGATCGAAGCCCTAAAAGGCAACCACAGGAGCATACTAGGTGGCAGTAGCGTAGAAAAAATAGCGAGTATAGTTAATAGTATCGTCAAGGTATAATCTCGTTCAGTAGTTCCTTTTTACATGTTATTATTTTGGGTCCAATTTTTTACCAATCTCATTTGTAATTTTTATTTATTAGTTTGTAAATAGTAGGACAGATGTTTGTTTGATCGACGTATCGTAAGTAATTTATTGTTTAGTTAGTTTTTAAGGATCGACTTTATTTTTGTATGATTGTTGATGAGCCAAAGATTTACTTTTCTGATACTATAGAAGGCTAAACTTGACTAAATTTGTTTAATGATGGGGCCAAGGTTTGTCGCTTAACCTTCGGCTTCATCGTTACAGTTGTAAAATTGTTATTACGTGTTGAATAAAATGCTTAAATTAATTAGTTTTTTTCTTATTGTAGTAGTCCTATTCAAAGGACCGCGGGAAAACGTTCGAATAAAAAAGAAGAAGAGCAATATGCAATACCTTATAAATGTTTGTTGGGTAGGAATTTTTTAACGAGTAATAAGTTTAGCGTTACATTTGTGAATAACGAAGTTGTCATAAACCCTGTAAGAATGGAAGACTCTGAGAATGAAGTTTTGTCCATTATGAATATAAATTATGTCAGTAGAAATGAATTAGATCTCCGCATGAACCCTAACATTGACTATAGCGATAGAAGAAAGTTAGTTGATTTGTTTAACGAACATTATGTTGACCAGAGACGACCTATTGAGACTGTGACAAAATACGAAATGAAAATAGTGTTGGAATCTGATCATGTCCCGTTTTATTTTAAACCCCGTAGATTATCTTACAGTGAGACCATTTCTGTTCGTAGGATTATTGATAGTTTACTCGCAGAGGGAGTTGTTCGAGAAAGTACTTCGGAATATAGTTCACCGATCGTTTTAGTAAAAAAGAAATCAGGAGACTTGCGGATGTGTGTTGACTATCGTCAATTGAATAAGTTTACAAAGCGTGATAATTTTCCGATACCTTTAATTCAAGATCAAATTGATAAATTGCAAAATAAAAAATACTTTACTTGTCTTGATTTGAAAAGCGCTTTCCATCATATTGACATTTTGCCTGAATCTATTAAGTATACATCTTTTGTCACTCCATTTGGACAGTATGAGTATGTTAAAATGCCATATGGACTGAAAAATGGTCCTTCAGTTTTTTCAAGATACATTTATTCAATTTTCCGGAGTTTGATATACGAGGATAGAGTTCAGATTTATATCGATGATATACTTATTGCGACTGAGACAATTGAAGAGAATTTGGAGTCGTTGAAGTTGGTTCTTGATTTACTTGTTCAGAATAGATTAGAGTTGAAACTTGCTAAGTGTTCATTTTTAAATTGCAGTATAGATTATTTAGGATATCATATCAGTCAGGAGGGTGTCATGCCAAGTGCTGAACATATTCAAGCTGTAAGAGATTTTCGTGTTCCACGGAATGCTAAAGAATTGCAGAGTTTTGTGGGATTAGCGTCGTATTTCCGCAAATTTGTGCAAAATTTTTCAGTTATCGCCAGACCCTTGCATGACTTATTACGTAGAAGGTCTACCTTTTCCTTTGATTCAGAGCATCTGAATAGTTTCAATAAGATAAAGGAAATTTTAACTTCAAACCCTGTTTTGTCAATTTACTCTCCCGTAGCAGTAACGGAGTTACATACGGATGCAAGTGCGTTGGGATTTGGTGCGATCCTCATGCAAAAGCAGTCTGATAATAAGTTTCATCCAGTTTTCTACTTTAGCCAAAGAGCTACACTCTATGAATCTAAACTTCATAGCTTTGAGTTAGAAATGTTGGCCATTGTCCATGCACTAAATCGTTTCCGAGTCTATTTGCAGGGTATAAGTTTTAAAATCGTTACTGATTGTAATAGCCTTAATTTGGCATTGAAGAAAAAAGATATAAACCCTCGTATTATGAAGTGGTCATTGATCTTAGCAAATTTTGATTATTCTGTTGAACATCGTGTAGGTTCTAGGATGATGCACGCAGATGCTTTGAGTAGGTGTCATGTTTTAGTTTTAGAGGAGAGTACATTTGAGAGAAATTTGATGATCAAACAGTCGGAGGATTTGGCCATACGAGAAATTAGGAGCCAGTTATTCGAGTCTGATAGTAAGCTTTTTGAGATGAGAAATGACGTTGTTTATCGGAAGCATCAAGGAAATTTATTATTTTATGTGCCAGAGGCAATGGAGACTAGTGTAATAAGATCTTGTCATGATGAATTGGGTCATTTCGGCATTGATAAGACTTTGGAGGCTGTTACTCGAACCTATTGGTTCCCAAATTTGAAAGACAAGATTAAGCAATACATTTCGAATTGTCTTAAATGCATAACTTATAATCCTGTCACTGGGAAAGGAGAGGGATTTTTGCATAATATTGATAAATTTAAGGTTCCATTTGACACAATCCATGTAGACCATTTAGGCCCGTTTGAACGCTCTAAAAGACACAATAAATTTATATTAGTAGTCGTGGATGGTTTCACCAAATTTTGTAAACTGTACTCGTGCAAAACCACAAATACCACTGAAGTGATAAAGTACTTGAAACAAAATTTTATTGCCTATAGTAGACCTAGACGGATTATTTCAGACAGAGGTTCTGCATTTACCTCTAAGTTATTTAGTGATTTTATTCTTGAATTCAATATTTGCCATACTTTGATAGCAACAGGTGTTCCCCGAGCGAATGGACAGGTTGAGAGGTTCAATCGAGATATTGTTCATGTGCTTTCGAAATTGGCTATATCTATTGATAGGTGGGATGAAGTTATTGAGAGAGTGGAGTTTGCTTTAAATAATACGGTTAGTAGAGCTACTGGCGAATCTCCGGCAAAGCTTTTATTTGGTGTACATCAAAAAGGTAGTTACGACAATGATCTCAGAGAATATTTACTTTCCATGCAGGAAATGAACCGTGACTTAATAGAAATACGCGAAAAAGCAGCTGTTAATATAGAAAAAACCCAGAGTTATAATAAAACATATTACGACAAAAAACACAAGTCTGCTCATTTATATAATATTGGTGATTATGTTGTTATAACAAATACTGACGTTACACCTGGTGTAAATAAGAAACTTATACCAAAATTTAAAGGACCTTATGTCATTAAGAAAATACTCCCGAATGATAGGTATGTTATTGCTGACGTAGAGGGACATCAATTGACTCAGAGACCTTTTGATAGTGTTTTCGACGCAGCTAAAATTAAACCCTGGATTGGTAACGTTAATCAATGAGTCAATGAGTTTTCTTTTCTTCACTTTATGACGAATTCGTTAGAGTTATTTATTTATGTTTGCGTTTCTTTGGATATTTTGTTTATTTGATCTCGTTTTTGCCACTATGTGATTTGCAGAAATTATGATAATTATGTATTCATCATGTTGGTTCAGTTACCGTTATTTATCATTTATATTGTTTATGTATATTTGTATTTATTTATCATTTTGTAACTGTCATTCGTCGATTAAAGTCTGATTCTTTGACGATAATCGAGGCCGATTATAAGTCAGGATGGACGAGTTGTAGTAGTCCTATTCAAAGGACCGCGGGAAAACGTTCGAATAAAAAAGAAGAAGAGGAATCGACAAGTGACAAGGGACAGAGAGAGGTTATGTTAACTTATGTGAGAATCTGATGAAATACACCACGTTTAATTTCGTTATAAATTTATTTTTAAATTTATCGGCCTTCCTACATTATAAAGTCCATTGGAAATGAAGCGTATGTAATTTCTAAATTTTCATCTTCTTTCATTTCAACGTCCTGGCCTTTTGCTTTATCCACAACTATCTAACTTCATATGTCACAACTATTTTACGTCATATTCATTTTCATAAAAAAAGAAGAATTTTCTAGGTTAGTTTAGTGTTGTGTACAAAATGTCACCTACGCTAATCGAATTGAATCCGAATAGATTGCTATTAGATCCGAATTTCGACGGTTACAAATTATCCCTTCAAGACATACCGAAAAAGCGTAAAGAACTGACTAACTCGGTGGATCGAGTGTTGCTGAATACCCACCAATATTCGTTGTTACACGCGAATTTGTACGGGCTGCACAATCACCTAGTAGGCGATCCCTACGATGATAGCACGAGCGATTCGGTCTATTACATCGATTCCGAATTGAATATATGCAAATTATACGTAGATCCTTTTAACGATGAAATTATAGAACCGATAGAACTGTTACGATTGCCTAGAAACAGGGATCGGACGACCGGGGATTACAACGTTTCGTTGAAGTTCGTGTCGAGTGATTTAGCTGTAGCCGGCGATGGGACTGGTTGGTTTTATATTATAGATACAGGGAGTAGAAACGATGATGATAATTTCTCTATTTGCTTCTCCGATGAGGTGGCCGGGCAAGACGAACCGTTTCTACTATTAGATGCAGTGTTAAAAGGAAATGTAGAGCTGCACGTGCTGGCTTTGAGTTTGAAACAAGAGGATAAAAACGAGAGATACTACAATGTGGTGCATTGGATAACGTTTTCTAAAGAGCAGGATTCTTGGGGACAGACCGCTTTGAGACGGGTTAGAAATAACGGATGCATAAAATACTGTTATTTAGAGAAAAATTGCGATTCTATATACATAGTAAGCGATGAGAATTCGGTATTTACCTTAAATTCTGATGTACCGATTGTTGATACACCCTCGAAAGTCGAAGCAAAAATTTACAAATGGTCGCAAGGCATCGAAGATGTTACGATAAAAATTCCCCTTCCAGACAACCCGATGAAACAACGAGTAAAAGTCGAAACAACCACTTCGAATATACTCGTTAAATACGAGGAAAATACTTTAATATCCGGTGATTTATCCAGTAGTATCGATTCCGATGTAACCGTTTGGAGTCTCGAAGGAAACGTTTTAGAAATCACTTTGAACAAAACCGAAACTGGTAACATTTGGCCTGAACTGATTAAAAACGACACAACCGGCGAGTACATCCTAGAAACGTGTATCGTAGAAGACGTCAATAAATTAAGCAATTTTACCAGCGCAAACGAGGTAAGAAACTCATCCATTTTAAAGATGAAATAAACAGTTTTTCGTTTCCAGGAAATCCCTCAAACAGGCACCACCTTCAACAGCCAGCAAGTCGAAGAATGCGACTTCGAAATCGACAAAACGATAGCATTCGAGCGATTGTGCGGCCACACGAACACACCAACGCACAGAATCAACTTGGGCTGCCATCACGTATCGGTGATTGGCTGCATAACCGACGGGTCTCCTCCTGCCATAGGCATCAGACACGACGTGGACGTTTGCTTGTGGCAACCTCGGATCGATGGCGAACAATTTTCCATTAAGCACGAAGGCACTTTGCTCGCCTTGGGCTACGTTCAAGTAATACAAACAATTCAACAAATACAAAACAAAACCGCTTCATAAACGCGTGTTTCAGGCCTCGAAGCAAAACAGGAAGTTTACAGCGTGTCCCCCGAACTTGAGTTACGCTGTTATATGCGAATCGACCGGCCATCTGTTTATCTACAGGCAGAACAAATCCGTCGCGAACACCGAATTGAGAAACAGAAGCAGCGGTAGAAGAGTGAACAGCATCGCTCAACAACAAGTAGTTCGTTTGGCCCAGGAAGAAGTACTAGGCATATACCCTGCGAACAATCATCTGTTTTTATTGCACGAGAAATCATTGACAATCCTGCAGTTGTGACGTGTAAATAAATATATTTGTTTTATATAAATAACGTTAACAATTAGCGTAATTACTGGTGAGTCGAGACTACTTGTTTGCAAGCAGATTCGATATCGGGATATTGGAACTCGAAGCCTGTCGAAAGGGTCTTTTTAGGTAAAACTTTCTGACCTTCAGTAATCATAATGGCTCGTTCTTTGTTTAATAAACAATTCATAGCCATTTTAGGTACTGGTATTAACGTGGGTCGGTACAAAGCTTTACCGAAGGCCTGTAAAGAAGTCATTACTTGACGTTAAGTCAACACAACGTTACTTACCTTCGTAAAATCCATGTTGGTGCAGGGCTGCGGTGCCACTCCGTTCAAGACTCCTTTAACAGTGGAACATTCGATAGCGTGAATAATGAGATTGGTGATATCGCACAGGTGAATCCAAGGCATGTACTGCTTTCCGTCGCCAATAGGACCGCCTAGGCCCAGATAGAACGGCAAGTACATTTGCTTGATCATCCCGCCGTCCTTCCCCAACACGACCCCGCTGCGGATCGTGACTATCCTGCATTGCTCGCGCGTGTCCGTTCGCTCGAACTGCGCCGCCGCCTCCCAATCTTTGCACAAATCGGAGAAGAAATCGTACGGTTTGGTTTCGGACTCCTCGGTGTACTCCTTGTCGCAGTCCGGCTTGTATATACCGACGCCCGATATGGTCACGAACGCCTCGGGCTTGGCGGGGGCGGCGTCGATCAAGCAGGCGAGCGTCTTGGTCGTGTTGACTCGGGAGAAGTAGACGTTTTGCTTGAAGCCGGCCGTCCATCTTCGGCTCATGTCCATGACGTTCTGGCCGGCTAGATTGACTACGGCTTTGGTGCCGTCGGGGAGGCCGTTTTGCTTGAGCTCGTCCCAGGATAAGCGGTTGGCGCCGGGCATGCGGGATACGACGGTCACTCCGTATCCTTTCGTCTGCAATTTGTTGCACAGCATTCTTCCGATGAAGCCGGTGCCTCCGCCTAAAAAAAATTAATTACGATTTTTCGAACTTAATTGTTGTTGTTAACGTTTACCTACAACTATGTTACTGGCGCACGACATTTTTATTTACGGAAGTAATTGCATAAGTAATTGATCACCGGCGTATAAGAAGGAATAGGAAATGTTGAGTTGAACCTTGATGTGTCAGTGTCACTTTAAGTTTTTGAATTTCTCTGTTTTCTCAGATCAATTCTTGTTGTTTTCTGTTCGTTATTTTTAACGAAAATTTATATTTTGAATACACTACATTTGTAAATATTTAAATGGTTATTCAAAAAAATATAACCCTATTTTTCTTCTTTTTTTTAATAAAATTGAACTTTATCTGTCAAAATTGTCAAATGGCCGAATAGCAATCATGTAACAGATCAAAACATCCTTGATTTATATAAGAAAATAAAGAAATACAACATGATTAAGTAACTACGATTATTTATATTATAAAAACTACAATGATATACTAAATATAGAAGATTATCACATATTATATAATAGCATTTCTACTGAATAATAAACATCAACTTTCTTAAAAACCAATAGGATATCAAAAATTTCGAAAAATCACGAATCGAAGCATTTTCAAAGCCAACTTACTTTCCTTAACAAAGTTATATATTGAGATTTAAATCAGAAAAGCGATTGAATTGACTTTGGAAACACTCCTGCAAGTATTACACTTACTACACATGTTTCTATCGGTTTTTTCGAAAATAAAACAATTACAGTTGAAAAAAAAAGCAAACCGAAACAAAAATTCGAAGTACAGGTTCACACCTACACTATTATAATATATTGCGTATCGAATTCATCATTGCTTAAACAGTCTCGTAGTCGCTTCTGATGTACTTGGCCAAGCAGCAGGAGAAGATAATTCCCATCAGCTAAATATAACGAAATTAATCATTTGTACCATTAAATAGAGTGGTAAATTTTACCTGAATAATAGCCAAACCGATGGCTACTCCTTCCACGTAAGATAAGTTATCTTTAACGAAATCGCCGAATTTTTCCAAGCAACCCTCCCTGTAAATCCCGTGATTTACTGTGCAGATCAATTCAGTGGCTCCCGGTGGTACGGGACAGCAGGATACCGGATAACTACCGTTTAATATTGTTACGTTTTTCCAATCGGTGTAATTAACAACACCGCAACAGGTGAACTAAAAGTATACAGAATTAATTTATTTCAAATTTTGTCTACTCTGAATATACCTCTTTTTGAATTGCGTCCCAAATAGCAGTAGTCTCGTTAAAGGAATCATTTTTGTATTGACCCAACGTGGAATCCAACCTCTCTTTCAAGAATTCCTCAGAGTTACTTTTCAGGAATATTCCAGTAATGCCAACGGCCAATTCGAGAAGGAAAATAATAACCAGCAAAGTGGAATACTAAAAACATTAATTCAGTACAATCGTGGGGTATTCAAAAGGAATTGAGTGGTCCTTACTGTGGTGGTCATGCAGTTATTTTCTTTCATTGCACCGCAACATCCGAAGAATGCAATGAAGAATATTACTACTCCGATGACGATGAGCAAATCTGATATTAGGAAGTATCGGTTGTTCATCAGTTCATCGAATTCATGGAAATATGCTTTGGCGCTAAGTCCAATTGAAATTATAATTATACCGGTTAACTGGAAAAAAATTGAATAAAATTATTGATTTTCATGGAATATTGTTTATTGTATTTAAATGATTATGTAAGATTATTGCACAAAAATGCGTATTTTTCGAAACAATCCATTATTTAGAGATTGACACGCAATGTAGCTTATTTATTATAAACATTGGATTACAAATAAATTGCTATTAGTCATATCTACATGAAATTGTAGATAACACCCGTTATCATATAACGAATACTTTTGAGAAATTTAAGGATTTTATTTAGTATAAACGTGAACAATTGTCCAAAATCTGCATATTTAATTGTCTTTTTTCGGCTTATCAAATCAGTTAAGGAGAAAATAAAAATGGGCCCCCAACAAAGGAAAGGACAAGACCGGTAGACATTACCGTTTGACACTATCATAAGATAACAAAATTTCGATTCTTACCACAAATATCAAGTTGAAAAGTATCAACATGTATCTGGAATAGCTTCTCATCAGCGTAGAGCAATCCATTTTGGATAAATTCACGATAAAGGCAGGATAAACTGTTACTTCGCAGTAGCAATTATGCGAATAAAAGATAAATAAAAAGTGTTGACAATGCAATGTTGTGAAATCATCAAGTTGACAGTAGTGACAGTTACCATCTGATAATCTGTGTTTCGTGATTTTGACGCCTAACCATTAGGCAACCAATTTTACACAATGTTAATTGAAATAAATGCTTATAGATAAATTGTTGACATTATATGATATAATTCCAATAGAATTGTTATTTGTTTTTATTTGTTTTTTTTTTAGCTTACAATTTAAATATATTTAAATACAACTTATTACCAATTATTAAAATTGAAGGTATTGTACGTCTTCATCTTTTTCGAACTAGGTTCCGACTCGGAGGCTTCTGGATTAGTCCTAAAAATAAAGGCGTAACTAAAAAGTAAGATCGACAAATCAATGCAATACATTACCCTTTACTTGTACCAGGATTAATATATTTCCCAACGCCTTTTCTAAAAACCTTCAATTCTTTTTGGGCGTTCTTTTTAGCAGTAATCTTCAATTCCTCCTGCTTGATTCTCTCTAATTCATCTTGCCTTTCTTTCGCCAACTGCAATAAAAACAGAGTTAATTTGCAATTTTATTCCTTACAAACACCTATTACCAGTTCATCTGCTTCATCGTACGGATTAACAAATATCTGAGCTTTAATTAGTACAATATCTTCAATGGGCTTATCCTTATTATCGACTTCGATTTTTTCGAATTCATTCAAAGTCTCAATTCCCCCTACCACTTTTCCAAATACCGTATGTTTGTTATCTAAATGCTTGCAAGACCTGTATGTAATAAAGCTGAAACATTGAGGATTGTAATAATTAGTAATTACTCGAAATATGATGGCTTACAACTGAGATCCGTTAGTATGTTTCCCCGAATTCGCCATAGATAATATCCCTCGTCCCGTGTGAGTCAAGTTCGGCCTGAATTCGTCTTCGAATTTATTACCCCAAATCGATTTACCACCATTTCCCGTATTAGTAGGATCACCTCCTTGAATCTAGAATAAAACAAATCATTAGAACTTAAATTAAATCACTTATTTAAACTCACCATAAAATTTCTGATTGATCTATGGAATTTTGTGCCATTGTAATACCCATTTTCGCAATGTTTCATGAAGTTTTCGCACGTTTTGGGAACTATATCGCAATGTAATTCCAGGTTTAAGTTTCCCATGTTGGTAACCAACCGAACGTAACCTGAAATATATTAGCTGTTTTACTGAACAGTAAGAGACGTAATTAGATGCGCAACCTTTTTTCTTGACTCTTTCGTATCTGACTTCGTCTTCGTGGATTATAGCAGCTTCGTGTTCGAGCGTAGGGGCCATAACGGTGGAGGTAAAGCCCGCAGCCACAGCTCCGGTGGAATAATGGGCTGCGTTAAATTTATCAGCTTTTTCCGTACTTTCCTTTTTGTTGATTTCGATCGTGGGGCTCTTGTATTCCTTGTTCAATTCATCTAGAGTGTATTTAGTTTCGGGGTTAATAGACTTTAGCCGAGCCTGTGGGTTCGATTTATCAGCGAGTTCCTCTGAAAATTAACAGTTAATAAAAGTAGATAGAGCGAATGGTTCGGATTACCTTCGGTTTCAACTCTGTGATTGTTTTTAACATGGTGGAATTTCGAAATATCAAACTTCCCCAAGTTGTGGGGATCCTGCAAAGTGATGATGTCTTTCCTCTCGAAGGGTTCGTCAGTAATTAAATCCTTCCAGTTTTTGTTTTTGATGTTCAATTGCTCGACTGCTTCCATGAGGAATACGTTTCCGCTGGTTGCGATAGCTACGATGTGCGAGCTGTTGGTGAAAGGTTTGAATAGCACGGGGCACTCGAATTCCCCTTCGCTTTTCCTGGTGAACTTGAGTTGAATCAGTGATTTGAAATCCAATGGTTTGCCGGTTACCGGATTGGTTTTGAATTTTTTCAAGTAAGGTATGAGCGCTGGTAAATCGAATATGTTCCCGTCCAGATCGCTGTAGGGGATTTCGTAGGGCTGCAGGGACAAGCAGCAATGGTCGAAGGGTAGCCTTCTGAAGTTCTCGTCTTTGGGTCCATGGCCCATTTTTTTGCCTCCGTACAATGTGGACCATTCGGTGTACGTTATGTACATTTTGTCTTTTTGGTGTTGTCGTTTTCCCATTTTGAAAAATTGTTGAACTCTTGCACTAATCCACAAAATATGTTTGTTTTTTTTGTACTTTGTTGACTAATGGCTTTTTAAGGTTATGTTCTTTATTATTTTATGTCAAAACAACGTGACCGGCAACATAACAAAAATAAATATCCCTAATCGTCTAGCAACTTTTTAAAAAGGAAGTATAAAAACGATCGAATTGTGAAAAATTGAGGAATTTATTGAGGTACTAACTAATAAGATATATCGCATTTTTGCGAATCTGCAATACTATAGTCGAAAATGTAAATTTTTTTTTAGAATATTTTTTGGTGTTTTCATTTAGCGAAGTTGGCGACAGTGTTCCGGTTCTTTCATAAGTTTTACAAGTACGCCATGAGCCAAGATTTGTGAAAAGGGAGTGTAATTTGTTTTCAGTTTTAAAATACAGAAACACTTTATCAGTAAGTAATTTCCACCATTATTTACATATATTCCGTTAATTCAACTCCACACGACCGGTAAATACACCACAAAACCCAAACGAAATTCTCAATCAGGCTAAAAAAATGCAGAAGAAAGGAAGGTGCAATGTGATATTATTACGCTATTATTGCCCACTCGCCGTTTAATTACCCATCGGAAATCATTGCAGGTACAAAACCGTACGTTATTAACCACGGTTTAAGCAGTGAAATATTCAATTATTGTAAATTGAACCCAACCAATTCTCAAAATGGCCGACTAGTGTCAGGAATCAATTTTAATTTCCCAAAGGGTGACATTCTCCGCGTACAAACGCTCACAAAGCCGTTTAAACCCAACGAAAAAAGCTTCAAAACATCCTCCATTCCACTAATTCGTACATGTTTGCGTTAATATCGCACAATCATCGAGTGTTTTATTGAACAAAGGAGTAAATATTTCTATCAGTTTAGGCAATGTCTTCAGCCGGTTCGAGCGGTTCGGGGCGCGGCAGAGGCGGCCAAGCGGCCGTCGGCGATCAGAAGGAGTCCAAGGAAACCAAGCCCAATCCCAAGATGTCCAAGGCGCTGGGCACGTCGGCCAAGCGGATCCAAAAGGAACTGGCCGAGATCACGCTCGACCCGCCGCCCAACTGCAGCGCCGGCCCCAAGGGCGAGAACTTCTACGAGTGGGTGTCGACCATCCTCGGCCCGCCGGGCTCCGTCTACGAGGGCGGCGTCTTCTTCCTCGACATACACTTCTCGCCCGAGTACCCGTTCAAGCCGCCCAAAGTCACCTTCCGCACGAGGATCTACCATTGCAACATCAACAGCCAGGGCGTCATTTGCTTGGACATCCTGAAGGATAATTGGTCGCCTGCTTTGACCATTTCCAAAGTTTTGTTGTCCATTTGTTCCCTTCTCACCGATTGCAATCCAGGTGAGTAATTTATTTTATTATTATACATCCATTCCACCTTCGGTTAGATTTGTTATGCAAACATTAGTAATCTCTAATGGAATATTTTTCGATTTCTTTTATTTATAGTACGAAAATTATCTTATTTACATTCGGATGTTTATGCATAACAAAACGTTGTATTATCGAGTGACATTCTGTGTAGCTTTATCGATTAGAGTTAAATTGTTTTGTATGCATAACAGTAGAGTTAGAGGCACCTTTAGGCTGTAATAGAGCTTGGTAAGCTCGAGTTATTTATTTTATTATATGTATTCTAGCTGATCCGTTGGTAGGCAGCATAGCGACGCAATACCTGCAAAATCGCGAGGAGCACGACCGTATCGCGCGATTATGGACCAAACGCTACGCGACGTGATTCCATTTCCAGTCGAAAGTTTCCATAGAGGTCGCTCCCGTCGCCAGGATGGCACGTTTTTCGTCTAATCATTTATCATTTGTACGTCTTCAACGTTTCGCATACACAGTGTTCGAGGTCTCGCATTGAACAATTCGGAATCCGAGGGATTTTTTTTTGTATTTGTTGTTCTGGTTTAATTTCTCAAAATAAACATCGGACGATGCGGGTTTCGAACACTGCGCCTCCGTACGCTTTAACGTTTTTTAATTTTGTTTTTATATAGTTTTAATGGAGTAGGATTAATTGAAATCTCGTGTGAAATATGCTCCTTTAAACAAAGATTATAAAGAGTACAATTTTCGTGTTGTTCTTTCCGTTTTGCGAGGTGTCTGGAAAAGTTTTGTGTAAGGTAGGCAGCCTAAAGAGTGCCGAGGGTTCCGCGCGATCAAAATAATAATATTGGGGATGTGGAAGTGATGATGAGATTGAGAATTAATTGATTTCCGTGCCTGTAGTCGGTGAATTTAGAATTTGCATATCTTTTTCTGGACACTGTTTCCTTTTTTTCGTTTTTCGAATAGTTGCCAAAGTTTTCAATGTGTTTAATTTGTGAAATTAAGGATAGTATTTTGTGTTGGTGTTTTCGAAGTCGAGAAAATGTGCAAACAACTCTAAATATGTAACTGTTAAAAATATACGTTACATAATTACCTTATGCGATAAATTGGTTGTTGTACTATCTTCGAAGACTTCGTAAGCATTGTACTTACATCATTTGTTGCGAATTTTTATTTATTCTAAATAGAAATAAATATAAGATCCAACTAACTTTAAGAGATCCAAATAGAACTCCCCCCTTATTAATCATAAACAAAATTCGATTACTATTAGTGTACATAAAAATACGCCTAATCTTATAATAATTTAAATCTCTCTTTAATAATAACGTTTATCGAAAGGATTTATTGTTAGTTGGACTGAACTATGAATTTCGTGAAATACATTTTTTTGATTAGCTATTAAAGCAAGCTCGACAAGTAAAATGGACTGAAAATTGTATCGAGATTTTTTTTTACTATAAGTTGAATTGACAGAGCGTCCATTTTAATTGCAGCGTTCCTAAAAATACGATCATAATTGTAAGATTCCTTTAATTGTGCAATGAGCTGTGTTAACATACCGATGATATTAGTGGCATTTGACCTAATGAAATGTCTGTGCTGTTGGTAAGTTGTCTCACAGAACCACCTTGTAGATTGCTTTTGAAGACCTACAATACATTTTTTTTCGATTTTTATAATACTGTTTTATTTTTATTATTTTTTTTTTCTTTGATGTGATAGGAATATTTATTTTTTATGGATGCTTATCGGACGAAAACAGTTTACTCCAAACAGCTTGTGTAAAGTATCCTTTTTTTACTAAATCTTAAGAGAATATGGACTATTCTTCTAGTAATTAAAAGTACTGTTTTAGTTGGTATTGTAATAATAAAATTTACTATGTAGATTCGAGGCGTCTCAATTTTTTTTCCTGGTACAATAACAATGGAAATTAAGGACATTTATTGGCTTACAGTAGTATTTATTGTTCTTAATAACATTAATATACAATATTTCTTCACATAATATAGCCAAAAAGTTCGGCAAAAGATGCAATTTTGTTCTACACAGATCTGTACACAACCACATTAATATAGAAGAAATTTCGAAAAAATATTAGACATTTACAGCGCTAACACATGCCTCGAAAATCGTAACAATTTCAACATTACAATTCCGAAGAGACTTATAGGTTTAAAATATAAAAAAATAGTGCTATCCAGAAAAAACACTGCGCAAAAACTCGCCAGTTATTTTACAATTTCGAACATCTTATAATCAATTATTTCTGGATAACACTTGCCAACATTCATTTTATAATGTTATACTTTCTACTAATGTAAAGGTTATATTTTCGCTGAAAAACTATATAGCATTTTATAGTCGAGTAGAAACGCGGTAAACAATTTTAAAAAATAATTTCCTTGTATATAAAAAATTTTATTTTATTGACTCCCTTAATCGAATGTATTTTTTGGCGTTAGAAAAAAGTCTTGGGTTCCGAAATCGACATGAATAGCGTAAAATTCAAAATTCGAAAGCTAATTGAATTGACCTACGAAACAATTCCGCCCGTTTACCGTTGAATTGCTTGTCTAATATTGCTGAAACAATGAGAAACCAGTTTCTTGTAATTCTTCATGCTGAGATTCGTATTGTAAAACATTAGAAAACTTACTTAAGCTACCTAAGAAAAAATCTAACAAATAAATAGAGAAAAAAAACAAGTTGAAAACGGTGAGAAAATTCAACAAATCAGTCTGGTGACGAAACACACAATGTGACGCGAATTTTGGTATTCCTACTAAAAATTGTACTATATTCGAGTAAAAAATCAGACTTGCGCGTGTGAGTAATGTACTTTGGTATACAAAATTGTGTTACAAACTAAAAAAATACTGAAATACTGAATACTTCTTAAAAATCCACATAATAATTAACGAATTGTCATTGATTTCGTATTAAAACCTCCATTATAAACACGACGAAAAATAGGGTTACTCTTTAGACAAATATACATGAACACATCGTTTTTTTGAATTAATAATCCCTCGCAAACACCCACCATTGTTCCAAAATAAACCTCCGTAATTTTATTGTTCGTGAATCGTGTCATCTAGGACTGTCCAAACGGATTCAAAAATACAATACAATTATTAGTATCGATACTAACAAAGAAACAGTGGACAGAATATTATATGTAATATATAGATTGGGTAAAATGCTATAATTATTACGGTGCGCAAACGTCTCCTCGCATTTACACCGTCTCGTATTCTTTGCGAATCGAACGGGCCAAGCAGCAAGCGAAAATCACTCCAACCAACTGAAACAAAATTAATCGATCGATACTTTCGTCGGGACGTCCCGTAGGTAAAAACAAAACGCACCTGCAAACCGGCTATACCTAGCCCCACGCCGCCTATGATGACGCCGTACTTGTTGAAGATCCCCTTCAATTTATCCACGCAGGAGGCTTGGTAAACGTTCTTGCTGGCCGTGGTGCAACTGTTATCGTCGGGCGTATCGGGACAACAGGTATGCGGCAGGACGTTGTTGTGGGTGACGTTGTACCAATCCCCTGGGCCTCTTACACCGCAGCATTCCGCCTAAAACCAAATTGAAATTTTGATGAAGTAGAAAAACGTGGCAACACTGTAATTATTCGCTTGTTTACCCAGTCACAGAGTTGGCAGGATACAGTTTACCGATTCTACCCCTCTCTACTTTTTTTACCCTCCTCTATCCCTACACACGCCCCTTCTACCCTCTCTTTATCTACCTACTCCCTTCTACCCTCCTCTATCTCTACCTACCCCCTTCTACGCTCCTCTATTCCTACCTCCTTCAACCCTACTCTGCTCCTACCTACCCTCTTTCTACCCTCTGTTCATCTACCTACTCCCTTCTACCCTTCTCTATCTCTACCTACCCCCTTCTACGCTCCTCTACTCCTACCTCCTTCAACCCTACTCTTCCCCACCTGCGCCTCTTTTACCCTCATCTCTTCATCTACATCTACCTACTCCCTTCTACCATCCTCTATCTCTACCTACCCCCTTCTACGCTCCTCTACTCTTACCTATTAAGCATTTATCATTTTTAATCATTTAAGCAATTATTTATTATTTTCAAGAGCGTATTAAATTAATATATTGACCACCCTGTAGGCGTGAAATATTTTTATTAAAGGAAAAGAGAGTCAGTAACTTCTAAACGTGATAAATCACCTAAAGCTTTGTACGCTTATCTTTATTATGGTTAATTTACTACATTGTTGCGTCAATTAAAAGACGCCTACGATCTACCGAGAGCAAAGCACCTATTAAAGTACGAAAATATTATTTCAGGCGAGCCCAAATTATCCGAGTAATTAAAGCGAATCAACGAAAATTGTAGTACTTTAACGCCAATCCTGCTCGAAACCTGGGACCGGCCCTGACCTACCAGCGCGTCCCGGTACCCGACCGCTCTCCTAGGCAGTACGCTAGCGTCCACGGCAGGATAAACACCCCGTATTGTTTTGTTACATTTTCGTTTTTGTATTAAACCGTTCAAAACCAAGTTTACGCGTGTTTAAAACCACAAGACCCCCAAAACCCCTTAAATAATTGGCGCCCAACTCGAGGCTGTGGTTTTTTTTCCCGCAAGTGCTTCGTGTTTTTGAGTTTTCGCTGTGGAAAGTTTTGCCGGTTAGTGAACGTTTCTGGATCGCCATCTTGGTCCTTTCGTTCGGGTTGATCGAGTTCTTTCCCGATCGCAGTTCGCTAATCGATACTAGCTACTCGTTCGCGTTTCGCGTTTCGCGCTCGATCGTTTGTCGATCCGCATTTCTGTCGCTCATCGGTCTGCATTCCTGCGTTGCACCGTTGCCAGACGTTGTGGAATTTCTGTCGTTTCAACGAATTATCGTTGCGAAATTTCGAATAAACATTTCAAACATTCTAAACTTTTCGTGAACATTTACCGGTTCGGTTTTTCGACGCTACACCGTTGCCAGACTTTATAGAGTTTCGTGTTTGTTTTCGAATGGTGAATTATCGAGAGAAATTAAGAAGTTATACGCCGAATTGTGAAAAAGACGACGAGATGGCCTCCGTAAATATGTCTGCTGAACAGTTGAACATCCTGCTAGAAACCATGAAGCAAGCGCTGGTAACAGGTAACTCAGGCCACGCCGGAAACGCAGGTAACTTTGCCAATTGTAACAGTAGATTCGCTGGTAGAGCTAGTGAGGATGTAGAAGCTTTTATTGATGCCATAACCGTTTATAAGGAATGTGTAAATATTACCGACGAAAACGCATTGAGAGGATTATCAATGTTGCTGGACGGACACGCTGCTGTATGGTGGCAGGGTGCTAGATCGAGTTTTGTTTCTTGGGGAGACGCTTTATTAGCTTTAAGGCATGCGCATGGTAAAAATAAAACATCACCAAAAATATTTCGCGAATTGTTTTCGAAGGAACAAGCGGAAGCTGAACCAACCGACGTTTTTGTTAGCAAGTGCAGAGCACTGTTGTCGCGTTTACCGGATAATCCACCTTTGCATGATATTCACAAATTGGATATGATTTATAGCCTACTCTCTTCCAGAATTAGGGAACGGTTGGCCCGGAGCGAATTTGATTCTTTTGAGCAACTTATTGGAAAGGCTAGGTCGATTGAAGAATCCTTCGTGGAGAGTAATATTAATTGTAAGCCGAATAATTGGAAATCCGCAAATGATACCAACACCGAAAAATCTGCTAAACAACGGCCCAAATGTAACTTTTGTAAGAATTTTGGACACGTTCAGGCGGAGTGTCGCAAATTTGCTACTGCAAATCGTAGTGCCCCTAAATTGGCTACTATGCCCAACATTTCGAATTCTAGTGCACCGAATTCGCCTGGTAACTCAAGCATTGCTTGCTACGGATGTAATACACCCGGTTATATACGGTCAAATTGCCCGAACTGTAGGAAGCCGAGTATCAACTCATCCCCGAACCATGCATCTAATTCTGGTCCAGAATTATTGCTGGCCGACGCTGATAGCTTATTTAAACGTCCTTTGCTGTTAGTAACTGTTGCTGGTCTAGAAGGCTTGGCTTACATCGACACTGGTGCGCGATGCAGCATTGCTGGCAATAGATTATATAACCATTTTCTTACTAACCATTTAAATTATTCAATTAAGGAAATGACCTTGACATTGGCTGATGGTAAATCCCAACTAACAACTGCGCATGTGTTTGACTGTCAGGTCCAAATCGTAAATAGATGTATCCCCACGACATTCGTCGCTTTTCCAGAACATACTTCTGCTAAAACTCTTCTAGGAGTTGATTTTATTACTAGAGCTAACCTCCTTATTAATGTGCCCAAGATGGAATTTGCCTTTGCTGATAGTCCTTTTCAGAAGTTCGATTTGGCACCGGAACCGTGTGAAGCCGGTCCAATTTCGATAAACCTGCTCGACTTGATGTTGCGCCCAGACGAGGGTGCCCATTTGATGCCTCAGGAACGGAATGCTTTCCAGGCCCTGCTGAATGAACATAAGGATATCTTCGAGGAAAACGATGAGCCAACTCCTTATGCGGAACATTGCATTAACCTAACCAGCGAGGTTCCAATCGCCGTTCCACCGTACAGAGTTTCACCTCAAAAGGCTGAATTATTACGCACGGAAGTGAACAAACTCTTGGAGAAGGGCATAATCGAGGAATGTGATTCTGCGTTTGCTGCACCAACAGTGCTGGTGCCCAAGAAAGATGGTTCAACTAGGATGTGTATTGATTACCGTAAACTGAATAGTGTTACTATACCAGATCGATATCCATTACCTAGGATCGACGATTTGATTCATACCGCGTCCAACACCGTATATATGTCGACACTGGACCTCAGGAGTGGATACCATCAGGTGACAGTGCGCGAGTGTGATCGCGATAAGACCGGTTTTATTACACCATTCGGTATTTACCGCTTTGTTCGTATGCCTTTCGGTCTCCGGAACGCGCCTGCTACGTTTCAAAGACTTATGGACCGTTTCCGACGAGGTCTTCAACGCGTATCGATTTTGGCATATCTCGACGATATGATCGTGCTGACTGAGACGTTCGAGGAGCATTTAAACTCCCTGCGTCTAATATTCGATCGCCTTAGACTATATAAACTATCAGTTAATCGCGACAAGTGTACGTTTGCTGCAAGTTCTGTCAAATATCTCGGACATTTGATTACACCCAGAGGAATCGCGCCGGATCCGGATAAAGTTACCGCGATACTCAATATGAACACACCTCGTAATGTTAAACATGTGTTGTCGTTTTTACAAACCTGTAACTGGTTCAGACGTTTTATTCCCGACTTCGCCCGCGTTTCTAAGCCATTGTCGGATCTTACACGGAAAAATTGTCCCTTCGTGTGGGACACTATTCAGGATACTGCGTTTAATGTTCTAAAACAACTGTTGACAACCGCTCCTATACTTCGCCAGGCGGATACTACGAAGCCTTTCGTCCTGAAGACGGATGCAAGCTCTTATGCCCTTGGTGCATGTCTCCTCCAGGGGGAGGGAGAGGAGGAGCGTCCAGTAGAATATGCTAGTCGGTTGCTGACCGCGGCCGAACGGAACTACAGCACGACAGAGAGAGAAGCTCTCGCTATCATTTTTGCCCTGAACAAATTTCGGGGATATTTGGAGCACACGCCAGTTTATATTAAAACTGATCACCAGCCTTTGAAGTGGCTGATGTCCCTTCGCTCGCCTTCTGGTCGCTTGGCTAGATGGTCCTTAGAAATACAGGGATTTGACTTACGTATCGACTATATTCCTGGTCGAACAAATCGTGTTGCAGATATGTTGTCAAGACCGCCATGTGATATAGAAACGACCGAGTTCTGCGATGTCTGCGTTGTGACTGTCGAGTTAGCTACAACATCTACCCGTCACCTGCGAGAGGATCAGTTGGCTGATCCTCACTTGAAGCGTATCATCGACACTTTCGAAGCTATTGAGCCGGAATCTGTGGATTTCGCGAGATTTACTGACAGAGGTTACTTCCTAAATAATGGAGTGCTATATCGGTACAACGAAGATGTCGAATCGGATGAGCCTCAGTGGGTGGTACCCCAAACGAAAATTCAAGACGTTTTGAAGGAGTGTCACGACTCCCCATTAGCAGGTCATTATGGAGTCGAAAAAACTATCCATCGTATTGCTTGTAGGTATTATTGGCCAACCCTACGACGTGACGTTACGAAGCACATCTCTAGATGTGTTGAATGTCAGAAATTTAAGCCAAGTAATCTCAAACCAGCGGGGTTAATCCAGACCCCGGTTCTTAGCCAACGTTTCGAGTGTCTAGCAATGGATCTGGTAGGACCCTTGCCGACCACCAGTCTAGGAAACTCCTGGATCTTCGCTGTGTTGGATACTTCCACCAAATGGATGGAACTATTTCCACTACGCCAGGCAACGGCGGCAGAGTGCGCCAAAACCTTGGTAAATGAGGTTTGCCTTCGCTATGGAATGCCACGTAAAGTTATTAGCGATAATGGAAGTCAATTTGTGAGCCAAATCATGCAGCAAGTGAGTCATTGTCTGGGAATTCACCAGTCCCTTACCCCAGTTTATCATCCCGCATCGAATCCGGAAGAACGAAAAAACCGCGATTTGAAGGTACAATTATCCATTTTGGTACAGCAGGACCACACCAGTTGGGATCAAGCCCTGCCTAGTGTTCGTTTCGCCATGAACAGTGCGAAAAGTGCGGTTACGGGTTATACTCCCGCGTATCTAACTTTTGCCCGCGAACTCCGCACCCCTATGGACGTGCATCGCGATATACGTGCCGTAGTGCAAAACGAAAACTTAATTCCCGAAATAACACCGTTTTTACGTCGCCACATTGAATCGTTACTCCGTGCTAAAGAGACACATAGTCGTCAACAGGATTCATCTAAACACTACGCCGATGAACGTTTTCGTGCAATTACTGACTATAAACCCGGTGATAAAGTATTAGTCGAAACACATGCGCTCAGCAACGCGTCTGCTGGGTATACATCGAAATTCGCGCCGCGTCGTGATGGTCCGTATGTCGTCGTCAAACGGATATCACCCACCGCGTATGAAATAGCGTCTGTGGAAGCCCCACACACGCCCGTCGGAAAGTATCACGTTTCTGCCCTCAGATTATTTGTTGCAGATAGTGACCAACCTGATCCATCCCCGATCCGTCCTATTCGAAGACGAGGTCGCCCCGCCAAGATGCCTGTTGAAGTCAACGACGCCCCGACCCGTCCAGAGCCTAAACAGCCTACCAGGACGACAACCCGCCTTCGACGACCTCCACGACGGTATAGCGAGGAGTCGTCGCCATAGACTACTTATTGTGTCCACCCTCGCAACGAGGATTGACACAAGGGGGAGGATTTAACGCCAATCCTGCTCGAAACCTGGGACCGGCCCTGGCTACCAGCGCGTCCCGGTACCCGACCGCTCTCCTAGGCAGTACGCTAGCGTCCACAGCAGGATAAACACCCCGTATTGTTTTGTTACATTTTCGTTTTTGTATTAAACCGTTCAAAACCAAGTTTACGCGTGTTTAAAACCACAAGACCCCCAAAACCCCTTAAAGTACATAATTCGTGAATATAATAGTAGAGCAAATAAATGATTGCGAATAGTGCAAAATATTCTATCTTGTTATTTTTCGGCTCGATTTCGTCCAGACATTTCGACCTAATTGCGCCAACTAAGCACAAACACTTTAGTGTTTTAACTGTTAATTACATCGTCAACATTTGCAGATGTTGAATTATTCATTAAGCTCATTGATTGCTAAAACACAACCTTGAATAAGCGAAAAAAATCTATTTCGAGCGCGTTGTTCCGGTATAAAACAATTCGCTTATGCCGGCACGTTTTTTTATTGGGACACACTGTATACTACATTTTTTTCTCGAGGAATGTGAAAGTAAACCTGCATATTTTTAACTGATAACGTTACATACTAGAAAATTTATACACGGGGTGTATTTAACATTTGGTCGATAATAAAATTCCTTATTATGTACTGCTGGGAATCCTTGAACAATCCAATATTTCAAACTGGGACGCATTATAAATTCATCGAGAGTTATGGAGTTAGATGAAAATTGCGGTTTTCCGTACATTTCCCACGAATCGGGTCGCGTATGATGATGCCATTTTAAAAATTCAAAAATTTCGATCGATCAAATGGAAAAAAAAAACTTTCTTATCTAGCAATCGACCCGATAATATGGCTAATAAGGAGATTTTACGTATGCATTTTTAATACCTCTATTGATTAGTGGACGTAATAAAACGAAGGGAAGGTGAAATTGTCGGTGCAGAGACGGCTTTTAACACGTGCAAACAACTCAATTAATTGCATTTTAATATATTTTTTTTAGTTCAAACAAGATTGATTGTTTAGCCATGCAGTTTATTGGGCAAATAATTAAAGAGTGCTGTGGAACTCTCGCTTCTTTACTATCGATATGAGTGGAAACGTGTACTAGAAAAGGAGCGAGAATTTAAGGTGAGCGATGGTAAAAAAGACCATATAATTTGACATAAGGTGAATTTTTAATTGCACCAACTTCATTGTTGTGATTGTTTTTTTATCAAACTAGATAATCATAGTTCACTTTGTTTATTTGTTTTTTTAATACGGGAATAAATTTAATGATGCGTGACTGAGAATATACGAGAGTTGTACGAAAAAATCGATATAAAATCAGCCGCCCCTGTTATGTAGGGGTCATTACTCTGGACATCGGACAACTCATCCTTATTTATTATTTAATCCCGACCATTTTCTTTATTATTTACCCACTAAATTCGACGATTAAATTACGAAAAAAAAATCCATGAAATTACCAACTTAATGAAACTATTTTCGGACTATTTAAAATACGATTTCTTCGGCGATATCTAGATCAAAATCAAGAATCTGTTTTCTATCTACTTTTTTTTCCTCGATAATTCCAACAAACACAAATCTAATATTAAACGCGCCAGCAACAGATTGTGATATTTCACAAGAAACCATCTCCTTTAATATTCACGACGCTTCCTCGGCGTTTGATTATTGATTTAAATTAAGCAACAGATATGCCCCATTTGTCGCCTCTATTAATACAGAATTTTAACTAGGTACGTGATAGATATATTATTTAATCGATGTTATGAAAAATGCATTAAGAGGACTCTTTTTTTTAACCAATTCCTCTTCTGGCTCGCCATTTATTAACCCATTGCATGCGAATTATCTGAGATATTTTGATAGTACGTTCGATTTATAGCCAATCAAATCGTTATATCGGCCGATGGAATTAAAAACAAAATATTATTAATAATCGTGCGGTGAAAAAATTAAAAATAACGCTCCGTTACCGCGCGCGTTTGTCTCGATTTTTCCACGGAATTATCGGATAAATATGTTTTCAATTAATTCCATCGCTTATCAATAATCCACGAATATTTTTCTTAATACAAAACTTAAAAAGTTGCCTTTTCCTGGTAAGGAGATACCCATCCAATTTGTAACCAAACCATGCAGGAAACGACTCACTAACCTCATGTTGCGCAATATCCCAGGAATCCTTGATATCCTCCTTAGTGTAATACATGTGCATGGTCTTGTTCAATTGGTCCTCCAGCATAGTCTCGACATCCGTTCGTTTGATGTACCCCAGCACCCCGACGACCACCTCCAGAACGAGAATCAGCAACAGGAACACGGAGAACTGTAAAAAAGGACTTACTTATACAGGATGTCCCGATGATAAAATCTAGTTAACTCACGGTTATGATCATGCAGTGGTTTTCCTTTACGGCCCCGCAGCATCCGAAGAATGCTATCACGAAGATGATGACACCTACTACTATCAGAGCCAACGGTATGGAATGGTAGCCGGAATAGACGAAATGGGAATAGTGGGAATAGCCGATGTAGACTATGGCCCCCACTATTAGGACTGCTATGCCAGTTATCTGTAGAAAAAAAAAACACACCAAGGGGGTAACATATGTCCTTAATTTTTTTGTGTATAGGATATTTATTAGAGCGAGAAGATGCGACGCTGCGACGTCGCGACGGCTGTTTGTTTTGAATTTGTAATAATCCAGCAACAATGAGAAAAATAATAAAATACTAGCAATTCATATAAAACCAATACAACTTGTTTTTTCGAGTTTTTTAATGCTTATAATATTGAAATAAAAATAATAATTGTTGTACTTACGGCGAATAGCAAATTAAATGCGAACAACAAATATTTAACGCAAGACATCCCTCCGGACACCATATTCAGAATGAAGCGAAAACTGTAAATAAAAGGGTCTGATCAATAAGTTGCCATAGGCACTAGTGTTTGTATTTCCCTACCTCGGTTTCCTTGAAACTGGGTTAGATATTTAGTTTGCGACGCGTTAGCGGAGTATTCGGATCGGCGGGCTGCGGGATTTTCGATTTCGCGCAAAAATTCAACGCCTACACGTCGCGTCAGCACGGAGATCTGATGGAAATTGGAAAATTGCTTTGCGCAGTACTTCCCACTACCGATTTTAACTTATCTCCGTCGGATTTATCCCTTCTTTTCGGCCAATGAATCCTCTTCCACTTGCAGTTTCGAATATCAAATGTCAAAATTTACTTCTTCTTTTAATTTAATAAACTAAACTTACTCGTTCATTCAGCAACTGTCACACGTCAAAAATACCGTTATACCACATTACACAAGTCGTCTTTACAAAAAAGAAGAAGAATAAATGACAGCTATCGAAACAAGAAGAAGAACATCGTCTTTATTTTCTTTTTGTGGCCTCTTAGGAAACTAGGTAGGTTTATTTCCAATTTTTCCTAAATCATCTTGGCGTATTAATAATAATTTTATGTTATTACACATTCTAGAATATTTGATGAGTGTTTACATCCATTAATTTTCAATAATAACACAATTTTTTTCTTATTTTAGGCCAAAATGGGTAGACGTCCCGCAAGATGGTAAGTTAACCTAAGTCATTCATTACCTCTTTATGACTCATGTATTTCCTTTTAGTTACCGTTACTGCAAAAACAAGCCCTATCCGAAATCGCGGTTCTGTAGAGGTGTACCCGACCCCAAAATCAGAATCTTCGATTTGGGTAAAAAGAAGGCCACAGTTGAAGATTTCCCTCTGTGCGTCCATTTAGTGTCCGATGAATACGAACAGCTCAGTTCCGAAGCGCTGGAAGCCGGGCGTATCTGCGCCAACAAATACTTGGTCAAGCACTGCGGTAAAGATCAATTCCACATACGTATGAGACTTCATCCTTTCCACGTTATCAGAATCAACAAGATGTTGTCCTGTGCTGGAGCTGATAGGTAACGCGTCAATTCCCTCTCGTTCGATTCGTTGTTACGTGTGATTTAATCTTCCAGGCTCCAGACCGGAATGAGGGGAGCCTTCGGCAAGCCCCAAGGCACCGTTGCCCGCGTTCGCATCGGACAACCGATCATGAGCGTTCGCTCCAGCGACCGTTTCAAGGCGTCCGTCATCGAGGCTCTGCGTCGTGCGAAATTCAAGTTCCCCGGTCGCCAGAAGATCTACGTCTCCAAGAAATGGGGCTTCACCAAGTACGAACGCGAACAGTACGAGACCCTCAAGAACGAAGGAAGGCTGGCGCAGGACGGTTGTAACGTTAGGTACAGGCCGGAACACGGACCTCTGGCTGTCTGGAAAAAGGTACAGGAAGAGATCCACGGTTAGGTCTGTCTTTTATAATATGGTTAACGTAAATTTATTCTGAATAAATTTATTTCAAATTATCGATTTATTTATTTTTATACGAATGTAGAAATAATCGTGTAGTAGACTTAACAAAATTAACAAAATCGTTAAATATCGATGTTTAAATGCTCTTCGATCCATAACATGGAGTTGATTATATTATCGAATTCGTTTGGTACACTTCCTAATGGATGATTATCTTCGTATAGGTTTAATCTAAAAGCAAAAAAGTTACAATACTATTTGCTAATGCTTGTTACGAGGATATAATACCTTGTTTTAACTCCATTAGCTTTCAACCTGTAATAAAATTCGATTCCTTGATGCGAGGGAACGCGTAGGTCTTTCGAACCGATTTGCAGTAGAGTCGGAGCTTTGACTTTATGAGCGTGTAAAATAGGAGACACTTTTCTCAAAAACGCAAACAACCCTTCGTCTACTTCACCTTTTTGGCTGTATTCCTTACCGGCCTCGGCGTAAGTCCTAGTAACATTCAAATAATTATCTACGTTCGAGTAAAATTTCGCTGCCTTACCAATCCGGTATATCCGAAGAAATGCTCATAGAAGCGACATCTATGACGGGATTCCTGCTGACGACAGACTTGAATTTGTCAGGGTACTGTCCGCTGAGGTGGGCTACCAAAAACCCACCGTGAGAGCCTCCGGTTAGGGCTAATTTGTCGGGATTTAGCCACGGATAACGGCCCAAAGCGGCGTCTGTGGCCTGTATACAGTCCTCTACGTCGGAGACACCTATTTTACCAGGGAGGTACTCCACGCTTTTTTGGCCGCTTCCCAACGAGCCTCTGAAGTTCACCAATAGCATGGCGAATCCTACGAATAATTAATTTATAAACGGTTGAATTTTGTTGCAATATTACCGTGAGTTAGGTACATAGTCTCCTCCAAATACAGGAAATTCGCGTAAGCGGAATGGGGGCCTCCGTGCGGGCATACCAGTAAAGGTACCGATTTGTTATCGCCACTTTTAGGACCAATATAAATAGCATTGAAATCTCCTGCAAATAAATAAACGCTAAAATAAATTACCAAGTAAACATCTAACACACTCACGCATTTCTCCTGTGGGGGCTTTTAAATCTATATAATCGATTCTGGAGTTCCTTAAACTCGGTACTATTTCGCTGGTGGTTAAATTCGACCAATTAATTCCACTCTCATTGCCGGGCTGCGGTAATTTGCCCAATATAACTTCATCGGGCTTCAGGAAATTTCTCTTAACAGCCAGGACAGTATCATCGGAAACATCCACCACTCTCATACTGTCAGCTCCCGATTCCAACTGAGTTATCGAACCGGAATCTAAAATAATTGATTAAAAATTTGTAAATTTTAAGTGTTTGAACTTACTGATATCGATTACATATGAATTTAACGTGTACTTTTGGTTGGTGTTTACGATTAAACGATTCTGGCTAGCCCAAGGTCTTCGAATAAAGCCTGTATTGTACAGGCCGTAAAATTGTTTACCACCTTCGATTTGCTTCTCAGAGCCTACTATATCCACCACAACGGTACCACAAGTCTACAACAATTTTTTTAACTTTAAAGAACCGGCGACACCCTGTATAATAACGTACATTTTCGTTCAACGGTGCGTTAGCCTTCACGAGCTGCATACAACAAGCGTGAGGGCCACCGGATTTCCTTTGCAGCCACAAAACGAATTCACCGTTCGTTGAAAATATAGGCGACTTAACAGCCACATCTTTCAAAGGTAAACCCACTAAAAATGACAAAAATATTTACACAAAACTTGGTAGAAATAGTTTGTAGTTGTGCTACCGAAGTTTCCGTTGAAATCCAAGCGAAAAATGGTGCTCGGTCGGTTCGAACAGTAGATGAGCCCCAATTTTCTGGGCTCCACTTGGTAGGCTACGCCGACGATATGGGATCCGTCGGGGGAGTATTTCGGTTGAGCTACAAAAACGTCTTCGGGGACGCCTTTTAGTATCTCTACGGTATCGTTTTCTACGTCGTACTGAGCTATAATGGAAGACTTTTTTCCAACTAACTGCTCTCCCCAGTCTTGTATGAACAAATGCTCTTCGCCCTTAAAAAATTGTTGTTGAACAGGATTTTCTAAGGTTTATATTTTACCTTGGGTTTGGGCTCGTCGCCGTTTCCATCGCCTGCTCCGATGTTCCCTTTTCTCTTGTAGAAAGGCTCGGATTTCGGCCTCTTCTTTTCAGCAACGTAGAGTAGCTTGGTTTCGTCGGGAGACCACTCGAATGACGATAACTCGCCTAAACGAATAGAAAGTAGGTTTTTATTCAATATTTTTGCTTTTTTAGCTGATTACCATCAGCGTATACGCTTCCGTGGACGTCCAAAGTGTTCAAATCGACTGATCGTTTCAAATTGTGGCCTTGCCACACTTCCAGGAACTGTTTGTTATCGAAGTCTTTCAAAACGGCCCTGTACTTTTCGGATTTCGATATTCTGGAAATCAATCTACAACAGACCGGTTGAACAGAGCTACTACGATTCCTATTTAAGTACGTACTCATTGCTAACTTCAAATGGAAGTGATTCGGCGACTTTTTCGCAGTTATTAGTAAAAAAGTCTCTGGTAAATTCCGTGTTTTTTCCTTTCTCTAGATTCCGTTGAGTCCAGTTAGTGTTAACTATCCCATTGGATCTTATGTATCCTCCTACTAGAGCAGGAATTTGAGATAAAGTTTTGTAGGTTTTTACGAATTTATCCGCTTTAGTAGTCATTTTTGAACTGAAACGAACAAAGGATCTAAAAAACTCGTCACAAGACTTCGGTTAATCCACGATTGCAATAGTTATTTATTCAAGATATGATATAAAAATACTTTTGAGAATTCAATCTTAAAAATATTTTTTTTGTGGTATTTGACAGTTGGCTGTATTCTCGTAACAGTTGATACATGTTTTTGAAGTGTGTGAACAATTTCTTCTTTACCTATCTGTCATTTTGGTCAAAATGGGTTACAAAATTACATAACCACAATAAACAAAAGTCAGATATAAACTTAGCAACTACCATTTACATTCGAGAACAATGAATATTTAATCGTTTCAATATATCACATACCCTTATGGAATATAATAAATGCCAATTAGTAGCAGCGCAGCTACTGTCGTAAGTTGACGCTCTTGACCTAATTTCTCAATTAAACTGGCCCGATTTTCAGGATAAGAAAAAAGCGTTCAGGCTACAGAGCAACAAAAGCGTCGAACAAAATGAACGCCAGACCGAGAAAAACCTTTTGAAAATAGGCCCGGCGCTGCCGGGGCGGGACAAGCGCCTGTTCTACGTCAGGTCCCACAGCACGTTGAATGCGAGCACGGTCGCGAAAGTAAATGAGACCCCGCTCTTTTGCGAGTCGGTCGTGCTGCGCACGCAGTCCGATGGGCTTCTACACGTATCACGAGTACAAGAAGAAAAAGAAACGCACCCCGATAGGATTAGCTTAGACCGGAGAGGTATAACCACGATACCGATTATCGATGGGGAACCGAAACTCAGATTACTATCCATGCAACACAATTTAGTTAATAGTTTAGAGTTGTTGAGCAGACAGTCGTTTCCAAGTTTAGTTTTTTTGGATATCTACGATAACCAAATAGAGCAAATTCAATATTTAGATAAACTGGTCAATCTGAGAGTACTACTAATGGGGAAAAACAGGTAAACTAACACATTAAAGCATCATATTTATCTAATGCGTGATGTTATTGAACAGGATAAAGAAAATAGAAGGATTGGATGGGTTACTGAACATAGAAGTCCTCGATCTTCATGGGAATCAGATAACCCAAGTGGGAGGTTTGTCGAATTTGGCCGGTTTAAAGGTGCTTAATTTAGCTGGAAATCAGTTAAAAACCATCGGCCTCAAAGACATCCAAGGTTTACTCGCCCTGCAAGAGTTAAACTTGCGCCGAAACCGCCTCAAAAAGCTCCTCGGATTCGCCGAAGTTCCCAATCTAGTCAAACTATTTCTCAGCAACAACGATTTACAAACGTAAGTCTGCTTATTCCACACGTAATCCTCCACTAATATTTTCCACTTGCAGCATAGAAGACATAAGTAGCCTAGCCAAATCGTCGAACATTAAGGAAATAACCATAGACAATAATCCGGTGTTATTGGGAGGAGACTGCATATCCTTTCTGGTGTCCTACTTACCGCTGTTGAACAAGCTCAATTCCATGCAGGTCACCGAGCAGGTGAAGAAAGCCGCGATGGCCTGGAGGCGCAACAAAGAGATCACCAACTCCACGTTCATGGACCTCACCAACGACGTATCGTTGAACTGCAAGCGCGAAGAGGTCATATCGAACGCCAGAACGAACTGGGAGTTCCTGCGCTCCCAGACCAAATGCCTCGCCAACAACAACACCGTGGTGGAAAGGAGCTTGAAAAACCTCAAACCCGACCTGGAGTTCATCATGACGCCTCTCAGAAAATCCGCCCCGACGAGCCACCCGAAATCCGCCAACGTCAAGCTAAAATCCTCCGGCAAAGTGCCGGCGTTGCCCGACAGGAAATTCGGCCTCTTGCGCACCTCCTCGCAAGACACCGAGAACTCCTCGTCCAACAGCTCGGTCAACGAGTACTTCAAACTGCCTCCGATTCTGGTACCGATCGTGAATCGCATCGATGACCGACCCGAAGGCAGCGTGAAGGCCTGCAGTCTTTCGAGCCTCGGCCCCAACGTCGACAGCTCCATCAGCTCGATAGCCAGCAGCAGCGAGATCGAGACCACCTGCTCGTGCATGTCGAAGGAGTCCGATTCGGATTCGGATTCCGAGTGTCGAGTCGAATTGGCTACCGAAGAGATCATGAAGAAGATTTCAATCGAGTAAGTAGGCATTTTTTTCGAATCGTGCACACTATACAGGATGTATTCCTTAAAAGGGACTCGACAGTGAAGTGTCCGGAGGTGGATGAGTCTCGTAGTAAGAATTGTGGCTCCACCGATACATCTAGTGCTCTTTCGCATACTACTACAACGAATTTATCGAACCCCACTAGCGAAATCGCCCCTAAAATGGCGGTGAGGAACATCAGAAGCGCCGTTCACGCTAAACCAGTGAACGCCAAATGTAACGTTAGAGCATCCACGGCTAAAATCAAGAAACAAAGCTCACCGGCCCTTCCGAAAGATAGAGAACAAGGTAGATAAATCGTTACAGTAGTTCATAGGACTCGCCTAATTCTATTGTCTTCTAGGAGGAGATTACTTGATAGAAATCTGCGGCAGACATCTGAACGTGTACGGGCAAGGAGCGTTGAGGTTCATCGATAAAATTTGGAACGTGAACAAAGCCCACGATGTCACTACGGTGAAATTCAACTACGTGAACTTCAACAGCGTCATCGGGGTGTTGGGGAAAGTGAAGCACCGGTTTCCGAACATCGTGAATTTCGTTTTCAAGGAGACGAACATCGGCCATTTGGGGCAATTGAACGGGCTCTCGGAGACCCAGGGATTCACGTCGCTCTACATCGACGCCGAAGGGAATTCCATTTGCGAAAGGAATTGGGAGAGTTACGCCGTTTACAGGCTGGCCCATTGGGGATTGAAGATCATCAACAACAGAGAGGTCTGGAACTCTTGGGACGTACAGCTACGGTTTTAGAATAACGTTTTGTTTATCGTAGATAACTGAAAATGATGTTAAATTGGCGAATGAGGAGTACCAGGGTTTGAGCGATTTGGTGCTTTGGTCGCTGCCTGATGTTATATTGCAGCCACTGTTGATTCGCATGAGGATCGAGGTAAATGAACAGGATGTGAAGAAATGGTTGCTTCAAGCGAATCCGGAGTTGAGGAGTGTTATAAGTAAGGAGGCGTTGCAATGGAAGAAAACGTCTTTGTCTCAGGTGTGTAATCGGATGTAGAAATTCTGAGACGTCCTGTATAAGTGGGGTTTTATATTTTTAGGAAGAAAACGCGATGCGTCAGAAAGCGAAGCAGCACATTTCACGTTTACTAGACGATACGTCCGATGCTGTTAGCAAATTGGTAATGTTAGAGGAGCAATGGTCGAGTATATTGCAAAATTTCGTTGAAAGTACCCTATCGGATTATTCACAACTAGAATTATATATGAAGCAAAAAATGCAAGAGTTGAGTAAGTGATACACACTGCCATTATTTAAAGTTATGGATTTTTTAACACTGTACGCACAGTCGGTTATTTTGATAAGAAACGAATGTATTTTGTTTCGTAAATACATTTTTAACAAACTAATTGCATATTCATTAAGCCATTTAACAGTTTTTTATGTTCCTTTCGGTTTCTGCTATCAGTTTGTTTATGTCGTCGATACTGTAGACTTTTTTTCTAGCCGATACGTCATCGGCCAGTCTGAGTTTGCTCTAAAAATGAATCGTTATTTAACCAATTTTGATTGAAATATACTTAGATTTTTACCCAGAATTGGATGTATTCAGGCGATATCGATTCCAAACACAACAAACGATCTTCCAAGTGCTTGAGACGTTCGTAAACATTCCTCGAAACGGGAGTTGTTAAACTCAGTTGCTCTTCGATGTTTCGCAGCCTCTCCTCCACCCCATTCACCGGGATGTACTTCGTTAAATAATTCGAAGTAGTTTGATCCCGATATTTGTACGAATTCACCACTCGATTCACTAAAACCACAGCAGATTAATAGCTCGAATAGCGGATAAAACCGTGGATGTACCACCTTGTAAATGGCTTTTAGAATCAGTTCGTTTCACAACGGTGGCGTCTATTCTAGCGCAAGTGTACTCGGAGTCCCTGTCGCTGTGGCAAAACTCCCTTATGTTATTCGAATCTATTTCGGCCCGTTTCCTCTCCATGAACTTGGCAATTCTGCTTTCTATCTCGCCTTTCGAGGCTTTTATTTGCACTAGATGCGGGTGGATCGGAGCTGCTTCGATCGCTTGTTCGACATCGAACTTTCTATGAGCGTATTTCTTCGCTGAAATAACGGGCGGTTTAGTAATCAACGGTTTATTAAGAACAAGTAGATAAAACAAGTAAATTTTTAAAACTTAACATCTAAGTACTACGTAGAATTCAAAAAGGAACAATGCTTTTAACAAAGGAACAATTATTTTATACTTTGGTATTATTATTATTAATGGAAGACCACGCACATTCTTTGTTTTCTTTCCAAGCAGGCTCGCTGTCGTCGATGTAGAACTCCTTTTTCCATATGGGGACCGATTTTTTTACTTCGTCGATGCAAAATTCCGTGGCTTTGATGGCATCTGCTCGGTGCGGAGAAGACACTGCTATTATTATACTCGCTTCTTTTACGGGAACCTCTCCTAATCTAAAATTTACGCAGATTAATAAACGCTTAAATAACCTGAACGTTTATATTAACCTGTGATAAATAGCTATGTTCACCACACTCGGCCATTTCTCTCGTAGTGTATCGCATATTTTTTCCATACACTTCAAACTCATGGAATGGTAGGCTTCGTATTCTAGTTTTGTTACTGGTTTTCCATCGAAATTGTCCCTAGTGGTTCCGATAAATACAGAAACGGCGCCACAGGAATTGGAACTTACGGTATCGGTGATGTAGTCCACCGATAGCCTATCAGGTGTTAGTTTTAAATAATTCATTTTGGTGATTTATCCGCCGCTTAAAGGAGGGATAACTGCTATTTCGTCGTCGGCTTTCAGTGCTATAACTTCCTCGGGCTCCGAGAATTGTTCGTTCACAGATAAAATGAGTTGGTTACGCAATTTTTGTAGAGAATAGCAGTCCACGATAGTGTCGAACAGGTTTTTATAAGAAATTGGAGTCTCTATGGATAATTCATCGATGTGTTTACCTACGATTTCCTTTGCTTTCGCGAAAAATAAGATTTTTACATTCACCTTTTGTGTGTTCATAACAAAAAGTCCTAACCTAACATATGTTTGCACTGACAGGTGAGAATTTCACTATTGACTAATCAGGTCTTTGACATTGTTGGTCATACAGTTACTTTTTATACGAAGTAGTTCTGACGTATCCATTTTGAGTAAAAATGGGTAGGTCAGAAATACCATTGTCAAAAATGTCAAATCAATCAAAAAAAGTAATATGGTAATAAAGATTTGAGATAAAAAAATTCGAACTGCAAAAATGAGTAGAAAGTAGTCAAGGTTGTTTTTGAAAGTGTTCATAATATTTCGTTTTATTACATATGTAATTGTAACATATCATTTCCGCAATGGGTGCTAATAGGGTAAGAATATTTTGCTATTTTTCTTAACACTTCATTTTATCTTCACCCACTTTTTTGTTTACTTATCATTTTATATGTGTTTATAATTTGGCTCAATTCTTAACACGTAGTAATATTGCCCACAATATGTTACTAATATATTTAAATGTTACTTAAAGGCTTCCGTTTAATTTTTTTATTAATCATTTAGGAGTTTTTTTAAGGTCACTATATGCATATAATCCCCACATATTTTTAAATATTGTTATTGCACAAATTCTTTTCAAATATTTTTACATGGATTTCAAGCATCATGCCAAACATCCTGTTTAGAAGTGAATTGCACACTTGACTTGCAAAAAATATTAATATAGATAAAATCATTTGTTGAGTTTATCTAGTATATGTTATCATTAAGCACTTATTAACAGATATTTAAGTAACTATCAGACGAAAAAAGCTAAATTTAAACAATGGGTAATACGTGCTCTTCAAAAGTCCTGCAGGTAGTGTTATTTTTATTTATTCTAATTAAATTAACTCCAATATTCATTTAAGCATACCTTTGACGATGACCAGTATTTGTACGACCCAAGTCTACTAAAAAACCTCGATTGGAGCCAGACGAAATCCTGTTTAAATCCAGAAATCACCAACGAAAACACCGGAGAATCCTGGATAGTCGTGAGACCCTTGAAGCTGTCCGATTACGACAGGGGATACGTCCAAATCCTCTCCCAATTAACATCCGTCGGCAATGTTTCCAAATCAGATTTCGAGAGTAAGTTCCAAACAATCCACCGAGAACCTCATTCGATCCCTCCTTCTTCTGCAGATCAATTTTCCAACATGCGTAAAGCCGGAGGATACTACGTAACGGTAATAGAAGACACGAGAAACAACACAATCATCGGCTCCTCCACGCTAATAACAGAATTCAAATTCATCCACGACTGCGCCCTGAGAGCTCGCCTGGAAGACGTGGTCGTTAACAACACGTATCGGGGCAAACAACTGGGAAAATTGTAAGTTTTTCGATCGAAGTTTTTGATAAAAATCCAGCGTACTGTTTGCAGGATCGTTCTAACCGTGACCCTGCTAGCGCAAAAGTTGGGCAGCTATAAAATGTCGCTGGATTGCAAAGACAGCCTGATAGCTTTTTACAAAACGCTCGGGTACAAACTGGAGCCGGGCAATGCCAATTCGATGATGCTCCGCTTCGAGAAGATCGATCCCTCCTGACAATTAGCCGCCAGTGCTGCCACTAAATCGAAACTTTAAATCAGTTTGTTTGTTTGTTTGTCATCGGTGGAGCATTGGCGCTTCGGGTCTTTTTGTTTTACATAAGCTCAATGTAGTTGATTAGTTTTTTTTTTAAATCTAAATAAACTATATTTAAACTCGTGAGAGTTCTGTTGGATTGAGACCTGTAATTTTTTTCCAGGATTGTCTTAACGGTGACGCTTTTAGCGCGCAAATTGGGATGCTACAAAATGACGTTGGATTGTAAGGATAATCTCGTGTCGTTTTATAGAACGTTGGGGTACAATTCGGAGCCCGGTAACGCTAATTCCATGAAACTTCGATTAGAACAGCTCGGCTCGAGTGTTTACGAATAAAATGAATATTTGTTTTAAACATGAGTGTATAAACAGAACATAAACATCTAAATTATGGGTATTATTCTCCTTTGCCTTCGTTCTCGACTTTTCTACCTAACAAATCTATTTTTCTAACGCACCGGCTGTCGACATCGGACTCTGAGCTGTCATCGTCTGAGGAGGAATCATCGTAGCAACCTATGCCCGGTAATATAGCGATGCATTTTAGACCTGTGTCAGGGGCTGCTTGATTTCGCATCGGCTTTTCCTCTATTCCTCAAATATTCGTTAATATTATTCGGAACGATTAAAGATTAAAATTTACCTGATGCCTCGACGGAGCTCCTCTTTGTAGGGGAATGATCGTTTTCGGATTCGCTTAGCTTTCTCTTCTGGCTCTCAGACTTTTTAATCACTACGCCTTTCATTAATTTCTGCTGGCTGTTGGTTTGCTTATCTTTTCTCGTTTTATTTACTACTATTTCGGCTTGCAGCCTCTCGTCTAGCGATTTTTCTTGTAATATGGATACTCTGTTGCGGTAATCGAGCAGTTCTTGCTCCTCCTCTAGTTCCTTCCTTCTATCGGCTTCGGTTTTCTTTCGATCGACGAGATCTAGAAACTCTATCTCATCGTCATCTAATCCTTTAATCATGTTTTCTGGAATATGTGCAATTAGAAAATCGCTTTTAATCGGTTGTGATTTAGTTACTTAATTTGTGAGCTTCCTCATACTCGAGATCCTTCTTCTGTTTTTGCTCCTGCAAACGTTCGAACAAGCTCCGGTTGTCACTCGGCTCCTCCGGTCTAACTGTAGAGGCCTCAAATTAGACTGATTCATGAGGATAGGAACTTGGTACTTACTTATAGGATCATCAGCCTTTCGTACTTTCTCCCATTCCTCTTGTCTCCTCTTTCTTATTTCAGCTACTTCCGATTCGGTAATAAAACCGGAACTCATATTTGTAGTTATTTATTAGTTATGATTTTAATACGGGTGTTTATTTTTTGCTTCGTTACTTAACCTATAATTCTGAAAAAATTGACAGTGACAAGAGAGTGACAGTAACGTCAAGTATCTGTCAATTTAATTTGAGGTTATGTGATTCAGATTGTGTAAACATTTTTGTAATTTCGATATTATGATAGAATAATAGCAAAATGTTTTGTCCAGGAATGTATTGCGGTAGAATTCGTTCAGATGGACTGGAATTAAGCGACTGTGGACCATGTCCCAGGGGGTACAGAAGGAATGATAGTTCTTTTATTTGTGAATTGTGTACAGACGCTCTATCTTTTTACGATTGGTTGTACTTAGGTTTTATAGTTGCTACAGTTGTAGTGTTACATTGGTTCTTCATTGACATGGTCTGTATGCGAAGAAGGTTTGTTTATCAATAACGTTTGAATATTGCCATTTATTTGTTGCTAATTTTTAGTTTTACGAAAGAAATTCTCATTTTACACGGAGCAGCTCTTCTGGAAGTAATTGTAGCTGCGTTTATTTCTCTATTATTGACGCATCCCATAGGTTCTTTAAATGTTCACAGTTGCAGAGTTAGAAAAGTAGCGGATTGGTATACGGTTTTTCACAATCCCATTCCGAACTTCGAAGAAACTATTCACTGTACTCAGGAGGCGGTTTACCCACTGTAAGCGCGTTACTCGTTTAAGAATTTACGTGTTAATCCTGCTTTTTTTAGTTACACTGCTGTGTTCGTGTTTTACGGCTTGTGCTTGATTTTTATGGTGACATTCAGGCCTTGGTTGAGCAAAAAGTTTTTCCCGAAGCAAAGCAAAATGGCAATATACGCAGCTCTGTACTTTATACCTATACTGTTCGTTTCGCACGTTCTATTCGGAGGACTTTTATGTGAGTAATAATAAATTACACCTGGAAAGGTTATTAACAGATTATATTTTCCAGATTACGCTTTCCCTCATTTGGTCCTGGTCCTTTCCGTAGTATCATGTGCAGCCCATTTTGCGGTGAAAATAGATCAACGAGTAAAGTCGCTTTTAGTATCAACTCTTTTGGAACCGAGAAATCTAGTGATCCTGCTCGGACATTGGTGTTTACACGCCTACGGTATAATATCCTTAACGCAATTGGAGGATTTAAGCATCCACGGTCCTTTAATACTTCTGGTACCTATTCCAGCCGTATTTTATATACTTACTTCGAAATTTACTGATCCCAATAAAATTTAAACTAAAGGGGCCTATGAAAGTGAATCTGTGATAAACAATTGCATGAAAATCGTGTAAAATAACTTGATTATTTTGTATATACGTGTGTTTTAATGAGTGTTTGATTTAGACGTAGAAAAGAAATGTTGAAGTTATTATATGTCTATATTTATAAACAAATATAACGCTTTAAAGAGTAATTGTTAATTATTTAGTGTTTAATTGTTTAAAATGAAGAGTTTTATTGAAAGTGGAAGTGTCTGAATAACGTTAGTATTAAAGGCAGCAGATTTTAAAGAAGAAATGTCAATTTTGACGTAATTGCGTCAAATGTCAAAGTCGCGTCCTTTTCTCATCGGCAAATACACCGACGAAAATAAGTGTGTTGATATCTGTTTTGTTGCGATTTATTTAAGTGCGCCGTTGGAAAAAATAAAATGGCAACCCGCGTGTTCGTAGGTGGACTGACTTACAAAATCCGCGAAAGGGACCTGGAGAAGTTTTTCAGAAAGTACGGCAGAATAAAGGAGGTGTCGATGAAAAACGGTTACGCTTTCGTCGAATTCGACGACCACAGGGACGCCGACGACGCCTGCTACGAATTGAACGGCAAAGAGCTGATGGGCGAGCGGATCACCGTGGAAAGGGCCAGGGGCACGCCGCGCGGCAGCGACCAGTGGCGCGGCGGCAGCGGCCGCGACAGAGGTTATGGTCCTCCACGAGGCCGCAACGACAGCTCGAGAGCGCGCGACAAGTACGGCCCGCCCACGCGCACCGAATACAGGGTGATCGTCGAGAACCTGTCCAGCCGGTGCAGCTGGCAGGACCTGAAGGATTACATGCGTAAGGCGGGCGAGGTGACGTTCGCCGACGCCCACAAGCTGGTGCCCAACGAAGGCGTCGTGGAGTTCGTGTCCTACAGCGACATGAAGAACGCCATCGAGAAATTGGACGATACCGAAATCAACGGTCGTAGGATAAGGGTGTTGGAAGACAAGCGGGGCGGTTCGAGGAGGAATCGCTCGATGAGCCGCAGCAGGTCGAGGTCGAGGCGCCGCTCGAGGTCGAGGAGCGGCAGTCGCGGAAGTCGCGGCAGTCGAGGGAGCCGCAAGAGCCTCTCCAAGTCGCGGTCTAGGTCACATTCCAAAGAAATCAAAAGAAGGTCCACTTCGAGATCGGAGGAGAGAAGTTAAGATGGCTCGCGGATGGTTCACAATGTATGTTGTGTTGTCAACGTTAAATCTAAGTTTAATATGGCTTATAATTGATTATTTTTTTTTAATTTTTTTTTTTGTACGATTCGTTTCTCATTTTCGTAATTTTATGTTGCGTTTTGTGTGTGGACTATTTTTTTCGTTCTTGATGCCTTCTGTTGTAGTTTTATGATTGTCTCTTACATCTTCACTTTCTATTTACCTTGAATTTCTTTAAATATCTTAACTCTTTGCGCTTGAATCTAATCATTTAATACCGAACTGCCATTTCGGAAGATGTTGAATAATATAGCACCAATTTCGACCTAGGGCTTTTCTGTTATTCAGCTGAATTGGAAAGATTTCTTTGCATTAATTTTCCATCTGTAAGATCCTTACGATTTAACTCGTAGAATTTACTTGTGCCAATTAAGTGCAAGGGGTTAAATTTGGATTGATCAAATGTGGATATTTAATTTTTATTGATCAAGTGGAGTAATCAGAAGGGTGTGAAAGAACATGAATTACGTAAACTTTGTATCGGATAAATAAGTTAGGTTTCTACAAATTTCGAATTTTTTTTTATGTATCGGTGCATAATATATTTTTTCATGAATACATCAGAGAAAAGGTATTTTCTGTTTTGTAATGTGTAGACAAATAAAAAAAGTATTTCCAATTTCGTTTTAATTCATTAAAGCATCTCATTCATTCGGGGTTCATGATAATTTTGTCGATTTGTGTGGCCTGTTGATAATCGTATTAATTGTGTAAAATTTTAGAATTTCAGGTTTTAAGGCGGTCCCGAACAGTCCAGAACCGGCGCTTCGGGCCCGTCCCTCCTTCCCGTCCCTAGAAGTACGTAGTTCGATAAAATCTAGCATTCACGATCCTGTTCCGTTTAGCATATTCACTCGACAGTTCTATTTATCCAGGACTTACCAGCAATTAGTAACATTGTCCGTAACTTCCTACCAATCTTCTGGTGTGTCCGTAAGCGAGAAAATTCCTAACGTGCCAAAGGCTGGAATGGTTTCCACTAAACACCTTAATCCCCTTTTCAATCGAGACATTCTGGTTTCTAACCAACTCACTAACATTCGATAATCAGGTACAGTATACAAATGGGTTCTAATTTTAATTATAAAACTAGTACTAACTTTTTAATAATGATGTGTTCTTCGTTTTCAGAAAATATTAACAACAAAAATGTAACGTTTAGGGATGGCTAGGGTGCTATTTAGGTGGAGTTTTCAGTCCAGTTTTATTCCAATGGAGACAGTAAATAAAAGATACTAATTTCCAAGTAGTGTTTATTAAACATTCAAAGAATTAAAGTTTACAAGAGGATCTACGTACATGTATTTCTTTGGTTTAGCTTTGGGTTTCTTGCTCTTGGCCCGTTTTCGTTGTACGAGAGTTACATTAGTAATATCATGAAGAATGTCTATGGGTCGAACAGAACCGAAGAAGTCCGTTATAGGAACTCTGCTGGGATCTCTATTGTACAGGTCTTTACGAACGCCCACTGTAGATATGCACACGCTTTTAGGGCAAACTTTCAACTAAAAAATAACAAATTAAAACTAATAATCGCTAAATAAATATACGTACGAATTCGCTTAGCGATCTGTCGCTCTGAGGATTAACTTTTTCCAAAAACTCCAATGCGTAGTAAGTGTATCTATCGATTATGTAGACTCCGATCGAAGAATCTACATGATGCTACAAAACAAGATTAGTAAATGATGTAATTTGTGGGAAAAATAAACCTACCGATAACGAATCTTCTCCAACCAAACTACTACCAACGGCTAATATATTTGGTGAATAGAATCTTTCGTACATCGATGCAGCTTGGCAGGTATCGATCATGAAAAATATTTCATTATACCTAAAAATAGAAAGATGATAAACTTTAATCCAGAATAGAGTTAGTCGAGAAATTTTTCACCTTTGTTTCTGCCACATTTGCTCTAATGCATCTGCCATTTCTTGGCTAGTTATTTCCTCGGAATCCTGGAATTTAAGAAAACCATCGCCCCCGTGGCCCGTTAGATATATCAACACGTTACTGCCTTCGTCGGAGAGCAGTTGCTTCGACCGAGGCGTGCCCGGGGGCAACCTTCCTGTTAATAATCTCACGAAATTCTCCACGGTCACCTACAAATCCTCCAATTAACGCAACAACATTCTCTTTAAGTATACAATTTACCTCGTAACCCCTGTAATCCACCTCCACATCGTCTCCGTAGACATTAATGTGCTGATCGGCGTTGTTAAATACTGTAGCTGGTCGAGGATTTCTCGGGTTACAAGCCATATCATCGGCTATCATAAGTATTATTTGACTGTCTGGTATTCCAAGACGTTTCACACTCCTATATATCGATAGAACATTGGCTACGTGCCTGTAATTAAACCAAAACCTGCTTGTATCCACCAGCACTGCCCAGTTATTTGTGTGACTTTTATTCGAAAATGCCTGAAATAAAATCGAATATTATTGATAATTAAGAAGTGTAAACGTTAGTATTATTACCTGGATGACAGTGATCAGGAATACGAGAAAGTAAGTGGTGATTAAACGCATTTTGGCTTCTGAAATGTATTTGTTTATTAAAATGACATTTTTTAATACATTTGCATGACATAACCTCACATTTTCTTCTTTTTTTATTAGAATAACTCAAAATCGAATGAAAATAATCGATTCTCAGACAATTTTAGTAGTATGTAAAAATCCCCAGTGACAGGTGACAGTGGCGGCGGGTTCGTTTGTTTGTTACTGTAGTTTAAAAATGGCTGTAATTAATTCGTTAGGAACGTTAGAAAAGTTTATTAGTAACTCGGATAACACTGAAAATGCGTTTTATATATCTGAAATACCGGACGTATGCAAGGAATACCCTTGTATTGTGGGAATCGACGAAGCTGGCCGAGGTCCGGTTTTAGGTTAGTTCGAAAAACATTTAATTTACCCAATATTTATAAGTTATATATCGTTTATTAAGGTCCTATGGTGTATGGAACCAGTTTCTGTCCGATAAACGAGCAAATGATCTACAACAAACTGGACTGTGCGGATTCGAAGGAGCTCAACGAAGAGAAACGAGACCTAATATTCACCAACATTTGCAAACAAAACAAAACCGTTGGTTGGGCGGTTGATATAATTTCACCTAACATCATTTCAAACAACATGTTGAGCAGGAAGAAGGTCTCCTTAAATCAAATCTCCATGGACTCGGCTGTAGGGCTTATCAGAGCAGTCGAGAGTGCAGGAGTCAAGATTGCCCACGTATTCGTCGATACTGTAGGCCCGCCCGAGAAGTACCAAAGCTATTTGAAAGGACTGTTTCCCCAATTCGAAATAACTGTATCAAAGAAAGCCGATTCACTCTACCCGGTGGTCTCGGCCGCTAGTATTTGCGCCAAAGTGACTCGAGACCATGCCCTGAAGGTTTGGAAATTCGCAGAAGACATCGAAGCCACCTACGAGAATTACGGAAGTGGCTACCCATCAGGTACTCATTTATATTGCGATGTTGTTCGATGATTCTCACTGATCACTTTCAGATCCGGTCACAAAGAAATTCATGGAAGGGCACTGCGATCCGGTGTTCGGGTACCCGCAGTTAGTGAGGTTCAGTTGGTCGACTGCGGAGAATGCTTTGGAGAAACTAGCGTATCATATCGATGGTGAAAATAAGGAGCCTACTAAGAAAGCTCCTCCAGTTAACAATACTTCCATCACTTCGTTTTTTAAGCTAGCTAATAAGGATAATACGGAAAAGAAAGTACCTCACGAATTCTTTGCACAGAGATGCCTTAGTAGAGACGTTGAGTTTTAGTTATATAAATTTAATTGGTTCACTAATAACTAATTTCGTTATGCACAGAAATCGTATTAAAATCTTTTTAATTTTGCTAATTGATTGTTTCTTCTCATGGCCATTCTTCGCACTCTTTTCCAGTATTCTAAGCTTTCCGGGTCGAGTTCCTCCAGAGGCGGAGGTGGTCCGGTTCTTAGGGTCCACAGCCAATCTGGGTACTCGCTGTCCGGTTTTATGGCAACGTCCTCTCCGGTTTTGTAAATATTGGAACCACATACGAATTTGACTAGTTTTTCTGGATCGGTTTCCACTGGCAACACTTTCTTTTCTACGACTGGACCTAGTTTGCCTCCTTTCTTTTTCTTTAGGGCTCCTCCGAGCATGCTGACACCTGAAAATGATTGGTGTTAAAGAGTTTTAATGACTTGTTTCGATAAACTTACTGGCACTATCTTTCTTTGCGTAATTCTTTTTTGGAAAGTTCAATTGAAACGCCGAAATGGCGGTTCTTCTCACGTTTAGAAGACAGTAGGCACTAGAGAAACTCATTTCTATTTTTGTATATTAAGAAAATTGCCAATTTAGTAAGGTTATGTTGTTATCGTTGCGATTTAATAATTATCAATTATTCCCAGCTAAATATTTATTCCTAAGGAACAATTAGATCGCTACACTTATTAATTCAAACGGCCTCTGACTTATTTAAATTATTTGTACTTAATTTTTTAAAAATTAACAAAATACTTGCTTTTTCTTCTTCTTTTTCAAAATTCTGTTCAATCTGTCAATATTGTCAATTCAAATTTAATGCCGAATAACCAGTAGCAGTCTAGGCAATAAAATATAAGACAGAAGAAGTCAAATGTCAAAACACCTTAACCTAACTTCTGCATGTGTGATGTTTTCGTTGAGATTCTAACAATAATTCATTTAAACTGGTAGAAAATATGGAAAAGGGAAGTTTATCCGATAAAATAGCGAAGATTCTAACCGCTGCTCCTTCTCACAATGATCCGGAAGACGAAAATATCGACGGGACGAAGGCTTCGGTGAATTATTTAAGCTCCGAAGGAAGTGATGATGAAGCGCCTGCTGAAAGCCAAATTAGAAGACGCAATGTCGATTTATTGGCAGATATCGATGAGAGATACGCCGGGCAAAAGGGAAGTCGAAAAAGTTTACTGTCTGATGAAGAGGAAGGTTCGAGTGAAGATGAAATCTTAGATGGTTCGTATTGTCAAAAATGTACATCTTCTTATTAATAAACCTTTTCTTAATTATAGATGACAACTCTGAAAGTGCAAATGAAAGCGAAGAGGAGGATAATGAAGAATACAGCGGGAGCGAAAGTGAATCCGATTACAATTACGAAGGAGAAGACTTGGAACAAAACGAAGATGAATCGAATTTTCAAACGATGAGCGATGTTTCCGCACAAGTGAAAAAAGGCAGGTGTGTGAAAAACCAAATGACCATATGGGAGAGCCTTCTAGAAATGAGGATACAGGTGCAAAAATGCCTATCGGCTGCGAACAAAATGCCTCGACCAGACATCTACTCCGAAATTAGAAACTCTTCTGGTCCAGAGTTTGCTTCCAGCGTCCAGAAAACGAAAAATTCGATTTCATCCGTGCTAGAAAAGCTTTTACTCCTGCAAAATTTACTGTGGAAACAGTACCCCGAAACGAAGAATTTGAAATCGAAGCAATCGACTAAGGAAGAATCAGATGAAGATGATGATGAAGATATAGCCGAAAGTGAAGATGAAGACGAGCCAATACCAGAAAAGCGAAGGAAAATAACTGAATTAGAAAGCGATATATCAAACAAACACAATTTATACAAGGACTATAGAAACAATGTAATACAGAAATGGCACGATAAAACCAGATTACCTGCGATGAAAAATAATTCTACTAATCACTCGATAATCAATCATATCGAACACACTTTAGCAGATAAAGCCAAGTTAATCAAAAGAACGCAACTGAAGAGAACTGAGTACAAGATAGTGGGCGAAGATGCTAAAGAAGATAGCAATGAAGAAATGAAAGAAGAATACAATACAGAAATATTCGATGACAACGATTTCTACCATCAGCTGTTAAGGGAGCTTATCGAAGTGAAATCGGCCGATTTGACCGATCCGGTGCAATTGGGCAGGCAATGGATGCAATTGCAAAGTCTGCGGAGCAAAATGAAGAGGAAGATCGACACGAAGGCTACGAAAGGGAGGAAAATCAGATACGTAGTGCACAGTAAATTAGTCAATTTCATGGCTCCTATGGATAACAGTTCCTGGTCCGATGAAGCCAAAACCGAATTGTTCGGTTCGTTGTTTGGAAAAAACCAAACGGTACACGATTAAAAAAAATTAAACAACTTTAAATATATTTATTTACATTTTCCAACTGGCCAGCCAAAATAAAAAATATTTATATACTCGTACATTATTATACTTTAGTAGAAACTATCATCTAGAATGTGGGTGTGTGTGTCGAATCAATAGTTGCACGAGGAAAGGAGGAAAATTCAAACTTGTATGTACAAGTCGGCGAGGATCGTCGCCGTACGAAATAATTGGTGCCCCTTTTATTGTGTCGTATAAATATTAGAATTATTTTAAATTGCCACCGCTCAAACAAAAAAACATTTCAAAAATATTCGAACTATTCTACTTTATAATATTTATATTTGTATATACGTCTTATTTGCCTCGATTAGTTTACATGCTCTTATACACAATAGTTTGTCTATAATATTTTGGAAAAGTAACGCTTTCATTATAGTCTTAAATGTAACATTTTTATAGAGATTTTTAACGGAACGAAAATTATTTAAACGTTCAAAGAAAATCAACGATAAAAAAAACGAGATCAAATTATGTTTCGTTGGAAAATTGAAAATAAAAAATGAAATATCTTCAGAAACAAAAATATTACATTTTGCTGCGACTCTCGTGCGCTTTTTTGACGATCGCCAATTTAGAATGCGGATCTAAAACCGGCAATTCCGTGTAGGGCGGCTCTTTTGTCCCGTGCAAAATCAACGACCACTCCTTCAGATACCCGGACTGCGGAATTTCTGAATTAAATTTAGCCTGGAACAGAAGAAAATGAATCCCCAAACCCGCTCCAATAACCGGAACATACCTCGAGCAGCCATGTACCTTGCGGGTACTCAGCCCACGTGTGCGTAGTCATAAAGGGCCACTTGGAGAACCCGTCCCTGGAATCGTCGTCGTTCTGCCTTCTGCTCAGTATCATGGACCTCGTTCCCATGGGCGAGGTCAGGAACAGCTCGATATCGCCCCTTCTCGACGCGTTCAAACTAATCACCGCTTGCACGTGCTCCAAATAACGCACTTCGGTGTTCTGGCCTTTGCAAGCGTCCGTCGTTATCTTCAAAATCACCGATTTCTTCGAAGGAATCATACTGGAATTGTAAATTGTTGATTAAAAATTGCACCAGGTCCTAAACAAAACCTCCAATTTTATATTCATTGTCCCTTATTTAGCGCTATTCTTTAATAAAATCACCCGCTTAAACTTCATAATAATAAAAATTTAAAACTGTCAAATTAAACAGTCACCTTAGTTACTCCATAACAACAATGTGAAACTGTCATTTGAAACAATCTCCTTAGTTACTCCATAACAACAATGTAAAACTGTCATTTGAAACAATCTCCTTAGTTACTCCATAACAACAATGTAAAACTGTCAAGTTAAAGAGCTTCTTCATAGGATTGATTAGTGTTATAAAATGAGCGCTATTCTTTAATATCCTACTTACTGGATTTCCTTGATATCGCCTGCCTCGCAATGGAACCTCGGCGGCACCGTCTTCCAGCGCCTCGCCAACGCCACCATTGCCCCCGCGTCCAGTACCCCAAACCCGAACAGGTGATTGAACTCCAAGCCGACTCCGTTCATAGTCCAACGAAACCGCCCTTTGGCATCGAACAAAGAGTTCCTCTTCGACGTCAACACCGTCAGGTGCTGGATGTCCCTCCAGGACAGCTTGTTGCTGTAAAAACCCTTCCGTACATTTCACATTTGCCGGAGGAAAATTGTTGCTTACTTGGCTTCGAGAGCGAGCGCGAAAACGCCGGCGGCCTCGGGGGCGGCGGCCGACGTGCCCGAATGCGTGGTGGTGCACTTCCCGTACAAATCGGTGGTGGCCACGCCGGTGTTGGGGTCCTTGGCGCCGTTGCTGAACGTCGAGGCCAGCGTGGAGGAGCAGCTCTCGTCGTAGTGCGCGTTCTGGCCGTCGTTGATGGCGCTGTTGATGCTGATGGTCCACATGCTGGCCGCGTAGCCGTCGCAGTTGCAGTCGTCGTCGGCGCCGCCGTCGCCGCTCGCCCACACGTAGATGCTTCCCAAGCCGTTGCGGCCCTAAGCACAGCATTACTAAGTCTACAAATATGCGCAAATCGAGTCGCCCAGGACCTGGGTGGCCTTTGGAGATGACGTCCACTAACTCCTTCTATCTATACAGAACATACTTTTTTGTAAGTTGTACCTTATGACACCATCTTCAGAGGGCCCCCAGGTCATTTCTAGAAGCTTATTGTACGATTCACCTTTATTATCGGTGATAATCGAATAGGAAATATCCAAACGAGGGGGTGTTTTGAAAGGGATATTTCACCAGAATCGATTTAACAGGAGACCCGACTTCTCAATTTGTTATAGTCCGACGCCGATAATCGGCAATCAAATTTCCATTTACCCTTTTCACTGCGTTTCGCGAGCCAGAAGGAGACGACGATTAGGGTTAATGCCGGTCCGGGGAGTTCGCAATTTACGAATTAATCGGATGATTGAAATTTATGAGTTGTTTGGAGGTAGAAATCACCAGGTGCTGGTGTTGATGGACTCACCTCGTTCACGCCTTTAACGATGGCCCTCATGGTGGAGTTCCTGGGCCCGTCGACGGTCTTGCCGTCGTCGGTGGGGCCCCAGGAGGCGCTGTAGATGTCTATCAGGTTCGGCTCGTGCCCCATGGAATTCGCTTCGATCAAATCGGTCATGTACGGCTGGTCCAGCATTCTGATTCCTGCGAAGTAAATTAACGCCTTGTTTTTTTTTATTGCGTTCGATGTTAATTAGCGAGAGGACGTTCATCGGGGAATTCTCTATGGAGAGCGAAAGGGAATTGATGGCTCAATAAATCCCGCTCGTCGTTCGCCGGCGATTATTCAGCGGATTCCGCGGGATTTCCGAACCTTCTTGTCGATATTTAGCCCTTGTATTTATTAGTTTGTGCCTTGCGATTTGTACCCTTACGTTTCCTCGGGGATTACCCCGTGATTTGTCGGTTTAATTTCGCTGAGTAAACGATACGTTTTCTAATGCAATAAAATCAATTTGTTGGTTCAACATTTTATAGTAGTTTCGAGAGAGTAAAAGAATGTAGAAAATCTGCTATCTGATGTATCTAAAATTCCTGCTGCATAAACACAATATTTGCGCGCTTTTCACCGGAATATTTTCATATGGGAAAATTGATTTACAATTTATTTACCTGCTATTTTCGAATCGTACGCTACGCCGACCCCGCAAATTCCATTATCTCGAGCAGCTGCCACTTCTCCGGCGCACCGAGTTCCATGGCTGGAATTCACAACGAGAAAAAACAAAAAAAATCAATTTTGGCAATGAACCGATTAGATACACGTACGCGCATAATTCCCTAAATTCCTAACAATATGCGGGCGAATTTACATGCGAAATTCGCAATCGAACGAACAACTCCGCTTACCTGTTGAACCAATCGTCGGTGTACCGCGGGTACGGATAGGGATCGTTGCTGCTGAAGTCGTAGCTTGCTTGAGAATTCTACAAAAAACAAATAGAATATTCCTTAAAAAACACCCTTTTGTATGCCGCTAATTTACTCGGAAGCCCGGTCGCGTCTGCATCGAAACACAAACATCGTTAGCGAGCAGAAGAGCCGGCTAATTGTTCGCTACAGGATTATTCCCGCGTGGGTGCCGCAACTCCGGACAAAGCTCTATCAAATTCGAGTGTAACGTGATTCAATTTCGCTACCTATTCGGAGCGCGTCGCCCGGGAATCCCCTGTCTATTTTTTTTATCTGTCGAGTTACTTACATAGTTGAATTTCAAATCGGGATGCATGTAATCCACACCTGTAACAAAATTACAAACAATAGCCATTTAGGTCGAATGTGATTGATTCGTTATTATACGCCGAATTGGGGGTTTGGGTTCAATCGGTCCTGCGATACGCGGAATTATCCAATTAATTACTTACCGGGGTTCGATTTGGTTATAATTAACCACGCTTCTCTCGTATGAATTACGAATTACAATCGATTATATATCACTGATATGAATATACAATGCGAAAATCCGCTTAATTTAATCAAATTCAGTTCTCCTTTGATACAACAACGCCCGAATGAGTATATACAGAGTTGTAAAATGGATATTAAATTCATTTCGAAGTAGTGTAGAGAAATTTGAAAAAAAACGCTTATTTTCTAACAGTCGTTACTGTAGCTCTATACCACAAAATCGATTTCCACCTCAATTAAACTTCTGTCAAACGAAATGTCAAATTTGTCAGTTTTGTATTTGTGTATCTTCGAACGTCTATAAGTCACACTTATTCGTCTATAAAACGAAAAAAGTCAGTAATTTTCGGTAAATATATGTAGGTAACACATTTTTTGATGCGGAATTTCGTTTTGTAACAGTCGTTACTGCACCTCTATACCACAAACTCGAATTCCACCTCTATTAAACTTCTGTCAAACGAAATGTCAAATTTGTCAGTTTTTTTATTGTTGTATCTTCGAACGCCTAAAGTACCACTTATTCGTCTAGAAAACGAAAAAAGTCAGTAATTTTCCGTAAATATATGCAGGTAACACATTTTTTTTGGTTCGGAATTTCGTTTTGTAACAGTCGAATCGTTACTGCACCTCGAATTCCACCTCTATTAAACTTCTATCAAACGAAATGTCATTAACGTCAAATTTGTCAGTTTTTTTTTATTTATATATCATCGAACGCATCTTAAAGTCCTACTTATTTGCGTACAACGCAAAAAAAATTAGTGAGGAATTTCGAAATTCGGTAATCAGATAAACATAGGGTAAATTATTAACTTACCGTCGTCCATTATAGCAGTGGTGACGTTCTTGCCGGTGATTCCCTGTGCCCAGGCGGCTTCGACGTTCAAATCGAGCTTGGCTTTGCCGCCGTTCTGGCCGGTGTTCTTCAAGTACCACTGGTAGGGGAAGTACGGGTCGGTGGGGTCCTTGTGAGGCTCGATTTTGACGAGGTTCTCCACCTTCAAGGGCTTGTAGCCCCTTTTGACGCGAATGAAGCCGGGCTGTTGCACGGCGGTGTGCACCTGGAAGATATTCCATCGGATAGATTATAGCCTTTGTCGGATCGTTTTAAGTAGCTCTTTGTGGAGTACAGTGCGTACAAAAGGGAGATTTAACGGCGAAACTCTTTTACTGGAAGTGTGTTTTAACTGTAGCTGTGGGAGGAAAATTCCCATCAAGTGGGGATTAGTCTGGAAAACTTAATCTTAGACAATGAGACCGGGGCTTAATGCTGTTCCTTTCTGATCGTTATCCGAATGGAAGAGGTTTCGTTTAAAATCCAATATTCCTACGGGAAAATATTGTCGTTTTTGAATTCTCAGTATCTCGAGTAGGTATTATTCGGAAATCTCACGTTTCGCCGGCTATTTCGTGACGCAAACGCCTCCATTCTGCATTATATTAAATGGAAAATAAAATGGAACACTGGCAATTTCCAGTACATGTCGGGAAATTTACTTGTCTACTATACAAAAGCGCGAATAACAAGCTGGAATGGAAACGAGAATAAAAGAATATTACACACGTGAAATTCGCTGCAAAAAAATTAACGTGAGCGCAACAGAAGCTATTAAAATGAATATTCAATAATAAAATTCAACTCACCAACGGGTCTACTTTAAGTTTTCTCATATGGGGTATACTTCTTTTAGTTCTAGCAACAGGTAGAGCTCGATTGACGAAGTGGTATTCGCTCCTGGATCCCAGAACCTTTAATCAAACAAAATACATTTATTTGAGCATTTGATATTTACCGTGAACGTTGCTCAAACATTAGAGTTTTGTATCGATCGAATTCGAAGCCTACGACATTGCTCTATAAGCGCAATTAACGGGAAAATCCCGAGGAACCCCCGACGATGGGGAACGTATTAAAACTTCAGACTTGTTTTATGTATCTAATAAAATAAGCGTAATTTAAATTAACTTTCCTCGCCGTCGATTCCGGCGTTCGAAGCGAATAAATTCGATTATCAGCCTTCCTTATTACACGTACATTCTCATTCTAAGTTTAGACCGTTCCTGTAACAACCGATAGTTTCCGATTCGTTTTCCATCTCCTAATGAGATCCGTTTTTACCCCGAACAAACGTTTTATTTCAGAGGAAATTAGCGTTGTAGGAGCATCGAAAAGCCCGCTGGCTTTTTATCAATTCGCGTAAATATCGCGGGGGAAAAATCGATCGGGATAATAATTCGTGGGCGAAGATCGACCCACTTGATATCGTTCATCATGTACAATCATCGTCATTACGTGTTTACCCTCCTCCTATAAATAAGAGTTGATTTTATAGGTATCGGAAATGAACTTGGAAAATTCACCGGAGTCGAGTGTGTACTGGGAAAGATGAATTTTAATGAGGTTTTAATTTTGCTGTATTTCGTTTAGTCGGTGATGTGGTATGTGTGATTTTAAGTAGAAAATTACATTCCGGTTTAATTAAAACGCCGGCAATTAATTACAGAGTTTAGGAAGGTTTTTTGCAGGTTCATTTTCCTCTCAATTTCGCCTCTCTTTTGTTCCAGCTTCATTCCCTTTACAATCTTCATTAAAGGTAGAGCAAAAAAGTATATGTAGGTTCATAATTTTATGGAACATACATGTAATTTATCCATACTGATTATAGGATCAATATAAAACGAGTTTCACAGACTGTATTTTATTGCAAGATGTAAACGAGCAGACAATATGAAAACTTTGCTATTCTTTTTTAAGCAGCTTTCCCGATTTGCCGCATTCTTTGATGTTGTATATAAAGAATTTTTCAATTACTTAAGGCATCCTTTGATCGTTTACTTTCTTATTTTCCCATTGTTCGTTCCATTCTTTTCTACTTATCTTTTCATTGATATGCCACAAACTTTACTACAAGATAAAGCATTTCCAATATGAATTGAATATTATTAATTGTTGAAATACTTATATGTGTAGGTTTAGGAGAGCGTCGTTTTATTGAAGCGCCTCTTTCACACCGTATTCAATCGAGTTTAGAAAGACCATACAATCGCGTACGGGTGCAATTAATGTCGAACAACAGCTGTTCAACAAACAAAAATTGTTTATACTCACGGGACCCATGTTGACGAAGCCGTGTCGCTGGGCGACGTCGCGGGCCTCCCCCGGGTCGACGTCGCGCTTGAACCGCACCAGAAACGAGTTGCTGAAGAGATCGCCAGCGTAAGCGGCGCCGATCGAGAGCAGCACGAAGCAGAGCAGGGCCCTCCGGAGCGGAGGCATATCGTCGACTATCGGACGGCTGTTCGTGACTGGCGACGCGTCGCGGCGCGCTCCGTCGCGAGCGTCGTCGCCGTCGGCCTCTGACGTCAGTCGCATCGATTTTTCGAGCCAGCGCCGGCTTTCGGTCGGGGAACCGTGCCCCCATACGCCGCGTTTTTTCTCTTCGTGATCGATAGAAGAAACGGGATTTATACGGGAGCGACGCGTCGGGTAGATAAAATGTAACATTTTGTTGCATAATTAGAAAAAATAATCGAATGTTTTTTTGAGTTTGATAACTGTTTTAATAATTGCTTGTTCTTACCAGCGAGACAAATTTACTAAATTTTTAAATTTAGCTCAAAAATTGGCTGAATAACCTTATCCTAATCCACTTTTTACAACCGGATTAACTATTGTCCTATTAAAACGAGACCTCTTAATCGATAATATTCTCAATAAATCGAATGAATATCGATTATTTACAAAACAAATTTCTTTACAATAATGTATCCTTAAATCACCTTAATCACTCATAATATACAACAATAATTTATATAATTTATTTAATAATAATCTAATTTATAAAATAAAAAACCAAAAAAATCGTTACAAATAATCGAAATCATTTTGACATCCCTGACAAGTGACATTGAAGTTTGAAAAAAAAACTAACCTCTACAAACATCGCAATGAAAACAATAATTTAAATTCCACAAACAACTTTGTTTTGGTGTTAAAATGGGCATAGATTTCGATATATTGGAGCATTGTAAAAAAGTGCGCGCCGATCACGGGCCGCCCTACACGTGCCCCGTCGAGAAATGCGGCAGAACGTACAAATCCGTATGCGGCTTGTCCTATCATTTGAAAAGTTTCGATCACGATAACCCGAACGCCGCTCCTCCCGTGCAAAACACACCGAAAAACAAGAAAGGTAAATGAATTATTCGTTATTGCTCTATTACCAATTTTATTTATATTACAGGGAACAGGCACAAATCGAAATCAAAGATACTCCAAACGCCGAGCGCGCCAGAACCCCTTACGTTCGAGGAGGCCCAGAAAATGGTCCAATTCGAAGTGGACGGGATCGTTTGCCGATGGAACATTACCGAAGAATTAGATGTATTATCGAAAGACGATTCCATCGAAGAAGACAGCGTTAGTGTTACTAAACCCGAAGAAGCTCGTGTACCTTTACCCGAAGCTAACTTCAGAGAACTCGACGATTACACTATTTGCGACGCCCCTCCTAGACCTATAGGCTATATTAGATTCATAGAGAAGAGTACAGAAGAGCTTGACGGAGAGGTACAAATTAACTCATTACAAACACCAATCGATACTGATTTTATTTTTTTAAGGTCGAATACGACGTCGACGAAGAGGATACCGCTTGGTTATCCATAATGAACGAACGAAGAGAAGCCCAAGGATTAGCCCCCGTCTCAATCGATTCCCTAGAACTCCTTATGGATCGATTAGAGAAAGAATCGTACTTTCAAGCTTCGGTGAACGGGCATTCCGGAGCCGTGGTAGACGACGACGCCGTCTGTTGCATTTGCATGGACGGCGAATGCCAAAACACCAACGTCATTCTATTTTGTGATATGTGCAACCTGGCCGTACACCAAGATTGCTACGGGGTGCCCTACATACCCGAAGGCCAGTGGCTGTGCAGGAGATGCTTGCAATCGCCCAGTCGAGCGGTCGATTGCGTCCTCTGCCCTAACAAAGGGGGCGCATTCAAGCAGACCGATCGAGGCAATTGGGCGCACGTAGTGTGCGCTTTGTGGATCCCCGAAGTTCGATTCGCCAACACAGTATTTCTAGAACCGATAGGTACGATACGATAAAAAACATAAGCGTGCTAATTTAATCGATAATTACTCGTAGACTCGATCGAAACCATTCCGGTGGCCCGTTGGAAGTTGACCTGTTACATTTGCAAGCAAAAAGGCGTTGGGGCGTGCATTCAATGCCACAAGGCGAGTTGCTACTCGGCCTTTCACGTGACCTGCGCCCAGCAAGCCGGCCTGTACATGAACATGGACACGGTCAAAGACGGCAACGAATCGCAGCCCGTGCTCGTGCAAAAGATCGCCTACTGCGATACGCACGCGCCCATCGAAAACGGCGATCCCAAGAAGGACGAGTCGCGCAAGAAGATGATCCAAGCGCGTAAAATGCTGGCGAAAAAGCGCACCTCCGCGCCGGTCATACTCATACCGACCATTCCGCCGGAGCGCATCCAGGAAATCGGCTCGCTGGTGACCATAGCGAAGAAGTCGCAGTTCATCCAGCGGCTCATCGCCTACTGGACGCTGAAGAGGCAATTCCGGAACGGGGTGCCGCTGTTGCGGCGGCTGCAGAGCGCGCAGGGCGGCACGCCGCGCGACTCCAACACCGGCAACGTGGACACGTTGGAGCTGTGCAGACAGCTGAAGTACTGGCAGTGCCTGCGGCAGGACCTGGAGCGGGCCAGGTTGCTGTGCGAGCTCGTCAGGAAGCGCGAGAAGATCAAATTGGAGTTTACGAAGGTCAGCGAGAGATTGATGCGGATCAAATTGAAGCCGCTCGAGGCTAGCTTGAGGAATATATTGGATCTCATACATGCTAAAGATACGAACGAGATTTTCACCGAACCAGTCGATTTAGAAGAGGTGATTTTAATTGATACTCTACTTTACATAGTCATTACACTTTGATTTTAGGTGCCCGATTATTTGACAGTCGTCACGGATCCCATGGATCTCAGTACGATGAGAAAAAAATTGGATGCCGGTCAGTATTTAGATCTCACAGCTATGGAGAAAGATTTTAATCTAATGATAGCTAATTGTTTAGCTTACAACAACAAGGACACTGTCTTTTACCGGTGAGTTATTTGTTCGATCTAACGCGGTGACTACTGCGATAATAGCTGTAATTTACGCGATGAATTAACGTGGTTTCCTATTAAAGCGCCGCCATAAAAATGCGAGATCAATGCAGCGTGATATTCCGTCAAGCGCAAAAGGAACTAGAAGCGGCCGGTTTGTTAACATCAGAAAAAGAAAACGCGAAGAAATCGTCAACTGGACAAGTCGAGGAATCATTCGCTTCCGATATAGACAAAGAATTGGAAAGCCTACAAGTACGCTCTTCGACCGAAGTTTGTATATCATATTAAACGTTGTTATTTACAGGGTAAAACCGGTGCCGATGTGATTACCAAGCTCGAAGATCTATTGGCGAAGAGTCAAGCTTTAAAGCACGGCTTGGCCAGAGCCAAGCGGGTGAAATTGGTCAGGAGCGAATTGAATCGCGTCAAAAGGAATTTGACCAGCCAGAAGGACGCCGATCAGACGTCCCAGAGCGATTTCGACGTCGAAAACGACACCAAAAGCGGCTCTACCAACGGTAAAAGTTCGCTTCTCTCCATCCTCCAGCAATCTCTAATTATACTTCATTTAGCTTCCCCTTCCGGAGTTAATAGACGAACAGCCGTGCTGTTTACGAAGAAAGCTCAAGCCGCCCTAAAGAAGGAAGATAAGGATAAGGAGGAGAAAGAGCCGATCGGTCCGTCGGCTAAATCCAAGAAGAAATCCAAAAGCTCCCTATCGTCCAATAAAGACAAAGACGCCGTGCCCGATAGCTTCAAAGTCTACCGCGCCGGCACCCAGTCTACCGACGATGACAATTCCGATAGCGATAACAGCCTCTCCACCTGCTACTCGCATAGCCTCTCCGAAATACTATCCGAAGAAGACAGTAAGTACTTATAAATCTCTTTTAGGACCAATTAATGTCTAAGCAGCTACACTTTAGATGCTTCTTTAGACTTAACGACTCGATAAACGTTCAACCCCCAGTATTGGCTACTGTCGTAGTAAAAGGCCGCAAGAGATGCGTTCGCCGAGTACAAGTTCGGAACAATTCGGATCCACGCAAAAGAACGAAGAATGACAAAACAATACGTCAACTTGGATAATTTCCAAAATGGCGGACGATTTTCAATTTTAAATCGCGATTGCGAGCCGAAACGAATTGAGCCGGGGAAAAGAAGGTCATTTTCGTAATCTGCGGATCCGTTTCCATCTAACCATATACCTCTCTGCCCCCAAATAATTCAAAAAGAATAAAACTCTGAAATCAATAGGATGTTGCTTCGGGCTTTAGTATATACAGGGTGTCCCAAGGAAAAGTAGCCCCTTTAGTGAGCTAATTTTTTCATTGGGCTACTTTTCATTGGGACACCCTGTATAAGATTCCTTTATAAACTGTATTTTTTCGTCCAAATCAGGCGAATCTTCGGAGTCCACGGCTCACTCGGCCACCGATACGCAAAACATCGAGAAGGAACTGAAGCCGATGCAGCTGGTGTGGGCGAAATGCAGGGGCTACCCGTGGTATCCGGCGCTGATAATCGACGCCGATATACCGAAGGGTTACGTTTATAAGAGCGTGCCCATACCGTCGCCGCCGCAGGAGGTGCTCGACTTGGCGAAAAACCACACGGAGGACGTGTACTTGGTGTTGTTCTTCGACGCGAAGCGCACCTGGCAGTGGTTGCCCATCGAGAAATTGGAGCTGTTGGGGTTGGATGCCGAGAGGGACGAGGCCAAGGTTCGTTACGGTGCAACAAGCGGTGTGTTTGTTATGATTAATGTTTGTTTCAGGTCAACGAGTCTAAGAAACCAACGGATAGAAAAGCTGTTAAGAAAGCCTACGAGAACTCGTTACAATATCAGTCTCAAATTAGTGAGTACGATGGGAAAAAGGATGGTAAATAATTTGCCATAATAGTGTACAGAAATTGTTTTTTTTAATTAATTAATAGATTTACGTTTACTTATCGCTTACTACTTTTACCTCATCACTCTTCTTTTCGTTTGTGACATAATTTGTTGCATCAATTTCGGGACGCCCTGTATATAAATCGTTTCTATGGAAGAAAAACATCTGATTTTTTTATTTACGGAGCAAACAAGGTAACGAAAAAACAAACGAGACGACATTAAATCAACAAACATGTAAACGTTAATACCAAAATTTGAAATGTCTTGTTCATTTGTGTCCGTTCCAAATTCCAGTAAAAAATGCAGCTTCGCAACAAACCAGCAAGGTAAGCGCCCCTTTTAACGCGCATTTAAATTAACCCATCCGATTCGCGGCGGAATTATCCAAAATTTCGGAATATTGTTTCAGTTCGAAATCGTGGCATAACATTCAGCAGCCAATAAAGCGTTGGCCTCCGACCGCTAATTTAACGAGGTGCTGCAGCCCGACGTGCAGCGCCCCGGTTAAATGCGTCGCCTCGTCTTCGCAACGTAACATAGCGATCGTCGTTTCGAGCGACGACAACAAAGCCATTCCGGAGCCCTGCTGTCGCGGAGCGTCCCTGCAAGAGCCCGCCCTGCCCGTGTACTGCGCGCGCTACCCCAACATCTACAACCCGGCGCCGCTGTACATGGAAGCTTGCTGCTTCCCGCACCACCCGTCGCTGAACGTGCCCTCAATATTCGACCCGCCCGCCAAGCTCAAAGCCGATCCCGGCGCGCCCTACCGCCCAACCGCCAAGAAGCCCCTGGAGATGTTCCCCGAGGAGCGAACTCCGTCGTACGCGTTTACCGGCGCCAAATCCTCGTCGAACGGTTGCAATTGCTTCTCGGCCTGTCACGATTCGTGCTACTGTCGACCGCAATCGCAGCGGCGAGGCGGCGCGAACGCCGCGAACAGTCCCCCGTGCGAACCGTATCCCGACGCTTCGAACCGAACCTTCCCGATTTCGACCCATCACCGTGCCAGCTACGGTGAACAAACCTACACGCCCGACCCGAACCAATACGTTTTACACCGACCCGACGCGACCAATTCCACGATAACGCGCGACCACTGTTCAACATCTTCCCGATTTTGTCCCAACCGCTACGGTTCTTGTTCAACATCTTCCAAACCTTGTCCCGATTCGATCAACGACTCGTATCCGTCCGCATGCGGTTCTTGCTCACTTACTGAACCGTCTACACTTTGCGTTTCTACCGCCTGTGAGCTGGAGGTTCGGAGCTGTCGGGACGCCTGCCCGTCGACTGACAGCCTGCAATCGTCTTACTATTCGTGCCCCAAGTCGCTGCCCCCATCGAATTTGTTCATCGCACCGCCACCATCCTTCGCATCCGCCATCGACAACACCGCCATTGAAGTGTGCAATTCGCCGCCTTCGCCCAGGATCAAAAACCTACCCGCTTGGGTAAGTGCACTACATCATATTACAGCTCCATCTTGCAGCTCTTAATAGATCCTTTGTTCAACCACGAAAGCCTTCTACGCAATACACTTTGCTTCAGTTCCATCTTGCAACTCTAATAGATCCTTTGTCCAACCATGAAAGCCTTCTACGCAATACACTTTGCCTCAGTTCCATCTTGCAACTCTAATAGATCCTTTGTTCAACCATGAAAGCCTTCTACGCAATACACTTTGCTTCAGTTCCATCTTGCAGCTCTACTAACAGATCCTTCGTTGTTGCCAGATAAACCCGTGTCTGGCTTACTGCGACCCGAAGTGCAAGGCCAATTCCCCGTGCGTGCAATGTATCTGTATCCCGTGCAACTGTATAGTGTGCGACTGCAGCCGTTGCCAGATCTGCGACGTGGAGTGCAAGCCGTGCCATCCGCGCCAATACTCGGACGATTCGAACGATCCGCGCGAGGAGCGCGCCGAGCGTCGCGACGAGTCGACGGGGCCGAACGTGCGTCGCGACGAGGCCTGCGGCCCCTGCCGGCCGGAGGCGACCGTCGACGAGGCGTGCGGCACGAGCCCGTCGGAGCGTCGCGACGAGGCTTGCGGCGAGACGGCGGCGGCGGCGGCGCCGCGTCGGAGCTATTGCTCGCAAACGGCGGCGTTGCCGGACTTCGGCGAGCGATTCAAGTCGATCGCGGCGCCGTGTTTGGGCGACGATTCGAGCGAATCGTCGCGGAAGATTGTGTTGTGGGACGTTTCGTGCGACGACGATGTAAGTTCAATATTGTTAAAGATCGGCTCGAATTTTTGCTTCAAGCGCGACGCTTTCAATAAAGTGTACCTGTGAGGAGAGGCGCGAGGAAAGGAGAGCCTGAATTTGCAAATCTTTTTCTTTAGAAACCTTCGTATAGAGAATCTGAAATGATTCGCTTACGGTACTCGAATTTTTACAATAATTACAACGTTGACGAAATGGCGTTGAGAAGAGAAAGGGATTCTATTAGATTGGGCAATAGAGACTACGTCGCTCCTGAACCTTACAAGTAAATTTCTTTACTCTGCTACTTTACGCATTTAACTTACGCGAAATATATTAAAGGTATATCGAAGTATTAAACGATGAAGACCCGTTTTATCCCGCTGACGATGATCCGCCGGGCTACAGAAAAGTTTTGTTGAAAATTCCTTGTCAAGGAGATGAAAAACCTATTGAAATGACGATCTATATGAAAATGAAGAAACGCAGCGCTACATTTCAACGAGCCTATTATCCGACTTGCTATATATTGCCTGTATTTGAACCTAGTAAGTACCTAATAGTCAAAAATTTAATTTTACATACATATTTTATTTTATTTTTAGCCGATTGAAGCGAGTATCGATGCAACTTTAAATTCAAAACTGAATAAAAACCTGCGATGCGCCAAATTTATAAAAACAGGTACATAAACTTACACGTTTCAAAATGTACTGAGTAAAAGCTCTAGTATATTAAAAAAAACTATATTTACTACACATTTTTTTGTATCACTAAATCCTTATCATGAAAAACTACATTAAATTTTACAAACATCTACTCGAGTTGATTTGGAACAATTTTGAAACGTTTCAAATTTGCCGAACTGTTGAAACGTTTTGAAATGGTTCTGAATGTAAATGAGGCATCCATTAGACCTACAGTAGACTTCTCTGAGGGAATGTTAATAATTTTTCTTTTAAGATCCATGAAAAAATTATATAGGGGCCCCGTACATTCTCCGTTGAAGTCTATAAGGTTTTGTACGATGCAAAATAATTGAGACACTGGCTAGTACTAGTAGATTAAAAGTTTATATTAAATGCAATTATATTTAAAAGGACACTCGCTTTGTTTACACATAATTAAAGAGTAATTGAGGTGATTAAAAGGGATAATTGGGTAACATATTCGTCAAATTGTGACCATGCATGAATCCTATAAAAAATCAAACCTCAATTACGCTCGACTATTATTTATATATAGTTTTAAAGAATATACCGGAGTTTTGAAAAATACACGAAATTAAACATTTACCTAATCAAACATTTTAAATTTAAACATTATTCATTAAATTATTCAACGAATAACAATAAAATTAACTCGATAAATTTGCCAGGATGGGTGTATGGATGTGTGTGATCTCGTGACGGACTAATATAATAAATATGCTGTGTCTTGGCGGATTCGGTGGATTATTTTGGAAAATTAGTTAAAAATTTTCAATTCAAATACCCACCTGGCAATTGAGAGTTAATTTTAATGGAATTTTATTGAGTAAATTTGTCCGGTGGTTGGTACTTTGGTTCGATGTTTAATTCTAACAAACTGACTATAGCGGATCTGTATTTGTAATTATTTGCATTTTGGTAACTGAATGTTGGAGTTTTCTTATTAAACATCAACCGGAGTATCGAAAACTGGGCGAATAAATCGATGCAGTAATTAAACTAATAATAAGAGGGGGGGAAATTGAAGGTAATTATTTAAATTTCATTGTAAAAATTTGCACACGTTTAAATTAGATTTACTATATTTGTCAAAAACTTTGCTAATGAGGGCAATTTTTGTAAAACTTTTAGCATCTATCGAAATATAAACTATTATATAAATTAGGTATACCAAATTTGGCATTGTATCCAAGTTTATTCAGTTTTGTAATTAACTTTGTAATGCTGTAAACCTTTAAGATTGTAAATGAAACTAGAAACTTTAAGTAAAACATGTTTGAAGATTAAAATTTGTTTTCTTCCCAAACATTCCCCATATTAATTCAAGATAATTATAAGGGTATAAGTGCAATTTATTTGCAATATAGGAGGACGGAAAGTTAGCAATCTACAAAGAATTGCAGCTGAAGATTCTCGACTGGCTCAAAAACGTTCTACTATTACTAGTAGAGAAATCCAAACTGCTGTACGTCTACTCCTTCCCGGTGAACTTGCCAAACACTTCCTTTTCTTATCTTTTTCGTTTATATGAGAACTAATGGAAACTTTTTGTACCCATAGACCATATTGCATACAAATTTCGCACTTATACAGAATTCTCTCTAAGAAATAGTACAAAAAATCACGAAACACCAGAATAATTTATTCAAAGCCCGGGCATAATGAAAGCTACATTATCTAAAGTACTTATCAACTCCTCGGGCGTGCAACAGTTCTCTTTCAATTCGGGTATTTGCTGTGTCAAGCACAGTAAAGGTCCTAAAGCGCACAGCAACGAGTCCAAGAGCACCGAAAGGCTACCCGATACAGCTATTTGACCCTAAAAATAAAACAATTTGTAACAATTATAACTCTAACAGCTTCGCGTGTACAACCTCGTGTTCCTTTAGTCTCTCGCCGATGATGGTTAAGCTTTCTCCGAGGAGTTTCAGATGCGCTGCAACGTCAATGGGCTTGATACCGTTGACTTTGTATGGGGAGTCTTTTCCTCGAGGACTGGGCGGCGAAACGTTGATGTTTTCGTAGGTGGATAAACCGATTTGGAAGGGCTGCAGAGGCCCCGGCGGGGTTTTACCCGCTGCGGATTTTTTACTCGATTTACTCGCTAGTTTGGCCGTTAAAGATTTGTTGAAGTTCGAGAATTGCTCTGAAAAAACGCACGATAAAGATTACTACGATGATGATGGGTGATGAGCACCTTTGTCTTTTCCCTTTAGCTTGTCGGGTTTGATTATTTTGCCGTCTTTAATGACTAGTTTCTTCTTGGATGAGTTGGAGTCGAGCCTTCGAAAGCCTTCGTTTTCCTCGAAATCGCTGTCCGATTCCACCGATTCGTCTATGCTGGATTCTGTGGCGTTTGTATTCGGCTCGTACTCGCTGTTTTCCGAACCGCTCTCGTCCATATCGAAATTATCATCTTTCTGATACACCTGCAAAAGATGCTAAGATATTAAAAAATTCTCTTTAGTTATATTGGTAAGGTACTTCGTCGAATTTCTGTTTTTTGGGAGACCCTTCGAACGATTCGCTCTTCCTGTGCACAGCGGGCGAGCGCTTATTATAGGACCTTTCGATCTCATCGGGAGACTCGAAATCCATCAGTTTCGATGATTTTTTCCTCACCCGTCCACTCCTCGATACACCTGTGACTTCGAGATCTGAAACACCATCGAAATACAAACAAACCTACAAAAATTACTTATTAACAGTTTATTGACAACACGTTTTTATTTAAAAAGTATATTTATAGCAAAGTAAAACATTAGTTTAATTATGAAACATCATCTTCTTGTTTCCACCCGTCTTCATCGCTGAAAAACCGTCTTTTAACAGTCGTGTTCATGTAAGGACGTAGAGCCCATTCAGTGTCCGCTGAATCCACATTATCCAACGTTCCTAATTTAATTTCGTACAATCTCAACTGAAATCGAGGCCCAACTTCGCTGAGTTCAATCTACAAATACAAATTAATACAAACTATCCAAACCACACGAAATTATCAACAAACCTTTCGATCCACCGTTTTATAAGTATGATGTCGAAAACTGATGTAATCATCGTGATTCGCGAACGTTATCACCCTCTTCGATTCCTCCTTAGGTACAGGAAACAAATATTTTAATATGCTCATCGTGCGATCCGCTAACTTGGTTTTGAAATTGTGGAATATCAAATGCGGGTACTGCTCTGACATGGTGCCTAAATCGGGTATGTCGTGCCTCATAACCACATCGGACATGTTGAAATAGGCTGTAGGCCCGTAAGGTAAGTGGCATATCACCAAACCGTCCGGAACACCTCTATGTTCGTGTACTATGATAAAATCCGTAACATCATTGGCTCGACAAGCATGTATGAGTTGCTTCATTTCATAGTTGCCCCGGTTCATGCGCTGGGCGTTCGGGAATATCAATCTGAGCTCTTTGACGAACATTTTCAGCCGAGAACTGGGGTCTCTCGATGTCGTTATGACTATTTTGGGGTCTTCGACGCCTGCGTATCTGTACTCGTCGTCCTGCGAATCGGCTACGGCGCCGCCGCTCTCGCCGCCCATGATGGCGGCCCGCTGGGGCCCGGCGTCTTCCCATTCCAGTTTCTTGGCGTAATGCAAGGCTTTGTTTTGTAGATCGCCATGGATTGTGGTGTGGTGTTCGATGCTTTTCTTGATTCGTTCCTTTTTGTCCTGGATCGATTTTTGTCTTTCTTCTATCGTTTTTCGGTAGAGGTACTCTCTACGTAGGCGAGCTTGACGCCGGATCATTTTGATTTGTTTGAAATAAACTGTTTTTTCACTAAACGAGTAAGCACATGTGGGATAAATGACAACAAAATATCGAACATAACCTATAAATTACTGTCAAATGTCAAAAATTCGTGTATGGTCAAGGATTTGACGAATTGACATTCTATTCAAAATATACCGAATAATTTAATTTTCCGAAAAGCAATAAATGTAAATAGTAAAATAATTCTTATTGGGCGTACCTTCGGCTTTGGGTTTCTTGGCTTGAAAATTATCCATAGTGCACTGTTGTTGGTAAAATACAATCGATTAAATTAACAAAAATCCTCTCAGCTTTAACAAATGTGGATTAAATCGGTTGTAAAACTAGAAAACGACGCTATTTTTGTGTAAAAACAATTTTAGTTACTTTCAAAACAACAGCTTGGTTTGTTTCTTCTTCTTTTCTTCTTTCACAACTCGACTAAATAACTCGGAAGTATCTATCATTTTACACACCAAGTAAAAGGCCACTTGGTTGACTTACAAAATGAAAAGAAGATAATTTCTTAGGTTATGTTATTGTTAATGACATATACCTATTAGTATATACTGCTTACTACGGTCTAAAACCCGTAGCAAACATTATACTTTAGTGTGCCTGCTTATTTATGCGCATGCTCAAGTGAAAGATTTCTTGATTGGCTACTTTTGACAGAGCAAATGAAACGTCAGAAACGTGTAGCTTTTATTTTGGTATATTTTTTGATATATTTTTAAAATCGACTTTGACTTGCCTGTGTAAATATGTCAGGTTACCGAATTTAACCACAATTTCAAGTATTATTTTCTTTCTTTTCTTTTTAGGCATCAGCTACTCGCTATTGGTCCTTTTAAAATTAACGCGCTTGCGTATAAACGACTAAGCACACCATAAAGGGTCGGATCTCTCTCTTTAATCGCTACGATTTTCTCTCATGGAATAGATAGGGAGTTAGCAGTATATACTAATAGGTATATGGTTAATGAGTAAACCAATTTAAAATTTTTAAATATTAATAATACTACATTAATTAGTAAACCAGTGAAAATGCCAGCAACCGGCGACAAAAAGGAAAAAGTAAGCCTCCATTTTCTATCGAATTACCGTCCATTTAATTCATTTACTTTCAGTCTAATCAGTCGGCTGATCAGAAAGAGAAAAAACGCAAAGAATCCATTCTCGACCTCTCCAAATACCTGGAGAAAACCATTCGGGTGAAATTCGCCGGCGGACGGGAGGCCAGCGGAGTCCTAAAAGGCTACGATCCCCTGCTCAACCTCGTATTAGACAACACATCGGAATATCTAAGGGACCCCGATGACCCGTACAAACTAGTGGAGGACACCCGCCAGTTGGGGCTCGTGGTCTGCCGGGGCACCAGCGTCGTGCTGATTTGCCCCATGGACGGCATGGAGTCCATACAAAACCCATTCATTTCTCAAGATTAGCTGTAATTCGTACGATTTAAGATAATAAACAATCATTTTTACTTCTCGCTTTATTATTAAAATGCAGCCTTAATTGTACAAACGTTTCGAAACAAAGGGATTGTCAGCGGAGAAAATTTTCTCGCCATTCTTCGGGGCGACTTTCCTGAAAATTTATCCAATTAATTAATTTATTTATTTAATAATACATCACGTACTGAGCCGGCGAAACGAAGCACTCCTTCGTTCGATCGTCCATGATTTTCTTCAAATTGTGCACGGAGTAGCGATTGTACTGGCCCCAAATGCTGTCCATGAACTTCGTATTGTATTGCATCGGGTTCAAACCTGCTACAATAACCGGTAACCGGAGGCTGTCTTTACCGCGGGGAATACTCACCTTTGATTTTCTCTTCGCGCTCCCGCATTTTCTTCGCCGCGAAGGCTCCTTGGTGAACAGTAGCCATTGCTGGGGCTCCTTCGGAATCGCACACTGAAATATTCTTGGTTTTACCAGTGTAAAACGGATTAGAAATATACTTACGTTTGCAATGAGTTATATCGTTTTGAAGTTCCAGTATTCGATAGTATACTGTAGATAATTAATAAGTAAATATTTTGGGTATATATCAGTGTATTTTTATGTTTAATACTCACGAAAATAAGCGTGTTCCTGGTAAATGGCTGTAAAAAACATCCAAGCGAATTTATTCCAGCGAGTGTAAAGTGATTATTATGCTAGGAGAGAAATCTACGAAGCGCAGTAATAGAACTAATAATAAATTATTATAACATCCTATTTACAATTTATCCAGCTCAACTCGACCGAGGTTCAGGGATCATAAGTTATCTCTGCGGAAGATAAGAAAGGTTGACAAACGAAGATTGTAATTAATACATTTTTACCAAACTAATACATAATATAGGTCATCATTTAATGAACATGTTTGTCTCAGTAACAAAATATTCTGTTTGTGTTCCATCACTAGCTCGAATCTCCCAATGCTCGTGGAACTGTCTAGCTCCTAGGATTAGTCCTGTAATTATTTCTAGAATCGAATTACTAGGATATATAGAATTCCATCTAAATTATCTCTTTGATATGGTTCTTTTACGCGCAATGAGCGCATTAATAACCGATTAATAAGTAGGTATGTGTGCTCTCCGGTATATTAAGGATACAGATTTAGCCGAGAGTCCAATTAAAATGGTTTTGTTTAATTTTATTTGGATACAGTCGATCGCCTACTTCGAGTGCACTGGCCTACATAATCATTCGACAATGAACTTAACATTTTGAAGCGCATAATCGCCGAGATACACGTTTCTTCCGGTCGCAAGAATTTATATAGTCCGGGGCTATGCACTAAAAATATACCCGACGAGTAACAGGTTTTTTAACAAGCTTTAGAAGGGTGTTAAATACTGTATAAAAAACGCGCAATAAGCGAGTTAATCGCCACCATTTTAGTACAAATTACGTGCCGAACGAAAGCGTTTTTCATTTTCCTCTCCGGTGGAGAAAGTGCGGGGAGCTTTTCTCCGGAGGGGGCCGGATTTCCCGCGACCGGAGTCGATTTACATTCGGACATGCATCGAGCGCCGGTCGACGGTTCTTTTCCTCCGCGGTCAGTTTCTTCGGTCGCTTCATTTCGTCGAGGAAGAGGCGCGGAAAGGTCGCGACGGGTCCGGCGAAAAAGAGAAAAAAAAAACGGCGATAATAATAAGAGAATTGGCGCGTTCGAAAGGTAACGGGACTTGGATTTTTATATAGGCTCCTGACACGGTTTTCGGGACGTTAATCGCGTCGGGCGAGGAGTCGCTCGGGAAAATATGGTGTGTATAATTTTGTGGTGATTTTTCGTTGTATTTAGATTTATCGAAGGATTTTTATAGGTGAGTACTAGAATTTTTTGTTAAAAGTACCAGAAGGGTTTAGAACGAATTCCTTATAATTTTATGGTGTGTATAAGGTTTCAATTCTAACTTCTCGTTGATATCACCGAATTCGAGGCAATTATTAACCTACTGCAGAGAGTGAAATTCCATATCGAATCGGCAGCATATTTCAAACTGTACCGATCGATTCCAATAACCGCGTTCACCGTTATCGCAGCTAAAACGACTACCGATTCGATGATGAAGAATTCCGTTCAAACAACACCATTTTCGCCTGGCCGAAATTTCCGGCACGAGCGCACGAATTTCCGTTACACACTGTATGCTAATCACCGCGGTTTAATGCGCAGGAAGGCCTAGAATGCCGCGGCGTAGGCGTCTCGATCTAACGGACGCACCGCCGTAGGTCCACCGGTATATAGAGCTCGGTCAAGGTCGAAAAATAACCTTCTGGTAGACTGTTTAAGCGACGAGCCGCGACCCACATTTGGGCCCGAGGTTGAGGCACTCGTCGGCTCGTCGCGACGAAATGGGCACGGGTATTCTAGGTCAGCCGGGCCTAAAGTTCACCGGACGCGTTAAAACCGTACGCAAATCACCACAATACAACGAGAAAAATCGTTTACTTTTCCTAATATACATACAAGAAAATCCACTTTAAAAGTAGACCTATTCTTTTGTGCATGGAGAATTTTTACTGTACCCCTCGTATATACCTTCAGCAATGTAAAGTAGAATGAAACATAGCTGTTTCAGCCGTTATGAGTCGGAATATGGGTCACTAGTAATAGTAACAATAATAATAAACGCGTTTATTCTACTCATGGTGAACGAATTTTTGGTGGTTTATTTTGCAGATAAAATGGATCTGAATTTCGTGCTGAATACGCTACTGAAAATCCTGGTCGCGACGCCGGGTTTACTGTTATTGTGGACGGTACCGGGCGCGTACGGCGCTGCTCTCTTAGGAAGCGGTTCCGCTAGGAATTTAACCGACGTTTCAGCGCCTTATTACGATTACGAGCTCACCGACAGCCAGGAATTGGAGCAGGTAAACGAATCACTTACATCCCGAATCCAATTCCGCTCTAACGACGTGTGTTCTAGGAGCAGAAGTTCGACCAGGAGAGGATCCCCGATCCCTCGCCGCTGGTGTTGCCCGGCTACAACCTGCCCGAGAACATCTTCAACCGCGGCAAACCGTTCTACGTGGAGAAGGACCCGCTGACGGGCGAGGTGGACTTCTCGAAGCCGTCGATGGCCGATCGAATGGACGAGGAGGCCGCGTACGAGGACTACGAGGACCCCGCCGACGGGGGTTTGTACGATAAGGCGAATATTGACAGGAAAGACGGTAGTATAAGCGGCCACAGGCCGAGCGACGTCAATCAATTGGTGCCGAATTTCCACGATTTCTTGAACCTGCCGGTGAAATACAACTCGGCTAAGTACGTGTACCCTTTGATATCGAGCTCGTACGCGAGCACCAAGTACCAGGGCAGCGTGAACAAGTTCCACAATCACAAGAACTACCCGTCGAAGGTGACTACCAAAAAACCGCTCGTCAGTCCGACTTATTACACCACCGAGAAGTACTTTAAAGTGACCTACTCGACCACCACGCCGAGTACTACAACCACGCAACGAGCCACCACCACCACCACGACTAAAAGACCCGAGACCACTAGAATCGTGAACTTGCTCAACACCGGCATGGGCGTGGGACTCTCCGAAGAATTCGACTACTTCGATACCACCACCGCCACCACCAGGAAAACCACGACAACGACCAAACGCGCGCCGACCACCACCAAACCGCCTTCTACCACCACCACGAAAAAAGTGATGAGCCTTTTCGAGCAGCTATTCGGCGACTACGACGATACAGTCGCCACCACCAGCACCACTACCAGCACTAGCACCGCTTCGACTACACCCAGCACTACTCGCAGCACCGCAACGCCTCCAACGGAACCGGACGTCAGCTACGAATACGAAGACATCGGCGATAATATAGCAGTCGAAAGCAAACCACTACCTACAACAATCGATAACCATCGCACCAAAAACACCACGCAACCAATCAAACCCACCAACAACACCGACTACTACGATTACCCGGAAGATCTAACAACAACAACAACTACTACTACTACTAGCACCACTACTAGTACGCCGATCGTGCGAGTAACGTCTCTGCCGTTGGGCGAAAACCACCTGACGACCTCCGGCTACGACCCGTACAAGCGCCACGACGCCATCATCGTGGCCACGCAGAACCTGCGCGGGAAACTCGAAGGCGAAAAGGTGCGGCCGAGGCCGTTCGAGAAGCCGGCCAGCGCGAACAACGTCCGCATAGCGCCCGGCCAGAACACGGCGTCGTTCGTGCTGGGCGACCGGCAGACGGTGTACGGCGGCCCGTCGAAGGAGAGCCCCTACGACAGCAACCCCTTCAGGCCGTACTACGGCGCCGATAAGGGGGAGAACGAGAAGGAGATCACGTTGCAGGGGACGCTGTCGTTCCCCGAGCAGGTGGGCAGCGCGGTCACCATACAGCCGCAGAGGAACTCCGAGGCGTCGCTGGCTATCGGGGTGCCCGTTAACGATGTCAACAAGCAGATACCCGGACAGGTTATGGATGAGAAATTGGACATCGACGGGATGCAAGGGTCCTCCGTGAAAGTGAGCGGCGGTAAAGTCGTTTTTCCGGCGGATAAACCGCCGGAGTATCAAGATTTGTTACCGCCGCCCGTCGTGCAACCGAACAGGGAAGTGCAACAGAACAGGGAGGTGTTGCAGTTGAATTCCAAACCGATGTACCATCAACTGCCCAGTGATTTAACACCGCCTAAAGAGCAAGAGGTGGTGCACAAGAGACCTATTAGACCTCCGTGGGATCCCAGACCTGGCCATTTCTACAGCGGTAACAACACAAAATCCTTTTTAATTTCGTCTACTAAACGCTCTAAATTTCAGGCAATCCGGAGTACAATCGACCGCCCCGCCCTCACACGGACGTCGCCTACAAACGCATCGACAATCTACCGAACATTCTACCCCAATTCCGACCGAACACCAACGTGAACAAGCAGCCACAATCGCCCCTATTCTACGACAAGAGATTGAACAGGCAACCCTTGCTCGACAGACCCTCTAACAGACCCATGAACTTCTACGAGAAACTCCACCCGCCGCCGCCGCCTCCCCCGCCGTACGTCATCCACAAGAACCTCCAGGCGCTGAGGAAGAACGGCCCGCCGCCCAAGCAAACCCTCGACGACGGCCCGGGCGAAGGCGACCAATCGGCCCTCTACCAAACGCCCCCGCAACTGAAGATAGCCAACAGGCGGAGCGACGCCGACGTCGCCGAGGTGGAGACGCTGCAAATGATCCAAGCCAAGACGTCGGAGAAGAAGAGCAACAAGGACGCCGACACCAGCGCCATGGTATCGCAGGTGATGAACGTGCAGGCCGACGACGAAGCGGACGCCATCGACAAGACCATCTACAAGGTGTACCCGGTGAATTCGGCGCCCATCAAGCTCGACGTCATCGACGACGGCGACAAAAAGGAGGCCGTCGTTATAGGTACGCGATCGGAGCGTCCTCTGCCGCCTTCGAAGATCAACCAAGACTTCGATCTGCTGTTCGACTCCAAGGACCGGAACGACGATCCGATTCTGAAGCCGCACAAGGTGGCGACGTTCCCCGTCCGATCGGACTTCCCGTACCCGCTGGAACGGCCGGGCGCCGAGCCGGGCATCAACCTGCCCGCCGTGCCGGACGCGCCATCCAAGACCGGCAACGACCTCGGCGAGCTGGATTACTTCTCGAACAACCCCTGGGGCAACGCGGGCGAGAACTACGAATCCAGAATCGTCAATGGAAACCTCAATAAGATCTCAGGTACTTACACCACGGTCAATTCAACGATAATGGCATGTTAGTTTATAATTTGCACCATCCAGGTCCTAACCAGATATCGGTAACGCTGAGAACCAACTCGGATAAACCCATAGCGGTGGCGTACACTCCCACGGAGCCCAATTTGAACGCCGATAAGTACTCGATGCCGAACTACGGCAGCCCCGTCATCCCCGAGATAAGACCCGGGGATTCCAACAAGCTCTTCACCGTGGGCGCGGTGATGCACGCGCACCACCCGGCGCCCGGCAAAGGCGCCGTCGGCACCGTGGAGAACGTGCAGCATCGCCTGGAGCCGGTTTCCAACCATCGCAACGAACTCGACGCGCCCAACTACCCTAAATTGGATTTCGAAGCGCCCTTCCAGGTAAGGTGATCGTGAGAAGTTAAAAGGATGTTTCGATTCTGTAGGTGAATTGAAATTAGAACGATATTTGAAAAGTAACAGTTATTTTGTAACAGTCGTTACTGCACCTCTACACCAAAAAATCGATTCCCACCTCTATTAAAATTCTGTCATACGAAGTGTCAAATTTGTCAGGTTTTTTTTTCTTCACTTCATACTCTTGGCCTCAGCTGCCAGGGCTATTCGGCCAACGTGAGTTTTTTATTTATGCAATTTTGACTTACGATTTTCGGTTTCTAGGCGAGTTTGAAGATCGAGAACGCCAACCAGGGGTGGTCGGTGGTGAAGCCGAAGAACGTGACTACGACGGAGGCGCCCGAGGCGACGACGGTGTCGTACGCGACCACGGGGGAGTTCGACATAGAGAACTTCAAGCCGCAGCTGGAGGGCGGCTTCAAGCCCATCTTCAATTTCCCCGATGACGATAAGAAGTTCGTCGAGACGAAAATCAACGATAGGGAGGAGTGAGCGGGTGACGGGGTTACGAGGGGTTCGAAACAATTAGGTGATTGGAGGGTATGTAATGAATATTAAAGGCATTTTCGTTCTATATTATCGCGAAGGAATTTAGTGAAAATGCCTTTATTCGCACCAAACTAAAAAATTTTCAGCGATTTTTCAGTTTGTGGACTTTAGTTTTAAGGGGTATGGGTACGACAAATTGCCTCAATGTATTTATTTAACCGAATTCTCGTGCACGTTTATTGCACTTATCGCACTAAGTTTGTACAGTAAAGTTTACCATGCACGGAGACAGTCAAAAGCAAGTGCTTCCATTGAAATGTTTGACTGTTGATGTATTTATTTCTAATTTATTGATAGTTAAGGCGTAAAAACTCGGCGATTTTGATTCTATTACCGATTGAGTCGAGTCTGTTTGTTATTTATAGTTTATTTACCAACACAAGCCTTACCTTTATCACAACTAATCGATCGCTAATCGATAGACTTCTTCACGAAGCTTAGCAATTAGTAATCGATTGCTGAACGCACCTAATTAGCATTTGAAGTTAGCAAATAATTAGCTTAATTACTGTAATCGAGACTATTATACTTTATCGTAATAGAAAGGCTGGTAAAATAAAATTGATACTTGTTAGTTTGTTTTTAATGATTTCCAGTTATTCGAGCACATTTCAATACTTATATGTTACAAGTTTAAAGCTTAACCTTGTCGAACGATCAGATCTCATGAAAAAAAAAATCGAATAAAATTCCACACTGTATTTCAATAAAAAATAAGCGAAAATATCGACGATTAGAGTGAAATTTTCACCAAAAAAAAATACAGTCAAAGTGGAAACTGGCAATAGACTAGAAAAAAACCAGTGATGCTGAACCCAGCGCAAGTACAAATTTTAAGTACACGAAAATTCTCTTAAAGGAACAATACATACCTCGCAAGCCCTTCCATTCAATCAATAAAAAATAGATTATTAGTAAAACACCTTTGACTAGACAAACGTGATAACCATCCAAAAAATAAAAATACCACTCTAATTACCGATACATCTTCAACAATCAGAATACCCTCTAACACGTTAACTCTCTACCTTTTCGGAACTGTTCTCCGACGGTTCGGTACCGAAGTACCGATCGCCGAAGTTCCCGATGCCGGGCAACACGTAAAATTTCTCGTTTATCTCCGGATCTATCGCCGTCGTCACGATTTGCACGTCCGGAAACGCGTACGCTATGGACTGCACGCCGGACTCCGCCATTAACAGCGACACGATCAGTATATTCTTCTCCAGCACGTCGTGATCCAGCAACACCCTGATGGCCATCATCGCCGCCGCCCCTGTCGCCACAGTGGCGTCCATCAATATCACCTTGTAGTCTTTGATATCTTTGGGCAGCCTCAAGTAGTACAGCTATAATAGAGGATTGTGTAGATGTTTGTTAATTTATTATAGGGCGTTCCAAAAAATTATTAGTAAGGGTGGAAATCTCTAAGGGAGGTAATGTGAATTGGCCACTAAGATCGCCTGATTTGAGACTTCTTTCTGAGGGGTTGTCTTAAGGATAGAATGTTTATCGATAAAATTGGGGATTTTAAAGGTGAAATTCGCTACAACTTTGCGAATATTTCGTCGCATTGTAACGTGGAAAATTTCATTAAAAGGGATCAAAAAACCCTTGGGTATTTGTCACGTTTTATATCAAGCATTACCTCCATGTAACTGCTTTCTAAATCAATAGAAACATGATAAGTTATGTTAGTTACTTTTGGGACACCTTTAATAACATACCTCCGGTTCTCCGGTTTGCAGATTCGTCTGGATCAATATTTTCCCTATCCTTATATCCTTACATACATCGCACACGGCCTGTTCCATGGTCTCGCCCGCCCTCAATATGGACACGCCGCATATATTACTGGTGGCCATTTTTTTACCTAAAAACAGCACCGTTAAATCGATTTAAATCGCTCCTAATCGATCGGTTACCGTTATAATGAAATCCCTGAGGCGTTTCCACCGTTTTATCCACGAACGTCATCAAAGACAACGTGTATTCTATCACTAGCCTAATCAATCGTTTGCTATAAAATATAAATTCGTCGCGCGGCGTGTCCTTGTTCCGGATGAACGTGTGCAGGCCCCGTATCTGCGGCGTGGTGGGCAAGAGCTTCACCGTATCCGGAGTGGGCATGTTGAGTTTACTCGCATTGGCCAGTTCTTCTCTAAGTTTCAGCCCTCTCTATGAACAAACCGTTGTTAATACACGCGCTTAAATATACAGTTTTAACTCGTAATTTAGTACCAATTGCAATTGAGTTTGAACGTGCTGTACTATAAGATGTATAGCCACTAAATTCTCGCCGCCCCTGGGCACAATTATATCGGCGTGGCTCATTAAAGGGGCTATGTAGTGGTTGAACGAAGGCTGTACCATCGAAGTGTATTGTTTGAGAACACCTTCTAAGTCTCTTCCTCTGTGAATGAGTAGATTATTTATCGGAAATTTGTTTTTGTTAAATTCGTTACCTTTGGCTGATGTCGCGTTTTAGTCTTCGAGCCAATCGTACGTCCGGATCGGCATCGACGAATATCTTCAAATCTAACATTTCGTTCACTTTCGCATTGTGAAAAGCGAGGATGCCCTCGAATATGATCACGTTGGCTCCGTACATGGTTTTCTGGAACGAATAGAAATAATTAGTTTCGTTATAACGATGCTGTCAAACGAGCAAGTACCGTTTTCGATTCTCTAGAATGCGTCACGAAATTATAAATAGGAACTTCAACTTTTCTACCTTCTTTGAGTCTTTGCAATGTGACTACCATTAGATCGAAGTCGAAGGCGTCCGGATGGTCGAAGTTGTACTCGTTTTGATCCGCTATTTCGTGCTGTTTTTCGTTCAAAACTTTATAAAAAGAATCCATGCTGAGTAAAGTTACCCACGGTACGCCTAGTGACTCGATAATTTTCTCCGCTACTGTAGTTTTACCCGACGCACTACCCCCGCATATCCCTAGAAATTGGTATAGTTAAACGAACAAATAACTAGTACGATCGAAATAACTACCTATAACGAAAGGTTCGACTTTCTGGCCTACGCTGTTGTACCACGGCGGGCGACCGGCCGTGTAAATTGTCCTATGTTGAGTTCTGATGATGGAATTAGTGGCCGGTTTCGTGGTTTGGTTCAAGGACGTCGTCCTCTGCCGCCTTGATCTAGGAGACTTTTGTGATCCTTCAAGAATGAGTTACGTGAAAATTATCATCGTGCAAATAGATAAACAGTTATCGCATGCGAAACTTGCAAATTTTAATGGCTAAAGTGATTACGAAGTCAGCGTTTTGTACGATCGATGCATGCAAATTGAAATGTTTAAATAAATTATTGATTTGCACGTACCAGTCGAAGGGGGCCTCGGGCAGTAGGGGACAGTAATAGGGGAGGCCGGGGTGTGGTAGAAATCTCCGCTTTTTTCTTCTTCGATTTCTATTTCGGGGAAAACGTCGGAGAAGTCAACGTGCGTTTCGACCACGTCGCTGGAAATTCGGATACGATTTTATTTGATTTAATGAATAATCGAACGTAAAATCACGTACTGGGCAAACCGAGCCCGTTCGTAATATTTCATGTAATATGTTACTTTTAAATAAAGACACAAGTGAAAATTACCTGTCGGAACTCGCCGATGACGGGGGATCGTTCAAATTGATTTTAGCAGCCATCCTAAATTAAAATTCCCTATCCTTCGATTATTGAAGTACAACTTAATAATATAATTAGCATACAATTTAAAGTAACTTTTTCTTTAAAACAACGACACCAGATTCGAGCAAGACCTCTTTTGTAAGGTTATGTTCGCACATTGCCAAAATGCATTTTTGTAATGAAGTTTGTCAATTTTTTTTTGCAATATGTCACATGTCAATCTACCCCTCTCAAAGAACTGAATATTCTATAGAGTAAAAGATCAATAGCATATCCATTTTAAAAGGTTCTTAATTAATGCTTCTTTAAATAAGAACAAACGACTGTGTTGAGTTTAACGAAAGAATGAAGAACAGAAAAACATAAACAAATCTCCTAATGCGAATCACGGGAATGACATTTTATCTGACAGTAGTTCTTTTGACTTGTTGGTCTCGTACTTGGCAGGTCTCACAACAGGATTAACTTTACTCAAAATTTCAATTTTTAGTGAAAATCGAATAATCGAAGAACTGTGAAATTGCGTATTTATTAATCAAAAATTTAAATACAATTTTCGCAATTATTTTACGTAAAAATTTTAGCAACAGCGATTTGTTTAAATGTTTAAATCCTGAATAAACATTTCTATCGAGTAACAGCCATACAATTACGCCGTTTCGAATCTCTCAAACATCAGCCAGTAAGTTATAGTCATGAATTGATGACTTCCAGCATTTCTCTAAATTCCATATCAGTCTGGGTCTCCGTGTGCATCATGTCCCGATCGCCCACATCCGGCCTTCTTCTGGACATCACCGTCTGGCTCTCGACGGATTTGAGCATATCGTTGAAGGCCGTTTGCGTTTGAATGTGGCTGAAAACCAAATCGTCGAGGATCTGATCGCTCGTCTGGGTGTGCATGCTGCTCATGAAGTCGCACTCAAACAGCATATCGTCGAAGATGAAGTCCGTTTGGGTCTCCATGTGGCAATTGTCGCACTCGAACCCGCCAATGTTCAGGTTCAGAGTTTCGTCGAGTAGATCAGATGTATCGGTGTAAATGGAGTTGTGGGTGTTGGTGGACGATGAGTAACTGTTCGTGCTCGGGTAATCCCCCGTTTGGGTGCTGGTGTTGTTGGTTTCAGTTTCGTTCATTAGGAAATCTTCCGCTGTGAAAGACGTGTTGCATGAGGAAGTTTTCGCTTCTACGGCTTCGGTTGCTGTACCGGATGTCTTGAGGGATGTATTAGATGGTTTTTTAGTAGTGTAATAGTCTCCAATAGTTTGAGTTTCGACTGTTAGGTAGTTGTCTCCGGAAATTGAGCCTATTTGAGTGTATTTATTGGATTGTTTTAGCTGCGACTGACGAACTTGGGTCATTTTACTCTTGTATTTCAGTTCATTATTGTTGTAGGTTTGGCTTTCCTGGCTAAACGTAGTGGTGCTTAGAGAAGTCTTTGGTAGGATGGGTTTGTTTTTGGATACTTCTATGATCGGAGCCGTTTTGTTTCTGTTTAATTTAAAGTCGATTTTGTTTGGTATGGTGTGTTTTTTTCTCCTAGCGTGAGACTGCAGGGTTTCGTACATCGGGTAAGCTGCTTTGCAAACGGGGCAAGCGAATTCCACCCCACAGTAGTCCGAATGGCGGGAGAGGGTCTTTGAACAGAACATTTTGTCGCAGGTGTCGCATTTCAGCTCTTTCGTCATGTGCTGCAGCATGTAATGGTTGCGCAGGATCTTCAGTTCTTTGAAGAACTTTTTTTTGTTGTAGGCGCAGCTCGGTTCGGGGCAATAGTATCGCTTCTGGAAGGCGTCCGGGCTGAGGTTCAATCTTTGGTGCGTCTTCACCACGTGCAGGTTGAGATTCGATTCGGATCTGAAGACGCTGTTGCAGCCTTCCTCGGTGCACATCACTTTGTTGTTTACCCTACATTCGTCGGGGGTAGGGTAAAAATTTTTTACATTCTCGTTTATAACGAACTTCATTTTCAACGCGCGTTTATGGATTACAACAAACAATGAAACATCTTACAGAAAACCGGGGTTTTTCTCGAAAAATAATTTCGATTTTCTTAAAATTTTTCTTGACAATAACAAATATCGAATGACAATTGACAATTGTGTTACCATGGTGGCTGATTTGTCATATCGGAATAGGTCTAATTATGACAAGTAAAGATGAATAAGTCAGGTTAGATTTAATGTTTTTTCGAAATTATTAGATAATGCAATTTTATTCTCCTAAACTAAAAGCTTTTCTTGATAAATGGCCGGGAAAGAAGCAGCTAGGGCTCTATAGATTCCTTCCGTTGTTTTTTCTCTTGGGAGCCACTTTAGAATTCTCCATGATAAATTGGCAAGTGGGAGACGTGAATTTTTGTAAGTGTCTTAGGCACTTTCACTACATTTCTCATGTATTATTATTTCAGATAAAACGTACAAGAAACGACAAGCCCAATACTACATTCAGAGTAAATTAGAAGAAGAAAAATTGTAGTAATCATCATGCCTGCAGGAACCACATGGGGAAGATATATCACCTTTACGACAGCTGCCTTTTTATCTATGTTGGCTGGTTCGCAAGTAGTACACATGTATTATAAACCGTTGTCGGATTTAGACGTATTTATTGAAGAAGAAATGAAAACCATTAAAAAATAACTTAACTTAGTAGTAACTTTCCACTTATTATATAAGTACTAGTTAATGCCTGTCAATCTAAATTTATTAATTGCTCGTTATATTCTTTGTACAGTCTTTGCCATGGCAGTTTCGTTTTAATTATGTCTAGTATTTCCTTAAGAAGGTCCAATTTTGTTAATCCCTAGAAATTAAAATAAATTTAACGCAAAGCAAGTTTGAGTAAAACGAGTAGTTACCAAGACTGTATCGATTTTTGGTTTCTTTGCACTCATGTGAGTGGGGCCCATTAAATCATCCAAAATCACACGCAGTCTACATTCAGGACCTGCAAACGTATACAAATAATTAAAAAAAATTAAATCCTGCGAGAGATGCTTTCAGATTACCCTTTTCTAATAGATGATTCACGATGGTGAACAGCCAATGTTTGTATTCTACGCTCGATTCCAACACTCCTGTGGCCATAATTTGAGATTCGAGAAAACTGAGCGTAACACCCGGCGGTAACGAGTCTATATTCCTTTGATAGCTCATGTACTTCTGTAAAGAGGCCAGCGGTAAAGTGTTCGGTAATTTCTTCGTAAGGTGACATCCGCTCGCACAAACTGGATCTAAAGGATTCGATAACTGCACCCTAAAAAACGCAGAAAATTAATTAAAAAAATACTACAATTATACACCTCGACAAACCATGTAAGTAAATCTAAATTGTAAGTATATGCTCGACCGTCCGTTAGAGTTATCACAGGCTGATTAGAAGGCCCTAGGCTACAACCGTTAACCGAGCCTGAAAGAAAATACTGTTAAGTATACTGTATTAAAATTCGATTCTAAAGTACCTTTTCCAGTTAACAATCCTCTAACGGATACCCGAGAGAGAATATTCTTTTGAGCCTCCAAGTCCCACATGTGAATCAGGCCGGTTTTCGTCAGTACCAAGCATCTTCCTTCTTGCGTGAGACACACCGAAGAAACCAAATCTTCTATCAGTATAGGCGACATTATCCTGGTACCCGTTCGAATATCGTAGCAATTTATCGTTAAATCCTCACAACAAGCCACAATCATCTTTCTGTTCGCAGCCAAGCAACGAATCAAGGAACCTAATAACATTCAAACATATCGCTTTTAAACGTATTTTTCGAAAGACAACCTCACCTAAATAAGTGTCCCATTTGAGTTCTTTGTCGTTTACGTTTTTGAACGCCTCGATTTTCGACAAGAATCCCTTCAATGTCTTATGGCAGTTGTTCGTTATCTGGAAATTTAACGCTTTTAACGATCTGATGATGGCGAAGTTACACCGAAACACCTACTTGTAATTTAATTACCCCGCAGTCTTTGGTAACGGCCACGCCCGGAGGCAACTTCGTAGGATCTAAAATGTTGATGAACTTCACGATGGGCTCGTCTCCCGGGACTTCGCAGCACATCAATTGGTTTATGTGGATGCTGGGCGGAGCGTGGTTTACTTTACTGACCAAATTGTTCGTTTGGCTGAAATGCGACGAGATTATTATGAGAAATCGTAAGGGAATGTTATGTACAATTTGGTTTGACTGCTGCTGGTTTGTACTGATAGTTTCGGAACGTCTTGTAGCTGCACGGTCTCTACGATGATCTGGCTTTTGGTCGGAGACGATTTGCTGAAGGACGATTGCGATGCTATAGGAGTGAGCGAATTGGATCTAAAAACGCAATTAATTAATAATTTGTGATAATTTTTCGTTGGTTAATTTACTTTTCGTTGTTGTTGTTAGTGGTTTCTTTAACGGTGAGTAACATAGGGGTTATACGCCTCTTGCCCGATGGCAATCTAGTTTCTAACTGCTTGTTTTGCGGTACTAAATTTATTTTGGGCGACTCGCACGGAATGTAGCTGGTTTCCTTTATAGGCGTAATCGATCTAGGCGGATCCTGGATTTCGATGGAAATCGGATTAGTAACTTCTTGTTTCTTATTGATTTCATCGAGGACTCCGAGCAGCTCGGGGTTCTCCACGATTTGGGAACCACCAACGTTTAGATTCCAATTCTTTTGAAACGATTTGTGATACATTTTCTCGTACAACTCGTTCTTTTCGTCCATTGTTAGAGGCGTCCCGATTTCTGCTTGAGTAAAAATAATACAACCGACTGTACCGTCCCAAGAACACGCCATTAAATACAACCCGTTACTACTCCACGACATATCCAACACACTATCGTCGAAGAGATCCTTAACCACAACCAAAGGTCTTTTTAACGAAGTCAACCACACGGATAAAGACCGGTCCCTCGATCCCACGGCGCAGCAGCAATACTGCGTAGGCTTGGCGTTGTTGCCCTCCTGTTTTTTGAGTATGTTCGAATTGAATCTCACGCAGGTCACGGCCTTCCTATGCCCCACGAAGTCCTTGTCCTGACGCCAGCCTTCACGTTCTATAATCTGGGCCGTGGGACCCCCGCCGTTCATGGCGTGAGCGGAGACTAAGTACTGACCGTCCGGCGACCAGGCTAATCTCAGAACGTGCGTAGTGGCCGAGCATTCGTTGAAAGGTTCGGTGACTACTTCCTGTTGAGACCAGTCCGAAGTACGCCAAATTCTCAGAGATTTATCGTCCGATTGACTAGCAATGTACTTATCGACTGGATCCCAAGTGATGCCCTGATTATAAATACAATTAGTGAGGTAATTTGAGTGTTTGTTGAGATATTACCTTCACCATCCCAGTGTGGTTTTTCAATACAGCGACTTTTTCTGGAAAATGCTGGGCGTTCCAAATAATTACCGTGTTATCGACACTACAGGAGCCCAACCAGCCGTCGTGGGGCGCCCAAGCGAGGTCCAATACGTCTCCGTTGTGCGAATTTAAAGTGTATATGCATTTCCAGGTTTCTACGTTTACTTGGCCGCTGCCGAATATCGTCGAACTACCTTCGTTGGTTAAGCGCCATATCATTACGAGTTTATCGTCGGAGCCGGAAGCCAGGAGATGCCCACCGTTGCTCCACCTCACGACGTTAACGCAAGCTGAAAGTTAACGAATAATCTGGTATGGAAATAAGGGTGCTTTGGTTGATAAAACGTACCCAAATGGTTGTCCATTTGGCACAGCATTTTAGGTACTTTGGGATTGTTTTCGGCATATTCGTCTATCACTGGTGCGATGTTCCAAATTACTATCTTACCGCCGGACTGTCCCTGTCCGCCCGTCGCAAATCTAGAGCCGTTTGGATGAATATCGACCGAAAAAATAGGCTTGTTTTCTACAAAAAAATAAAATTCGAGTAGATTTCGGTGGCCGAACGAGCTCGTTCTCTTACCGTCGTGATTTATCCAAGTGGGCTTCAGAATAATCATTTTTCCGTTAGTTTTCATACAAAAAATTAGAAATATATGTAGATTTATATCGTTCTTTCATTCGCATTTTATTTCCTTCCCAAATAAAACAAGAAGCTTGCACATAACCAACAAATAGCTTCTTTTTTACGATTCGTAGCTGACTTCATGCTGTAAAAAATTGTGATTAGAACGACTTTTGCTTTGCGACATTCAATCACTAATTTGATAGGAATTTTGAAACATAAATCAAGTAAACGATTTTTGGTATCTAAAAAAATATCTTTCTTTCTCCATGAATACTAAATAATAAAACCGCCACGATAGACGTTTTTACTATTCATATCTAACTTCAAACTGTTTCAAATTATTCCTTAGAAACGACTTTTGCTTTGCGGCAATCAGCCACTATTTTGACAGGAATATTTCAAAAATCAGGTAAACGATTTTCGCCGTCGAAAAAACGCGAATAATAAACAATAAAATCGCCTCAATAGACGAGTGGAGCTTCAAACAAACGCGTATCCATCCATTCATCCAACCTGCCTACATTGTATCCGTAGATGAATAGGTATTTGCGTTGCAATGCAAACACAAGCAGTAAATATGTACTTAAGTTAAGGCAGGGTGGAGAAGGGGGGCACGGTGCGACCGGCGATCAGGACCGAGAGGTGTGACTGGTACGGCTTGGCACCGGCTTTGAATTCTATATTCTATAGAAACCGCGATGCATCCGACTAACGTTGATGTCGAGCGAGCCGAAGGACAATTCGTCCGCAAGAAGACTCGCTTTGGATCTCTACGAGCCGATTTCTACCGTCACGATTTCAGGTGTTGCCGGGAAAATGCGATTCCTCGCTCATTTTCGGTACTGAATGCATTTCGAAATTGTTTTCTAGTTTCCCTTGAACAGGTTTAATTCGCAGTTAGCAGTAGGTAACTGATGAAGAGTAAAATAATGGTTTACCGGCGGCTACGGTTCCGGTTATTCAATTCCATACATTTATGAATTCGTATATACGCTGTAATTACCGGTTTATTACGTAATATATTTTTTTTTCGAAGCGAACAATATGAAATTATATTGTAACTGCTCTCTGCGGTATGTGGAATTCGAACGTAATTGTTATTGAATTTTTTTCTATTTAAATTAACTATTCCATTTAGGATTTAATTAAACTGGAATTTTTCGAGTTTAGGCATATTAATTTGGTACCCACAATAGATGTTTTTTCTATATTTTCGGTAGAAAATTTATTTACTGTATTAAAACGAGGCAATTAATGTAGCTCCACCAGTTTAATGTTGCCGGATATTCCCATGTTTCTCGAAATTTTTATCATACACTTAACGTCGAATTAACTAATGCCTTTCAAAATTAACTTTCATACCTAATTTAGTGTCGTTTTCGTATGAGCCAGCCGGTATTAATATTTAATTCGAATTTAACGATCAGCCATCACCGAATGATATTTTTGAGTATAGAGTTAGAGTAGAGTAGAGTAGTATAACAATGACAACAAAGACAACTGACATTAGTTTTATGTAAAGGAAAGAGTGCATGGGATGGGATGGCAATTTTCTCGCTTTCTTTGTCCAACTCATAGAATTGACCATATAGATTGACAACTTCAATTAGACATTTATAAAGGAAAAAAAAGAGTGACATTTGTGTCATTGCAACTTTTCACTCTGACAACTGTTATTTTAATAATCTTTCTTTGTTCAACTCATAGAAATGCCCATGTTGCAATCGCGAATGAAGCACAGTGTATACTGATGCAAAAAAATTTGCACTTATCCATATATTCAAAACTATCCGTTGCATAATTTAAGAAAACCATTTAATTTCTTCAATTATTTAAGCAATTTTGACAAAAAAAACCAAACAAACAACGCGTTTTTCGCCAATTCGATCCAATAATCCTCAAATCCTACTCGAATCACAGCGTCAATCAACATCGCTCCGAGCTTTACTATCACAGCGACCAATTTATCCGTACGAGTTTACGGGTTTTTTCCGAAAAAACCGCCGTACCTACCTGTAGTAGGTACTTACAGACGCGCCGACAGAGCGCCCGATAGAGTGCGGAGCCCGAGCGAGCGCGCGCACCGTTCGAACCCGCTGTTCACCGGCGAAATCTCCGCGGACGCTCCAGTCAAGCGCGCGACTTGTTCTTGCGAAGAGCGCCCCGAAATCCACTTGCGAGCGCACCGCGAATAAACTCACAGACGAAAAAAAAATAATAATAAATAAAATTATTGCACGGTGACAATTGGAAGTCGATCGCGATCGATGTATCGTCGGAGTGCCGGTGCATAAGGGAAAAATCTATGTGCTTGTGCCGTGCTGTGGTGTAAAATGAGGTTACTAGGGGGCGACCCCGCGGTCTGGCAGTTCTTCGTGCTGGCTTCGTGCGGATGCTGGCTCGTCTTCGCCGATACGAGGCTGTCGCCGAACGCAGGTGAGCCCGTCGAGGATGATTACGATGGTTTTTTTTTTTTTCGTAGTGAATTAGGCGCGATTATCCCCCGCGCGAGAGGTGAATAACCCGCTTAGAATACGTCGGGTGAAATTGAGTTTATGTAGTACGATCCGAAGAGGTTTAGCGGTCTGATCTAGCGTTCAAGTCTCTGTATACTTTATACACTCTCGAAAGCGATTGGGTTTTTTTTAGAGATTTGTTAGGTTGATACGGGGACTGTGCGTATGATACTCGTATACGCTAACCTGTTTGGCCCGAATGTGTTGGTAAATTGGATTTTTTTTGTTGTTGGAATTACGATGATTTTCGTGACCCCTCGTCGCGGAGGAAACTGAAATGGTTAGTTTTCGACTCGCGTAGGTATAAAGGATCTTAATTGTCGATGAATAAAATTAGCATGCATTATAATACGTAAAACGGGGAATTTTTACATAATTTCTGGAAAATCAGGTTTTGCGACTGGCGGTAAAAACTTTTTTTGAACTTTATTCGCTTTGTACAAGCGCAGAAACTTAAAAATAGACGAATAAATCTTATTTTTTGTAATTATTTTTCTATTAAATTGCTTTAATTTCCATGTTTTTTGTTAGATTAATATTTTTAAATTCAAATCAAAATTCTCGATGCATTTCTATTAAAAGGCGGTGGTAAATTGGGCGCAGAAATAATATTTTTTACTCATTTGAGAGCTTAAAAAGACATTTTATTCCTATCTATAGCTATAAATTGGGCACTAGAATATTTCAGGTAGATAAAAGAGGAATATTTGAGTTCATTGCAAACGTTCAAATAAGGAAATGAAAATTTTAGAGCAGTAGAATAGAGTATACCTATAATAAACTAGAAGAAAATTAAGGGAGGAGTAGAAGATAGTAGAAGGTAGTAGAATTAGAATAGGAGTATCTAGGTACCTTAGAGTAGAATAGAGTAGGGTATAGAGGAGAATAGGTGTATATAGAATGGAGAGAAGAAAGTAGAGTATAGATTAAGACAGATTGGGGAATTCTCAGGTAAAAAAAAATAACTGTACGAAAGAGCTATAAACAGGTATTAATCCTTCATCATCAAAGGAATTATTTGTTGATTAATTTCTGCGCCCAATTTACTCAATATAGGATTAGAATCTATAGTCCCTTTGGCGCCCAATTTACATCAGTTCCCATAGAACATTTCTCCTAATATCAGGTGCTGAAAAACGAAGAGACCCGCCGAAAATACACATCATAATTCCTCGAATTTGTCGCCGGTCTCGCCTCCGGGGAAGCACAAAAACCGAGAACTCGTCGCGGCAATAAAAACCTCCGTATATAAATATATATCGCGTACAATTTGCAGAACCGGCTACTTAGCCATGCGACGCACAAAAGGGCGACCCGCACGCTCGAATAAAGTCAATCTGTTTAGCTGTCACCCCCGGCGCGGGCCGAACGTGCCTCGAAATTCCCTGCCGGTTATAAAGTCTCCGCCGGGACCCGCTATTTTTTCCCAGCGATTTACGCCCCATCCGGAGTTCCACGTCCCCAATAAAATTCATTGCGTTATATCGCGCTGTAATTTTTACGACGAGCCGTCGGATCAAATTTCGATGCTTCAGTGCAATTCGACGCGCCCTTAACAGGTATTATAGACCGTCCACTATTTGTTAAAATTCGAATGTTAATTCTTGCCGGTAACCGCTTCGAATGTGGCGTTATTATTTGTTATTCACGACGTTCGTCGGGAAAAGTACTGTTATTCAGTCGATCGTAATGTGAGCGAACGTTTTATAGCCGTCGAATTTTTCGATATATGTATTATTTCCATTGGACACCGCACGGCTGGCTGGCCTCGGTAAATAAACCCGGCTTTACATACGGGCAATATCGGAAAAGGGCTTTTTGAAACAGATTGAAATACAAATGGAATGGCTTTCTTTTTTTCTCTATATATACGTTTCGATTGAACCGAGCGTTTTGTGTAGAAGCTAATAGGAAATCCCCTATTACGTATGAAAAATAACGCTTATTTTGTAACAGTCGTTACGGCACCTCTACACCAAAAAATTAATTCCCACCTCTATTAAACTTCTGTCATACGAAATGTCAAATTTGTCAGTTTTTTTCTTCTTGGCCTCAGCTGACAGGGCTACTCGGCCAACGTCAGTTTTTTATTTGTACAATTCCGTCATGCGAAATGTCATTAATGTCAATTTTGACGTTCTTGTATCATCTTAAAGTCCTTCTTATTCGCGTAATTTCTAGCTAATATTTAGCACGTACGGGTTAATAAGCAACTGTATCGAAATAATTGAAACTGAATTGTTTGCCATTCGATTTTACCGGTGGTTTAACAGTAAACGCGAGTGCATTGTGTTCGAGAAAGGAGGTAAAAGGAATTAGGAACGATTATGACAAGTCATTCGAATTTTCCAGACGGTTCTCCATCGTAATACATTTTCTAATTAGAAGTTATAAGGGCTCCGCGTATAGATTTAATTCTCGTTATCAAATCTCTAGAATCGCAGACAAAAATCGATTAGACTTTCGCCGTCGATTCTTTTACAAATCTACTCGCGTTTTCGTTCGCCTTGTACACGATTTTTTTTGGAAATTCTTGTAATTAGTGCGAAAATCGAAATACGTACTATCAATATTCGCAATTTCCTGCGGGAAGCGATTTCAATACGCGCCAACTAACGAGCAATAACTGCGGATTTTCGTTTTCGATTCAATCGAAAACGAATTAAATCGCGTATACGCTTCGTACGGAAATTGAAACGCGAATAAAAGAAAAATCCCGGCGCCTTTACAACCATTGTTCCATCGGAATCTATTGTAGATTACCTCCACAATTTTGCTCGGACACTCTGTATATTAAACACGTATTTTTATAAAACAAAAACAGTGTAATTAACTCAAATTACTTGTCTAGTTAGCGAATTTTAGTTTGCGTAATTACGCAGTAAAATCGCGCTAATTGCGGTTAATGTATATTTTTGTGATATTTCGGGGCGCGACGCTGGAGGTCCGCGGATCGGAATTAATCCGATTCCCGTTTAGAAAACGGGAGGCATTCGAGCTAGGCAACAAATAACTCCATCTCGGCCGTCGAGTCTCGCGAATTTGCATATAAATTATGCCGCAACTGCACCTTTATTGTAGACTCTCTCGGCGGTACTTCGGCGCGAAGTTGGCGCCCGTACGGGATGGGAGTTATTAAGGGCGCCGAAATCGCGTTATAAACTCGTCAGGACGGCGTAATTATTTTAATTCCGGCGTCGGCCCGAAAGCCAAGTTCATTGTTTTTTTTTATTTTCCGCATCGCCGATTCTTTTATGTAGGACGCCCACATGCTGATAGAGTTTCTCCTCGATGAGTAGGTACTCGCGAATTTCTAGGTGCACGCGTCGAATGAAATTGCATTTTATTAGATTGAAAATTGGCCGATCGCTTGCGAGTCGATTAACGATGGTAGCGAATCGATTAAAGGTCGATTGCGAAATCGAGTTACTTACATAATCGAAATCGTTTTCGGATTACAAAGATATATACAAAAAAATTCCACAATAGATCATTTCCTATATACAATCGAAACGAGATTTCTGACGATTCAATGATACTCGCAATGTAACGTTTTTATTATTTTGTTATTTTGTTATTTTATATTAATAAAACGTCGTTTTCTCGGTATCCTCGAATGTAAATGATGTTGTTATTTGTGTTTTCTCGCGAATTTACGTGCAATTCGTGACGAATTTTTATCGGAATCGCCTAATCGAAATGCACCAGGAACGGATTTTCTCATGCGGATTCCTCGTTATTTTCCTGCGATAATTCCGTACGCAGAGATTCCTTTTATTACGATGCAAATTGTTTCGTTGCCCGACAACAATGAATTGGTGCAGTTATTTCGCTCCCTGGTATTTTTGTAAAAATGTTGTATTATCAATATACACTTTGTCCCAATTTTTGCCTCCGGTCGATACGATCAAAAGGAGCACTCTGTATATTATAATTACATCAAACTGTGCCGGATTATTAGTTAAATTAAGCAACGCATATGCAAATTAACAAACATACATTAAGGTAACTAAATTAACGTGTCAACCAGAAATTTACAGCTCTAATATGGCGGAAATTCGCTCTGCCTAACTAAATGGAAGCGATTAAAAAATATACAAATAACGCAAGCGAGTTTGATAGAATTTGAATAAAACATGCCTTATTGTAGTATTTAAATTAGGATTAAATTTGCCCGGGGAATGTTCTTCCCCTCCGGTTCCCGAATAAATTGAACAAAAGACCTTCCGCGTGACGCGGGAGCGCCAGGGAAATTCGGAAAAGCTCCCGTCATACAAAATATTGAAGAGTTTCGACAGAAACAGAGAAATTCGATTATTCCGTTCCCGTTTTGTTTTCGCGCAATTACTCGCTGTATAGGAGAAAAAAACTATTCGTAATTTTTGTTCAAAACAGATTCCCACGTGGGGCGGGCCGCACAAACGGTCGTTTGCCGGAGCGTTTTCTATTCTATCGCGGCGGATTTTTCAACTTTCACGGTATTGTTCGGTCGTGTTGTCATCGTTCCCAGCGTCGAGCGAAATTTCAAAATCCTCCTCCTGCGTATTACATTAAAACCGCGGCCTTTCTAACAACCGGCTTTTCTGCCGGCCCCGACTCGCTAAAAAAACCCCGAAGGCCGATATTTATACAATGTTTAGAGCGTATTTATTTTTGTCGGTGGCCGTTGTACAATCAAGTAAGAGGTCAGACAATGTTTACTGGAACCAGCTTTGCTGTTTTTATGTATTTACGTTAGCTCATTTACCATCAGGGATTATTCTCGAGTCTTTTAAGTTGTATCTTCTCTGATAAATCATAACTACATAATTAATTTGTCTATTATGGCCTACTTTTCACTTCTTTTTTGCATTTACTGCTTCAAGAAGCTCGTCTTGAATCCGATCGCGCTAATGGCAGGATAAATTCGAATTTTCTTAC